ACAGAGCATCTCGTGCTCTTCGCCAAATTCGCTAATTTTCAAACTCTATCCGCCATATTCCAAGTCTAGTGAATTGCATCGAAGTTGTTGCGCTGTTAAATTCAAATAAACTGTATACAGTGGACCGGTTAAAATTTGCATCTCGTTTGGAAACTTGCCCGAGACAAAACATCACATCTTATTCGCTTGCGGGACAAACTTCCCAGTTTCGGAGACAACGACAGACTTCACATATTGTTTTTGTCGAATCCGGTAAAATACATCTAAACAGGCGTTCGCCTGCAGCGCCAATTTTTCTACTACAGAGCTCTGCGAAGCATCAAAAAACACGAACAAGTCATTCTGTTAAAACTCTGGAGAAAATTGAACAATTCAAAAATTCCCTCCAACACCTTATTAACCAACGAAACGATCAAATAAAAACCGCATTTAAACGTTTTATTAACTCGTATAACCTGCATAAATCGAATGGGGTTAACAGGGCGATTAATTATCGCAATTTAGTTTATGTGAGAAAAGTCTCCACACTCTCGCTCTGATATAAGGAGCGACGTGAAAAATATCGCATGGACCAGACGACGTCGGCGTCTATTTCGGCGCCGCGATGCCCGAAGACGTGGCGCCAACTGGGCTAACTCCCGAATCCAGAACAAATCAATGAGATGTTGACTGCCGGAGCGCTGTGGTATGGTGTATCAGAACGGGAGGATGATGCGAGTAAACAGGAATTTATCTGGTCGCGTTTGATGTTCGTCGTATAGGGAATAGGTGTAATTAATTTAATTATTACCCAGTTCTATCAGTGTATCCAGTTATTGGAGGAGTCCTCTGCAATTACTATCTGTCAATGAAAAAATTATACAGATTATACAGAAGTGCAAATTTGTTTGCAATGTGGTCAATTCTATGATTTGAACAAAAATAAGAACGAAAATGACAGTGGTTAGAGCGTTTTCACACGGTGCAATATATTGCAGCAATATCGCATTACAGTATTTATACAATTTATTGCTGCATGGTTCAATGCAATATTGCAGCAATTTATTGCAAATTATTGCTGCAATATATTGCACCGTGTGAAAACGCTCTAAGGTGAGAAATTTGCAATTCTACAATATCACTCTTTCTTATTCTTTCATGTAAAACTAATGGCAGTTTGCATAGCGTAGATTGCAAAGAATGTTGCACTTATCTATATGTATGTATTATGTAACTGGGTGCATTGATAAATCCATTATAAGAATTCAAAAAGTGTTTGTTAGATATTTTTCGCTCTACATAAAACGCATCTTGTTTCTATCTTGAATTTTTATTTCTATCACGTTTTTGATACAATATTTGTTCTAAAATCCCTATAATTTATCGATTACAATCGACGTACAGGGTGACCCACATAAGAACCGAAACAGAGCAGGGATCGAGGGGGCCGAGTGTACATGACTTTATTTCCTAGCGTTTTTCATTAAATCGACGAAAAATTTTAAAAAACAAATAGAATGAAAAAGTTTTAAAATGAAATTAATCTAATGAAACTAATCTATGAAATGAACTAATATTTTTTTAAACTCGTGCATCAGGTAACATTCTGTAGCATTTTAAGGGAGCATACCTGATGAACCCTTTAAAATAAAAATTGCAACCTCTCCTAACTATCTCTCATTAACTAAAACACTCATAAACTTATACCAAATTTAGTTGCTTTAAGTTTGAGTATTACTGAGACATTATTTTATTTAATTTGTAACTCCACTCTGAGGGCCTATAACTTCTCAGGGATATAACTTTGCAACATGGCCCCTGCATTGTGTCAGTTCTTATGAGGGACACCGTGTATACAACATGTCTTTTAACTTCCTTGGTTGCGTATAAAGACACCGTTAGAGAATCCTCGTAAAAAACTGCGTAGAGAAAACTAGTTGCAAACAAAAATCGATATGGGACTGGCAATTTTGGCCCGTTTTCCCTGCGTTTTTTTCGACGATCGCCTCGTAAATTTCCGGCGCCTTATAGGCAAATAAAACGGGGGACACGCGCGTGCCTCGCAATAAAATAGTTCCGAAGTGATAACATAACTTTCCGCACGGTCATAGGCGAGGTTGAATTTTTCACGGGAACACGCCGAGTCGGAAAATTTATCTAGTTCCTTGGAGTTTTACGGGAAGGTTGGCCCGTTTTACAACCACTCGACTCTGTTAATTGCGACAATCAATTAACCATGTTGGCCGTTCTTCCCCGAATTTATTTACTCGAGAGCGGAAAATTTTGTAATTATATGTATACAAGGTGTTTTGCTCTAAAAACCTCTATACCTACTTACTTTATACCTCTATCTGAAATAAGAAGTTTGTTAATGGAGTATTTAAGGGGTGGATCTTCTCCGAAACGCCCTGTTTAACAAATTGTATACAAAGGTAATGAATGTTCAAAGTAATAAAACCTTTAGGCGTATCTACATCCGAATAAACACTTTCTCTCCGGACATAAATTAACTCCCAAACTCTCGGTAACATATCCGAAGCGTCCAGATCGTCTTAATGATAAAGGTGTAAAGTTGAAACTGTAGCAATAAAATACCGAGAATTAACTGTGTCGACCTTAACTAGACTAACTATTCCTTATATCGGCCCCTGGGGGATTTAATGTGGGTTCGCGTCAAAGAGAAGCGGAGTATGCTTATCGCAGACTATGATTTTATTAACTACAATCAATTTATGTTGTTTTGTGTAGGAATTTGGAAACCTAACGATTTATTCTTTTTTTATAAAAAATGAGATTCAACCAGCCTCCAGTAGCAGCTGCTGAAAATATTTAATGGAAAAGAATAATATTCATTGTTCGTATATTATGTTATGTTATATTGAAGTACAAGAAATAAAATATTTATAAGTTTTACTTTACTCCTTTTTATTTTTTTCCTCAAAGTAAATGGTAGTTAATTTTTTATAATTTGCTGGAAAATTGTGGTAAAGTATTCTACAACAATAGTGAATAAAATTTTCATAAATGTATGCCAAAATTAGTTCCTTATCTTATCATTAGATGGCGCCACGGCCACGGCGCGAAAGAGTGACATTTGTGTCATTGCAACTTTTCACTCTGACAACTGTCATTTTAATAATCTTTCTTTGTTCCACTCATAGAAATGACCATGTTGCAATCGGAAATGGAGCAAGGTGTATAAATGTTGAAAATGCCATAAATGCAAATGACTTGTTGACTGCCGGAACCGAAGTACCGGTTCGTTCAGTTACTCCTTCGCCACGTGAGGGTAGGATATGCTCTTCTTAACAAAAATCAACAGGATTGTTTAAAATAATCTTGTAATCTCCTCCGTATCCCGATGTTCCATCACACGACTATTCATCACGGCGACGATTCATCACTGCGACTATTCATCACACCTACTTAAAAAAATACGTAAAATAAAACAAGTTTCGATGAGGGTAGAAATTAGTTTTTATTCGTTTTTTTGGGTTCTTTCGTAAACATTTTAATTTTAATAACTATTTCATCACACATTTATTTAGACATGGTTGAGATACAGTGTAGAATAGAAGCAAGTGAATACGCGATTAAAATACTTTCAAATTTTTAGTATTATTAGTACTTTTAGTATTAACTGACTAATTAGTTAATATTTACTTCAGAATACAGCTAGAAGTATAAAAATGTTGAAAATATTTTATCTGCGTTGAGCATCCTGACGAAGCTACAGCTATACTAAAAAAAACATGAAAGTATATCAAGCAAGTATTCACTTGCTTCTGCACTCTATCTCAACCACTTGAAAGAAATGTGTGATGAAATAGTGTTATTGAAATTTAAATGTTAAAGAAAGAATCCAAAAAACGAATAAAAACTATTTTCTAGTCTTGAGACTTGTTTTATTTTACAATTCTTTTTAAGTAGGTGTGATGAATAGTCGTAATTCGTAGTGATGAATAGTGGTAGTGCGTAGTGACGAATCGTCGCAGTGATGAAATGTCCGTGATGGAATGTCGTGGAATCATTCTCCTCTAGTTATCTTCGCGTTTGTAGTTTAGAATGCTCACTTGTCCTCAATCCTCCCCCGCCTCCTCCATATAGGTTTCGTCCTTAAGTACCCTATCTACACGTTAGCGTGCGAGCTGTTGCAAAGACGTTATGGCGCCATCTATTATATTTTTATCGACAACTACGATTTATAGAGAATTTTAGGAATTAAGTGACACTGACAATTTTCAACCTAGCAAAAATTTGACGCGAATGAAACAGAAAATAGGGAAACAAACGTCAAATGGGCGGTTCGGTTTATCTCGCCGCTACCTGACAAACTGAAGAATGGTGAATTTGGGCAAATGCACGTTATGCACGATTCTCCTGTTCACGCTCTCGGTGCCCATCGCTCTGTTCGCCGGAATGCTGTACTGGATGGCCTACTGCTGCACGGCGTGCTGCGAATGCTGCGACGATTGGGCCTGCTGCTTCCTGCAGGGCGCGCAGATACCGGGCAAGTGCCTGGCGTGCGTGCTGAGATGCGGCGATGATCCCTATTGTTGCTGACGAACATAAGAGGAGGGTTGGAGGTCGCTAAATGTAAGCTATTGAGATACTTGTTGGTTGTTAGATCAATTGTGGAATTTTTGGATGTTTTTTTACTGCTGAAGATTAGTCTCGTATTTAGTGGAATTCTTTTTATTTCAGTACATCCCGTGCCGGAAAATCTCTCGTATATCTGCAATAGCTTTTTTGGAGTTTTAAAAACGCCTACGAGGCTCAAGGCTCAAAGCTCAAACATGCTCATCCATGTATTTCCAGAACGCGCTCTTTTTATTTGGACCACAACGAACGGGATAAGTGTATAGTAGGTTTTTCAAATTGAAATAATTGTGTTTCCCAAGATTTTTAGTAATCAATTTGAAATTAACGGCGATGTTTTCACGAAAATGACGTGTAGTTTAAGAAGAATTTTTCAATTTGGCTTTCAACTGACCGGGGATATAAAAAAGTACATTCAAAAATTTGTTTTTGGTAAATATAACATATATTCAGAAAGCAAGTATTTTTATTATGTGTAAACAAACATTAAAATTGTAACAACTGAAAGGAATAATTCAAATTCTGATTAAACGAATGCCCGAATTGCAATCTGTAATACAATTGATCGATTTCACAATTTTTTCCATGAATAACTTCGATTTGAAAAAAAGTAATTCACTTAGTTCCAACGTTTTTCTACAATATTATTCGTAAGTAATTTGTTAATTACAAAATAAACTGTAAAATAAAAAAAACAATGAGAAAAAATAACAACTATTTTACATGCGATGATTAATTTAGATTTGCTATTTATCAAGGCTTTTAAAAAACAATGACCCTAAACAAAATATACAGTATGTCTCGAAATTAGTAAGATAATTTACAAGAAGTTTGTTCCAAAACAGGTTTGGAATTAAATTTTCGAACTAGAAAAGTAGCACAGTACAATTCTATACCAATCTTGGAACAAATCTTATTTTATTACCAATACTAAACCCATGCAATCTACTTAATATCAAATAACCACCACTAAATTATTGTTATTATCATGTGTAGTTTAATTACACTAAACATGTGTAAAAATCTCGATATATCAATTTTGCACAGCAATTTCGACAAAGTTGCTTCTCTGTTCCCACCAAAATCTACAAGAATCCTCCTAAAAAAGAAGAAGCTTCCACTCCAGCTATTTTCCTTGTTCTACACATGCATTTTAGGAACTTTCACAATACGCGAGACATACTGTACAGAAAAATTGCAACTAAAATTAAATTCAAGTGTCATTACCCTGTTATATAAACTTTAGAAATCTCAACAACTATGCAACAAAAAAAATTTATAATAATTTAATTTCACGATAGTAAAATATTCAAGTAAAATGCCCGAGTTTCCTCCAAAAAGCCCCCTGTGATTGATGACGTTGAGAATTAAACTGTGGTGTTTTCAAAGGGGCTTTTTGAAATGAACCAATAAAATCGTATACATTCCAATTACTTGGCAATTTTTTTACACAAAATTGCAAAGTTAACAACAAAACAGCCTTGATACTTACTGAACTAAATGAATCGAAAACGGCGTTTGATGTTTGATAATTGATATTTCAACAACTTACAATTTGAAAAATTATCTGTATATTATATAAAATCTAGCTAGGTCCATACCTAAATTTTTCAAAAATAACTATTTCGGCCGTATCAATAAAAAAGAACTAAAAAAATGACTTAGATCTTATTTTCTTTCTTTTCGTATATAATTTAAATATTACAACTATTTTACATAAAACAAGTAGGGAGGCGGCGACGCGCTGTTTATTCAATTTGAGGACCTCTATCAAGTTGAACAACAGCCACGCACGCCCTCCATCGCACCTAAATATTGATTTATTATTTTTTTTTAATTTTATAATAAATAAACATTAGTTAAAGGGCTAGCTTTAACAGTGATATCTATTTTTACGCTTAGAGGAAGCCATATCAGTGTGTTTCTGTTTTAATATCACAATTGAAATACAAGGTGGAAACCTCGTAAACCATTGATTTAAGAGTATTGGCTAATTTTAGTATGGTATGCACAGAGTGTCCCAAAGTTATGATCTCATAATGTTCTTAGAATCGTTACAAGGGGATATACAACTCTTTATAATAAAACTCAAAACAATTACGAGCCATAATCTTTTCTATTTCCAATAAGATAAACAATAAAAGTAAATACTCTGTACAATTTAAGAAATAAATAAGGGTTGTCGAAACAGTAACACACTGTATCAAAATATAAAACCATCTAGGTTACATATAAAAATTTTTTCTTCTTATGTGGTATATTTGATAAATTGCGCTGGATATCTTAATTTCTTTGGATGTTCAATAAATTAAAATGTCCAGTCTACATTTTGTTTCGAGATAATGAAGCGTACACACATCGTTTACACATATATAATATTTTTTCTCTTATTAGACAATTTTTACATATTTATAGATTTTTTTTAAGTTTTATATACCGAATAAGAATGATTAAAATATATCACCGTCGAAATATAAGTATTTGTAATATAGGCGAGTGTATTGATAAAATTTAATACTTGCTTCAAAAACGTAATTTACAACCCGAGCCCGTTTAAATGTGACCTAATTTAGGAGTTCTTCATTGGTACTTTTTATACAGAGGAATTTATCTAGAAGATAACTGTTTTCTTTAATATTTTAAGGTAAGAAGTAAATTATTCTACAGATAAATTCCACTAGAGAAAGTTATAAATACCGGACCCTTAGTTGTTGTTACCGGTGAGTTTTGCGTAAGTTTAATGAGTTTTTTAGTGCACGTTTTTGAAGCACGATCTAAAAACAATTAAACTAACATTACATGCACCTTATCACAAATTTTTAACCGAACAAGAAGAAAAAAATAGTTATTTTTGACGATACCTTTTATACACTTTGGTGTTCGAATTATCATTTTTTTTGTTATTTTTCGATAATTTAAAAAATAAATAACACTTTATTATTTTAATCGGGTTCCGGATAGTCAACCGGACTCCCCAACTACTTCGTATTACTGTTGGTCAACAACGTCTTTTTCACCGCGGAAAATTCGAGATTTTCTACGTTGGTTTTGCTCCCGACGGATCTGCAGCTAGCAGTTTTTTTTAATACTTTTTACACCTCCTCCGCACAGATTCATTTACAATTCACTGTTAATCAGTTCGTTCGTTTTTTTTAAGTAATTTCTTTGTAATTCAGAAAAGTCAGCTCTCGATTTGACTAGTTAAGTTAACAAATAAAGATATTCCAACACATACACTGTTTCCCTCTTTTAAGATTCCTCCGTGTAGAACTGCACTTTACCGTTCGCTTGATTTACGATCGCTTCCCACGCTGAAAAATAATAAACGCATATTATGTATTATCCTATATTTTACTAAAAATATCGATATTACAAGGTGGAAATCTACTATTTAAAAATAAAGAATGTTGTGCCCTAAGCAAACCAGATACAGAATCGCAGCGAAAAATTATCGGGCGTTCTAAATGGTTCTAAAGCGTTCTAGATTTCTCTAGACATTTCTAAATGGTTCTGGAGTGTTATAAACGATTCTGGAACGTTCTAAATAGCTCTAAATGAATGCGGAGCGTTCTAAATGGTTTAAGAGGGATCTAAATGAGTCTAGACAGTTCTAAATGGTTTTAGACAATCCTAAATGATTCTGAAACGTTCTAAATGGTTTTAGACAATCCTAAATGATTCTGGAGCGTTCTAAATGATTTTAGACAGTTCTAAATTATTCTTGAGTGTTCGTAGTGGTTATAGAAAGTTGTAAATTAATCTGGAGCGTTCTATAGATAGTTCCAAATGATTCGGGGACGTTCAAAATCGTTCTAGATAGTTCTAAATTATTCTGGACTGTTCGTAATGTTTATAGAAAGTTCTAAATAAATCTGGTGCGTTCTATAGATAGTTCCATATGATTCTGGGGAGTTCAAAATGGTTTTAGGTAGTTCTAAATGAATCTGGAGCGTTATAAATGGTTCTAAAGCGTCCTGGATGGCTCTAGATAGTTCTTAATGGTTTTGGAGCGTTCTAAATGGTTCTAGAAGGACTAAATAAAAATGGGGCGTTCTATGAATCTGGAGCGTTATAAATGGTTCTAAAGCGTCCTAGATGGCTCTAGATAGTTCTTAATGGTTCTGGAGCGTTCTAAATGGTTTTAGATTATTCTAGGTGTTTCTGGAGTATTCTTAATGATTCTAGATAGTTCTTAATGTTTCTGGAGCGTTCTAAATGTTCTAGATAATTCTAGATGTTTCTGGATCCTTCTAAATGGTTCTAGGCAGTACTTAATGGATCTGGACAGTTCTAAATGATTCCGGAGCATTCTAAATGATTCTAGTCTAAATGATTCTAGACTTCAATTTGAAAGAATTTGAAGTTTTTAAAGAGGCGATTGAAGTTTGAATTTATTCGATCGGCTTACCCGTTCCGATAAAGTTGACAATCTTTTCGTGGTTGTGCGACGATGAAGAGAACGTCTGCGGAGCGACGAACCGGGCGATAAAGTCCTCGCACACGTCCTCCTGCAACAATTGCTCGTTCACGTCGAAACCGAACACGAGACCGGTCACCTCCTTGTTGCCGACGCCGCTCAAAATGACGACGGGCGGCGGCCGCTCGTCGTCGTCCTCTTCGACGCCCGTCGACGCGTCCATATCACAGTCTTGGCGTTTCGGTTGGCCGTCGATCTCGATCGGCGACGGCAATCGAACGGAGTCCGGCTGGCCGGCGTAACGACAGGCGGCGGCCGCGCCGGACGACGAACTCGAACGTTTATGCGGATGGCAGTTCATAAAGTGCAGCTTCTCGATGGTCTGGACGTCGGGGATATTCGGCGGTAGTTTGTGAGCATTCAAGTGGATCGAGTCTTTTTCGTTTGAGTGGATTATCTAAAAGATATGGGTTGATTAGGTACTAGGATGATTAGATTAGATTAGATTAGAACCTGGAAAATATGCAAAATGCATATAAAGTGCATATGTCTCCCGTAAATTCAAAATGCAAAATTTTGCATTATTCAATATATCATTTTGGCAATAAATGTTCTAAACGGCTCTGGAGCATTGTGAATGGTTCGACACATTTCTTAAAGATTCTGAGTCGTTCTAAATGATTATAAAGCGTTCAAAATGATTATGAAGCGTTCTAAACGGTTCTAGACAGTTGAAATTTATTCTGGAGCAGTCTAAAAGGTTTTAGACAGTTCTAAATGATTCTAGTGCGTTCTAAATAGTTCTAGATTGTTCTATGTAAATGTTTCTGTAAATGTAAAAACGCGTTGTAAATGGTTTTAGACAGTTCTAAATGAATCTGAAGCGTTCTAAATGGTTCTAGATCATTCTAGATGTTTTTGGAGCGTTCTAAATGATTCTAGATTGTTCTAAATGTTTCTGAAATGGTTCTAGATTGTTCTAAATGATTCTGGAGCGTTCTAAATGATTCTGCAGCGTTATAAATGGTTCTGGACCGTTTTAAAGCGTTCCAGATAATTCTAGATGTATCTGGAGCGTTCTAAGTAATTCTAGACAGTTCTAAATGATTCTGGAGCGTTCTAATTGGTTCTAATTATAGATGTTTCTGGAGCGTTCTGAATGGTTCTGGAGCGTTTTAAATGGTTCTGAAGCGTTATAAATGGTTTTAGAGAGTTCTAGATCTCATTCTTCTGACGATCTAATAAGTAATATACTCTGATAGTCGGCATTGTATATGTATATGTCTTATCATTTCCTTTTAATAAAGTTTTCAAGGAAATAAATATCTGGTTGTTGCTGATTTTTTTTATCGAGCATAAACTCATAATTATATAAGGTCATATTTTGAAGGTTTTTAGTGCATATTTTCCAAGCTCTGGTGATGATGCATTATTACATCGGTATACAAATAAAAAATCGGATACTTACAGACAGATCATTTTGGATATCATTATAAGGGACAGTGCTAGAAGCAGTAACTGGAATTGCGTTATTGATTACAGCACTATTACTATTCAATGTGGGTTTGGATTTAGGTACAGACGATTCGTTCGTAACTCTTCCACTAATAGAAACGTTTCTGACGTTGGCCTTTTCCACGGAATATCCCTTGTTGTTGGTAGTTGCGACAGCGGGAAAACTCATCACCATTGTAACATCCGCCGGCGGTGTCGAATAGAAATTCTTGGCGATTGCTCCCTCGCTGGGCATGGCGGGAAATGATTTGGTATCGTTAACGTTAGGCGGGAAAGTCTTTGAAATGGAATTAACGACGTCTGGGTTATTATCGGTCGTTTTTTGATTGTGAAATTCAACCGGCATAGCGGGAAAACTTTTCGTATCGTTCACGTCGGGCGGTGGAACACTTTTGGCTTGAGACACGTCCGTAGGCATCGCTGGGAAATTCTTAAAATTATACAAATCCGGAGGTAATTATACAAATCCGGAGGTAATAATTTAACGTGATTTAAGTTACAAGGGACGAGTTTATCCCGAATTTCTCGAGTCTCTTTTTTACTATTATAGTTCAACTCAGTCTCGATTTTATTGTTAATAGTCGATTTGTCCTTAATTGGCACTTTATCTACTTTATTTATCTTCTCTTTGATTTTCTCGGCGGCCGTTCGCGCGATGTCCGCGTACGATATAGGCATGTTGATGCCTTCGATCGGCAGCGAATGGACCGAATCGACGTCCGAAGAATCGGATTTCTCGCTATGCGGCACGGATTTCCCGCGAAGGTCCGGCGACGGGGCCCTGTTCGAATGCTGCTTCGCCGCCTCCGTGTCGGCGGTGGACGTCTGACGTCGTCCGCTGCCGCTGCTCACGCTGTTGCGCCGTCTTTTGCTCTTCTTTTTCGTTTTGCTCACCACCCAATTCTCGGCCGTTTCCAAATTATCCGTCGAAGCGTTGCTCGAAAGGATTTGAAACGATGGTGGCTGGATAAAACAAAATAATGTAGAAATATAAACAATGTGTAGAAAAAAAATACTTACTTCCACGTTACCCCAAGATCTCCTTTCTTTAGGCCGCTCCGATTGATTTTTATTACTCCTAATCACCACATTACTTTCTTTATCGTCTTCCTCGTTGGTAACGAAAGCAAAATCGTCCAATTTTGCCGTTGATATCTCGCCTAAGGAATTCGATTTTTTCATCTCAGACCTCGACTCTTTACCCTGCAAAAATATTTTTATTCAAAAACCAATATTAAACAAACAACATTTTAAATAGTTAAATAAAAAAATCTACCTTCGAGGAATGAGCACGTTGTTTCTTAGCAGCGCTGCTGGAACTGCTACCTCCGCGACCGGAGTCTTCGGAAGCGTGTTGCTTGTGGAGCTGCTTGGATTTGTGAACGTTCGATTTGGTCGCTTTGCCGCCGGTATTATCGTCCTTATCGCCCAAAACGTATTGAATAAGTTTATCCACGTCATTGATTATATCACTTCTATGCCCTTCAACCTACGACACAAGAATACAGGAGATTACACATTGTGGGGATTGAAACGAAAGAAAATACCAACAGTTCAAAGACAAATTTAGTGTAATTTTTAGGTAAATTTTTCTGATGCAAAGAGGTTTAGGTTGGATGGTTCTGATAATTTCAACTCGTATGGGTACTGTTTAAGAAAGAAACCACGAAAAGTGAAAGAATCACTTTTTACCACTTTTAGATGAACATAACAATGTTCAATGGATTTGCCAGCATCTAGAAGTTGATTTATAAAAAATGGTCAGCTTATTGTCCAGACATAAATCCAATTGAAAATCTTTGGGGAATCCTAGTTTGAAGAAGTATTCCAATAACAAACAACAAGTGACAATTGGAAAATTAAAAGATACATTAGAGGAAGTGTGGGTAACTTGTGGGGATCCTGAAATAATGAATAAATTGATGGAAAGGGAAAAATTGAGACTTTTTGAAGTGATTCAAATTAATGAAAGCGTTACTTAATATTAGAGTTGCATTTTTAAATACATTTTTTAAGCATATACTTCTGTGGTGTTATTGTTACGACACCATGGTAATTTCGATTGTTTTCGAAAAATATTACCAAAATTACACTTTTAATCCTTTACAAATTTAAAAGAGAAGTTGTACACTGTAAGTTATACACCATAATGTAATTGAACTATTTTTAAAAAATAATTTTTAGTCTATTTTTTTTAGTATGAAATACTTACACTTTCGGCTGTAAGAACTACTACATTTTTATCAGTCTGGGTTTTCTTTTTCTTGGTTTTTTGGTTCGGAGTTTGATGGAGGTTGCCATTTTCATCGACTTTCTACAATACAAACGACTTCATTATTGTACCATTTTATTCTGTATCATAAACTTACGTTACAAGTTTGCCCCAGCATACTGAATAAGCAAAATTGTAATCGTAATGTAACAAACTCAAAAGACAAATACCTTTACTATAAAAATAAAACAAAAATAGGTAGAAAAACCAAAGATAATCGTCGTAATTTTTCGATTACTTGCAAAAAATTACCAAAAATGCTCGACTAATAATGCTGTTAAAATGCACGTTATTTATTTTTTATAGTTAATGTTTTTTATTACGTTCCCTATCAGCAAACATCATTTGGGTTTTTACCTTGTTAACATTTTCTTCTCGATCGGTAACAACAGGAAAAGTATAGGGTTTGATAATCCAAAACGGACCCACACTATTATGTTCCCTTTCAATTATCATTTTAATGTCATAAAAATAGTACGAAACCGATGGTTTCAGTCTTTATGGGTAAAAACGTCATTTTTTCGGTAATTAAAAGTACATAAACCAACAGTCAGACTACGTACAGCAGCATTTTTACTCGTTATTGACAATGGAAACGAGTTGACCTTTTCACTCCTAACACTGAACGTTACATAAATGTTTATCATTAACAAATAATTATTCTGACATCGGCATTGCGAGTTTTATAAGGTTTTTTTTTATCGATTTAACTCGTTATTTACAAATATTTACTTTAAAGCGGCGATAAAAATTTAATTAGACTACGTTAGTACTGAAATTTACCAGCCAGCTCTTACAGCCCGATGCATTTCAAGTAAGTACACGATATTTTAGCTAATACAAACGATTACTCACCCTTTCCTCGCCCTTAAATGCCGGTATGTAAACGTTGTATTTGGTTTGTAACACTTTCGTGGATATTAAATCGGCGTCGTAGGGCTTCCTCTCGACCACGCTGTCCAAATCCAGAGGAATGGGATCGTCGACGGCGGCTGCGGGGGCGACAGGATGGGCGGCTATAGGACGAACGGAATATTTATCAAACAATTTCAAACGAAAGCAGTTGAACGGCACGTTGAAGAACATTTTTAATTTATATTCGATTAACAGTTTAAAAAAAACGTTTCGCTAAAAATACAATATAAAATTTTCTGTATAACACAAACAATATAAACCGGAAAACAAATTTAAAATTATAACACAAAATTTAAAAATTAAACCGCTCCAAATACTCTCTACAAAGTTCTACAACGGTATTTTAAAATAGCACAGTATAAAGAGCGCAGAAAAAAAAAGGTGACAAGAAATAACAAAAACAGATTGTGGTATATACAAAAAGAAATATTTCTATTAGACACCCAGTCGATAAAACGACTGTATTATCGCCTCGGATAATATATTAAAATAATAAACAAATTATTTAGATAATTCATTTTGATTTCTTAGTAGAGTTACTAGTGACTAGTAATACGAGATACATCGAAGTAATTTTTTTCACTTCAAAATAAATGTTGTAAATTAATAAATATGTACTTACAAATTTGAAGGGTAGCAGTTGAAGTGTATCTGGGTACGATTGTGATCTCTTGGGTCTCCTGGTAATTTTCTGCCAACGAATCGTGATCTAAAAGCCTCTGCGATTCCAAGGAGGATTCGTTTTCCGTGGCCGAGGATTTCTTGTCTTTCATGGCCTTATTCCGTTTGGCCTCTTCGAGAAATTGATAGTCATGGGCGGGTATTACACTAGAATTAACGTCACAAGGCAAACTCCCTAAAAAAATGTAAAAAAATCCCCCTGTAACGTTAAGTAACACAAAGCGCAATTTACAAGAAATAAAATCATGTAGGAATTTTATGGATTTTCGAAGAGGCGTGTGGTCAATACCAACCTTTAATTAAAGACCCATACTTTCCATGTAGAAATTGAAATATCATATAACGCAGATAACAATTTTAAAATAGATCTTTATCACCTATTAACCTAGTATCAAAGTATATGTCAAAAAATCGTACTCAATAAACGATACCCGCTGTTTAATTGATAAGCAAATCGAGATAATGTTATGATTGCATAATAATTTGTTGCTAAAATAAAATTGTAATGGGTACGTTCGTCGTATTGACATATAAGAAAATCGATTGTTACAGGACGTTGAATAAGTAATCCCGTCGATATGTTACGTTTCCTAATGATTAAGCTAATTCGTATTCACGAAACTCACATCAGTATGCCTGTTCCTGCCAGACCATCGGCCAGTTTCCATATCAATTCGGCATTTTTCAACAAGTAAAGAGGCCCGTCAAGTGTCGTTCCACTTGCACGTAAACTCCCGATTCGACGGAAAATCTTTTTAAGGGCGTTCCGAATAAATTTCCGTAAAACGCATTTTTTTCTTCGTGCGTTTAACGTGAACCACAAATTTTATTCTACGTTCGAGTAATTTGTAATGGATAATCGTAGAACGAAAAAATTCAAGTTTTTGAGGTTAAATTAAAACGTCAGAAAAATTACCGCGCGTGCGCTCAGAACACGTATTCAGCCCATAAAATTTCGCGCGACGTTGCCGTCCTTTCATAAAAACAAAGTAGATTCGTACTTGAGGTAGGAAACATAGCGAAAAACTGTTTAAATATCAACAAATGGATCAGATGAATTGTAGTATGTGTGATATAAAGATGTAATAAGCAATAACAAATAAGTTTTAAGTAGTATGAACCATTAAATTAATAAAATATAAGTTGTTTTCGGAACTGTTACAATTTTATGTGGAAATCAGAGGGCAGCGTCGCTAAGCAGTGTCCTTGTACTTGTAAGGATTTTGTGACAAACTTGTGCTGACACGATCGAGGCCAGTGAAATTGAAGAAGACAATCGAAAATAATTCAAAATAAGGAATTAAGATTATTTTTGCTAAATATGATATTTTTCGTCTTTTCGTAGTAAACATATCTAGTACAAACAGGAAGGAAATGTCATTTATACATCTTGATAAAATCGCCACAACATTACAATTACAATAAACTGATAAGAAATTGGTATCTTATCACCTATTTGTACCCCTTGTAAGTTTTGTTATTCAGTTATTTAGATAATGGTATATCATTATCATTCGCGCCGACAGTTTGTTGGACGAGCCTCGTGCGAGTTTATTTACACAAAACCCACCCTATTATTTCGTCCGGCCCTTCATTCCTAAACTTATGATCAATAAACATACTATTCACCTGTCTCCTACTGACCTTGTCCCCAATTCAGCGCGTACGATATAATGAAAAATACGAAAGCGATCTTATAAATCCCACAATATTTCTCTCCCAATAAGTGTAGTATAAGATTATGCTTTTAATTGTTATTAAACGATAAATTTGCTTAAAAAATTGTCATATAATATACTCGAAGAAGATTCGCTAGATGAAGCTTCTAATTTTAATCACACGACGAATTTTAATCAAAAAATTAGTACTCGAAGAAGACTTTCCCATATTTGAGTCGCTCAACGCCAGAGTGCTCCAACTGCGAATTGCATTATCTGGTGTCAATCAGGAAAAGTGCTGCATATTTTCTAAATTTCAAGTCAACATGGGCCCAAATGGCCCAAGTATGCACGCTATATCTATTAGTGAACCAGAAAAGCTCATGTATACTTGAAATTTAGAAAATATGCAGCACTTTTCCTGATTGATACCAGCTAAATGCAATTTCGCAATTGGACCACTCTGGTGCCGAGCGACTCATTTATACTCAACCCATATAGTATACAGTTTTAGATAAGTAAAAGCTAAGTTAGTAAACTCACCTCCCTCTCGCTGCCTAGCGCTGACGGTCTTCATCTTATTAACTAAATAGTGAGGTGATTCGAGGAACAACTCTTCTTTGGCCAAATTGTCCAAGCTGCCGCCGTGCATCATGTTCTCCGATATGGAGGACGGCTTGCGATGGCGGCCGTGGTGGCGGCCGCCGCCGCCGCCTCCGCCGCCCTGTCGACCGTGGTGGCGGCGGGCGGCCGACGTGTTATAGTGTCGCGCTACCTCGGAACCGCCGGCGTTCGTCGCCCGGGCGATCCGTTCGCTCTCTTCCGCTTGGTTCAACAAATCCTGCCGCAAAGAAATAAACTCGAATGAGTGGGTATAATCGATCAAGATGAGCTGTATTGCTTGACATAAATACGGCTCGATTTGTTAACAAAAACTGTGGTTTAAGGCCGCCAAAGCACGCCCTCAAATTCATAATTCGTGGGGTGGTATAGAACTATTCCGAATTAGGATAACATTTTTCCACAATAGGTGGGATGAGAATAGTTTAATTAGTATAGATGTTCCGTGTTTGATTACACTTGAGATAAAATCAAACGTACAACAAAGTAAAATAAGAAATCTTTTTCGCTTTTTCAAATTCAAATATTTTCCCTGATGCAATTTGAAAAGATAAAAAAGTAGGGTTTTAAAAATAGTCATTAAAGTGCTCTAAAAGTATCCCGATGCACTGGAAAAATCTTATTTCATCTTACCTACCCTTTAAGAAAGGGTTAATTATTCAAAAATATCTGAAAAACGGAAACCACTGGGATGGCTGTTGCTAGTGAAATTTTCAAAATTGTTTTGTGATTTGACATTTATGTCAGGCAACACCATAATTTCACAGTAATCTATTATCATTGTTTGATAAAATAATTTAATTTTTTTTTTTTTCCTTTTAATACAGCCTGTGGATCAATATAAACTAGGAGAGATCGGTCTCTAATAAGTATTCTTCATCCTACTAAAATTATTCACGCATTTGTTCAATGAAACTCGAGTTTTACTAGAATTACGTTTTGCCATTTAAAAAGCACTGTAAATAAATGACAGTTTTTGATTTCAATTTTCTTAAAAATTTAATGAACTTGGAGAGATTAAAAACAGGAGATATCATTGCTCGGATTCTCTATATTAGGTAAAAGAAAGAATTAAATTAATTCCTGATACCAAATTTGAATCTTACTAGAAGTAGTGAACCTATTTCTTTCCCATTTAAAAATACCCTGAAGTGGCGCCCTTAACGCATTATTATGTAATACTAGCTGATTATTAATTTACTACAACATTCTGGTTTAGTAGTGGTAACATAGAAAGTCTCTATTCATTTATATCATATTGGATTTCGATGTATCTATTTACCTTAAAAAGTTTACTCTTTCCTTCCCTGTCTTTGGGATTTTTGTAGTTGATCGCCTCGTCGAGTAGAGCTTTCAATTCCCCATCGTTCAAATTAGATAAAGTCTGAAACCAAAGATAATTTCTACAGTAAACCGCTATGCTGATAACGAATTGTCCGGAAAGTTGATACTGTGTAAAAGAGCGGGAGGCGTACGGGTCTCTAGTTACAGGTAGGGTAATTATCCTAAAGCGAGGAGAATAGTCGTTTTATTGGCATCGAAAATTGCAACGCGATTTTTTACTGCTTCGTAGAATACAATGTGCAATAAAAAAAACAAATAAAAGTTGTATTGTGCTAATAGAAAAACTACCAATTATAAAACCATTTTCAAATGTTATGTCACATATGAAACAATAAAATTTGTTTTTTCAAATTGAATCGTTCAGCGCAAGATTGGCCCAACTGCAAATTGCATTAGTTGGTATCAATCAGGGAAAAATGCTGCATATTTTCTAAATTTCAAGTCTACATGGACCCAAATGGTCCAAGTATGCACGCTATATCTATAAGTGAACTAAAAAAGCTCATTTGAGCCAATGTGGACTTGAAATTTTGAAAATATGCAGCACTTTTCCTGATTGATACCAGCTAAATGCAATTGCGCCAGTTGGGCCACTCTCGTGCTGAGTGCCTGAAAATTTTCCAATGAAAGGATTTTAAAATGACCACAAATGATCCCAAAAATGACAGATTACATTCTAAGCCAACTGTTAATTCCCATTTGATGCTTAATTCGAAAATAATTACCCGCCAGGAATATTTTCCTTGCTCATCATTACAATTCTCATATTTTTCGATTGGCTTACTCAGACATTGATTCATAATGAAAAATGCTTTAATACCAGAAAAATACATTTCGTGCATTATCTCTTCATTCTGGGACAATGCTACGAAAAGTGCATAATAAACTGCATTCCCGAATATTTATTATATTTCCAAAGAATTGCCTATTAAAAGGCTAATTAAGTGTTAAGGTGGTAATAAAAGTCACACCAATATAAATATTGACTAGGATCATATTTAAAAATAAAGTAAAAATGGTATCCATTTATTAATAAATGACTGGAACAGACAGAAATTTGTGGAATTCCAACAAAATAATACTAAGTAATTTTGGTTTTATTTTTAGGTGTACCTCCTGTGTTTAGAGTAATTTTATTGTGAAAAAAAAAAACGATACGCCCAATTTTTGCAACGTCATACCCTCACTACATTTGTCATTGAAAATGAAAACAAATGTTAAGTACAAAAGGATTTTATGCCCTAAAAAATCAAAACTCGCAAAAATGATTGACGAAAAATTAGAAATTCTGTGGACTTTGTTAAATTGGATTGATTAATTTCCAGCAAATATCGAAACTAAACTGTATAGGTTGTTCCATATACGAATGCTCAATAATAACTTCTAAAATCTAATTAATAAAGAACGTACAAATAGGCTGAATTTTACAATTAACAATAGATAGAAAGGGAGTAAATACGAAACCTACATTCAAATTGTCAAAAGCTGACAAAAAAAGAAAGTAACTTCCTAATTTAGCATACCTTTTCGTCCTTATCGTTTTCCTTACTAGCCTCCGAAGGGGCGAGCTTCTCTGGCTTATTCTTGTCGCCTTTATCGGGTGCTTTAGGTGTATTATCGTTTTCTGGAGATGGGGCCATTTTTTTGAACCCAAATAAAAGATAACGCCACGAACGTTAGGCAGGCACTTTTCACATATAACACATGTTTAGTTTCTTCGATTCGCACATAACTTAGGTAATAAGGTGATATACCTAAAAAATTTCACAGTTTTTAACAAAGTCTTCTGTCCAATATCCACATTTTTGCATTCCGCCATTACAATTTCGTACATTCGTTTCACAAAGAACTAGTGGCGCCATCGGCCGGCTACATTCGAAAATTCGTCAGCGATTTTTCCAGATAATTTAAATTTCTATACAAAACTAGCCAAATTAAAAGTACTAAAGTTACAGAATGACACTGGGGATAAAATTTTACATTTCAGTTTCAAGCAGATTGTAGTAATAACAATTTATAAAATTTAGCTAGAAATAAGGGTGACTGCATAATGACGAGTAAGAGGTCACATTTGCAACGAAAAGAAGAATGTTTAGAAATCACTATTATAGACGCTGATAATCATAATTATCATATATGATTTACTAAAATTCCATTTAATTAAATCTGCTCAATAAATTTAACAAGTATCAAATAGTACAAATTGATTGATTAATTAAAAAAGAGGATTTTTGACAATGACAATTACGTCACAAAATACGTTCTACGCATGTTTGTTTACTATTTCACAATTGAAAATATCAATATTTAGGGTTAGTGCCGATAATCCTAAATTCAAACCTTACAAGTTCGATTAAGTATCTGACCATTCCAAAATGACGCAAGAAAACATATTTCTCTTCGTGCCAAATATCATAGGTTTGCTATCAAACAATATACCTGTGCAATTAATTTTTCGTTTCGTTTACAGGATATGCAAGAATCATTTTGGCGATAATTTCCTTCTACTTCATGCCAACGAATTATATTGTGGCATGTACTTGTTACGTGGTGTCTGCTTTATTGGATGCTTTCGATGGTCACGCTGCTAGATACTACAATCAGAGCACTAAGTTCGGTGGTATGCTCGATCAGCTCACGGATCGTTGCGGTACAATGGGATTAGTGGCTGTACTTGCCCATTTTTATCCAAAGTACATGTTTCTATTCCTGCTTTCCATGTGCATCGATGTGGCCTGTCACTGGATATTTTTGCACACGTAAATAATAATTAATTAGTCCATAATCATAATTAGTAATTTAACTTTTTTAGTTCGATTTTGCAAGGAAAAACCAGTCATAAATTTGTCGATATGTCGGAAAATCCAATTATGAGCCTTTACTATACCAATAAAACTGTTCTTTTTATGATGTGTGCGGGAAACGAGGCTTTCTATGCCTCTCTCTACTTGTTGCATTTTACCGAAGGGCCTATAAGTAAGTAAACATATATTTTATTAAAGTTTGCGTTAAAATGATTGTTTTACAGTTGCAGGTTTGGGGCTTTTTAGAATCGTCTTGTTCCTCTCTGCTCCAATTTGTTTGATGAAAACGGCTATATCTATTCTCCATTGCATTGTGGCATCAAGGAATCTTTCAATTATAGATTTGAACGAGAGAAAGAACGCTGCAAAGAAGGCGCATTAACTTTGTATTTCTGAAACTATTAAAATGATAAATGTACTTCCCTTAGTTGTAGAATAACAGTATAAAATGTTTTCCAAATATGTATGTTGTATAATATATGTACTGTTTTAATCAATTACAATTAATATTTTCAATTCCAAAATATGTTCTAGTCATAGGCTCTTCTTAAATTTTTTATATTTTGTTTATTTTAAATTGTATTGTGTATTCATAATAAAGTTGTTGTAATTTTAGTACGAATTATAATAATAAATCTCCGTTCAGAAATAATTTATTAACAAAGTTTTGCGTATGTAACAAAATTAAATTATTCCTTTTTGACCTGAATTGAGGCGGTTTTGTCGTAAACGAGATCAGTTTTGCAAGGATACAAAATCTTCATTTGCTCCATTTGATCGACGATTTTGACTTGTTGGACTACGAGGTCTTTCTCAAAGAGAACCAGCATTTCTTTCAAAATCGTGCTTACAATATTTTTACATATTTGTTGAGATATTGTACTGGTGACTTCGATGAAGATATTTGTAGTATTGGTTTCGATCTGAAAATGAGTCACTAATTATATTAGATCTTCAATTATAATATTCTAGTATCCTACCTTTGAAATATTTGAATTAGTTAGAGGTGGGAAGGATATTACTTCGTTTTTGGAGTTCAGCACGCAAGGATATTGTGGTTTACCTTCGATAAGGTACAAAAACTTGTGTATACCGCTGTAAGTGCTCCGTTTCTTCTCTTTTCTCAGATTGTTGGCTTCAGTTTGGAGCTTAGTTAATAAATCTGCACCAGTCATTTCTGTAGACCTGTTTAGAGGTGTTATAATCAGACTATTAGGTGGTAATGTAGTGTAAATTATATTACCAGGAGGCTGCAATAAATTTCAAATTGTATATTTGTTATAAATAGCATGCATTTTTCTGAAGTTCTAAAATTAGATATATTTTAATTCAGTCTATAAAATTATCTCACCAATTTATTAAAATCATGTGTAGCAATCGTAGCAGTATTTCGTTTCTCGCAGACAGTATCGTGCAGTTTATTTTGCAGCTGGATGAATTTTTTGAATGTTTCCTCAGTAAAACAAACATCATTCACGATGCAGGCAATAAAATGTTCCCTAACATTTTTCACTGCATTCATAACTATCACCTAAAATTCGAAGGAAAAAATTGAATTATTTAAAACTTCTTTTTTCACGAAACTTACTTTAAATGCTTCGTTATGATTTTTAATAGTAATGCAATACTTGTATTCAGCAGGTACGTCATCTTCATCATCAGAATCTGTACTTTTGGTTTTTTTCCTGTTTTTCCCTTTACTTTTAGTAGTATCTTTCGGATTTGTCTTGATGCAATGCTGTTTAATATAATCTAAAACTTGTTTAGTCCTGCATTGATCTATTAATTTCGACAGCCTCCTATCTGTGATTGGATTCCCTTTCAAATTCAAATCTAAAAAATAAACATTAAAATTAATTTTACGATAAACTAATATTCGTTAAATTATTACCTTTCAATTTTTGGCAATCGGACAATTCTCCAGGAATACTTTTCAATTTATTATCACCGATATCGAAAAATTTGAGACTGGATAGAGAGTTTATCTTATTGGGAATTTCTTCTATCTCGTTACCACGCAATTTGATTTCGGATAGGTTGATTAAACCATCTGAACAAACTTCTGGAAAGGCTTTCAACTTATTGTTGGATAGGTCAAGCACTGTTAGGTTATGGTTTTCGGTAAAAGGGGGGAAAGTCTCCAGTTGATTTACGTTTAAATTTAGTGTAACCAGGGGTAACTTCGCAAAACTGTCTGGAATCGACTTCAAAGAATTTCTGGATAGATCCAATACTTTCAGTTTACCCAATTTGGATATGTTATCGTTTATATGCTCAAAATTGTTGGAGTAGAGCATCAGAGTTTGCAAGTTCTTCAAGTTTGCTATATTATCATGGATTTCTGATATGCCCGTTTCACTGAGATTTAGGTAATTCAAATTGATCAAGTTGAATATACTGCGATCGAGACCTTTTTTCTCAATCCTCGATGCAATTAACTTGCCTGTCAACACCAATTCGTGCCGGTTTTCGGCTTTTGCTTTTTCTACTTCTGGCCACACTTCCATCTTCGGTCGTTTCTATTCTAAATCAACTTAGATAAAATATTTAAAAAAAATTGTGCAATAATGCAACATGCAACACGTTATTTAGACACTTGCAATTATATCTACGAGTAGTGCAAATGAACTCGCCTACACTTCTCCTACCTGCTGTCAAAGGTAATTTAGCATGAATTAGAAAATCTTAATAGCAATATTTCAATTTAAAATTTATTTAAATAATCAATTGTCTAAAAATATCAAAAATTTTTGGATTTGAGTGAAAGACGTACTTATTTGACGTCCGAATCTAGTACAATTCTTCTTTCACCTGTCTAAATATTACTGTAACTACTCAAATAACTATCCGTCTAAATCAATTGATTTAATACATTATATTTTTAATTTTTGATATCTTGTGTAAATATAGAAATTAAAAAATTGCTTAAAATTTATCAGCTTATCAAAAATAAACGTTATTCTTCTTATTTTTATTTAAAGTAAATACTAGGTTAAAGGCCACTATGATTGTCATTTGTCATTTTCAATTTAACTGCCATTTTAAATTTGGTTTGTTTTGATTGGTGGAGTTAAATACAGATGCATAAACTGTGAAGTTAACCGTTCTTTATAGTTATTTCAGGAAAAAGTGGAATTTTGTGAAATTTCCGAGTTTTTTTCGAATCGAAGCGTGTTTTTGTGCTATTTTACAGGTAGTTACCATGCCATTTAGTGGAAATTTGCAGGAAGACAGTACGGAAGCAGAGGAGTTAGATACATCAGGTTGCGGGGACATGTCCTTCGAGTTATCCGGAGACATGGACAACAGCGACATGTTTTCCAGTCCTAAAAGAACCAACATACCAATTAAAATTGAGATTACGAAATGTGATAATACACCTGAACCAAAGAGCGGTTCGTTTAGTCCACCATATAGGAGAGTCCGAGCCCTACGTTTATTCAATAGTCCTCTAACGCCAAAGACTATCATCCAAAATAGCTCCACCGGAACGCCTTTAATTAGGTCTACCCTGTTTGCTAGCAAACCGAGAGCTGTGCCTAGTTGTTACGCTAAGAAAGAAGAGGCACCTTCTGCCAATGTAAATCCTTTTACACCAAATGGTAATTCTTTTATAAAGCATTTCGAGAGCCATTTATTATTCGAAGCTTATTTTTAGGAATGTTATTATCGAAAAAGCGGTCTAGGTCGATCCGGTCTTTAATGGGATCTCCTGGGATAAAGCCCGTGAAATTAGAGCTGAGTGAACACGAAAGTGACGACTGCGATATGGAATTAGAACACCAACATCCACTGAAAAGAGTAGCCCTCCAACAAAACAACATATCCCGATATCACAAGGAATTTTTAGAGCTGGAATTGATAGGAAAGGGCCAATTTGGTTCAGTTTTTAAATGCGTGAATAGATTGGACGGTTGTATCTATGCAGTTAAAAAATCCTCCAAACCTGTAGCTGGAAGTTGGTCGGAAAAGACAGCTTTGAATGAAGTATACGCACATGCTGTTTTAGGTATGTTTTTACTTTAATACCACCCCATTTTCTACAATAAATAATTTATAGGTAAACACCAGCATGTCGTGAGGTATTACTCCGCATGGGCCGAAGATAATCATATGATTATACAAAATGAGTATTGCAATGGAGGTTCGTTAGCCGAGAAGATCCTGCAGGAACCTTTAAGTGCTAAACAGCTGCGCACTTTACTGCTCCACGTAACAGAGGGCTTACGATACATCCACTCCGAAGGCCTAGTTCACATGGACATCAAGCCAGGAAATATATTCATATCCAAAGAGAAGAAAGTGCACATATCAAAATACGATACCATCGATGATGGATTCGAAGAATTGGAAGATCATTCGATATTAGAGGAAGAACTCACTTATAAAATCGGCGACCTAGGACATGTCACTAGCATTCAAAATCCCCAAGTAGAAGAAGGAGATTGTAGGTACCTGCCAAACGAGATACTTCAAGAGGACTACACTCATTTGACGAAAGGCGATGTTTTTGCGTTGGGCTTGACTATTTTGGAGGCTGCTGGCGCTGGACCTTTGCCCAAAAACGGAGAAGAATGGCACGCTCTGCGAAGAGGAGAATTGCCCGCGTTACCGCAAATATTGAGCCACGATTTAATAGAACTAATAAAGGCGATGATACATCCTGACCCAGTATTAAGGTAATTACAAGTTTCTAATGAGTCAATAACTTATAACATTACCTGCTAGACCTTTACATTAAATCTTTTTTATTTTACAGGCCATCGACGTTACAAATTTTACAGAACCGAGCCCTGTCCCCCGATTGTTATAAATCCAAAGCGGAGCTGACGAGAGAATTGAACGCGGAAAAATTGAGAAATGAAATGCTCATTAAGCAGCTTAAAGAGGCGACCATTTGCAGAACCTACGAAATGAAGAAACCGGCGTCTTCGCGAGTTAATAGATTGATAGGGAAGAAGATGAACAGGAGCTCCAGTACTACCACATTTTAATTTTATTTTTTTTATCGGAAGAAAGGTGATCGTATATTTTATTTTTAATGTTGATAGTGTAGGTTTTTAACACATAAAAGGAATTATATGTTAGATTAAAAGGTTTATATGTTAGATGATTTAAATAAGGGAAGTATGGAGTTTTATGAATGATTTTTATTGTAATTAATGATTTCGATGAATGCGAAATCAAATTAATTAGTTTTTAAAAGATCCTTTTTTATGAATAGAAGTGGTTTTTCGAATATTTCATAAATTAAGAACAATGAGGGTTTTTTAAATATTTTTTATGATTTGTTACATTCTTGTCCTACCCTGTCCTAAAAATTATTTTAGAAACCACTGAATATATTTTTAATAAAAACTCGACAAAAATACTCTATACTTCTAATTATACTAATAGTTGAACGTCAGTTAATTTATTAGTGTATTGTTTTAAAAAGAAGAACTTTGTTACATCAATTTTACCCAAAGCTTAAAAAGCTGGTTTTAATGACACGATTTGTAATTTTTATTGATTCGGTTTTTTTAATTGATAAATGAATTATTCTTTACTGTTTGATAAGCTGTTAAATTTAATTGTCTGAAAGTATTTTAGGACATAACAATTTCGTGTAGAAATGAGTCGGAATTTTCTTATTTAGTACGGCTCATTTTTTTTGTATACTTATTTTAAAATGTTAATGTGATAGTAATCATAGGCTTTTTTCTTTCTTGACTAAAACTATATACATATTTAATTTTTATCTCTTAGTCAGTTTGCTAATTAGCATTTTACATTCCTCTTTATAATTTAGTGCCTTAATATTGCTAATAGGTAATAAATGTAATTTTAATTTTATTGTTATTTTATTAAGGATTCAGATAAAAAATCATTAAAAATGTAAATTTAATATAATAAATGCAGGCATTATAAACGAGATTCGGATAAACCCTTAATGATTATAAAAATAAACTTCTACAATAAACTTTACCATATTTAGTTTGAACAATCTAAAGCAATAGATAAAAACTCTTCGAAACCCAACTGAATAGTACCTTTCATTTCTCTATCTTTGGCCTTAAAAGCCTCAGTAAATCTTTGAATCTGAATACAAGAAACAATGAACTGATCTACCGACATTTTACTGTGGGTTTTCACATCATTTTTGGCAATAAGAAACTTCACAAACTGATTGGAAAATCTGAAACCCATTTGCTGGAAAGCCTGAGACAGCTCGCTCTCTTCAATACTCCCCGAGTGATCCCTATCATAGTTTTTAAACACATCCAACCATTGATTGATGTAATTGTACAGCAATTGGAATTCGTTAATACCTATAGTTCCAGTTCGATCTGTATCGAACATGGATATCATCAACTTACAAGCAGTAGCCGAGAAATTTTCCCCTTGGCCGTTGATCAAAGCCGCCTGGAGCTCTTCCCAGGTAATTTGCCCGGAACGGTCTTTATCAACAGTTTGAAACCACCCTTGCACGTCTTGGCTAACATTTACTTGTGGCGGTTGAGGCCGATAACCTTGTGGTTGTCCGTAACCTTGCTGAGGCTGCCCATACCCTTGCTGAGGTTGCCCATATCCTTGCTGAGGTTGCCCATGGCCTTGCTGAGGCTGCCCGTACCCTTGCTGAGGTTGCCCATACCCTTGCTGAGGTTGCCCGTATCCTTGCTGAGGTTGCCCATGGCCTTGAGGCTGGCCATATCCTTGAGGTTGACCATAACCCTACAAGTTGCATAATATAAGTAAAAACAAGAAATTTTGACAAACCCAGCTTCAAGAACTTACTGAATACATTATAATAGTTGTGTGTAAAGCGTAACTAGTTATTTTAATTTATCTAAATTTATTGTTACTGTTGGAATGTTGTAAACGATATAAAATATTATTGGATAGACTTATGACTCAATTACGTGCGTAAAAGAAAAAGAAAGATGAAATTGAGATAAAAAAGGTTAATTAACAATTTACAAGCTTTTTAAATGTTTACAATTGGTTATAAGTTTGACAATAAAGTGTCAAGTTAATAATGACTAAATGACACCTGTCTAAGTATAGTCTTTACTACTGGAGCTATTCGGGGTATTTAATTAAACAATGGAAAATTTTAAATAAAAAAAAACGTCTTGCATCTTTTGCTTGTATATGCAATAGAAAAAGATCGAAGTGAATAGTAAATGAGCTTCCGCAGTAGTTTTTTTCGTATTATAGTGAAAAGGAAACAAACGCCATAATTATCTTCTATGCGACGGCGCATGCGTAAATCAACTTTCCTTTGTTGTCCTCTTTCGTTTCTGTTTTCATTTCTCATTCGAGGTCAGATTTACCAGCTGTTCGCGGACAGTTCAGCTGATGTTTGTTTTCGGGTGGTACATTCGCTGTGACATACATTTATTTCGACGCGCCGATGCATCGCAAACATTCCGCCTCGGGAACGATTAATCAACCATGCACGCCTCCCAAATGAACGACCACAATTCCGTATGATCCCATTTAAATTCGCTAATGACGTAACGCGTGCATTCGCGAAGAGAGGCAGAGAGACAAAGAGCTCGATACGACCGTCGCCCGAAACAATCAAATCTGGAAAGTAAGAACGTGCAGCGACTCTCAAACATAAGTCTGGATAGTGATTCATCGGGGGACGACGGTGGTGAACCGCCGCGTAAAAGATCCCGAAGGTCCACGGCGAAAAGCGACAGAATGCAGTCCAGCAACGGGTTGGTGCAAAACGGGGCTCCGGCCGCCTCTTGCAGCAACGGCTCCGCCGAGAACGGTCACGGAGACGCCGCCGTCGCCGAGAACGGCGCTTTTTTCCTCAATCAAACCAACCAAGAAATCGTCAGACTGATCGGACAGTACCTGAAAAACGAAGGTTTGACGTAAGTGGATTAGTATCGGTGTTAAAAGTTTTTCATCGTTTTTCGTGCGATTTGTTCCCGTGTAAACAAATGGAAATCGTATAAATAGAACGTGATGCAAGGTGCAAGTCATTGCACCTACTCCTGGCAAGGTGCTGTGGATGGTCATATTATTATTTGATCAGTAACCTTGAATAATTAATTTCGACACAAAAACAATAATTGCTATATAGTAGATTTCTTAACATCGTTTGATTATTTTAGCGTTTCACAATATAGGCGCAATTAACCAAAGCGTATTCTCCATTATACCAAAAGAAGCCTAATACAATAGTTTACAATGAATCACATAAAACTATTTTTGAATCAAATAACAACTTAGCCATACATAAATTATTCCATTAAATGCCTAATGTACTTTTATTATTAAAAATATATCAACTTCTCGTTCGTCTTACTCTAGCCTTTCTAATTTTATCTGCGATTAATCGTTGTTCCTCGATTTTCAGGAAAACCTGCGAATCTTTAATGGTCGAATCCGGTTGTCGATTGGACCATCCTGCGGCAGCGAAATTTCGACAGCACGTTATGGATGGCGATTGGTCCAAGGCTGATCACGATTTGCAGGAATTACGCCCGCTGTTGGGCCAAGATACCAATATTATGGTAAGCAGTACACCATCGAAAATCTATCCATAATCGAGAGCCTTTCTCCAGGAAATTTCTCCTAGGCCTTAATTTTCTATCGAGAATCTATCCACAATCGATGCTTTTCTCCTAGGCCTGATTTTTCTATCAAGAATCTGTGCACAATGGAGAGCCTTTTTCCTAAGCCTGATTTTTCTATCAAGAATCTATTCACAATAGAGAGCCTTTCTCCGTTAAATTTCTCCTCGTCCTGATTTTTCTATCAAGAATCTGTCCACAATGGAGAGCCTTTTTCCTAGGCCTGATTTTTCTATCAAGAAACTATTCACAATCAAGAGCCTTTCTCCAGAGTAATCCCTAATGCCAGATTTTTCTATAGGCTAACTAGGCTCCAGTCTAACGCCTTAAGATAGAAAAATATAATTCAAATTCTTATTGATGTATTGTATTATCTACCTACCATGTAATGTACAAACTTAAATGTAATTTTATTTTATCATTTTATAGAAAAAACAATTCTCTACAACTTTCAAAGTATCATAAATTTTGAAAGACCCCTAAATTTCCAAGATATTTCGATTCATTTGCAATACAATCTAACCCTAATGCTAACACATAACAAGTACCCAATAAAGATTATTTCTTAAGCCTACTCCATAAAATAGAGATAATAATAAAGTGCAATATTACTACTAATCTCTTTATCAGTCGTTGCTTGTTCCAATATTTGAATTAATCACTTATTTTGCATTAAAGCAAATATAGTTGGATTTCATTTGATTATTGTTTTAGGAAATGAGATTTCTGATACTCGAACAAAAATATTTGGAATACTTGGAGGACGGGCGAGTGTTGGACGCCCTGCACGTGTTGCGAAACGAATTGACCCCTTTAAAACACAATACTGCCAGAGTTCATCAACTTTCTAGTTTCATGATGTGCTCGAGTACCAAGGAATTGCTCGAACGTACGAACTGGTGAGTTTTGCTAGAGGTAGAGCGAAGTTTGTCATGCTCTAGTTGTCGTTTCTTCCGCAGGACTGGGAAAGGTCTGCAATCCCGCGTGATTTTAATGAACAAACTCCAAAGTTACTTGCCCCCTTCGATCATGCTACCTCCTAGTAGACTTCAGGAATTGTTGAATCAAGCACTGGAGCTTCAGACGCTTCGTTGCAGCCTGCACAATACATTGCACGGTGTTTCGTTACCGGAAGCGTCTCTGTTGGTTGATCACAGTTGCCCGAAGTCGTCGTTTCCCATTTATACTATTCAAGTAAAATTATATCTAAACCAAAAGAAAGTTGTAAAACTAGAATATTTGTGTATAATTTTAGGTGTTGAACGATCATTGCGATGAGGTTTGGTTCTGTAGCTTCTCACCGGACGGTACCAAATTAGCTACTGGTTCCAAAGATCAAAACGTCATCATTTGGGACGTTGATCCGGAAACCTGCACTCTTTCCTTAAAGAAAATACTAGAGGGCCATAACACTGGTGAGAATGTAAACGTATACCTCGCCCAATGTAGCTTAGCAGTTGAATTGCATCAGATTGGTCTTTTACTACCTAAGAAATAGCGAACTGTACAAATTTCCCATTGAAATCTTGCTATTCGTACGGTTCGATCGAATCATGTCACTTGAGCTCTAAAGTTTGCATCCAGCTACTAAAATATCCCAATTGTAAAGCTCTACATAGTTGAGATACAACTAAAGGGTACAAGAGAAGAACGACAATAGTCCATCCAAAAGATTTTCGAGAAACATTAATATACAAGGTGTCTCATAAGTTGATACTTTTTATTAACTGCGTATAGATCTTTTAATTCTAAGCAACTTTTTCAAGTAATTTTTTTAATATTCTGGAAAATAAAAAAGATGGAAATATTTTAAATTTCTTTTAATTTCGAATATATTCTAATACGTACCTGCCATTACCATACAGGTGTCACAAAAATAATAAATAATTAATGATAAAAAATTAATAATTTTTCGATTGTTAAATTGAAAATGATTCATTTTTATACAAATAATGAATTGGTGGCCATGTTGATTATTTATGGAGAGTGTTTCCAATCAAAATGGCGACAATTTTGAGCAGTTCCCTGAACTTTTAATGAACAGGGCCGTATTAAATAACTTTTTAATAATAAAAAAAACATGCTTTTATTTTCCAGAATATTCACCATTTAACGATTTCATTGTCTGATAGTAACTACAAAATGCTATACAAATAAACTATGAACTTAGTTTGCAAAAAAATGGACTATTGTCGTTTTTCCCCTGTAGCCTTCAAATGTTACTAACAAACGGAATTTTTAACAGGAGCCGCTTACATATCTTGGAATCCGGATTCAGTTCATCTGATCGTGTGCGGTCCGGACGAAAGTCCCGAGGTGTGGTTGTGGAACATCGAAACTGAAAATTTCCTGAAGGTGACCCAGTCGCAAGAGGACGCTCTCGTTTGTTGCGCTTGGAATAAAGACGGCACCAAATTTGTGGTAAGTATTATTGTTAAGTAAAATAGAGAAGTATCCGCCTGACAATGGGTTTGTTTGTATTGGAAATTTTTTAGGTGGGCGGTGTCAGAGGTCATTTTTACCAGTGCGATCTGAAAGGAAACGTATTGGATTCCTGGGAAGGAGTGAGAGTGAACGGTCTGTGGTATAGACAAGACGGTAAAACGGTTTTGGCATCTGACACTCATCATAGAATAAGAGGATACGTATTCGATGAAGTAACCGATCAACAAATGTAAGCTCTCGTTAACTAATCATTTACAAACGATTACAATTTGTTGAATTTGTAGAATTCAAGAAGACCATTCCATAATGTCGTTTACTGTAGATAAAAAAGACAGATTAGCTCTTTTAAACGTTGCCACGCAAGGTGTTCATCTTTGGGACTTGAACGATAAAATCCTGGTTAGAAAATACCAGGGCGTTACTCAGGGACATTTTACAATTCACTCAACTTTCGGCGGTGTTAATCAACACTTCATCGCCAGCGGTAGCGAAGATAATCAAGTAAACATCTATTCCATTCGCCCCGTAACGTTCATTCGATTAATCGTACGTTTTTTTAGGTTTACATATGGCACATTAGAAACGAACACCCGATAGCCACGCTTCAAGGGCACACTCGAACGGTCAATTGCGTGTCTTGGAATCCCGTGCACCACCACATGTTAGTGTCAGTCTCTGACGATTACACCATCAGGGTTTGGGGACCAAAGGATAAAGTACCAAAAAGCACGGGCACCAGCTGAGACTACGACGATAACGTTGAATTTACCGATTGCTCGGCAATCGACTCCGAGTAGATTCGCGCGAAACGTTTCACCGGTTGGACGTGTCCGTCGATCGAGTCGAATGTAAAATGGCTTTTCGGTTTTTATCATGAACGCAATGTGCATGGGAAGTGTGTCGATTTGGGTGATCGAGTTCGATGGGTTTTGCTTCGAGAACATCGGACTTTTTCATAAGAGTCGTCTGTCCGTATAATTCGGTATTCGTATTATATTACACGTTTAATTTCGTTTGGAGGAGAAGGATATGTAAAGTTTTGATTTTCTAATTCTTGTAATCGTTAAGTTAGGTTGTGCTTGGCATTCGTAAAAATTGGAAAGGCTGTTTCGTTTATTTAAAGTGTCTTCGAATAAGGGGTGAGTCTACAAATGACTGGTACTAGGAACGATGCAGTTTCGTAGTACAAAAATTTTACAAAAAAGACTGACACTTAAATACGTTTGATTTTTAGTTGTTATTAACCGATCGAATGTACTGAACTGATAATTAGATTTTTTTTTCAGCAAATTTATTTGGTTTTATCAAAATTTTGCTGAATAAATTGGGGCAACAATTTATCTTTAAGCCTCTACACTCACAGCAATTTCAGCCTAAATTCGTGTAAATGTTTGTTATAATTTCTACGTAAAAAATAATCAAAAATTCTATGAATATTGGAATCTAACAGAGTCGAAATGGAATTAATATTCAGTAATTTCTGAATTCTATATTTAACGGTTTGTTCCAATAACAATAGGTATATTCAGAGATTGAGAGAGGTTTGTTTTATTTATAGATGTTTTTTTAAAAACAGCTCGTTTTTTATCGTTATTTTTTCTTTTAAATAATCCTTATTAGTTTATAAAAAAATAAAATTATATTCGTTTGCGTAAAAGGAAAATTAGATCAGTTTTTTTAACGACTGATCGTTCTCATTGATGAATAGCGGTTATATTAAAAAAATTAGAATTAGGCATTAATTTTTGTAATTTTATATAATATATAATCAACGTGTTTTTTTATAATCGAGGTTTTTGAAAGAAAATTCTATTTATTTTTTAGCGTAAGTACATAACAGAAACTTATCTGTAACTTTGCAATCCATCTTTGTTCTAGTCTGTTCAATTACGATTGTTTTTTCGGAATGAATTGTGTTTCGTTATGTACTGTAAGGGTAAAGTAAAAGTAAAATATGGTATAAGAAACACCAAATACATTTCAAAACGTACTAATTCAATCGTATCGAAAACTTGTAGATCTCGTATTCAGCGCTTTTTTTCTAAGTTTAAAGCACGGGATTTAACTTGACAATTGCATATTGTTTACGTTAATCAATTACTTAGAGACTCTTTAAACGATTGATTATCGTTCAAAATGAGCGCTGAATAGGGGCCAATATCTCTATATTTGATTAAAAATTGTAGGGAAGTAAAAACTTATAATCAGGATAGTTATAAAGTCTTGATTTAAAACTTATCGGTGCAATTCGAATTGATCTCTGCTTCATCTCTGCGTTCCTACAACACCAAATTTCAGTACCGTTTTGAAATGGATTCGGTGGGAATAAAAAATCGGTTAGTTAAAATACGTGCTTTGGAAATCATTGTAAATTTAATAACCGTAGAATAAAGCAGAAATGAAACAGTTTGTAAATAGCGACCGTTATTTTGTTACAAATATGTGATATACTGGAGATGATTTAACACATTTACCAAGAGAAATACGAAATAAGAAAAGTAAATGGATTTTAAGATGGTATAGAACTTTAGGAATATATACAGTTGTGTGAATTGTAGCAATAACATTTTCAATTTAATAAATTTTAACACGAAAAAACGAATTTTCTGCAAACAAACGAAAGGGTTTTCTTTATATTTAAAAGGGGATATTCTATTAATACTGGAAAATGAGTGCATAAACAATTTTCTTCTTTTGGCATGTATCTGAAACTAATTTCGTAATCGTAGTTATTGGCTGTGTTTAATATTGACAAATCATTCCGAATATTGAAGTTTAGATTAAACACTTTTAGCTATAGCATTAAAATAAAAAAAAAACAAACCATTCAAGTATTCTAAAAGCTACGTAGTTTCGCTAGCATTAATTCTCAAAACAACAGGCACGCTGGTGCAAGGCAGTATCGCTATTTCCGTCACAACAGCCGTTACGAAATCAGGTGGAGTAACATCGTACAGCAAACTCAACGGGGTCAAATTCAAAGAATCTTTCCAATTACTCAGAGGCGTAATATCATTACGGTGGGTGGTGCTCAGAGCGTCCGGGTTACCTGAAACCATCGATTAACTAACCACCTCTACTCTTGCATTGTACACTTACCAACTTCGTTATATACAAACGAATCCGTTTGCACCCTTTCGCTGAATTTATAAGTCTCGCAACAAACCAAGACAGGCTTATTGTACTCTCTAGCTACCAGGGCTACCTGAGCTGTACCGATCCTCGACATCACGTAACCGTTGGTTAGAAGTGCGTGGGCCCCTAGTAACACCTTCGTCACAGAATTCATAATGTAACTTAGGGAATTTATCAGCACATACGTGCATTTAACACCGGCTACTACTAGTCTCCGCAACAATTCCTTGCCTTCGAGAAGAGGCCTGCTGTCTACTATTATAACTTCAAACACTTTACCATCGGCGTGCGCTTCTAATAAAATTTTCCTTATTAACGATGAACTGCAAAATTCAACACCAAATTACAAATTGTTATACTTCAAGCGATCATCAACTCACCAACCATACGTTAAGATAACATCTCCGTTACTAATTTTTTCCCTAACTTTCATACTAATTGCAACTCCCGCTTTGCTAATATCGTCGTCTATGTAAGTGTCGATTATGTCTTGCAATTTGGCCTTCTTCTCGATATCTTTCAAGTTTGTATCGATTTGAGTCAATTGTAATTTGAAATATCTCAGGGCGTTCGTCATCGAAACCGCAAAGGGTCTACATTTGTTTAGATAATTGGTGGAAACTTGCAATACGTTCTCTAAGTACCTGCAAAATTCTTGTTTCTGTGGCGATTTAAGATCGTTTACTAGTAACTTTAGGGCTGCTAAGAGAGCTAGACACCTTGCGTTGGAACCTAAAATGACTTTGCTGCTGTATTGTACGCCTAATCTCACAAAAGCGGGGTGAATATCGTGATGGAGAATCATTAAGGTGTCTTCTTGCTTTAACGAGTCTTCGTTATAGAGATGTTGCACCAATTGCACTACATGTGGTTCGGTTACTTTATGTTTCTTTTTAGGTGTGATTACTTTCTTATTTGAAGAAGGTTTTTTAATTATTTCTTTGATTGTAACTGGCTCGCATTTCTCTGCGCTTACATTCGTTTTAACCTGTTCGCTCTTTTGCTGCCTTTGAGCTTCCTGCTTTTCTCTCCTTTTCGCTTTCATTTCGGCTTTACTTAGATTCTTGTCGCCTTCGTTGGACTTTTTCTCCTGCTCTAGCTTCTTCGCCCATTCCAGTCTTCTTAGTTCTTTCTCTGAAATGTCAATATTCAGTTATCCCAATTTAACTCGTCTAAATTTAATGAACCTGTTAGAGATTTCGAATTGACTACGGGAGTTTGAGTTTGTACGATTGTGTCTCCTGGTTGCGCATTCGTGTTTGTTAGAGGTTTTTGTGCATGTTCACCTGCAGCTTGATTTGTCTGAGAAGGCCTCGCGTTTACTTTCAAGGCCCTCCTCTCTTTCTTAGTCAGTCCATCTGGACCTTGTTTATCCTCTACAATTTTAACGGTCATTTATGCTAGATGGTAATAGTTTTACTTACTCTTATTTTCGTTATTTGGTTTCTCCATTTTGCTCTGTATACTATTTCGATTCGATACAATATGTTATAAAGTTTCAAAATATTATCAAATTTTAGTTCATTTCATTTTATTCTAACCTAACATTTTAATTGAACTAGATGCGTTCGTTTGTTCTAAACTAACAGTGCTCTACTCGATCTGTCATTCACGACAAACGAACGTATCACACAGAACAACGAAACGTAAATGTCAAACATACGACAATTCTGTTTATATTATAACTTTTTCTCAACATATTTGATAATAAAGAGATGATATAAAGTGAAAAATACTAAATAAACATGAATATGGCATCGGCGTGTGGATCGAGCATTCCTCAAACGTCCTCCGTGAACGTGCAGGAGTTTTCGATTAGAGTGCCGAAAAGCGGCCAGAAAAAGCACCATGTAATGAGATTCAATGGTACGTTGGACATAGATTTCTCCAAATGGACGAAAATCAGTATGGAGCGCGAAAACAACATGAAGGAGTTCAAGGGAACTGACGAGGAAATGCCGAAGTACGGGGCGGGTTCCGAGTTCGGCAGGGAGGCCAAGGAGGAGGCGCGCAGGAAGAAATTGGGTATAATAGCGAGGAAATACAAGCCCGAAGACCAGCCTTGGATATTGAAGTCCTACGGAAGCACTGTGAAAAAATTCAAAGGTATTCGAGAAGGAGGCGTTTCGAATAATACCGCCTATTACGTATTCACTCATGCTGAAGATGGAGCTATCGAAGCTTTTCCTCTAAAAGAGTGGTACAAATTCCAACCGATCCAAAGGTACAAGGCCTTGTCTGCCGAGGAAGCCGAACTGGAATTCAGCAAGCGAAACAAACATTTAAATTTCTTCTCGCTGATGTTGAGGAAGCGTCTGAAGGGCGAGGAAGATGCAGAGCTAGACGAAGGCGAGGAGAAAAGCAAAAAATCCACTTCCAAAAAGGATAAAGAATTGAAAATATCCGAAATGGACGATTGGATGGACAGTTCCGACGATGATTCCTCCGATGCCGAAGAAAAAGAGGAAGAAGAAAACAATGATAAGAAGAAAAAAGCTAAAAAACCAACAATAAAGAAGAAGAAGAAACGCGATACTGATGCCGAAGCATTCGAAGACTCTGATGATGGAGACGGTGAAGGCAGAGAACTGGATTACATCAGCGACAGCAGCGAAAGTGAACCAGAAAACATGAATTTAGATGGCGTATCCGAAGAAAAAGCGCTCAGAAAATTATTGAATTCCGATGAAGAATCCGAAGAAGACTCAGAAAAATCCGAAAAGGAACAAAGCAACGAGGACGAAGAAAACGAAGCCGAGAAGAAGGACGAAGGCGTTGATAAAGAGAAGAAAAAGAAAAAGAAGAAAAACAAAAAAGAGGTCAAGAAGGAGAAGAAAGAAACCAAGAACGACGATAACGATTTCAGTTCAGACAGCAGCTCTGACGACGAATCGAAGAAGAAGCCCGAAAAGAAAGGCAAGAAAGACGAAAAGGAGCCCAGCAGTGAGAACAGCTCTCGTTCAGCTACTCCTACCGATAATAAAAGAAAACTCATCAACGATGCATTGGCAGGGCCTAGTCCCAAGAAAGTTAAAATGGACATGCCGAATTACATTGCTGGCTCCAACGAATCCGGTATTACAGAAGACGCCGTCAGAAAATATCTAATGAGGAAACCCATGACAACTACGGAACTACTACAGAAATTCAAATCCAAGAAGACCGGCTTGTCCAGCGAACAATTGGTTAATATCATGACTCAAATTCTGAAAAAAATCAATCCAGTTAAGCAGACGCTCAAGGGAAAAATGTATTTGTCTATAAAGTCGTAATTACACATTAAATTAACATTGTAAAAATATGGTTAATAAACTAAGTTGCTAGAAATTGAAAACTCAAAAAAAAATAACATAAAATATTGGCTGTTGTCCAAGAGTTGATAAGTACTCTATAATTAAATATAAGCGGTTTCCGTAATACTGCTTTTTAGTTTAGAACTTAACTATACTATTAAGTAGTATTTTGATTTGTTTTTTTCGTGGTTACTGTAATATAACATTTTGTACAAAATGTGATATATATTTTTAAAAGTATTAAAATGAATTATAATTGATAATACCTAGTTTAAATGCTTAGAACGTTTTTCGACGAGGCTAATTGTCGATAACTATAAAAGAATCGTCCATTTCCTGCAACAAAATAACATTAAGAATTAATCTAATAAATATCTCGAAAGTATTAACTTTAGGTACAGGGAATGTTTAATAAGAATGAAAGAACATCAAAAATACTTCCTGGTAATGACAGGAAATACAGGGTGATAACTGAGAAAATGTTACTTTTGCATTTGGATCCACCCTGCATGATTAAAATTGACGAAAAATATTCATTTTGTACATTTTCAGGATATTTGCAATGTTTTGAAATATGAAATTTATTTTCAATTCAATTCATTTAGTTTCTACAGAGTGGTATAAATTTTGTACGATTTTCGTGGAAATGGAAAAGTGGTCATAACTTTTAAACGATTCAGGATATTTGGAAAGTTGAAACCGAGCTATATTCAATCTTTGAATAAAAAACAAGGTGTTCCATTTTAAAAAGCATAAGTTCGGCCTACCATGGAAAAACGGGACACTCTGTATAAATGTAACTAATTTTAAAGTATTCACTTTAAAAAGATCTACAACTTTTATGATGAATTTTTTATCTTCTACAATAACAGATGTATTGAGCTTTTCCATACTAATAATGTGCCACCCTGTATAAGTAAGAAAAAAGCAACGTAGTATATACAGGCTGTTGCTTATTTAAATAAAACAAAATCACCTCTGTGATAAAAATGGGGAACGCTACGTTTTATGTTTCTCGAGTTTTACTTTTTGATTTTGAGTTCTGTCTGTTTGCTTGTATCTGTCGTCTCGAGTTGGTGGAGTTCGTCCAGAATACAAATCGGTTAAATCAACGACATCCGGCAGAGCCTAGAAAAACAAGTCGATACAAAATACTGTGGGAGATTTGACAAAATTAAAAACGAACGAAGATCTGAAACGAAGTACAATTTCTACCATTCTCTCGATTATTTACAATGTATTAATACGGAGTTTTTTGAGTGAAACCTACCTTAAAATACTTGACGGTTTTAACTCTTAATTCTAATGTGGCATCTTCATCACATACAATCACAGTATGTGGATGTTGTTGGAATGCAGAAACAGTCCACATATGATTTATTCCTTCTTCTACAGCTTTGTATAAAGCAAACGCTTTTTGCGTGCCAGTTACCAAAATCATTACCTTAAAGAGATAAATTTTAATCATACACTTCATTGTGTAAATAATTGTATTATTGTAATCATCCAGTTCCTCGTACAGAGAGAGTACTCTCCCTCTGAGGAGTTTTCTTATATGCTAAGTTAACTTTAACAGGTCAATAAATAAATAAATTGCAATTAAAGATGCATACCTCTCTAGCATCCATCACAGTGCCTACGCCTACACTAAGAGCTTTCTTAGGTACCTTCGATATGTCATCATCAAAGAACCTAGCGTTAGCTCTTATAGTATCTTGGGCCAGTGTTTTAACTCTCGTACGTGATGCTAACGATGAACCTGGCTCGTTAAAAGCTATGTGCCCGTCTGGTCCTATTCCTGAAATATTGTAAATTGCAAATGTGCATTTGTGAGATAATTTTAATGTACCTCCTATGAACAAGTCAATTCCACCGGCTTCGACGATTTTTTCCTCGTATTCCCTGCATTCTTTATCTAGGTCAGATGCGTTACCATCCAGTAGGGAGACATTGGCCGGGGGAATGTCGACTTTTCTAAAGAAATTGTTCCACATGTAATAATGGTAGCTTTGTTCGTGGTCCTTTGGTAAGTTAACGTACTCGTCCATATTAAACGTTTTGACGTATTTGAAACTGATTTCACCATCATGATAATATTCAATTAGTTTCTCGTACATTCTCAGCGGGGTGCCACCTGTAAAACAGGTTAAGAAGATTTGTATTTTAACTATTTGTAACTACTCACCGGTGGGTAATCCAAGCACAAAGTGTTTGTCCGCACTCGGTTTAAAATCGTTAATTTTTTTAATAAGATATTTAGCAGCCCACTCGCTTACGTCTTCGCTAGTTTCTTTAATGACCAGTCTCATTTTCTTTCTTTTGCTCCACCCTTAACCGAATAAATCAAACTTTATATGACTTCGTATGAACTTTTCTTGTTAAAAGCAATCGATTTATTCTATTGATAAGTACTTGAACGGGTATTCTGTACAAATGATAGTTGTTTGTGCGTGCCTGGAATAAAAAAACATTACAAGATTACGAAATTTGAATTATTTGGTTTGTTGTCTGTTGACAAATAATTCAGGTGTCGCGATAAAAGTTGCTTAACCTTGGTTTCGACCGGTATTTTCTTTCATCTTTGCGATAGCAATTCCGATATGTTGTTTATCATTATTGGAGGTGATTAACCTTCCTCCAATTATTTTATTGCCAATATATTAGGATTAATCAGTTGAATTGTAACAAATATTTTTTACTTTTTGTTATAATTTGACATTACTCAACCACTCGACGTTTGTTCAAAAAAAAAAATAAACCCGCTCTTTATGGCCTCTTATTGAGATAGCAAATAGCACTTGACGCAAACTTCACTCTAGTGACAGTTGACACATTTGAAGTTGATGGCGATTTTCAAATCTTGTAAACAAACGGTAAAAAAATGGGTATTAAAAATTTATGGACAATTTTCGCCCCGTATTGTGAAAAAAAACCGCTGTTCGAATTACACGGAAAAACCGTTGCGATCGATTTGTCCTGTTGGGTGTGCGAAGCTCAAAATGTAACCGAATACCAAATACATCCCCGTATGTACCTTAGGTTAGTTTAACCGTCTAATATTTATTTAATCAGCACAACAATGCTCTAAATTTTTAGAAACTTGTACTTCAGAACTTGCTACTTGTTATTAATGGGAGTCGACCTGGTGTTCGTCCTGGAAGGTAAAGCCCCCGAATTGAAATACAAGACCATAGCAGCCCGAAATGCGCTGCAATTTAAAGGAGCCAAACCGAAGGCAACGAATTCAAAGCCTGGTAAGGACAGGACGAGATTTAACCATGTTCTGAAAAGCTGCGAAAAAATGCTGAATTATATGGGTCTGTCGTGCATCAAAGGAGAAGGCGAAGCCGAATGTCTTTGTGCTTATCTAAACAAAGAAGGCGTTAGTATTTTTTAATGAATTCAATTTTAAATTTTATAGGAATTATTGACGTTTTAGTTGGTTGATGGGTGTATTTCACAAGATTCCGATTGCTTCGCATATGGAGCAAAAGTGGTTTATCGTAATTTTTCAATAGCATCCCAAGGAGCTCAGGCATCCAGTGGCGGAGCTGTAGATATTTATGATATTAATAAAATATATAAAGAAAAAAGTAGGTTATAATATCACACATTAAAAGCTAATATTACAAAACTGTTCATTTTAAGACTTTGGTAGGAATAAATTAATCGCAATGGCTTTGCTATGTGGAAATGACTATACAGATGGAGTACATGGAGTAGGAAAAGAATCGGTTCTAAAATTATTCGAACATTTGCAAGACGACGAAATACTAAATACACTTCGATCGTGGAGAAAGGAAACTGAAAAATACGATAAACTAGAGAAAAGTATCAACGATAAGAATATTTGTAAGTCCTGCGGACATGCTGGTAAACTCCAAAGTCATAGTAGAAATGGTACGAAAACACCTTACTAATTCCAAAATTACATTTAATTTACAGACTATTTATGTAGGTTGCCGTATTTGTGGGTTAGCGAAAGGTTGCGGTAATGAGGAATACAAACGAGAGCGGCAAAAAATCACGAATGAACTATCAATAAGAAGTAAAGCTTTAGAAATTGCCGATTTTCCTAATGAGGAATTAATCCAAGAATTTCTTGTATCAAAAGATAATGTAACGCGTTTAGATTTGAAATGGAGACAACCGGATTTATTGAAATTTCTGGTACGATTGATGTGGAAATCATTAATTTAATTATTATTTATTATATTGTTGTTATTACAGGAATTCGCAACGAAATATTTGGAATGGGATGAAATTTATGCTTTCGAAAAATTACTTCCAATTTTAACGCGCTGGCAATGCTTAAATTATGATACTTTAAAGAACTTAAAAGGGATTGTACAACCAGAATGTATTAAAAAAATTAGAAACCCTAAAGGTATATTTTTGAATAATAATTTCATCTCTAACACTAATTTTCTGGTATTTTTTTAGGCATCCCTTCATATTTAATAGTGTGGGTAGACCGAGATGATTGCTACAAGGATATAATACCAAAAGAACAAATTGAAGAATCTAAATTAACACTCGAACAATTATGGAGTACCGTAGAGCCTCAAAATTTAGTCGACAAAGCCTATCCGGAATTAGTCGAAACGTATCGACAAAGCAAAATTAAACCAAAAGCGACGAGAAGGAAAAATAAAAATAAAAACTTGGACGAAATTAGCGAGATGCTAAAAGAATGCCATACTAATGCAACTAAACCTAAGCGAATACGACAAACTAAAAAATCGAAATCTAGTAAAGGGGATAGTCTAAAACAAAACTCGTTGGACGATTTTCTAAAACATCAAAAACCAGCTAGTAAAGTTACTAAAGATTTAGATGATTCTCTATTTGATGATGAAGATAATAACGAAGATCTTTCCCTAATCATAGAAAACATAATATCCAAAACCCCATCGAACTTAAAAAATATCAACATTGCAAATTATCTTACATTTGATGAAGACACTGAAGAGCCAATTGAAAATACTGCAAGTAATCGAACAAGCTTCTTCGTTTCACATCCAACAGAAGATGATATATTTGAAAAATCCTTCCATGAACTAAAATACAACGATGAAGACACCATTCACTACGAATATAATGAATTGGAATACAATGATGACAATAATAAGGGAGATGACAGTTTCTCTGATATCATTTACGTTCCTTTACTAGAACGATTAAAGAAAAAAATGTAAAGTATATTTTAGAAAAATAAATATTAGTTTATTAATAGCTGTTTTACTTATGTTCCATTGGAGTATATTCAACAAATGAGGCACTTGAATTTTCGCATGTCAGACCGAGCTCGTCGCTTCGTTAGTGTAATTATGATATTGATCGTAACTGTTTGTTAGAGATTCCCATTCTTGTTCATTCGCATCAAATTCGTACAGACTCAGAATATTTTTCTTCAATATAATGTACTTTCTTCGTTTCGCCATCAAGTATACCTGTGGAGTATTAACAGCTTTATCTTAAATGTTTATTTCTGATATCGACAATTTACCAGTAACGTTAAAATAATAACAAAAACTATCACAACTAAAGGAACAACTAGGTATTTTGAATCATCTGCTACATCTGGTTCTGGACTAGGACTAGGTTCGGTAGTAACGGTGGTTGTTGTTTCCGTGGTGTAATTCGAAATTAAAAGCATGCTTACAAATTAACATCATGATTTTTAACTAGCCCATTATTTTTTTGGAAATTTTTAGATTTCAAATGGAGAAATGATTCAACTTTATGCAATGACTTATGTCATTTGTCATTACAGTAAAATAAAAAATAAATAGGCCCTTTACTTTTTGTTTATGAAACAATTTATCTTCTTGTTTTCTATTTTAGGAGTTTTTATGTCATTAGTGTCATTGTCTGTATTTGATTTTTCGGTTGTAATTGTTTGAAACTTTTGCCTTATCGCCGGTTGAGGGAATAAAGAAATTATGCTGATTATTTTTAGAAGAAAACAAGTTATTTAAGTTACGTTCAAGTTAATCCAGGGTTTTGAAGAAAAAGTTCCAATATACAAGAGAGCCAAGAAATGAATACCAATCCTAACCTCACAAAAGCATCATCGTTTACTTACAAAGATTTGCTGCTTCGGAAACTTTACTATTCAGTAGTGTCGAGTGTGTTGTCCCAGTTAGTTTTACTGCATCTTTACGTGTTTTTCGCGAACTTTAATCCATTACATCCGATAAACTGGCTGTTGTCCACATTAGAAACTTTTACTTCGTTCAGTGTTTGGTTATACATTATACCGTTTTTAACTATTATATTCGCTCAAAGCGTGATTTGCGCCAAGGACTATGTGTTCAAATCGAGTTACTGTTCAACTCGCTTCCAAAAATTCGTGTTGGCATTCTCCAGGCACAACGTAGCTCTGCTCTTATTGCATATTATCGCTGGGCCTACATTAATATGGCTGTTTCTGTCTTTAGGAGGAGCAGAGATGCATCAGTTGACTTCACGTACAAATTCAAGCAAAAAGAATACCATTGTGTTAAACGAAGGGATGTTTTACTTGGTCATTAGCGGCTTTTGGACTGGATTCTACTACTTCATGAAAGTGTATATATCAGATAAGCATGTGTCTTTTCCTGTTATCCAACAAAGGAAATGGTTGCAGCTTAAAGCGCAGGTTTTACCATTGCTCAGAGATAGCTTCGTCTCCTCCATTTGGCCAACAATGTACTTTACGATAATTTATTACATGTGGGGCAGAGAACTTTGTTTGTTCTACGAAAATACTTTTGGATTACTACCGGATAATAGAACCTACGGATTAATCATCCATTTCTATCTCTGGGCATTCAGTGCGCTCTATTACTTCAACATGAATCTTATGAAGCTGTTTTTTAACATATTCCTAACAGAAAAAGTGGAATTTCCTTTATGGAAGCTAACTGAAGATTCTCTTGCGTTACAAGAGGGTATCGTCATGTCGGATTTACCGATCATTCAAAATTTAGCTTGTCTGGATTTGTACAACCTCGTTCAATGGTCTAAAGTTCGAAGGGAAGTTTTCTACGTTCTTTCGCAACCCGGAGGCCACCCGCACAACTGGAATTCCCTAGTAGAAAACGTACTGAAAGTTTTAAAAGAGTACATCGAACTCTTGAACAAATCAACAGTGAGCATGGAAAGAAATGCTAAAGTTCCCGTTTGTCCTCCTTTGCAAACGGTTATTCAATCGCCTAAGTTCAGGAATTTGAGAAATATGTCCTTGATGTCTGATACAGAGGTGGATGTTGTAGATGTGACTCATTCCACCATGCCGGGTATAACTATACCGGAAACATTCTTCACTGGGATCAAACAGAAAATCAGCAATTTCGTGTCAGTGACGAGAGTACTGCTGGGAATCGACTTCCTTTTCGGGGAATTGCCAGAGGCCAATATTCAAAAATGTTTAGCTAATGGGCTGATAATCGTTTGGACTAGTCAAGGGATCAGCGATCTGCTTTGCTCCGCTCTGGTCGAGGATAAGTTCGGCGTTGTTCAAAAAGATATTCCCATTTTGGTGACAACTTTGGTACAATTGAAGCAGAGTTTGGACAATTTGAACAAAGTGCCGGCTCTGACGAAAAAAATTGCTGGTTATCAGGATTTTAATTGCAGAATGAAGGGAGCGGTCTCGACAGCTGTGAAGAGGAGCTTGTTCAACGTTTACAAAACCTACAAAAATTACATAAATGACTTTCCTTTGAACAAAGATGTTATCTTGTGTCTTCAAAACATTTACAAGAGTTGAGTTTTCTTTTTACATGTAATGCACAATTCATTTTTGTTAAATACATTTCTTTCGAATAGCTAAACATCTTTTTTGTTCATTTTTTTATTCGTTTAAAAACAAATTTGTGTTACAGATATTTTATTTAAAAACTAAATTTATATTTTTAATAAAGAAGCTTATATTACAGTTGACAACAAATATACCATTTTTTTGAGGATGTTGAAATAATATATGGCCTATGTAACAAAAGTTATCTACAATTTTTTCGTAAGTCTATAATCTGAAATTACATACCTACAAAAATAATCACATATAAATAACCAAAACACACCGCTCAAGCAAGATAAAATAGAGGAACAGTTTTCACCAATGGTGTGTAAATATTAATTTCAATTTATACAAATTTATGAGCATATTTTAACTGTAAAACCCACTACTAATTAACTTGCAGTAAAAAAGAACTCGAATGTATAAGTTGAATCTAATATTTATGTATTGATTAAATTAAATTACGGTTAACTGTAGTATATTTTCTGTTTAACTATATTCAAAATAGTAAAAAACTGGATTTTGGTTGAGATTGCAAGTACAAAATCTGCACTAATCAAATGAATCCAGTTCAACTAGACAAATTAAATTGAAGCGATCCAGTTTCGTTACTACTAACGAACCAGAAATATATTATTTTTATACTTTAATTACCAAAAAAATACACGGAAATGAAAATATAATTAACAATAAATATGCACCAAATATTAATACAATAAGTAATGTCCTCACTTTAGATAATAAATTCAACATAAATAGACTAAACTTTCCATTAATATTTATATAATATACTTTTTCAAATATGTGTATTATTCATCGAGAATCAAATGAATATATTGTACAAAATCATAAAGGCCAGCTTACTAAGTGCACAGCAAATTAGAAAACGGCAATCCGCATTGTCACAGCGCAATTTCATCTAATAAAGAAGTGTATACAGGTTCCTGATATATTTCAAATTAAAGAAAAACGTAGTCACAGTGAATTAAGACAAGGCGGCACTACCTGCTGAGACCTACAATATTAGAAAAATAATATTATTAATAATAATCGATAATTGGTTTGTCCCAACAAAGGCACACTTTCAGAATTCTGTGAATCGATGCCGCAACTTGATAAGTCGATTTATTAAAGCCTTACATAAGAGCTATTTTAAGGTACGATTACTATCAAAATTCTAATATTTACCCAATTTTTTTCAGTAAGTAGTTGCTTGGTAGCTTTTATGTTAAACTCTTACTGCTATATTCTATCATCTTGTAGATCTCAACGAGAGGAACTTTGTGGTACTGATGATTGTGACAATAAATAACGTTCATAAAGTTATGGTACCTATCCACAGATTTGCATTCTAGTACCTTTGTTGTGACACAAAATAAACTTACCTGTATTTAGTGTAACATGCATATTATTGCTAAAATTTGATTATTACTGACAACATTGTTTGCGTACACCATCAGAAGTCGTAGACGGTTGTATATTTATTGGTTCTACTCTTTCTGGTCGTATTACGTCGCCTTCAGGCGGGTCTCTAATTTGTTTTTGAGAAACAATTCTATAGATTTCTGAAAGAAAATACATAACATTTAATTTCAAATAATTAACAGCTTTAATAGATGTATAGGCCCGTATTCAGCGACCCATTTTAACTTTAGAGTGACTCTAAAGTCGCGTTTTTAACTTGACAGATTTACATTGTTGTTATGGAGTAACTAGGGACTCAAGACGCAACTTTAGAGTCAAGCTAAAGTGGCATTTAAAGTTGAAAGTGTTGTTTTTTAGACATTATAGAAAAGCAATGACATGAAAGAAAAAGGAAATATGTACTCCTTTTAATCTTATCACTCATTAGTGCTTATTTATAAAAATTAGGCATTTACTTTGAAGTAAAAGGTAGAAGCAAATGATAAGATAAAAAGATTTTAAAATCTTAAACAAAGGTTTTAAAACCATAAAACCTTTTGCTATAAAGCAACAACAGGGTCCTCGAAGCAAAACCGCTCTTCCTTTACTTCTTTTTATGCATATACCTTGAGGTATTTCCTTTATTTTTTAAAAGCAAAAGGTTGTGCTTTTTTTTTAAAAATGCGGCCTATTAACTCGTTAAAGTACCCTTTAACTACAACATAATCTCTCATAACCTTTAGTTAAAGGACACCTTAACGATTTATTTTAAAACCATCCCCAAGTGTTTGTAGCATACCAACCTGTGAGTATATTCTGGAATGCCATATCGACGTTGGTCGAATCTAGAGCCGAAGTTTCGATGAACGACAGCCCGTTTCTCTCTGCGAACGATTTCGCCTCTTCGGTGAGCACGGCCCGCAGGTGCCTCAAATCGGACTTGTTGCCCACCAACATAATGACGATGTTCTGGTCGGCGTGGTCGCGCAATTCGCGCAGCCAACGCTCCACGTTCTCGTAGGTCAGATGCTTGGCGATGTCGTAGACTAGGAGAGCTCCGACGGCGCCGCGATAATAAGCGGCCGTAATGGCTCGATATCTCTCCTGTCCGGCCGTATCCCATATTTGTGCTTTTATTGTTTTGCCGTCCACCTACGAATTAAATAACTTGGCTTACGATGTGACAAATCAAGGAATTAACAGCATACTAAATAGGTTGGCTTGCATAAAATGTTCTATGAAGCCTTGCTAGTACCTTAATATCACTATTATTTTATCATTGAAAATGAGCCAGCAGTTCTCAGACAATAAAAAAGTGATGGCACAAAAGGACTAACAAGGCTCCTGAAGCAATATTGATCCTGGCCTAATATATCCAGTACGGCAGTCAACATATTAACGAAGATTATAAATAATTTACGTTAATAAAAACTACTAAAAAGACAATATCTGAGCCAGTAGCTTAGAGCATAGAAAGGTGATGGTCCAAAGAAACTGACGTAGCTCCTCGAGCAATGTTGAAGTTGTCCTCGTATATCAAGCAAGGCAATCAACATGTTAATGAGGAATATAATTAATTTAACGTTAAATAAAAACTACTAAAAAGACAATATCTGAGCCAGTAGCTTAGAGCATAGAAAAGTGATGGTCCAAAGAAACTGATGTAGCTCCTGGAGCAATGTTGAAGCTGTCCTCATATATCAAGCAAGGCAAGCAACATGTTAATGAAGAATATAATTAATTTAACGTTAAATAAAAAATAATAAAAAGACAATATCTGAGCCAGTAGCTCAGAGAGCATGGAAAGGTGATAGTCCAAAAGCACTTAAATGGCTTCTGGAGCAATGTCAATAACAATATATGAGTCAGTAACTCACAGAACAAAGAAAGGAGAGACTGACATGGCTGCTGAAACAATGTTCTAATCGTACAAGACCAGTACAGTAGTCAATAATATAATGAAGCACAAAATAAATAATTTAACGTTAAATTGAAACTAAAACAATAACAATATATCTTTACAGATGGTAGCACATTCATGAATCATGGGTATTGTTATGCAAATAAATTGTAACTCAGGTGAATCATTACTGAGTTTTTAAGGAAATATTCCTAAAATTTCCTGTATTTGCGTTACTACGCATTGAATGAGACTATTATAGGTAAATGACATGAATGATAGATGAATTAGGTGTAGCAAATTCAGGGAAACAATAGGAAAATAGTAAAAAAAATGAAATGTACCTGTATACTTCTGGTGGCAAATTCGACTCCTATGGTGGATTTAGACTCCAAATTAAATTCATTTCTAGTAAATCTTGATAATAAGTTACTTTTCCCTACGCCTGAGTCGCCAATAAGAACAACTGAAAATCATTAATGCCATTAGCATACGACAATATTACTGTTAAAACATGTACAGATATAATTGAATCAACTGATCTATTTTTAGTTGATATTGATTTCTTACAATAATTGTATTTTATTGTTAACTGTCACTTTTTGAATAACTTGACCTCTGATTTGATGACATGTCAATTTAAGAGATAAAAATAAACTAGAATTTTTAATTCTTACCTTTAAATAGATAATCATATTCATCATCTTTAGAACTCATTTTTAATAAACTTAACTACTTTTTTCTCCCAGTTATATCTATAATCTCTTGAAACACAAAGACAATTTCAATTATTAATACATATCAGTTTTTTGATAAAAAATATCTTCCCTACAGATATTTTCTATGTATCACAGAAACATTACTTTTAATACGCTTTCACAAAAACTTCTGATGCCTCGGATTAAAGCGGATAGCCTCTTATTCAAAATTAAATTTACGCAAAATGGCGACTGTTTTGTTGACAAATTGTACGCCCCTCAGACAATAAACGTCATTTCATAATTAACATTACGCATGTGCCATTGTCACAATGACAGTCAGGTGTACCAATACCACCATTCTAATGTAACTAAATTCTTCTGTAAAAATTATTCGTTCCTATCTTCTCATGATTGAATTTGAAATTGTAGAAATATTACGATAAATAGAACAATTTTGGGATGTATAAGAAGGAAATTAAATGATTGATTTCAAAAATATATATTTACACACATTTACAATTTTGCAATTATAGAATTAAGGCACTTTTGACTCAAAATTGTTTAAAACATGATTGCCTAAATGTACACAACTTTTAATAATCTACTTTGCATTAAGGAACAAAACATTTAAAATGGATAATCAGATAAAAAAATGATAGACTAGAAAATTATTTTCTAAAAATTAAAACATACTTAATATATTAATGTTACAAAGATTATTGGAAGAGCACTGTAGACGTAAATAAATATTACTATTACAAAAATGTAAGCATAAAGTGAGCAAAAAACAATATTCTACAGAGCCCACAATAAATCCCGGTTAAAATGTGGTTCTTTTCTGATCATAACGCAATTCAAAGTTACTGTACGATATAAAAATCCAATGAGACGAAATATTTTCTTCAAAAATTATTAGTAAAATGAACTATTTCCTATCGAATTTTTTAAAACACTAACTTATTGTAACACAGCTTTTTTAATAAATTAAATTTCAAAACACAATTTGAAATTACAATCAACATACATACGTACAAATATTTAAAATACTTATTAGTATGAGGCAGTGTATAATAATTTAAACATTCTATTACCGAAATTACAAAATCTCTCCCTCAAACCATTAACTTATTTTCTTGTAAATTAATCAATTGAAATTGGCCTATTAGTGATACATCTCGGACGCAAATGCTTAGTTTTCGAGATAAAACACCGTGATTTAAAGTTAATATTGGAAAAAAATTAAATATAAATAATTAAATTAAAACAATGTTTAGTACGGTTTTGATAATTAAAAAAAGGATAGGATTAACATGCCAGTTTTCTAATATCCAGTCATAAGATATGTCAATATAATTAGAGATTATCGAGTTTTAAAGAACGTTAAATATTATTTTTTTGGCAAACACGCATATTCTTGATTTCTTCCTAATCATTTCACTTTTTGCGGTTTTTATATTTACATATAGACAAATAATAGCAATAATTTATAATTACACCCTAAAAAAGAACCGTGTGCAATTTTCGGAAACATTTCGGAATTCAATAACAAGATCCCGCTTATGCTGTAGTTTTTGCTATCTAGTTTTAAAATGACTAGAATATTATTTAATAATCCAAAAATTACAAAGGGTTGTTTTTAATGGGGTTAATTTATATCACATTTTTAATATTATAAAAGTAGCACCATTATTTTAATGAAATTTTAATTATTTAGAATATACTAAGTTCAGCTTTTTTCTTAGAAAATATTTAAAAAATTGCAAGATTAATTATTGCTCTATTCGAATATTTAATTGTACGGTTTCTTTTAGGGGAAATATTTCGAAATTTGTAAAAATTATTTATATAAATATGAATTACTCAAATTAGCAATAACCTATCTTGGAATTAATATTTTTTTAACAAACCTTAAATAACTAAGACAATTTGAGCTGAAAGAGGCGGTTTTATTAAACATAATAAAGCAGCTAGATTGGACTTTGGTTAAATATCAAACTTCACACAAATACAGTTTCATGATTTTTCTTATTCACATGCAAAAATACAGTACGAATAAATAACAGACCACAATGACTCTTATAAGTCACATGCGAATAATTATAGAATTGTCTAAAGAAAATCTCAATTCAACATGATGCTAATGGTAGGTAGAGTGGAATCGGTCCAGTTAATTAATTAGTAGAATCGAATTTCCTCTCTAGTTAACACACATTTCCAGATTCAATTAAACCTGCGAATTATCTGACCAATTGAACGTTTACTAATCGACCACCTGTAAATTTGCATTAACAACAAAAATCACAACGCAAAAAGCACTTACCTCCCACCCGAAGGGATCAACCTTTTTTTTTTAATTCTCCGTTCAAACAATATTACGTGTAACATATAAGAAAAAACGGGGACCGTTGGCAAGAGAATCGGCCAAGTGCCGCGAGGCGCACTTTCCTAATCCGAACAAAAAATAACAATAAAATCTCGGCGGACTCACGAAAAAGGGGTTCCACCCCTTACGGTCATCGATCGTCACACGTAGACGGGCCCGCCTTGGTTATCGTTGTCGTCCTTGATTTTATTGAAGGACGTCAGGCCGCCGTCGTCGAAGAACCGCCTGAACGTGAACTCGAAGAAGCCGTGGAACAGATTCGAATTGTCCACCAATTCGTCCGAATTGCTCGACTCGATCGACGTGGAATTGCGCAACTTTTCGGGATCGATCGGATCGAAATTCGACGTGTCGGTGGGATAGTCGATGCGCGGCTTGTAGGGCGCCGGCTGTCGCCTGAGCCCCTTCTCGAAATCAATGTCTTTGAAGAACGGATGCGATTTCACTTCACTGGCATTTTTGCCGAGGCGCTTGTCGGCGCTACAACACAATTTCAATATCAAGTCCGTGCTATCCGGTGACAAATTCGCTTGTTTCGGTATTTGAAGCGTCGTTTCCCAATTAATCACCTAAATAATACAAACAATATAAATTAACCTTTCATTAACGAAATGTACGTTTATACCTTATACTGCGTTTCGGCTGGTGTATTCGCTAAAAACGGAGGCTGACCCACTAACATTTCATACAAAATAACACCCACACTCCACCAATCACAAACATGAGTATATCCTGTTCTCTGTAACACTTCAGGTGCGATATAGTTCGGCGTTCCTACTAAAGAATGCGCTAAACATCTATGTTCTCTTCGCCTTCGCCTTTCCAAAGGTTTGCAATTACATTCCTCGTTCCAATCGTCTATAGGATCCATAGAATCTTGTCTGCTATGGTTTCCTATTAAACAGAGCGTTAAATTAGGAAATCAATGTCTCATGGTAAACTTACCGTTTTGTTGATAATATTTTGAATTATGAGTCCACCTAAAACCGGTGCACAAACCGAAATCGGTCAATTTTATGTGACCATCTTTATCTATAAGTATATTATCAGGTTTTATGTCTCTGTGAATGAAGCCCATTTTATGTACACTTTCTACTGCGCACGTCAACTCCGCAATATAAAACCTGAAAGTAAATCGGCATTACTACACCACTAAATAATTATTAAAAAAATATTTTTGCATGCAGGTAACTTTGTTTCCCTTAGCGCGAATTGCATTCTGTGTAATTATTTTTTGGTCAAATAAATAATTAAATAAATATACCTAGCTAAAACTTCTTCGAAGATTCCTAATTTGATTAAAAGAGACATCAAATCACCCCCTGGTATGTAATCCATTACGAAATACAATATATCGGAGTCCTGGAATGAGTAGTAGAGCTTCACCACCCATTCGTTGTCTGCTTCGGCTAAAATATCTCGTTCAGCTTTCACATGAGCCACTTGGTTTCTCTTCAACACCTCCGTCTTCCTCAACGTTTTCATGGCGTACAAGTGATTCGTATCGATTTTTTTCACTAAAGTAACTTCTCCAAAAGCCCCGACACCGATCGGCTTGATCCTCACGAACATGCTCTTGTCCATTTTGGCTCGCTTTAATCTAAAAATTAGATCGTTAGTAAATATTAATTGTTAGCAAAAGTAGTAGAAAATTCGCACCTAATATAATTCGATTCCTTTTGCGACAACATCTTTCTCATCTGCGCTTGGGCCTCCGAGCTCAGTCCGATTTTGTTCATCTCCTTTTCGAGTTGCATGCGCCTAAACAATCGTTGCTTGTACGACTTCATCACGTTTTCAATGTGTTGCTCCATGAAAAATTTAAACGCCTGCGGTGAGTAATTTTTCACTTTGCCGTCCCTTCGTTCCTCCTCCTTTTCTTTGCTGATCTTCTTGCGCTCCGGTATAGGCGATTGGTGCTTTATCTTGGTATAAGGGGGCAGCTGGGGCGGCGCGTCGTGCTTGCTCTCCCCGTTACCGTTTACGATGTGATTGTTGTTGGCGCTTTTCACCGATGTAGACGCTGAAATTTACAATAAAATCAATAATAGGTATAATTAATAGATCCCTTGGATTATTACCTGTAGGCGGTAAAGGTGGCGCGCCACTATCCGAATATTGGTTCCTGCTATCTCCGCTACTAGTCGATTGAGGACTATCGGATCGACATTCGTTATTTACAATGGGAGAATATTTCCTCGTTAAAGACGGATGAACAAGTGGACTAGCTCTGGGCGACATTGAACTATCGACTGTGTAAACCTAAAAAAAATTAAAATGTCGTTACGATTGCGATGCTATAGATTGCTTAGTTGTATATTTTGTAGAATATTAGAGAACTAACCTGAACGTGGCTCTCATCTGTCGAATAAGGCGGTGGAGGCAAAGGTGGATGAGTACCTAAACCACGTTGAGCTTTCGCTTTCGCTTGCATGGTACTCGCATAACTCGGAGGCTCCGTCGTCGGTACGTTTACTGGCGGAGAATTATTAGATTGATTTGGAACAGGTAGAGGAGCCGCAGGCTTCGATCCGTTTGTATAGCTATCAAATAAATCGATTAGAAATACTGTCTGATTCTCGGCACGAAACTCGTCGAGTTTAGTGAACCATTAACAATATTCACCCTTTTTGTTGAATTGAAACGGTATAAGACGGTGGTAAGGCTGACGTCGTCGGCGGGGTGGTACTCGTCGGAGATGGCAGTTGAGGTGATGTAGGCGCTATGGCAGTTTGTAAAACGGGCTTTTGGACTTGGGTACTCTTTACCGATTGCATTATTATAGGCGGTTGGGAGATAGTTTGGCGAGCACCCCACGCCTGCAAATGCGTCGGCAGAGCCATATTCGTCGACGTCGCGCTATTCGAAACCTAAAAACAACAATAATTACCACTAAATAATATTATTCGCGGTGAACAAACATTTACCGGTACTGGACTAGGCGACCCGGCAGACGTAGATCCGGAATAAATGCCAGAGGACGGACTTTTCCTAAAGTCCTGCGTAGGACTCTGCCTGTTCTGAATAGAGGCGGAATACGAAGGCGGAGGCAGAGGCCCGTTTGCCGGACTCGCCGACATAAGAGGATATGGTGGTGGCGGTTCGGACGCAGAAACCGTGTTACTCTGATAGAGATTCAACGCTTGCATCTGTTGCGTTAGTTGTTGCTGTACCTGAGGACCGTTTTGAACAACCATCGGTTGTCGACCCGACGTCGTTGAAACACTACTGACTGGACTAGTACCTCGCTGTAAACAAATCAACATTCGTTATTTGATAGTACACCGATGCTTATTTAAAATATTTACTTGTTGTAAAGCCGGTGAGCTGTACCCCTGTCCAGCGGGCGTCCTGGCGGGTACCACGGGCGCCGGCGACATCCTTTTAATCCTCTGCTGCACGTTATTAGGCATAGGCGGTTGGTATCCGCTGGTACCGCCGACGTGAGGCGGCGGCGGCGGCGGGGTGTTTCTAGGCGGCGGCGGCGGAGGCGGTTCGTTGAAACTAGGCGAATAACGATTGTGTAGATCGTTGATGAGCCGAGGGCTATCCGATCTCGAGCTGCCAGCGCCGCTGTCCAATGCAGGACTGCCTCTCGGCAAAATGAGTTCTCGTTCGATGCTCGGTTTGCGAATTAGTTTCGTGTAACCGGGCGAATTTTTCATAGACGACGAAGAATCCAGAGATTGCCTGTTGAGGTAATCGAGAGCGATATCCACTCGTCCGTTGGATACTTGAAGTGCGCGACTTACAGATTCCTACAAAAAGAAAATTAGATATCGTACATCTGCGTAACAGTCTCAAATGAGTAAGGAATTGTCACTTACCTCCGTGTAACCTAATTGCCTCAATTGTATGACATCTTTATCGTTAATATTACAACCTCCTCCCGCTGAAGTGGAACTCAACGAGCTGACACCGCTGGTAGCCGAAAAGTTAGATATGGTGCTGGCTGCGCTCGAGCTCATCGCTTCGTTGCTGCTTTTAGCGAACGGCCTCAGCGAGTTCTGGATTTCTTCCATGGCTTTTTGATGGTAACCCGGCGAGCGGGTTGGCGTGCTTGGATTCATGATGATTTGGAAACGGGGCTGTTGGCCCATACTGGGCCTCACGCGAGTCTTTCGATTGTCTTACATTGGTTTTCCAAAGGGTTTAATATGCTTCGAACATCTTACTGAAAAATTAAGGTTGAAAATTAGGCTTTCTTTAGCGATAAATTGAATTAGTGGATAATAAAATGAAAAAGTAGACTAGGAACAGTACTGATACAAATAATGGCATTATAGAATAATTTTGGGCTTGTAAGTAAAGGGAAGTTGAAATAAATATTTTACAGACGCTGGCAAATGTTTAGTGGATAAAATGAAGCGCGTATAAAGTAATTAGTAATTGCTAAGAGGAGAGTATATCGAAAATTGCAATGACATGTCTCATTCTGCATAACAAAATACATTTCTCATTATGATAGAATTCTTTGATAAGGGCACCAAGATTTTATAAATAATTACGGGCGGACGTTTTGCTTTAAATCATGATGGAATTCCACAATTATTACCTTTATAATATGCAAAAATATTTTAGAATCAGCTACAGTCTTTTGAATGACAGATTTTTAGTGTCAAGTCAATCTATCTCATTCTATATGGTGATTTTGAGGGCACTTCTTCACTTTATCGCTTTTTTAAAGGCACTGCGATTACATATTTCACTTTCAACCACTACACATCAACTAAATAATAAATAATTATTTTATTTGACTAATTCAAACTCACGAAAATAAATAAAATGTAATTAAAACAAAGAAAATTGCACAGAGTTTATGATTTAGTTGTCAGCCATTTTACATAGTGTCAAATTCCAGAATCTGCCAACCTTATAAAAATAAAAACTTAAAATGACGTTGAATAAATTTCTTAAAAATCCAGTTTGAAAAGGTAAATTAAAAAAAATGTTTCATTAACCTTATATAAAAATAATTACAATAATGTTTTTTAAATGCCATCACCGTAAATTAAGTTTAAAACTTGTTTTTATCTAGTAATTTTTTCGGGCTTATCTTGGCAACGCTCCTCTGCATTCCTTAAAACAAAAACATTTAAAAGCATGGGTGTATCACTAAACGTTCAATAGAAGATTAAATTCATAAACAGTATTCAACCTATAATAAATAACTATATATGGAGCATAATTAACGAAAATTTTAAAAATGTTTAAAATGAATGTATGACATTTAAATAACCATAAGCAAAAGAAATGTTCGTTCGTGCAAGTTAATTCAGTTATAATGCACGCCACTGGCAGAAAATATTTCATGTTTTTTTTAGAACAAAAAAGGCTACTACTGTAGTTCTTACTCCTTCTTTTATTTTATTTTTAAAAAGACGAGGTATGCAGAGGCGTGGTTTCCAATGAAAATTTGACATATTCTTAAAGCAAACAAAAATTTTATGATAAATATGATTGTCCATTAGTTGTCAGGAAATGAAAAAAAAACAATTTTTGATTTTGACAGTGACAGAATCGGAATAAACGGATCAAAGTGATCCAACAAACATAACCTCAAAAATATAGAATCATGGGAAAGGCTTTTTCTCGAGTGAAAACTCCTTTTAAGAATTTCGATTTGGAGAACAGGGCTCACAAAATCATTTCGCGGGACAAGCCTACACCTGCTCCTCGTTATGAAAAGGATCAAAACGAATATGAACGAGTGATGAAAGGTATAACCTAAAATTAAACCGACGTTATCAAATTTTAATCGTAATATATTTTTAGAATATCCTAAAGTGTACGAAGAAAGTTTGCAAAAGAATCTATCCCTCGATAAGCGATTAAAGCAGGTTTTCGTTGTTTCGGAGGATGTAAGTAAATTATTTACATCTTTTTAAGGATTATACAATACTGCATATTTTAGGCCGATACAATGAATATAAAACAGTCTAATCCAAATAGGCCTCTTCCAACTGATAGGAGACAAGTACAATCTTTCCTATACGGTGTTAAAGTGCCCGATAAGATTCCTTTAGGTAAAGCAACTTTAGGAAGTGTATTAGAATTTTTGAGTCTCCACCAAGGGAATCCTGTAAAGTACAATGCGAAAAACATATCTGAAAAATACAATTTAGCCGAGGACACTGTCAGTAAGTATATTCAACATCCTTGTAACTTCAGTACAATTACGTTCTCCGTTTAAATTTTAGGTAATATACTCAAGTATTTTAAAGTATTTCAAGTGTATATTCCTGTGGAAAGAAATCCAAAAGCAAAATTCGCTGGTCCTAGTATACCTCAAATAAAAGTTATTAAACCAATTATAAAGGAATTGCCATCTGATAGTTCGAAAGATAAATCGTAAACGAACGAAAACTTGTTAGTTAATTTATTGTTGTAGTACAAAATGTTTATTAAATTTTCAACCATTCACGAAGTTTAGATTATTTTTTTAAATAATCATACACTGCGTCCTATTTACGGTGCTATTACATCCCTTCATTTCAAAGTTGGATTCAGATTCGCTACAATCTGTCCTATTGTTGTCGCTCATCGATCTGTCCTGAATCGATAAAAGGTGTAAATAAAAATACGAATGCTTCTCATTAGTTTATAAATAAGTGAATTCGGGCGTATAACGCAATAAACGCTAACTTATACCTTATCCCAACGCCAAACGGTACCGTCATCGCAAACGCAAATTAGAATGTTCGCGTTACGATTAAGGGTCGTTTGTCTAATTGCAGTCGTGCAACGGGGATGCTGCAAAGTGTGGCATTTCGCTTGCGCTGGATCCGATACATCCAAGTCCCATACGAATATTTTTCCCGTTTGATTACCTAAAGCTAAAAACTAAAAAAATGATTTAAAAAATGGTATTTCTTAAAGTTAGTTGAATAGTAAAGTAGAAGATACATCAATAAAACTACTCCGTATGTATCAATCTAAAATATACAAGGTTTTTAAAGATTTAAGAAGAAATGCAGACAAAAAATTAACCTCCTTAAAAACTACTGGATTTGGGTATAAGGAATACCTGCAAAGATCGAAAGGTCTTAAAAACCACTGCTCAATGCCATAAAATACAGGGTGATCCATTTGAAATTACGTTCATTTTTCATTTTAACTTACCCACGTTAGTCAGAGAATTTTAAACGCCCTGTAAATGGACCATTTAGTACCATGTTTGTAGTTTGGACTATATCGATACCAAATTTCAAACTTCTAGAAGCATTATTAACAGAGATATCATAGAAATTACACAGGTCAATCATAAAGTGTTATTATTCAAAATCTACTGAAAAAGGGTCCTAGAATTCAAATATAAAGTTTCAAAAATAGTACATTCCATTTGAAATAATGAAGTTACAGTATAACAGGGTGACACATAAGGCGTGGATACACGTTAAGGCTAAACATATTTTAGAAAAACTCACAACATTCTTCAAGGCGCGGGGAAGTTAACTCCTTACTTTTCAGATTAGTAACTCTTCAGGAAAGTTCTAACAAAGCTCTAGCTACCGTGAAAAACCATGTATATTTATTGTTGATTATTTGAAAATTCTTACTTTTTGCCAAAAGTCCATTGCGAATCTAACGAACCATATTTCGCACTCTTTGTATTCGAACCGATGTATTATAGTGGAACTCGTCTCCCCTTTCCTTAAATTTTCATCCTCGAGACGGCCCGGCTTCCAACACACTATGCAATTTTCACAGGATTTACTTAATAAAAAGTCGCCAAACCATTTTACACAATCCACGTAATTTCTAAAATAAAATTTACCCCTATTAACTCAACTTAAAAATCATCTTAGGGTATTAGTTTACCCACAATAAACAATTTATTCTAGTCAAAAATAACACATATTTTGAATCTATAGGAATATGTATGAATTGTTGTGGTTTGTACCTGTGTATATCTCTAGTAGAAAAATCCGGAAAATTTTCCTTCAAACACTCGAAAGGTCTCGTAACACGATTCGAATTCCAAGCGTACGAATTTTTTATAGTTTCCTTCATATCCTCTTTATCGAGTCTCCATAATTTCAACGAATGATCCATACCGCACGACATAATCCTGGTTCCATTCAAATTAAAATCCTAAAATCATACACATTTTTAAACATAGTAATAAACGTATTAGTACAAAATACTGACTGCACTCAACACTTCGTCTCGATGCCCTTCGACTCCTCCGAAAATAGCTATACACACGTCAGTCTTAATGTTCCACAGTCGAAGTGAATGGTCTTTTGAAACAGACAGCAGAAGATTGGGATCCTTGGGATGAAATTTCAACTCGTTTATAGCATGACCATGCCCGATGTAGTGTCTGATACAACACATGGTATTCGGATTTAATATTCTAATAACGCCTCGAGAGCCCGCTACAGCTAAAAGAGCCTTTCCATTATCTTCATCGTAAGACCAGGCGCATGTGTAGTAATTTTCATCGAGCTATCAATAAAACACAAAAGTAAATCAACACAATTGTAAAGGGTTAATATACTCACATCAGGATCGGCGTAGCATTGTAATAATTTTATGCCAGTTCCTTCGGGACACTCGTAAATTGTCACTCGATTACTACCTACAGCTGCGAATATGACTGGCTGGCCATCCTTTAGATGATGATTGAATTGAACACCGAACAATGGTTGACCGTGATCTTCTTTGATGCTACATCTGGAAGTGGATTAAAATGAGAAATCGGTTGTATCACAATGAGATGGGACTTACGAAAACGTATAAGCGGGTTTCAGTACTTTGGGAGTGGTGCTTAGACGCTTCCTGCCGCGCCGGCCTTTTCTCAATCTGTTTGTAGGTGTAGCGCTTCTCGAGGTTGTGTCTGTGGTGGAAGTGCTTCCGACGCTTGAAGTTTCGTCCTTGCAATAAATAACGGACGAATTCGAGTAATGCAACTTGATGTATTTCAATTTCACTCACCTCATCTCCAGAATCCTCCTCGATGTTGGAGTTGGAGAGTTCCTCTTTTGGCGTAGTTTTCGGCTTTTCTTGGATTTTTTCTTTCATATTTAGAATGAGCGCCGTTAAAGTAGCGTTTTCCCTTCGATAACCAGATAAGCGGCAGGAAATAAGACCAACTTTAAAACTTATCAGTGGTAAAAATAATCAAACCAACACTAAACGGAAAAATAAATAAACAAAACATAAATGTCAATCAAATGACAAATGAAATGTGTAAAATCAATTAGCTGCTGTAAGGCGTTAGCAGAGTCAATTGCAAACATCACATGTCACACTCAAATTAGGTTATATTCCTGTCTGTAAACAACTTCAAAAATTGAAATTTGAAAGTCATTTGTAAACATTTTTTAATAAAATGAGTAGATTATTTGGTGAAATTGTAGAACCCAGTACAAGAGCCTTAATTGACGATGATATAGAGGAATATCCTGATTATTTAGGGTAAAACACCTTTCATACTATACTCCATTAAGATATTTAATAAAATTTAATTTGTAGTTTTACACCCGAATGGGAAGGAAACGCGACTGTTCCCAAACAAATCAATTCCTTGATTGTTTTAGAGTCGAATGTTATCAAAGATGTTGTTAACAATTGCGTACTTGCACAAGAGAAGTCCATCTGTAAACTCGAGAATGGAGGTATCGAAATTTTTCAGTTACCGAATAGTAACTACATAATTTTATACAACGAAAGGAAAGGATTGAATCCAGGACAAGTAGATTAAATGTGAAGGATACAATGAATTTGTAGTAATTGTTTTGATTGCAGATTGTTGAAATACTCGAAAAATGGATTGTAACATCGAAGACGATATACACCGTTACAACAGACTCTATTTACAATTATCAAAGCACTAATAATTACAAGGAAAAACCTGTATCACTCGTTAGAGTTATATCGAATGTGGATAAAAAACGTAACAACTTGGAGCAACCAAACTTAGTAACAGGATTAGGTGCCACTATTTTGGAATATTGCATTCACGAATCCATAAAAAAATGCACTCTTTACATTATTTACATGGATAAATCCCCGTTGGATTCTTTCAGTTGCACACCTATTTTCAATGTATTTACTGAAATAGGAATTCCTATTAACAACAGAAATATCAAAGCCAGGGAATCGTCGAATAATTTATACATGTAGGAAAGAATAAAGGAAGATGCATTTTTAATTCATGTCTTATTTTTATTACAAATGGAGTTATCACAAATAAGAATGTAAATTAATACGTTGTTGCCTTTTTCATTGCTTCATTTTTTTGTTATTCTTCGTGGTTATTTAAATACAAAAAGTGACATAATAAAAATTACCTATAAAACCCTAATTTAAAATTAATTTTTTTGGGTACAATTAAACATTAATAATTTTGTTTTTAATCGCTTAGATATTACTGTATTTTTAATAACTATAAAAAGATAGTCAATCTTAATATGAATATAAAAAATAAATAAACTTTTCCTAAGTAATGGTTTTTGTAACAATATACATTTATAAAAAAAAACTACACCTTGGCAAATTCAGCTCGGCACTTGGGATTTCTGTATCGTAGGATGCGCGTTGGTAAATTTAACAGTTGAGGGCAAATTGCACCGATAGCTCAAATGATAAGTATCACTTTCTTTTTTCCTTGTTTGCGCGTCCGACTAGATTTCTAAGTGCCGAGCTGAATTTGCCGAAGTTATATGCAATTTCTCAAATTTGTCTATCAGAGCTCCCTCTTTTGTGTGTGACGGTAATGCTTTGCGACTGCTACTGCTACTAAGGAGCTAATCCTCTTACAGCCAGTTTTTGAATATAACTTTGTATCAGCTGGTGCCCATTCAATGTATTCCAGAATTTCACTAAAATCACAAAAATTATACTATTCACTTAAAACCCATTGCAATTTTGGCTTACTCAATATGGGTTTGTTGTGGAGAAGCGACTCCTCTTTCTCTAAATTGATCTTTAATGCAGTCTATAACGTGATTGACCTGCATCGGTAGAAACGGTATGTAATGATCTATTAGATTCGCTCGTATCGTATCAGAAAAATGAAAGCCTCCTGCAAATGCCTCAATCGTAATAACGTTTTTTCTCATTTAAACTATTTACCTTCTTCGTTAAAGGCTCCCTTAGATATCAACGAATCGAAATGGGATAATTTCATGTCTTCCCTTTGTATTCCTTTTGACCACAATTCGTTGTAGCGCTCGTTAACCAGAGTGGCCCCTGTATTCGATAAAAATATAAATATGGCTTGTGTGTAATCGATTTTATCGACGTTCGTTCGGTAATCGATCAGTGGTTTAACGGCGTTTAAAACTGAAGGTGGCATCAAGTGTACTTCATCGAAAATAAACAATTGTCTAGAGCAACTCGTTAGATTTCCTTTTAACCAAGAATAAAGGTTATCCTAAAATTGCAAAAATTATGTTATGCAGGTTGTGAGTGGATAGTAAAGTACTTACTTTATATTGCTTGGCATGGCTGTCTTCGGGAAAATGGATTCTTCCAATAAAATTATGTATGTAGTTACTTTTGAAGCCCCTCTTGTAGAGATGATCGACTATGAAGGATGAAACGTAATTCTTACCGCTACCTGCCCATCCGTGGAAACTTAGAGTTAGAGGCTTCGGGGGTTTAAAATGTATGTGGCTCGATATAGCATCTATAGCGACTTCTACTAAATGCTGGCCGTAAATTTTAGATTTTATTGTTGAGTATAAACCTACAATAAGTGAATTTAGTTTATATCGTAGAATTACTGGACACGATCAATTTGATGAGATTTTGCAAACGTAAACGCAATTTAAGGCTTAGAAATTGATAAAATGTGTTTACCTTTAATATCATTTATAATATAATCGTCATTACAACATTCTTGCACTAAACAAAGGGGGTTATAACTCCACGGTTTAACACACTTTAACCACATTAAAACTATTATTAAAAAAGTACTTTTATAATTTAACCACATATTGATTATTTAAGTAAAACTTATCCTAATTATATTATTACTCTTTCAACATTCAACTGTAAAGGTAAAGGTAAAGTAACCTCCAAAAAGGTGGTTAATTAATTCTATCCTAAAGATGTGACTATAGACATAACATATAAAAGACCATTTTCAATTTCTCCTTTTCTATTATTTTGCCAATGTTCCATCAATTTCAAAAATAACTCCAAATTTCATTTTTTTCAAAAGTTCCAAAAGTTCGTAAAGGGAGATTTTATTCTAACATTCTAAATTATTATAAAACACTATATCCAATTATTTTAAAGTTATAATTAAATTAATTCTGTATTCATAATTTTGAATGGATATCCTTTAAAATATTAATCCAAAAAAATATTATTTTGATCAATGACTCCAAAAACGTGATGCTCAATTGTTTTCACCATTGTAATCAGAGGAAAAATACTAATAGTTTGCTCATTTAACCGATGTCGTAATTTCAAAATTATAGAAGTTACCAATGACGAACACTTAATTTGGATAACCCTGTATACTATAATGTATACATATAATTTCCATACCAACTATATCACCCTATTTCGTATGCATTATTTATTATTTATGATCAATTATTCGTATCGGCTCATCATCTTTTACGCGATGAATCAGTTTTCAAATCTCTTTTGCCCCCTATTCGCTATATCCCCGAGAGTGATTCGGGATGATTTTATTGCAAAAAATCGAACGTGGACATTGCGCAGTAGCGAGACCGAGCGCAATCCATATTCCGGAATGCGAAAGCCATCCGCCGATCCTGCGGGATAATTCATACTACATTTTTCGCCGCCTCCAACATAAAGACCGAGAAGAATTAATCAAAAATAACCGCTCCTCGAGTGCCTTAATAGACCGTACGTGAGCCGAATGCCGCGATGAGCACCGATGGAAATCTCTTGCTCCTCGGATTTTTCGCGATTTTCGCTTTATTTAGAGGTAAGTCTCGCACATTCCTCGCATTCCTCTCGCGCTTTACAACATGGGCGGGGAAACTCGCCGTTTTTCACACCGCTAATCCCGCATTTTCCTCTTTATTAAGCATTTATATTTAGAAACTCATCTTGTCTACAATAAAATATCATTGTTAATTAATTTACTTAGATGGTACGTGCCTCGAATTAAGAATAGAAGTGCCTGAAGCGGTCCTGAAGGGCCGAGAAGTGGTCTTGAAGTGCCTGTTCGACCTCGAAGGCGACAAACTATATTCCGTGAAATGGTATCACGATTCATCCGAATTCTACAGGTATTACAAGCTACATCTTTCGTTATCTGCACAAAACAATTATACATTTTTCAGATTCACGCCGAATGGGAAACACTCCTCCACCCCTTTTCAACTGAAGGGCTTCCACGTGGTACAAGACAGATCGAATTCGAACCAAGTCGTCCTGAAGCACGCCACCAAGGCTTTAACTGGACAGTACAGTTGCGAAGTCACCGAGGATCAGCCCAGTTTCTATACTGAAATGAAAACTGCTTACTTAGAGGTATTATTTTCTGGCTTCAGAACTACTATTTTTGGTCCTCATCAACAGCTCTCTTTAAATCCACTGCTGGATTAGATATATCTTTGTCTTTAACTCAGTCGCCACTATATCAACATTTTTGTCCATTCATTCGCGCCACATCCTGCAAAGTTCCATTTTAATTTTGGTATTCCTTCTACCACATACCACAATGATCTTTTAGAGTGATGATTCCTAGCATTGATCTTTTTATTCGTTTTTGGACCACTCTTAATTTTAAAACGCTTCTTTTTGTTAAGTGGTGTTTGATGATCTGAAACCTTTCTCTTCATCTCTTCATTCAAATTGGTGTGGTCAAACTCTTGAACATTTTTCACAAAAAAACACTTTATGATCCTAGTTTAGAGTCTATGTTGGATCTTTCTTTGGTTCCACCAGAACCTGGAGTCCTTCTAAAGCTACTAAAACAGATTATTCCAGACCCTCTTTACACGCATTTGGTTGTTTGTTGCCAGGTGGTGGATCCGCCTCAGAGCGACCCGATCATCGTGGGCACCAAATCGAAGTACAAGCTGGGCGACTACGTGAAGGCGACCTGCTCGTCGGAGAAGTCGGCGCCGGCGGTGAACCTGACGTGGCACGTGAACGGCCGCCCGGCGGACGAGTCGCTGGTGAAGCACCACCGGAAAACCGTCGAGGGGAAGTACATAAAGTACGCGCGATTGCCTCTGGATAGCTCGAATTGTTGCTAATGGATTTGTTTCAGTTCCTATGCGACGTTGCAGTTCGGCATGACGGAGCAACAGTACAACGAAGGCGCGATAAAGCTGCGATGTACTGCGAGTATTCATGATGTGTGGCAGCGCACTGTGGAGAAGGTGGTGGAGATAAAGAAACCGAATTTCGATAGCTATAATACATCTCCTGCTTGGATGCGACCTCCTAGTACGAGTACGGAACGTCCTAGGGTCAGCAACGAGCATTACTGGCTATACGTTTCCAAAAATAGCTTGGAGAGTGATGGTAAGTACTGCTTCTACAGTATGTACGAACTGATCCGCTGCAAGCATATAATGAGAATAATGAGATAGCTAATTTAACTTTTGCTATGTAAGGAATAAAGAGAACATACGAAATAGTCACGCCCGCTATCCCCGCTATTCGCTAGTGAACGAAGCGAAGCGAATTGACGAATTCTAATATCGGCCGGCAACCGATAAACAAGTTTCTGTTCTTTACTATCTTATAGTATTGATTGAGATTCTAATTCTAACGCTTGCAGCGGAAGAATTCGTACACTCTGTATATCATCCTGGTTAGAATAAAATTTATTCTTCGTTGTAGATCAGACTGGGAATAGCACGAATTCAGCGAGTATCGAGTGCGTGGGGAAAGCGATATTTTTAATTTCCATAGCGGTGTACGTAAGTTGATGGTAGATGGAATGTTTTAAATTTTTATTTTTAAAACAAATATACTTCCAAGGTTTCTATTGTGATAATGTTCCAAAGATTGAATGTGTTCTATATAAATTTGCCAAAGCTTGAATTCTGACAATATAAGATGTGTAAAAAAATAATTGTTATTATAAGAATTATTGTGAGATTATTATATATTCGTATATGTCAAATAAAAGTTAAAAATCCAGTTGTTGATTTTCTACCTTATTTGTTCTTCTAGATTCATCACAAAATACTCTTCCTCCTGCTAGTTAATGTTAAATAAGAAACAAAGAACTAAAACAGTTGGATAAATTCATGCTAATTACTATAACAAAAGCGTAACTACACAAACTAATTACATACACTACTTTTTACGCTTTAGAATATCAACAAAAAAAACCAAAAGACAATATTCTATATAAATATATTTACAAATGTCTATGTACAATTTACGAATTGCAATATTACAGATAATTTACAATCCTTTTAAAAAAAAACCTTGATGTAATCGATGACTCGGATAATAAAAAAATCGAAACATTTAGAAAAAACTAACAATAACAATTATGTACAGATGAAAGTACAATTATAATGATCGCTTTTGATGAAATGTGCACTTGCGCCTCTTTGTATATAATTCTTTCAAATAAAAAAAATCAACCGACTGAAATGTTACGCGTTGAATATAAAATCGAATAATCTTTCAGAATATGGTAATTTTAGTAAATTAAATTTCAAGTTGTATATTAAACTCGAGTCGCTCACATCCCTTTTTATTAACGATATTTACAAATAATACATTCCTGCAAAATTGTATAACTAACAAAACTAATTCGGTTATTGAAAAAATAGTAAAAAGTTTAGAACTCAAAGGTTGTACACATTTTTTTAAAATAAAATAGTTTAAAAGTTATAACTTGTAAGTAATGTTCTTTACCTTCTATTTTAGGAATATCACCAATTTAAAATTAAAATTCTTTAAAAAAATCAACAAACTACATTATTTTCTTCAATTTTATTCAAATATATCGATAAACAAAAAAAATAAATCTTTTGCAAAAACAAAATGATTTCAATTTACTCTTCTAAGATAGGGAATTTTATAAACTACCGACTATAAATCATTCTTCGCCTTAAACTACTCGCAGTTTATCAAATTTAATTCAACTATAACACAACAATAACAAAAAATCGCCATTTTTTTTTACGAAAATATCGCACATTTCTTACGACTTGATCTATTGAAAGAGTTAATACAGAGGAGACGAAAGTGAGTCAACAACAAGTTTAGAAGTATACAATGTACGCAAAGGTGTTTTGTTTTCACTTCATTTCATTCGTGACAATTTATTGCCTACTGATGAGAGACATGGGCAGTGTTTTCTTCACATCGGATAATCTTGTCGCTTAAGGAACAAACGCCGTTCGCGCTGGGAGGGTTCGACTTCGAGGAAACTTATAGCAATACGCACGAAGACATGTTGTTTCCGTCAATCGCTGTCCGACATCACTTTTTTTCGTTTCTTTGGCTGCTTGGGTTTCACTATTTCTTCTTCCTGCAACACGCACAAAAAATCCTTCTTTAGCAAATTTACCAAAGATACGATCGATACTAATAGTTTATGGTTGACCCATTAATAAAATTAAATAAAATTACTTGATGCGTTGCATCAGTTGCCAAATACCCACATGCTCTCGTTGCAATAAAAATAGATAGAAATACCGGGTGTACCAGTATACTTTTACCCTATTTTTAGAATTGGTAGCCATTAAGTATAAGGGAAATTGTAATGGAGCAATTGTGTGTTTTACTTGAAAGTGTATATTGAAAAAAACTTGACTTTCTTACGAGCTATATTTCGCCTTATTATAACCGAAATATACAGGGTTTTTCAGGGTAATAGTCCATTAGAACTTTTAGGAGGTCCTGAAAAAAGGGCCAAAAAAAGGAATACCTTCATGATCGAAAAGGGCATAAAAACCGTAATTTACAGAGAGATTGAGCGAAATGGGCCGTTGCTCAATGCCTTAGAATAAGAGTTGATCCATTTGAATTAATTAAATTATGGCCACTGATTAATGAGTCTTGAGAACCCAGTTAAGTTTCATTTATTACTGTAACTGGACATTACCGATACCAAATTTAAAATTTCTAAGTGCATTATTAATAGATATAGAAAATACATTAAGTCGTTTTTGTGCATTTTTTGGCACATTACGCTTTTATCAAAGTCTAGTTAAATAGGGCCACATAATCCAAAAATTAAATTAAAAATGGTACTTTCTATTTGAAATAAAGCAGTTGACATCTACTTCCTGTACAACCAGAAGTTACGGTTGCAAACATTTTAGAAAAACTCCTAAATATGTCATATACTAATTCTCATATGTCACCTGCCATAATACAGAGTGTCCCAATGAAAAGTAGTCCATTTAATCAGCTTATAACTTTTAAACGCTTAATTATAAAAACTTGTGGTGTATGTTTTATTTTGTTATAAGTTTTGTTGCAGTGGTACAGAAATCATGCATTACCAGTATAGAGTGTTTTATCAACATCTCTTTTAAATTCCCATTAACCATTTTTTAATGGAACATCCCGTATAGTTAGAAGTATTCTGAAGGATATACTGTTCTACTTTTCATTATTCTACAAAAAGAAGGTGTCCCATTTGATAAAATTTTAATAATGTGAATTGAAAAGAGGGAATTTTGATAAAATACCCTGTACAGGTGACACAAAATGTCTGTGTCACTGTAACAAAAAGTTATAGCAAAATAAAATATATCCGCAAATGGTTTTTATGATTAGGCGTTTAAAAGTTATAAGCTGATTAAATGAGCTACTTTTCATTGGGACACCCTGTATATATCACTTGGCAACAAGTTCTAATGAAAGACTACCGTGAAAATAACGAGATATGTAAATTAGTTGAATTGGCCCTGTATATTAGTGAATCCCTGTATATTATTCATGGTACTCAAATACTTCAAATCATTATCAGTTATGCAGATTACACTGTCACTAATTTTAATCTACAAATGATAATATCGTTAATAAAGCAAAGCACACATAAATTAGCATCGCATCAATATTAATTCGCAATATTAACAACTTACTTCGCTGCTATCATCGGAAGAATCCGACGGTAGGATGGGTACTCTGAGAATCTCCCTTCTACTGGCGACGGTATTCTTGTTGGCAGGTTTCCTGCCGCGTCCCTGCGACCGTTTGGTCGAGCTCACCTCCTCCTCCTCCTCCATCAGGCCGAACAATTCGCTAAACTGCTTCCTCTGGCTGTCGTTGCTGTTGTTGTGCGCGATACTGAGCGCCCGTTGCATCGAATCGAGCGTATAAATGGCCATGCAATCGTGTTTCTCGCATATGATTCTCAACTTCTCCAAATGGCCGAGCACTTGGTCCGCACTAGGTACCGTGGTACTCAACGTTTTACTCGTAGCGGACCGTTTCCGCTTGTTGGGCGACGTCGACGGGTACCGCGTACTTAACAACGAGGAAATTAATTCGGCCACTTTGTCTATGTATTCGTCGCACCAGTATTTGATGATCGTGAATACGAACAGATCGCCGTTATCACAAATATCCCTAGAAAACAAGTGTTTAATGTAGTCGGCGTTGGGTTTTTCGAGTTTAAGCATAAGCGTAATGGCGGTTAAAGCTTCAGAATGCTGTTCGTAATCTAGTTCCGTGATCAACGGTAGAACGGTGTCGATGGAGACGTTGTGGGCGCTGACGAGCTGCCACAGGAAAAACTGCTCGATGCTCTCCCATGTCAAACTGGCCTTCAACAGCGGTACGATACTTTCAGTCTTAAACATCATCAGATGCCCTTGGAGTACTTTTCCCACTAACGTTTGCAACTGTTTCGGATCTATTGCTGATATTATTACCCTTAAAACTTGAGCATTATTTAAAGTTTGTTGTTTAAAGTCTCTGTATAGATCTGGCACGATCCACATCATCAATTTCGTATCACTGATATGACAGGCGTTCAAATCGTCAAACAAACAAATGTCTACTTTCTTTTCTAAGCAGTGGCAAAAGTCTTTGTACACACTAATTTTCAGGGCGCTCGCGACCGAATGGTCCTCCTTTTTGTTCTCCTTCCAAATCTTCGCTTTGAGGTAAAATATGAGCAGGTAACCGAGACTCGGCATATCACTATACATTTCTGCAATTAATTTGTACAAAACGTCCTTCCCCAACTCGTCCTTACCCAAACCGTACAGCGTTTTATATAGAGTAAACAGCGGAGACTTCATGCTGTCGGCTAGATTTTCTTCCGTCAACGATTCGGGGAATAGTTCGCCCGTTACCTCGGTTTTCACGCAATTAACGAGACATTTCGCGACGGCCGGCAAATTCTCATCGTCCTCGTCCAAGTCCATCACTTGCTGAATGACTTTCTCCATTAGTTCGTTCCGTTCGTCCGAATCCGTCTCGTTCTCGAGCTTCTGTAAGGTCTCCCCGATGGGGCCCTCGATGAAGTTCTCATTGTTCTTGTTTTTATCTTTTAACTTTATTTTAGCCAGTGGAATGTCATCGTCTTCTTCGTCGCTGTTGTAATTGATAGGCGGATTTATTCTTAAGCCGGTCTCCTCCTCGTCGTCGCTGAAAGCCGGTTCTGTGTCCATGATGTGATTGTTCATGAGCGAAAGAGATTCATTGTCTTCGAATTTAATGGAGTTGGGCGTGTTTAGAATATCTTTGGAAGAGGATTCTAAGGATACCGAATTACAGAACTCTCTAAACGTGTCTTGTACCATATTTCTTAGGTCTCTGTCCAATTTGGCGTTATCGAAGAGAGGTAAAAGCGACGGTAAGACTCTTTTATCCAAGATTTGCCTCAGAGATGTGAATATACCCGCTTTGACTTTATCCGATAGCGGTGGGTAAAAATTCGATATAATCCTGCACAGAAAGTCCAATAGTGTAGCAGAAACGGCTGGATGGGATCTCATGGAATGGTGCATTACTAATATAGCCGGTTCGATATTCATGATGTTATCCTTTTCACTATCGAAAAATAGCCAATCGTAAAATAAAGCTAATTTAGCGTTAGATACTGCTACTGTTGATGTACAGGTGGTTAATAGCCATCCGATAACAGCCCATCTCGGTATTATATCGGAACAAAGTAACTCATTGGTGGGATGGATAACACCAACAATGAAACGTATAATATCACATCGAAGACTTTGTGATTCTGGTGTAGCTAAGTACTGCTTTTGGAACCAGTCTTGGTAACGTTTGTGATTTCCAAATCTAACTTGCGACGTTAAGAATACGAGCTTCCTTTCCATTTCGGGCGTCAATCTGGATTGGAGAAACCTGCGGGACGTTCTGTTTTGCAGCAACTGTAAAATTCCAGTAAAATTAGGAGACAACGACTTGGGCGTTAACAACATGTCCTTCCAAAGTTGTTCGAATTCAGGTATCCTAGCGACATTTTGTAAAAGCCTAACTAAATCTCTTCCGATAACTAAACACTCGTGAAAATGATCCCGCATAATACTTATTAAAAAATTAACTTCTTTTTGTCTCAATGTCGATAGATAAGGCGCGTTGTGATCTTCTATTAATCTTAGATACGTATAAACTACTGACGCTATTAAAAGTGGAAATTTCTCTAACCAGTTTTTGTATTCTATAAAAACATCGAGAAGGGATTCGATAAGCGTAATATTTTTTGGGGATACATCACCTCCGGCGGCATGTCTCATCATATTCCACACTAACGTGTCCACATTGGTCACTGCATTCTTTATCATCTCCCTCAAAAGCCATATCAACTGTTGTTTAACGATTTCATTGAAACGTAAATATCTGTCCAACACTAACTGTGATAAATTCGTAAGTATCAACCCGAAACCGTCGCGAGTTATCAACGTTAAGTCCCTGTAACTCTTACTAGCATTTTGCGGTTCAGTTAAAATCGTAACCAAAAGTCCGAACGATACTTCTTCATAACATTTCTCCTTCAATAGCGCTTTATTAATAGCCTCGTGCGCGTCCTTATCGCTCAATCCGGCCGTCGTGCTCTGCAGAAATTGGTAACTCCTTTCTAGTTTCTAAAAAATAAAAATCCAAATTTTAATTTTACCGCGCTTGCCGTCCTGTCAACGACGAAATACAAATAAAAAAAAGTCAAGGCGAGATTCACAATGGCGGACGTTTTACTACCTAATGATTTTTAACCGATTTACCTCTTCTAAATCATCTTTATTTTCTACAGGAGAAGTTAAAAATAATCTAGATGATCCCGTCGAAATCACTTCCATATCGCAAAATGGATAAAAACGGCCGCTACGAATTTCGCACTGTTGACAAACACAGCAGGGCCTGCATCGTTCCGTCCTCGGAAAATGTTTGTGAAAATCAAGCTCGCCTTGGTGACTTGGTTCCCGTGTGGTGGAGTTGGTACATCGCGCCGCGTTGCCAAGTCGTTTTATTTTCCCTATAACCGAGAAAAATCAATAAGCTTCTACGTATTTTGCTTGCGTGAACAATTTCAATTTCTGATTATATTTAAACTCGTTTGCTTTTTTTATGACATCATTATTAAATTATTTATAAATAAGCTCGGTTGTGTTCAGAGGTACACGAATTTAATGATATTTAGTTAGGGAAACTAGCTGTATGATATGATACCGAAATGAATATAATCCATAAAATATGAAAATTCTAATGTGATTTATTAGTATTAACTGAGTGGGGTTAAGTAGGGCAATTGCTTTAATTAATTTATTCCTGATTATAAACGAAAACACCTTTTAGTGTTTCCTTTTTAGTAGTTCTTAGTATTTCTTAAATAAATTTGAAATAATTTGTGTGTCTTTTTTATGTTTTTCAAGTGAAACCTTTTTGTCCCACTCGAAAAATGTCTGCATTTTAGTTTAGTTTACAGAGGAATGTAAACAAAGCTGAATGCAGCCTGATAGAAATAGAACAGATATCATATATCAAGCCCTCTAAATATTAATATAAATCAATGTATTAATTGATAATCAAAGAAAATTAGCAAGTAAATCAAAAGTAAATCTTGTGCTGACCTTTTCAATATCAATATTTGGCCTTTTACTATTACTTTATCTAAACGATTTCTTCTTTTTTATTTAAGAACATATGTGTCACCAATATTTGTAGTGACTGAATACCACAAAAAAACAGTGATTTATTTACAATTTATATCCTTCTCCTACTCCTCCACATTTTATTTTTACTAAAAATTGTACACAAACTGCACGTAAAAGTAAACACGTCACAAATATTTAACTGACGTTATTTATGGAAATTGACCGAAATTTCTGAAGGAAATTGGGAATTTCCAAATGGCAGATGTAGCAGTGGACGTCTCAGGGGAAATGAGCCCCCCTTCAGCTCCCCTTCAACAAAGGTAATTTTTTATAAATCTTGTTGTTGACCTTATATGTGGCATATTGTGTTCCAGTTTCTTGAAAATCCCCACGGAACTGCCCGATCCGAAGGAGTGGATTAGCAAGCAGAGGCAAAACGTACGATCATGGATTCTATTCACCCAGACATCAAACTTCAAAGTGCCCCCTTCCCTACCCAGACTAGGCAAGAGGATCATGCGAAACATCGAATACTTTCAAGCGAATTATTTGTTCGTGTTCCTAGGACTTGTGGTTTATTGCCTGTAAATGTTTATTTTAATACTACACAGATATAATTTCTAAATCTCTTCTAATGCTCATTTATTTTTCAGGGTAACGTCACCACTTTTTCTTATAGCAATAGCAGGAACTTTTTATGTAGGATACCGCTTGAATAAGCGCCAACAAGAGAAGAAATTGGTGATATGTGGAAAGGAATTGACTTTAGCACAGCAATATGTACTTATAACAGTTTGTTCATGGCCCGTTTACTACTTAGTAGGAGGTTACGGAGTCATGTTTTGGCTCATGGGAGCTTCGTTAATAATTATTACTTTGCACGCTGCTTTTTACAATATTGAAGCGATTATTGCCAAGGACGAGGATTCTTACACGTTATTAGAGCAGGTTTAATGTCACAAATGTACATTAAACATTAAAATTTATTTCCCTTTATAATTCTATAATTTGCAAGTAACTGCAAATTCAAATATAGCTTTATCGAATTTTATATTGTAAATATATGTATATTATTATCAACAAGTTTTCAAATAATTTAGAAAGATAGAAATATTTTTACCATTTTTTAAGAAGAAAAAATTCCCCCAAGTCACATATTCCCTTAAAATCTACAGCATTCACATAGAAACATACAAATTAAATAAAACTTTTACAAAAAATGATGTTTTTAATCAAAATTATCAAAAGGCAACTCTTTACAAAAACTCCTTATATCTTCTTCATTTACAATCGTATTTGATTCACTGGCTAATTCTGTTTTGTTGCAGTTTGAATTAAAATCCTGTGGTATGAAAATCTCGGCAAAAGCCTGTTCTTTTCGATGAATATTGGCCCATCTTGCTGGGATTCTTACATCAAAAGATTTCCTAAAGACCATGCAATGCAAATGCTCTAGTTTTTCGTACTTCATCCTCGAAAAACCCATATCAGCCAGGACGAATCTCCAGGATTTTATATACTTTGCATTCCTTCCTAGGTGATTGGAATCGGGGGTTATTATCACGAGGATTCCTTCTGTTTTCAACAAATTGAAAGCTTTTTGGCAGGATAATTGTCTTTGTTGAGGAGAAGGTAAGTATTCTAAGAGTAAACTGAACACAATCACATCGAAATGGTCCCGTGGAAGTCGCGTAATTTCTTCGCCTTCGAAACAAAATGGACCATACTTGATTGATAAAAAATCACACTTATTCACTGTATTTACTGCCGGGGAAATGTCTATAGCAGTAACATTGAATTCTATAAATTGTTTAAAAGGATTGTAACAACTACCAACGTCTAACATCTTCCATTTGCCTGTAAAATCATCATACTTCGTATTAATACAAATATTCAATTTATCAGCTATTTCTAGTTCTTTATTTCTAGCAATAAACATGTCTCTTTCGAAGTAGTTAATACAAGCTTCGTGTACCCAAGAAATTCTTGAATTACTTGATGGATTCTTCCAATATTTTGTTGCTAATTCCTTCATTGCCAGTGAGTATTTGTCTAACGTTTCTTTATTTGTGCAGTGGTTTTTCCAAGCTTCATTAATACCTATAGTTTTGGACATCTTTCGTAAGTCCGCGTGCACGTTTTTAATAAAATCGGACGCCTCTAAATGCTCCTTTAGAGCCATAATTTTGGTAAAATTTTTATAAGTTTATGTATGTTTGAAAACTCGTGTTTAGTGTTTACAACGATTTGACGTTTATTGACTTCTTCTTTTTCATAATACAGTCACGTTATTTTTCTACTTTTTTTTCGGGTTAATGGTCGCGTTCATCCGTGCCACTCCGAAAAAAGCGCTACTTGATCGCTAGTTGATCGCTCAGGGAGCGATCAGGTAGCGCTATCTAGCATGGATGAACGCGATTTTGTGACATAACTGACATTTGACATTTTTGACATAAATCCCCAGTCAACACACAACCGAACCCTACAAAACACCACGTGGAAATAAGTGATCACTGATCAGGTAGCGTTGAGCATAAAATTTTTACGATCCAAAAGATGGCGTCCGCTACTTGAGCGATCAGGTAGCAAAACTGTCAAAACAAGCGTTCATCCGCGCCATCGGAATCGCTACCTGATCGCTCAAGTAGCAAGTGGCACGGATGAACGCGACCATTATGTTTAATGCCATATGTCATTTATCTGTCAACAAAGTCACACGCAAGTGTTCCATGCTGTTTTAAATCTACCGATCGTTTCCGTTTACAACGATTTGTTTAATTTTTTAAACGGTTTTTTACGTCGTTCGAAGTGAGTTTGGGAGCGCTTACAGGCAAAGTTTTACAGCATTATTGGCACATATTTATGCCCAACGTTTATATTGGGGATTATATCAGAAGAGTTTGTGAGTTTTCTGTGAGTCTATCGAGTGTTGTTTGTGTTTGTACAAAATGGACGCTTTTACAGAGGTGAGTTGATCTCCACCCCAACCGTTTTTAACCACGATTTATTTATCATTTCTTATCACGTACTTATCCGAAATTACAGAATATCCTCGCGCGGGCCAGGGAACGTCAGAAATTACTGGTATCCAGCAATAACGTCGAAAGGACGCCCCTCCGTGAAAACAACTCTGCTTTTGCAGAAGACCCCCAAAAATTACGCAGGGAGTCGCTCTCGGAATCGAACGTTCACTCCCCGTCGACGAGCGCCGACTCGCCTTTGAAAGGAGTCATTTCCGAAGGTAACCTGACTAAATTTACAAGGCAAAATTCAGTCACCCGAGTGTCCTCCGAAATGCCCGCATCACCGAAACCCCTATCCAAAACCCTGAACATCCAACAGGACAACTTCAACATGGAGATTAAAGTAACATCTTCAGACAACGTTAGGGTACAGGTGGAAATCGCTGAAACTGAAGAAAACGATGATAGCGAGGAAGCTTCCAGTGATAGTGGAATGAGAGTAGAGTCGAAGAGCAAGCTTAAACGGTTGGGTCAGTTATACGCAGGTAATTTGAACAACTTCATTAGAGTAATGATTGTATTAAATTGGGGTTATTGTTAAGGAGGGGACGAATGTAACATATCTTCACCCATACATAAAACCGAAGCGAAATTTTGCGCTAACGATTCAATGGAGGATAATGACAACCAAAATCAAATTCCTAAAACCCCTAGGAAGGGATTAAGCAAATTAGCAGACCTAGCTAATACAATAAATCAGTGGGAAGACGACCTGCATCACGTATGTACTGAACTACTAGATTCTTCAATATTCTACTAAATGTTCTATTAAATAGGTCCAACGGGACAAGAAGCAATCGCCGAAAAAGACTTGGAAAGCTCCAGCTCCGCAACCCCCAAGTTCGTCGCCCGCTAAAACTCGACCTGCTAGCGGGAAACCGAAGGCCCCCGAACCGCCGGTTAATGCTGGAGTTAACGAGGTTTGTACCCCCTCGAAGAAGGGTACCACGCAGGTCGTAGGAGCCATTACTAAAAACGTGAAATGGGATCAAAATGTCCTGGATAAACTGGTGAGTTCCAGTCTTGTGCATTGTGAATTCATTTCATTCGAGTAGCTTGCCTCTAATTCAATTCACGTCTTATAAAAAAAACCATTAATTTTCTCTTACTAATTCATTTTTGAATCGCCGCAGGAATCACAAGGATTTACTAGAACCGACTCGAGTTCACGCATAGTATATTCGTATAATTCGCAGGAAAACGATGAGGTAAAAAGTAGGAGTGAAGAGATACCAAGCAAAGAGAATGGAGTAAAAAAATTAACGAAACATTCGGAATCTAAAAAAGAACCCGAAGTTAAGGATAAATTCGTCAGTTTTCCGTCCAGCCCTACGAAAGCGCCATCGAGTCCTGCGAAAACCGTTCCGGTCCATTCGAGATTGAACAGAGTGGCCGAGAAAGCTGCAATTTTCGAAGGCAGCCCTACCAAGTCCTCTAAAGATCCCGCTCTGTTATCGGTATCCGAAAGAAAAGCGCTGTTCGAGAAAAATAAGGGAGAAGCGCTAATTCCGAAGGCGCCTTTCGGTATGGCCCCTGCTATGAAAATGGAAAATGTGGCGAAAGCCAGTCGCACGAAAATTATCAATCCTGGTAAATATATCACTACAGTCCCCTTTTAACGATTCTGTAACTTAGACACCTCAAGTTATACAAGCCGTTTAAAAGAAACAACAAAATTTAAATAAGGTATTATGTTTCAGAGCCTGCGAATACGGAGAAAGTGGTCGTTCAAATCGAAACAGCTCAAAGTCCTCGGAAAGCTTCAAAAAAAGTACCTGCTCCGAAACCGCCGGTTGAATCTCCCGCCCAACCGTCCGTTCCACAATCAAACGGTATAGCCAGTAAGTTGGCGGCTCTGCTGGAGAACAAATCTACGATTTCCCAGACTCAAATTGAAAGTAGCATTAAAAACGAGCGGCAAAAGGAAATGGACATGCTTTTGAACAGGTTTAACAGGAATAAACCGGTAAAGCGAATTCAAATGTTTATTTTCTTGGGCGATAATAAATAATATTAATATTATTTAGGTAACAAATGATGTCATTCGAGAAATGTCCGATGAAGATGACAGTGATGATGAAGAAGAAGAGACAGAGGAAACTTCTATGTTGAAATCCAAGCCTGCTAAAATTGTTTGCGGTGATAACGAGAGAAGAAGATCGGCAGAAAAACGAAAACCGTATAGTAAGTGTACTATTACAACCTGTATAGGCCAACATAATTTATTGTTTGTTTTAGGTAAAGGAGATAGCCCGAAGGTTGCAGCTGTATTAGAAGATGTCAAACGTATTAAAGTTACAGGACCGAAAGAAGGGAGATTGTATCCGAGTTTATCGGACATCGAAGCCACTACGGAGACTGAAACGGAAAATTACACGAGGACTCCTTCTCCGAATAACAGCAGCAGGTGCGATACAGCCACTAATTGGATACTATTTTGTTTATGTTTAGTATAATCATGGATTGGTGCGGCGATATAGGAAATTGTTTTAATCTAATTTCAGGACGATTATTCTCCTTATAGAAATTAATTATGAGTGATATATGCAATTTTAATCTTAAATGTTTATGTGTTGTTGAATTCGTATACGTACTATTTATTAGCGGGGAGGCGGTTTTAATAAAAAATTAAACTGTGCTTTCATTTCATTCATTCATAATCACCTGCATGCTTTTCATCTGGTCATGTCATGCTTGGGAAGTACGTACTTTGTAAAATCGCTTTTGTTGTAAAAGTTTAACCCAAACTTGTTGTTTCTTAGCTGTACTTTTGTGGAAATCGAAGTAAGCATTTGTACATTAACCACTTGTAACGTTTTATTTTTTTGTAACAATCTACTAACATCTTTTATTTTTTTATGTAGTTTGGATAGAAGTACCGATTCCGATGATCCTAATACTAGTTTCGGTCGTGATATATTGCAAACTGTGTGCAAAAGCCAAACTCCCCAGAAAAGGGTAAGTGATTAAATTAGACCAAGTTATAACTTGCTTAAATATTATATCTTCAAATGTTTAGCCTATTTACGATGAGAGCACAGCCAGCGATATATCCAGTATTTTGGATGACATGGATAATTACCTAGACGATTTAAGCAATGAGGATAACGCAAGCGTTGGTCCCACTCCGCCCAAACAAGTTCGTCAAGTTTATCAGAAAGTACGTTCATTAGAGTAAATTAATACAGAGGGTTTATTAAATATGTTTAATCCCACTTCTGATATTATCATTCATTCACGTTTTCTAGGAACACACCGAATTGCAACCCTCGAATTCGTTCAGTTACAAGAACTGCACTAGCCCTCAAAAAACAAACAAAACTCAAAAATCCGAACCCTCTCCGAACAAAACTCTACCAGAATACATCGTCGAAGGCGATAACGTTTTGCCCCTGACTCACACAGTGAGTTTTTACAGAAAACAACAGAATATGGTGAGTAAAAGAAACATGAAAATATCAAGTATCCTTGATAAAGTGCCTTCAAATCCCTGTAATTTCAGGTGCAATCGCCTGCGCGTCAAGTTACTCGACAGCCGAGCATCGAAGAGGCTCCGCTGGAAGAGGTCTGCGATGAAAGCGAGCAAGTCGAAAGGAAAATAAAGGAACTTCACGAGGAAATCCAGCGACAACAGAATGTCATTTCCCAAACTAGCCGGGCGTTGAATTTGTGCAGCTGCACGCCGGAATTCTCGGGCTCCACCGAGCAAGTCGAAGCAGAAAAGGTTTTGCTCTTAGCTAGTGAGTAAACAGGATGTTTGTTATTCATTTAATGAATTACTATTGAGTTTTACGCATCTCTAATGATTGTGTTGTTAATATTTAGCTCACAGAAGACAAGCGGCTCTTCATGAAATCCAACGATTAAAAGTCGAAAGAACGATAAGACCACAAGGTCAAAGGGCTACAGAGGTACCATCGGAGAAAGGTACATTGACCATTACCGATATTTTGTTGCCATTGAAGCAGAAGTACGTCAAAGCATTAGCTGCCGGTATGTGCATTAAACAGAACCTATAGAATTATTTTTACTGATTATTTATTTATAGCCGGTGGCAAAGGACATCACATCGTTTGTTTAATTAAGTGCGGGGAGCAGGTGGTACCAACGAAGCTCACATCTACTGTGATTCACAGCGTCAAGAACCCCGAAGCGGATTTAATAATACCGGGAACGGTTGTATTGCACGATGTATACGGGGATTTGGCCGTTACTTTCGAAGTGTATTGTCTGCAAGCTCAAGAGGAATTCCTGCCGCACGAGGTCAAATACCACATCAGTAAAAAAGTAGGTTAAATGACCCTTTTTTCCCTAATTAAATTACCTTGCGTGTATTAATTGCAGCCTGGAAGCAAATCTGCTACGCCCAAAAAGTCCAAACAAGAGTCCAAGATGGTGATGCCCTTGAGGGAATCCCCGGCCGGGCCTCAAGCAGTCAGAAGTTCCTCTTTTGCCCTAATGGGATACGCCGCATTTCCAGTACACGCTGTTAATAAGAAAGTCTGGAATTTAAATAACGTAAGCAACAAATACGAGTTGAATATTATTCAGTGTCTCTAATTTCATACTTTATGGACATAATGTATTAAATTGAATTTGTTTTAGACACCACCGATGAGTCCTTTGGAAGGTACAGTAGAAATGAAAATTTCCTGCAAATTGGCAATCAGCGTCGAACATAGAGGATTCCTGACAATGTTCGAAGACGTTTCTGGATTCGGTGCCTGGCACAGGAGATGGTGCTTACTAAAAGGTCATACTATATGCTACTGGAAATATCCAGAGGACGAGAAAAAAACGGTACATTTTAATTCTACATAATAACTTAGATTTTTCGTACCAAGAAAAATACTATAATACTTAAGTATCAATTTGTTTTTAGGCGCCGATTAATTCGATAGATCTTAAGAATTGCGTTACAAAAGACGTGAAGCAAGTCAACAGGGAAATTTGCGCGAGACAGCACACTTTCCTGTTGGAAATGGAAAGGCTAGCCTACCCAACGGATAAAGATAGCTTAGTGACTATCTGCAAAGGCGATAAAACGATTATAAGGTAATTATTTGAAACGACTCATTTCATAAAAATATTTCCTGCTTGTTTGAAATTAACGTTGAACAATTTGCGTTTTTTCTAGGCACTTACTGTCTGCTGATACGAAAGAGGAAAGGGTACAGTGGTGTACGAAATTGAATGCCTCTCTCGCAGCATTGAGAACATGGGGAAATTCTCACTAATGAGGATATTCTTAATATTAAGCTTATTCACTATTTTTATTAATGATTAATATAATAGCGAGTTTTTATGTTTTTAATAATTTTATACTTCAAGTAAAATAACATTTACTGCGCGTTAAAATTAGCGTTTCGTGCTAATTTTGCGAGCAAAATATTTCATTTTTTTATATATCTTATATAACCCGATTTATTTGTATAAAAATATTTACTAATTTGGCAGATTATTTTTGTTATACCAAGCCTATTTCCTTTTCATATTCTTCGTCAGTTATTTTCTTTTTCTTCAATTTTTTCAACATCGCTACATCTTTTTTCAATTCTTCCAAATCTTCCTCACTTATACCTATAATAGAATGATGATAATTTTAAAGAAATATAAATTATTTATCTAGCTTACGTTTACGCTTTTTTTTCTTTACTTCTCCTTGTGCAGCCAATTTCGCCTTTTTCTCTTTGCGTTTTCTTCGTTTCATTTTACGTTCTTCTTTCTTCTCTTTAGTTACAGACCAAGATTCAGTTGGTTTTTTAAATATTTGTTTACGTCCCGGCCACTTGCCTGCAAAATACTCCTTGTAATTTATTGTTAAATCATTACCAATAACTTACCCGTTATTTTGTAATGTTCCAATTTTTCCAGTCTCAGTTTTTCCCTAATTTTATCTTTATAAGTAACCGTATTTATATCGAAACCAGGTATTTCCGGAAAATCGGTGGTTACTCTATTCTTTAACTCCGGCATTTTGGGGAGTTGAAGTAAACCATATGTAGCTGCTACAGCGCCTAATGGCAATTCCTAAAGCCAAATAAAATACTATTAGATACAAACATAAGCGATATTTTAACAAACTCACCTTCACTTTCAATAAAATAGAACATTCATGTTTCGAGTAAGCTTGAATATGTGAAACGTAAGCTTGCACAGATTTCTCCATTAAAGCTCTGTCTGATTTTAAAACGCTTCTGATTCTATCCCTAATCGATACGATCTAAAAATTAATGGAGCAAATAAAACAAAATCAAAAACCTTATCATAACCGCACCTTTTCATCAGTAGCTAAATCTTCTTTATGCTCTAATTTGACTCTTTGATTGTTTTCGATGAAAGATACATACGTTTCCTCGTTCTCTAACAACAACAGAAGAGCGCAGCCCTCATTTCCTTGTCTTGCAGTTCTACCCACTCTATGTACAAAGGCGCTGGCGTTACCGGGGGGACCCCATTGAAGCACCCAATCTACCTTTAATTCAAATAAATTCAAATCCATACTGCTCATAATAAGCTGTAATTTTATACATACATAAGGAATATCGATTCCTCGAGCTAAAACATCTGTGCATAATAGCAAAGCTTTCTCGGTTGTTCTAAACGTCTCCAGGATTTTCGTCCTTTTCTCCTTCATTTTTCCATGTATGGCCAGCACGGGTAAATCTAATTCTTCTGGAATTATATGAGGGAAGATGTGTGACCAGTAATCGACTACAGCACACGTAGGTAGAAACAGGAGAGCTTTCCTCACTCGATTTTCTTGTATAAACGATATTAAAGATGAGAGTGTTCCTAAAAAGAAACGTCAGAATTGGATTGTATCGCCATATTTACTGAAAATAGGTTAAAGTGGATTAATATTTACCATTATTTTTTGTTATTGTGTAGTAGTTTGTTAGCAAATCAGGGGTACTTTGGGTTGTTTTCTCGGTTACGCTGACCAGAACAGGGTTTCTTAAACCGGCTCTAATTAAATTTTCCACTTCTTTGGTTTGTGTAGCGGAAAATAAACCAGTTCTCCTTTGTCTCGGTAAATAACTTAAAATAGTATCTAAAGTTTTTTGGAAACCCAAATCTAACAACCTATCAGCCTCGTCTAATATTAGAACTTCCTAAAAATTCAAAAAGTATATTAATTACAAGTGTATACTAAAAATGGATTGAATATTACCAAACTTTTTAATGATTTAGCAAGATTTAAATCGTATTTTCTGGTTAACAAATCTTCTAATCTTCCTGGTGTACAAATCACTATATTACCACCATTTTGTCTAAAATTGTTTACGTCTTCTTCCACACTATTACCGCCAACTAAGAGTATTTGCCTCAAGTTCTTAAAATCAAATAAAAACGTCTTATTATTAATACCTCCAAATATTACAATTACTTACTTTTACATGGACCAGCAACGTATTCAAAACATCTCTAGTTTGTAAAGCAAGTTCTCTCGTAGGAGAAATTACTAGTGCTCCGATTTGATGTTTATCCCACTTCTCTTCAATTTCTCGAGTCTTCAGTATTTGCAAAATAGGTATCAAAAACGCCAGAGTCTTTCCCGATCCTAAAACAATTACATTAAAACGAGGAACGTTAAATAAATCGGGAATAGATTACCAGTGACCGCTTCTGCTGCTACATCTTTTTTCTTCAACATCAATGGTATTGTGAAGGCCTGAACAGGCGTCATTGTGGGGAAATTTAATAACTTTATGGCATGTTTGACTTCCTTATCAATTAAACCGTCCAATTCTGTCCAACTCTTCGACATATTCGACTCTTCGATTAATTCAGTTTAGAAATTATAAAATAACATTCCTAAAATATAACCTCAAATAAATACATGGTACTTTGGCATTTGACGAGTAAACTTGTCTACTTCTTTTTTCAAAGAGGCCTACCCTATTAGGGCATTCAGCTGTATCTTTTTGTTATGGACTTTTTTCTAGTTTTTCTTTGATATCATATGTTCAGATAACTTGGAGGGTAGGTCTTGCAGGTTCATCCTTGTATTCTTCAATTATTAAAAGGAAAACGTTTGAACAAGTCTATAAATTGATATTTCACAAAAAAAAGAATTTGAACTATTTGTTCAAGAAAACCCGTCACCTGTCACTTGTCACATCGATGTCATTGAACTGTCAATGAACTACGATCGAAATACGGCGGCGTCAAGTGCAAAAATCTGAAATCAAAACAACCATAATTTGTAACAAAAAAGCGCAACGAAATAATGTAAACGAGCAAACAACAAACAAACAAGCAAAGCAATGGCCGCTGCGTCCGAAACTCCCCCGGCTGATGCCGCATGGATAAACTTCTGCGAAAGACATGCCCAAGCGGCCGCTCAGGATTTCTCCAAAAGTTGCGCTCAGTTCATCAATGTGAACTTACCCGAACACGCCAAGTCCACCGTCACTCACAAGGACTTCCTGCGAAAGTACCTCGAATTCTTCAAAGACCAGTTTGAAATGGACTTCAACAAGAGGCGGTTACACAACACTAAAATATCGAATGGGGTGAGTTCGAAGAGCGAGGAAGAACCATTAGAAAACGAAGACGGGTCACCCAAAATGCAACACAAACCGTTCTTTAGAAGGTCAGACAATAATCAATAAACAAACCACAATTATAATCATTACTTTCGTTTTATAGACTCAGCTTTAAAGTGCTGAGAAAAAGCAAAGACTTATTCCACAAGCAACATTCAGAGGACACAGACCTGACTCACAGTAAAACTAAGCTAGCAAAGATCGTCGTCGAATGCAGGAAGGAAGGTATAGTCAATTACTCGACTCCGGAAAGCCTCGACCAGCCCGGAGGCCCCCCGAAATGGGAGAAATGCCGTTTACAACTAGTAAAAGCCACTGGAGGTTACATGCTCGAGTTCTATTCGCCCCCAAAGAATCAAAAAGTTAGTCAAAGATATATTATAATGTTGATAAATTAAAACATTTGTATTTTGTAGCCCCGAAGCGGAGTGTTTTGCGCATTGATAACAGAAGCCAGAGAAACGACTGCTTTAGAAATGCCAGATCACGAGAACACCTTCGTATTGAAAGCCAGCAACAACATGGAGTTTGTGATCGAAGCCCTAGACACCGACGACATGAGATCCTGGCTGGCCACCATTCGATACTGCATGAGATCAGGCCCCAGCGGTCAAGAATCCTCTGCCGGAGAACACAAAGACTACCATCACCCCGAAGCGCCGGACCTGCCTCCGAGGCATCTGGCTGGCCGAGGCGGCGACCGGTTGTCGTCGAGCTCGAACTTCGAGATTTGTCCGAATACCGGTGAACCGGTGAATCGTAAGTGTTAGGTATTACAAGTAATCGTAAGGCTCTTATTCGAATGTATATTGCAGCTATGGAGAGTGATATAGGGCAGACGTTGAAGAAGGAATTGTGGTTTCACGGCATGCTGGGCAGGACTGAAGCCGCTCAGCAAGTACTGCACGACGGGGCTACGGGACATGGAAGGTTTTTGGTCAGGCAGAGCGAAACTAGGACCGGAGAATTTGTGTTAACCTTCAATTTCCAGGTTAGATAATATTTATAGCAAATTAAAATAACGTTGCTTCACAAGCTGAAGTAAACAGTGGATAACTCAATCCTTGAGGTTATCTCTAAAACTTACAAGTAAAAGTCCCTTATAATATCGTCTTCAACTGCTAATACAGGGTGTCTCATAAGTTGATACTTTTTTTTAACTGCATATAAATCTTTTAATTCTAATTGTAAGCACCTTTTCCAAGTATTTTTTTTAATATTCTGGAAAATAAAAAAGATGGAAATTCTTACAATTTCTTTAAATTTCGAATATTTTTTCAATAGGTACCTGACATTATCATACAGGTGTCAAAAAAATAATAAATAATTAATAAAAAATTAATTTTCAATTTTTGAATTGAATGGCTCATTTTTTACCAAATAATGAATTGGTGGACGTGCTGATTATTTACGGAGAGTGTTTCCAAAGCGTTTCCAATCAAAATGGCGACAATTTTGAGCAGTTCCTTTAACTTTTAATGAACAGGGTCGTATTAACTAACTTTTTAGTGATTAAAAATTAAAAAAACATGCTCTCTTATTTTCCAGAATATTAAAACATTTCACTTGAAAAAGTTGCTTAGAATTAAAAGATCTATAGGCAGTTAAAAAAAAAAGTATCAACATATGAGTCACCCTGTATATCTTTATAATACGACATTCTAACAAATCTTTTATGTTTCAGGGACGTGCGAAGCATCTTCGAATGACAATAAACGAGCAGGGCCAGTGTAGGGTCCAGCACTTTTGGTTCCAATCGATCTACGAGATGCTGGAGCACTTCCGATCGCAGCCCATTCCGTTGGAGAGCGGCGGCAATTCGGACGTGACGCTCACCGATTACATTCTGAATCCGAACGCGAGACAGCAGCACCAAGGTTCGACGGGCCGGAGCCCGACGGGCGTCGGCGTCGCGGCGCCACAGCCGGCGCTGACGAACGGACAGGGCCAGGAGCGCCGGGCGCCGCCCGTCCCCGAACCCAGACAAGTGAGATAAAAACGTGTTCGATGTGTGTCTTGTTTTTTTTTAATTTTTAGAATGTTAGTTAATTTTTCTTTTCGTGTCGGATATACGTTTCAGAATCGTTTGAGGAATGTTTTTCTTTTCTTATGAATTTCGGAGAGGATAGTTAGAAAATGGAAACAAAATAGTACATAAAGTAGAACTTTTCTACTTTACATTTAGATATATTTTGTTGGTTTAATCAAGGTAAATTATTTAGATTAGAACATGCGTTCCTACGTTTAATTCTATTGTGATTCCTACATTAATTTAAATAATTAGCGTCTCTTTAAGTTTCAAATTCTGTCAAATATTCTGAAATGCACTATTTACCTCATAGTGATATTGTTTTCTCTTTTTTTTTATTTTATATTCTGTATATAGATATAATATGTACATGTATGTATTTTGTGCCTTTTTTTCGCTTGATATGTACAGACTATTGCACTATTAATTTATTTTTTTAATAGAATGCTCAAATTATGAGAAAGGATGAGCTCTAACGGTCCTCTTAGGTGTTCATTATTATGCTTTTTTTAATATTATTTGCAATATTTTACATGTTAATACTCAACTGAACACTTGGGAGTTTTATTTGCAGTGGGAGTTTTTAATTGAGAACTAATTAACCGGGTTACTGTTAACAAAACTCTCGAGCCAACGCTTGGTTACTTAAAACTACAGCGGGTGTACAAAAAATAATAATGGAGTAATGATTTGATATATGGCGTATTGAGAAGTTATTAGAAATGAATTAATATTGAATGGATATTTTTATTTAGGATTTAAATAATACGCTCATTTTAATTTGAGTTTGTGGCAGTTTAAACATGGTATTATGAATTTTTTTCTAATAACTATGAAATGTATCAAAATTGCTCTTTTGAATGTACAAAAAAGGAATACCAGTGCAATCTCGCAGCTTTTAATTTAACTATTTCTTACGATAGTGTACACATTTTATTTTTGTATTTATAATTATTCATTTGCTATGTTAAATTGAAGCGTTGAAATGAAGAGTATCGAAGGTTTCCTTTTCAAAATTCGGCCTATTAACTAATAAAATTTAGCAAATTTTCGTTGAAAAATTATTCGATTTGGAACTTTCGCTTCATTTTTTTAAACTGCATATACGCGGTTTCTGAAAGAATGCGTTTAAATCTTAACGTATAATAATGCTCATTATTATACACCTATTATTACACCCGACATAACAGAAGGTGATCTATTTATATTATTTTAATTTATTAATTTAAGTATGGACATGTAAATACAACATTAAACATCATTTCGATAGTTTCATTTTACCTCCTATATGATTGAAACAATAAACAATTTTCCATTTAAAAGTCCCAAATTTTTGCACTTTTAATTTACAACGCCTCGCCTATTTAGCTATTTAATTTGCTTCATTTCTATGTAGTTCTACGAGTAATCGAAACACATTTCTTTTTGGATTGATTAATCGATTTGAAATCATGTACATATTTCACTGCGCTACGTAGAGTTTCGAATGAATGCAACTTTTCACAATTCCTGCTATTTTAATAAACATTTTTTCAAACAAAATTAAACGAGATAAAAACAAAAAATGTTTATTGAGAGAACCGCAAGCGATTAAAGCACGATTTTAGCTGATCGAAAGGGGCTGGCTCCAAATTTCTAGAATGTAGGGGGATTTTTTGCAGGTTCAAACGCACAATGGGAGTGTTAGAACTCAGGAGACTTCGATCGAGCAAATTCAGGCTGAGGCTTCAAATAGGGCCGTTGAAAATCAGTATAGTTTCGTATAAGTAACTGTATAAAGGGAACTTCATCGGTTTTCCATATATAGCTCGTCTTACTTTACAGACTTCTTAGTTTGTGAAACCAAATTAGTTTTCTTGTGTATAATAAAAAAGCTGCCAAAAAACCTACGACAATCATTCGAATTGTTTTTAGGTTTAATTATATATGGAAAATCGATTATTATCACATGTTATAGTCACAAATTAGGAATTGCAATTACTTCTTAAAATTTTTCATGTCTTATTTGAAAATGTATTTAAAATGATAGTGTTCTTTCTCAGGGTTATTGTTTCTTAACAATTGTTGGAAATATTACGCAGACTGTTTTAGGATAAGAATAATTTCTAGATTAATAAGTGACTAATTAAACGAATATCGCTTTAAAAATTAATTAATTCATTATAGCAATTATGGAATAAAGTTAATTGTGACGTTTAACTTTTGTTCGGCTCATCCCAAACACGCTTTTTCTTTTCAATTAAGTAACATCCTTTTCATATGCCGAGCGGACAACTCCGAGTGCTGGAATGCATATGTTATGGGTAAAGTTAGATAAACGACTAAACGTAGGTTTACCCTGGTAAAGTGCAAAATGCGGGTAATGTAGGGTACGTTTCTCATGGCATAACAGGAACCCAAGAAACCCAAAAACATCCTTCTTGGGTATTTCGCACTTTAGCCGGATAAACCTAGGTTTAGTCGTTTCTCTAGCTTTTTTTGTATATGTACATTAAATGAATCTATTGTTCACTTGATTAATCATTACTCGCTTCTAATACATTCAACTGCTCGTTTAGAAAGTCAACTAACTGAGACCCCGTGACCGTTTCTAAGCGCACTTTGCCCGTGATTATCCCTAATTTCACCGCCAGAACGTGCTTACAAGTGATGGCTTTCCTAGATTCCAATACTTGCAAACGGAACACGTTGCAATTGCAGAAATTTATATTATCTAAAATTGTATACTGCTCTTTGCTCGATACTATTTTATACACGTTCCGTAAACCTCCGTCTAATTTATAATCGATGATTCGACATTTGTCCAATAATTCCGCAGCTAATAAGAAAGGCTCGCCGAAGCAGGAATGCAAAACTTCAAGGTCTTTGTCTTCGACTAGAAAAATAACATTTAATATTAAAATCACTTCACCGATACCGTAAACACACCGTATTTATACTTACAAGTACCGCTTTCATTGTAATGTTGTTCAGCTTGACGAAGTAAATCGAACGCTAATTGAGGCACGAAACTTTTTTCCATTATCACTTAAATTTAATTAAGAACTACCGCGGGTTTTCTCTGTGAACGATCAACGCAACATAACCTCACTATTTTTTTTTGACAGGTTAGGTTTTGGCTAAAGTTACGATATCGTGACATTTGTCGGGCAAATTTATTGCAAATATACAGGAACAAAAAACATATTTACTAATCGGATTACTTTCCAGATGAATCAATTTAATGATCTTTGGCATTAATACAACTTTAAATGTCCTGTAATTTGATCTAAAACCTTCTTAGGTGCGGGTCCGATTGCTATCACAGTTCGAGTACCGGGGGCGACTTGAGTTTGCCCTGCATCTCTTATAATGCTAGATAATACCTTAAGTTCCTTCGCTTTCTTGTCTATGGCGAACAGGTCGTCTTCCGAGTCTAATCTTACAGCTATTTTTGTACCTCCTGCAAATAAAAAATTGTGTAATACTAGGAACGTGGAAGATGGAATTGAAAAGTACCGAATCGCAGCCATTTTCGAAGAAGCTCCGGCCTTTCCTTCTGGGCTTTAGCATATGCAGCCACCGCTGCATGTCCACATTGTGCGGCTACTTTGCCTTTCTGCATTTTCAAGTCGTTTCTAATTCCCATTATTAACCTATATTCATTTGTAATGTCTCCAAACTATAATATACGAAATACTGTGTTAGGCAAATAAGACATTGTAAAATTGAGTAATTATAAAGACCTCAAATCTTTCCTCCATGCCACTTTTCCAAACGTCGCTTGTTGGTTTTTGCCTAAATTTGAACATGATATAGGTAGTTAAGGCCCCAATTAAGGTACCCGTGCTGAATATTAAGTATGGATCACTTGCCACTATACCCATATTTCGATTTAAAATGTGTTGAAATTCAATTTTGAAAAGTGTGTTTTGGTGAACTTTCATTAACATTTCTTCTTTTTTATTAATAAACCCTAACCTCAATTATTTGACGTTTACGTCACGTCAATCAATAACGTCAACTGTCAATGTATCATCGCAATTGAATTGCCGATTTTACGGGCGATGGGCGAATCAAGTGCTAAATAAATTACACGAGTAGCGTAAACACATGAAATTATGTCTAGACTGATGGAATAAATAACGTTCACGCGATTCGTTCGTTGGTAAATTTTCCAAAGTGCAAGTACAAGCGGCATCGACATGAGTTTCACGTCGTTTTTCAAGAAGAGACCCCACAAAGAAGAAAACAACATCGTCGTAATAGGCACTCCGACGAACGTTAATCATGATATACACGTTACGGTGGACGAGAAGGGCCTCGTCACCGGATTACCGTCTGCCTGGATGAGGCAAATCGGCACCCAAATAACCAAAGACGAGCAAAGGGAAAACCCGTTAGTCGTTAAGCAAGTTTTGCAATATTACCACTTCTCCATAAAGAAGGGCAACCAGGAGAGGCCAGAATTTAAGCATATCGTTACCGAGAGGGATATCGTGGAGGAATCCAAGCAAATCGACCTTTATACTCAATCTAAGGATGCACATCAAAGCAAAGATTCCCTATCCGATTCGGATAAGGAGCAAAAGGAAATCAATCGGTAAGACAGGGTAATTTCAACATTCCAAAACGAATCGGTTTAATTCTTGTTAATAATATTGACTACACGTACAAGCTCATCGAGTTATAATGAGTTATAATTACTATTTGTTGTGAATTATAAAAAGAATGTGTGTTTGGAAAAAAACATAAATTTTTACCAAGTCTTTGATAAGTATATATCTTTCCATAACAGTGATTTGATAAAATTCTTTTTCTTTCATCGTTTCCAGTAAACAACTTCCTTTTTGATCTATGCACATCAAAGCAATCTATGACAGAATCTTTTAAATTTATCTCCTACTTAATTATATTTTTCTCAAGTTAGATTGTAATTCAGTACACATGCATTTCTTTAACACTGATTTCATATTTACTTAGTAATTGTAAGTTACATGTTATTGTTTAAATTTCATCATGGATATTATTTCCTTTTAGTACTTTATTATTTAATGTCACTACGTCAGTGGCCTGTATTCAGCGCCTACTTTAACCTTAAACACGGCTTTAGAGGGTCTCTTTAATGTAAACAAAGTCTTTAGTTACTCCATAACAGCAATGTACAAGTGTCAAGTTAGAGACGCGTCTAAAGGAGCGCTAAATATGGGCTAATATGTTTTAAGGTCGCCAAAGCACGCCCTCCAATTCGTAATTCGTGGGGTAATATAAAACTATTTTCCTAAATGTTTACAATATTGGTAAAATTGTTCCACAATGGATGGGATGAGAATAGTTTAACTAGTATAGATGTTCCGTGTTTGATTACACTTGACATAAAATCAAACGTACAACAAAGTAAAATAAGAAATTCTTTTCCCTGCAATTTGTAAAGATAAAAGTGGGGGTTTAAAAATAGTTAAAGTATTCTAAAAGTATCCCAGTGCACTGGTAATACCTTTGGCAAATAATGGCAAATAATCCAAAAATATCTGAAAAACGGAAACCTCTGGTACAGCTGTTGCTAGTCAAATTTGCAGAATTGTTCTGTGATTTGACATTCATCTTAGACTACACCATAATTTTACAGTAATTTATCATCATCATTTGCTAGAATACTTTACTTATTTTTTTCAATTTAATACATTTCGTGGATCAATATAAACTAGGAGACATTGTTCTATAATAAGTATTCTTTATCCTACTAAAATAATTCACACATTTGTTCAATGAAACTCGAGTTTAATAGAATTACGTTTTGCCATTTAAAAAGCACTGTAAATAATAGCAGGTTTTGATTTCAATTTTCTGAAATATCCAGGGTGAAAACGCCAAATGGAATAAATTCTTTATTTCGGTTAGTGTACATATTTATAGAAAAGCCCGAAACACGTCAAATTTTAATTATAAATTGACATTCTTCAATGTCAAAATGTGACTCCTATATTCAATCCCCTTTGAAGGACAGGTACAATTATTTAAATGGAACATATAGGCTTGTGATATTTAGTTTGAAAGATCTCTACATTAACTGTCCAAAAATGTTATTATTTTCAAGTTTATTTCAGAAATTAGCTTAAAACAAAACGATCTGATGGCCTAAATTCGATATATTACACTCAATATACTTAATTGTTCATAATGTAAAAATTATGAATCACCTCACCAAAGTTGTTATTGTATGCATTTCTGTTAATCTAACCATTTTTTCTGAGTTGCAATTAACGAAATTCAAACAAAAATTATAACACTGACTAATACTCTCACGCAGTTATAGTTACAAACCAATTTGCTAAGGCCTTTTATACAAACTAGTTTTATTTTTAACACTAAAACGCGATATAAGATTTCATTTTTTAATGCTAATTTTTAAAATAAACTGGAAACCAATAACATTTTTGGATAGAGAATAAAGAGACCTTTCACACGATATATCACAAACCTATACTTTCCATTTAAAAAGTAGGGATTGTAACAGTCATTCGAAGGGGGTTGAAGATAGGGCTCACATTTTGACGTTGAGGAATGTCAAATTATAATTAAAATTTGACGTGTTTCGGGGTTTTTTACAAATATGTGCATTAATCGAAATAATAGTCCATATTTATAAAAATGAAGCATTTACTTTGAAGTAAAAGGTAAAAGAAAAAGATAAGAGAAAAAGGTTTTAAAACCATAAAATATTTCGCTTTAAAGCAACAGCAGAGTCCTCGAAGCAAAACCTCTCTTCCTTTACTTCTTTTTGTGCATATACCTTGAAGTAATTGCTTCATTTTTTGAAGCAAAGGGTTATGCTTCTTTTTATAAATACGACCTAATGAGTTTATTCCATTTGGCGTTTCCACCCCGCATAATGCAGTTGGAGTGATTAAAAATTGGAGTTATCATTGCTTGGAGTCTCTATATTAGGTATAAGGAAGATTCAAATCAATTGATGAAGCCAAATTTGAATCCTACTAGAATTACTGAACCTATGTTTTGTAACATAACTTTGAAATAAAGTGTTACTTTATTTCATCTATTTGATTTGTGTATGGTCTCGTAAGAATATTGAATTATCTGTATCTCTAGGTGTTCGTATCCGGTCAGGCCTCCGAGAAAAATCGACGGAAGCAACTTGATCCAGACGAAGAACCTAGCTCAAAACCTGGTCGATTTGACGTTAGTGGAAAACGAGGAAGTGGAATTTCGAGATAAATCGGGCTCGAGCGCCGATTTGTTCGGGGACGATGACGTATCGAGACGGCGCAGCGGCCTCACCGACGAGGACTACATGATAGAAATACGTAAGATTTGCAACACGGGCAATCCGGACGATTACTACGAACGGAGCCACAAAGACTTGGGCTCGGGCGCTTCGGGCCTGGTGTTCGCGGCCACTTGCAAGAAAACTGGCGAATGGGTGGCCATCAAAGACATCGATATGACGAAGCAACACAAGAAGGATCTTCTGTTAAGCGAAATTAAAATAATGAAGAATTTCAAACATAAGAATTTAGTCAATTTCCTCGACGCTTTCGTCGTCAACGACGATCATTTGTACGTGGTGATGGAGCTACTGGACGGCGGCCCGTTGACCGACGTCGTCACCGAAACCGTCATGAAAGAGGGACAAATCGCCGCCGTTTGCTTCGAAGTATTAAAAGCCATCGATTATTTACACGAACGGGGCACCATCCACAGGGACATCAAGTCCGATAACGTACTGTTAGGCATGGACGGTACGGTGAAAGTGACCGATTTCGGTTTCTGCGCCAACGTGATCGGTAACGAGCAAAGGGAAACCATGGTCGGTACGCCCTATTGGATGGCCCCCGAAGTGGTTACTAGACAGAAATACGGTAAGAAAGTCGACATTTGGTCGTTAGGTATAATGATCGTCGAGATGCTCGACGGCGAGCCGCCCTATCTGCGCGAGCCGCCCTTGAGGGCGTTGTACTTGATCACTGCCAATGGAAGGCCGAAGATAACGAGATGGAATACGTTGTCGGAGAAACTGAAGAGTTTCATAGATCTAACGTTGCAAGTGGACGTCGATAAGAGGGCCACCGCCAAGGAATTGTTGCTCCACGAGTTTTTGGACGAGAAAATGGAGCTGAAAACGCTCACTCCTCTTATTAGAGCGGCTAAAAAAATGTTGCACAAAACTTAGGGAAATCTACTCAATTAGTTTAATAGCGACCACGCACCTTTGGCTCAATAATTGCTTTTAAATAATCCTTTCGGGCCGTGCAATTACACTTACTTTGCATATCGGAATGTTGCCTACATTGCATTTTTTTTAACCTACTCTTAATTGTATTTTTGTTGATTTCTTTTGTATTTTTCATTTGTAAAATCGTTTTAAAATTTACCATCTAGGGAAAAATCGATGTTTTATAAATTTTTTTATACTTATTAATATGGGTACATACCCAAAGGTAAAGTTATAATTACAATTCATGATTGAGGCATTTAATTGGCTATTTAACTAATCTTTTGTTAATCACTGGGCATTCGCATTAAGTTGAGTTAATCACCCCCCGAGGTTGACTTATTAAATTTATATTCTAATTTGAGGCTTTGAGAAATTCTATACAGGATGACCTATAAAAAAAGCAGAGTTCGGGTAGAAAAAATTGATTTTATTTGATTGATGATTGATAAACCATCATCATATTATTCCATCCCTTTGCCCCAGCGACCCCCAACCCTTAATAATTGAATAGGGAATATGAGTATTATAAGAAGAAAAGAAAGGTTTCTTTTTTCTGAAAATAACAAAAAAAATATCAAAATCCGTCGATTCGTTTTTGAAATTACATTTAAATTTACCTTTAAAGGTAAGATGTCCCCTCGATATAGAAATTGTCGTCTTTTACATCGATTTTCCAAAAATCAATTTTTTGTACGCAAAAACACCTGTTTCCTTTTCAATGGGCCACTCTGTATATTAAAATTTGTAAATGTATCGTAGACGATATCAGTGTGCCTTAATTATTTGTTGGTTTTATATAAAATTATGAAAGATTCGCCTTTCGAAGTAGTATTAAATGTGGTTTGATAGATAAAAGCTATAAGATAATTTCTGCTTAATTCAGCGTTTATTCGGAGCTTTATTTAATATTTTTTTCGCATTTATAGTTACAATAAATAACTTTTTGTTTTTGCATAAGAAAGTTAAGTTTTAGGTTGCAAAAAAATCCCTGATTATTTCTATTCTATCTGCAATATATTGCTGGTTTTTTATATAATCGAGTATGATAATTGTTTTTTAATATTTTTTTAATATTTAGGCCTAATCTAACTTTTCAAGTGGGTTGTTAATTTTACATTAACAATCCATATCTTATAGACTGCTTGCTTCTCCAAAAAATTATTATCAATGGGGACTTTTCCAAGTATTCAATTATTATTCCATCCAACTTTTTGATGTAAAAGTATTTTTTATAACCGTGCAATTTGCGCGATTTTTTAACATTTGTATTTAAATATAAGAGATGTGATCTATTTATAGTATGAATAAAAAAATATCAAATGATTTTGATTGAATTACATAAAATGTGAAATATTTAGGACCAAATATTTTTATACTTGTAGGATTATAAATATTTTTTTAAAAATATTATACCAGTCATTTAGCACGTTTTGTAAAATGTTAGTATTTTAAATTGTATATACAATATGGAATTATAAAAATATGTTTAAGAAATAAATTTTATTATGTATATTTTTGGTTTAATTTTACACGTTGCATAAATGGTGATCTACTCTAATTTAAGAGTCATCGATAAAAGTAAATATGCTTGAATAAAATTCAATATTTAATTAAAATTAACTCAGTTGACAGAGTAACGCCACACTTCTCTTAATCCAGTGAGAAATTTCTATATCCGTGTCCAACAGAATTGGCAACACGTAATTAGTGGAATGGCCGGTGGTAGATAATGTACCTTTTCTTTCAGCCGTTTTATAAACCGGAGCGGGATATCTGGTACCTTTAATAATTAAATACAAATATAGGTTTTTTTTAATACCTAATCAAATGTAGTTTGGCAGTTGAAAATTGCATTGGATGGGCAAACGAGGAAGAAAGATGGAGTCTCTGCAAGAGTCACTGTAATTTTATCTATTTTTTTTGGTCTATGTGAAAGCTGCTTCAAACATGATGGATTTATTTCAAGTATTTCATCAAAAATGTTAAGTAAATTTGATTTTCTTTAATAAAAGAAAATGTTCGTGAAAGTAGAGAGAAACTTATGTGCATAATAGTAGAGAAAAAATGTTGTTCATGAAGGTAGAGAAAAAATTGTGTGCGTAAAAGTAGAGAGAAAATTTTGTGCATAAAAATAGAGAAAAAATGTTGTCCAAGAAAGTAGAGAGAAAATGTTTATAAAAGTAGTGAAAATTTTGAGCATAAAAGTAGAAAGAGAGAAAATGTTTATAAAAGTAGAGAGAAAATTTTGTGTATGGTATCAAATTGTACATGGTACCAAAAAAAACCAAACAAGAATAAAACTTTTACAATCCTGTATAGAAATACAGATATAGAAAAATATAGGAAACTAAGCTTCTGAACTTTACACGAATTATTAGTTACAAATGTTGTTATGGCGCATTCAACTTTTTTAAATTTTCTAATGCCAAGCCACATTCGATGAGGTACATACCATTTTAAGCTTCATAATTATTTCAGAATCAATGTGTGACTATAAAATAGCCGAAGGTCGTAATAACTTACCAACTTCGAACTCAGAATTTAGTATAGGCTTGAACCAAATAGGCGACATAGTATCGTTTAGTATCTTAGGATACAATTCCGCCAAAAGATTGACTTCCTTATCCCACCTGGCCCCGTCAGTGAACAATCCATATATGTATGCCCCCTCGGTGGCCGCTTTATCTCGCGTATCTTTCAATATCTCAAAATCGAATGTTAACTTATCAATAGCTATCGTGTACCTCCTGGCATAATTCTGCTTCACACCAGTCAGAAAAGCCTGCGTAAAGTAGAAGCCCGATAACCAAAAGGTTGTCGGTTTGCCTGCAAAAGTTAAACAGTTTCATACATTCGTTTCTAACGAAGATATTTAAAATTACCCGTCATATACCACTTATTAAGGAAATCGAGCCGCGCAATAAAATCATTTACGTAACTCGGTAGGTTCTTTAAACTAGGATAAGAAACCGGTTTCCACAGATCGGGAATTCTCAGCAGCAGCAGCGACGCCGCAAACTTTTCATAATCCGGATTTATCGTAACCAAACCTGCAACAAACATCCCGCAATTTCTCCGATGGTTCTCGCATTATTCACATTACCTTCGATAATCTTCAGCATATTAGTCAAGGTGTCGGTGATGCGCTTCAAAAGCTTGTTGAACCTCTCCAGTTCCTGCACCAGGACGGTATTCATCGACTCGTTATAATCGACAGGGTACTTTCGAGCGGCCGCTTCGATATCGAAGAGCTTCGGCAACTTGTGCAAAATATCCGAGCAAAGTGTCAACAAGGTTTTATCGGTTTCTCCGCCGCCGGAACTCGACAGATCACCGTAGGCTTTCAACAGAGCGTTGAGAAGAAGACCGGAGTTCTGCAAGTCGCGCGTGATACCTAAAAGAACCAATTTGTGCAATCTTTTGGTATTCTCCCAATTTAATGGTGTATATAGCTAGGGATCAGTAACATCATTACCGGCGTTAGTGTGCAATCCGAACACTTCAGGCGGATGCACGAGCGGCAACGAAAGGATATGCTCGATGTACGCCTTGTAATCGTTCTTGTCGGGCAATCCGTAACAACTGCCCGCCTCGCTGAAGGTGTACTCCTTGTTGAGCACCACTTGCGGATTCAAATAATTCGCCAGAATGGTGACGATCAGTCGCCTGTCCCAATCGTCGGTCACCCTGCCGCCGTAATTGCATTCTCCTATCAGATAGCTCAGCACCTCGTAGGGATCTTCGCTTTCATTGATGAACATTTGCAACTGTTGCACCGATATATCGAAATCGGAATCGTTGAAACCTGAAATATATAATGGTTTGTGGTACTAACTTCTATCTTCGTTCATATGCTTATGATCGAGCGAAGCTAGAGAAGAGGCTGTTACTTACACTACGATGACCCATTAAGAATTTATGGAAAAGTAGTCGATATAAAATCGAGTAGTAAAGAGGATTGAAGTCTGGCGATCGAGCGGGTCATTTAAATGGATCATTAATTCTATCCTAGCTTCCAGCTTTCGAGATGTGGGCATATAGGAGAATCCTAGGAATAAGCTGGGCTAGCAGAACATCCAACAAAGAAGTGTTGAGGAAGTTGAAGAAGGAGACTAAAGTAAACACTTAAAATCGGAAAACTGCATTACCTCAACCACATGATGAGAGGAAAGAAATATGCTTCACTACAGAATATAATACAAAGGAACATATAGGACAAGCAAAGCATAGGAAGAAAACGCATCTCCTGGTTGAACAATCTGAGGAAGTGGTACAGCAGCAGCTCAATTCAACCAAGAATTCATCCTACAATAACTCAACTCATGGAGTTCCAAAAGGAATTTAACTATGAGATCAAACATCTTTCTTTAGAGGAAAAAGTCAACAAACAAATATCAATTATTTTTTCATATTCTTCTACTGTACCATCACCGTGATGCACAATGTATGGTATAGACTAATATTTTGGGTGTTTGTGGTAGAATTTACCATAGGCAATGTTCCATCCGAGAGGCCCGAAAGTGCGCCTTTCCTGCACGTTGGCGTGGAAGAAGGTGAGCCCGTAGAGGAGCCTGACGAACATGTCTTCGTGCTCGGGACAGCCCTTGTAAAATTCCGGATTCTTCACCGGATCGGTGATGTACGATTTGAGCAGGTTATTTTGCAGGCCCGTCGGCGGCTCGTTGGTCATTTTGACGCCCTTTTGCAGCAACGTCGAGGGGAATTTGGGCGACGGGTAACTGGTCAGCCACAATCTGAATTCCGGATGGGTGTTGCCGAAATCCAGACCGTCGAACAATTTTTCTAATGTGGGCATCCACGAGGTGGACAAGTGGCAATTTTGCAAGCAAATCCACATGCCCACTTCCTGGCCTTCCTCTATCAGAGCTTGGGCGATCGGGCCTTGACCTTAAGAGGGGAAAAAACATTAAAATAATTTAGATATTACACAGCTGTTGGTAAAAACCTTGTCCCAGTGACGTCGATTTGAATCTATCCAGCATCTTCTTATCTTCTGCGAATTTAATCAAAGCAGACATCGGATCCACTCCGGGGGATAAAATAAATATCAAAGGACTCAAGCAATAGGAATCGTCGAAAGACACCGATATGTTGAAAGGAGGCGGTTTAATGAACCTGGGATCCATTTCGTCTTGTATAAACAAACTAATGCAATTTATCAATTTATCCGGTCTGAGCAATCTGACTAGGATCAACCGCCTGAACGATGTGATCGTTTTGCGCCACATCGACGGTATGGGAAACGTTTCCGTGAAATTGTCGTAGATTCCTTTCCAATCTTTCACGTTAAGGAGAAACTTCTTAGTGAAACCTTGGAAGGCCTTCAGGCTCTCCACTTTGCCCATTTCCTCCCAGGACTTATCCGGCAACCAGTCGGGGCAGGGATTCGGCGCAGGATTTTCCGGACCGATACCTGGTTAAATTGATGATACGTTATTAGCGGAAGAGTGGTGTACACAGGGTGTTTCATTTGGAAATGGCAGTATCTAACGATTCCAAATGAAACATGCACCTTTTCGTTGACATGCCTGTAACTAGAAACAGAAATTCCTTTTCGTCTAACTTGTTCTGGGCCATCATGATCTTGGCGCAGAGGAGGAACGAGAAGAGCAGCTTGTCCTTTTCGAACAACGATCGGGCGATGTTGTTGTACAAGTCGTAGGTGAAGGCGCTGATCAAGCACTGGCATCGCTTTTCGATGATTTTGAATTTTTCCGCCCTTTGAATCGAACCGATGTACAAATTTATGAACCACTCCAGCGAATATTGGTACATCGTATCGACGTTGGCCAAATCGGCGATGCAATAGTACAGAACGGCCGAATGCGCGGAGACGCCCTTGTACTTCTCCCTGAATTCTTCGATGGATTTCTCTATCTTCGACGCCATTTGTTGTTTCTCCATGATTTCTATCACCAGGATTTTGGAATCGTCCAATATTTTTATAGCCCTGCCGTCCTCTAATATGTCTCCTTTAGATTCCGCTAGGGTTTGTAGAATCATATCTTCAGTTTCCTTCAGGGCTTTTTTATTATCGGCTTTCTGTACAGTGAGTTCTTCTTTTAGTTGTTGCAGATCCGGTTTCTCCACCGCCACAACTATACCTAAACGCAGATATTCAGATTAATTAGATGATATTACGCAAAAAATCTCAAATGAACCTAGCAGTTGTTCTTGCAATCCAGTCAAAGTCAACGCGAAATTGATTATAGTCACTTTGTTGAATATCTCCGGCAAATAGTGCGGGTTCCTCATTTTAGAAGTCAAATACAACTTGAAGTTCAAATTGTACTCGATGGCGCTCTCGCCGAGCTGTATCAAAAAGCCTTTGCCCTTCCTGAAGATCTGCTTGAACAGTATCGGATCCAACGGGGTCTCCAGGTTTTCCTCGATGTTCTCGATGAGAACCGGGTATCCCAACGGGATGCAGTACTCGATCCGCTTCATGTAATCGCTCATCGAGAATTTCAGTATCTCCAGATTGTTCTTCTTCTCCATTTTCTTGATCCAATTCGCCGCTTGCGCCTGCGGATCGATGAACAACGACCATCTTCTCGAGTTGTCCATTATGATACCTGGAATTCGAAGGCAAGGTGTGAAATTTGAATGCAAATTTATACCTCACCAAATGTAGCTTGGTAAGTGGAGGGTAGGGTACTTATTAAGGTACATTGTAGTTGTACCGTCTGGTAGCTCTTGGATGGTAAGAGAACTGAGTCTTTCTTTAACTTTGTTCATCTTCTTCCTCGTTTGAACATCTAATGCAATTTTCAAGTACGATGCTACACTTGGTGAGGTGTAGTTGAGCTACTTGTTTACCATTTTCGATGGAGAAAGCGTCCATAGGCAAGCCGTTTACGTTCCAATACTGTATGGTAACGTCGGAGCCGAGGACAGTGATCATATCGAAGACATCCGCCGTGGGTATATTGAGATTCTTCAAATAAAGGTGCCAATCTTCGACCAATCGCATTCTGAATGTGGCGTTGAACGGCGACAAGTACGATATTATACCGCACGCCAGTAGAATGTCGCCCGCGATACCGTCGTATTGCAATTGCAACGCCTCGGCGGCAGCGCCCCATCTGGCCTTCTCGCCACCTAAACCTCCTGCAAAACGACAAACAATTCGTACAGATCTTGCAAAGGTACATGTTCTACATACAGGGTGTCCCAAAATTCCGTGTACATAGAGTTACTGTGTGTTGGTGGGATAAAAATAAGTCGATTGAGCCAAAATTATCTATATTCAAAGTGCATTGTTTGCCTGTGAGGGAGCCTCAAAATTAAAAGAAAATTTTCAAAAATTTCTAATAACTCAAAAACGCTTCGTTCGATTTTCATAAAATTTGGTATGTGGCTATTTTAATTGAAAAGCCATTGTTTATAGCAAAAATTACTCAAAGTAAATTCCTATAAGGGTAAAAACCACCCCATCCCTACCATAAAAGACATCGTGTTTTTTTTGAGCGCCCCTGGTCTCTCAATTTTTTTTAAGAAAAAGTTGTTTTCATTTGGAACATTTTTTGTCTCTTGCAAAAAACCTCTAACTCTCATGGTATTTAAGTAAAAAATTATGCACGGATGGTTAGTGATAATAAAGCTTAGCCTAATAAAGCTAAGTTGGCGGTTATAACTATCCCAACCCAAGCACTGTGAATTTGATGATAATTCTAAAGTGTTCTAAATAATTCTAAACAGTTCTAAGTGATTCTAAAATATTGTAAATGATTCTGGAGCATTCTAAATGATTCTAGAACGTTCTAAATGGGTTCAGACAGCTCTAAAGGATTCTGAATTATTCTAAATAATTCTAAACAGTTCTAACTGATTCTGAAATATTGTAAATAGTTCTGGAGCATTCTAAATGATTCTAATACGTTCTAAATGGGTTTAGACAGTTATAAAGGATTCTGAGGTGTTCTAAATAATTCTAAACAGTTCTAAATGATTCTGAGATATTGTTAATTCTGTAGATTTACAATATTCTTCTGTAATTCTTGTATTCTTGTAATTCTGTGATTCTTGGAGCTTTCTAAATGATTGTACAACGTTCTAAGATACGTACCTATTAGTTTTTTGGCTCTAATAAGCTTGTTGTTGCACAATTCCACCTCGGCTTCCAGCTGTTCCTTCTTCAATATGGCTTCTTCGAGTTGCTGCGTCAAAGTGGCCAGTTGCTCTTCGAGCCTCCTGACTTGCTCCCGTTTCTCGGTGAGCGTGTTCATCGCCGTGGTGAATTCCTCTTCGGCGTTGGCAAGCGCCGCTTTCTTCGGCGCCACGATCTTAAACACACGTTCGTACATGTCCATGGCGATGATCCATTTGCACAGACCTAAATTATACAATTATTTATTGAATTGATTAAAATCGCAAGATCTATGCGAGGAGACTGAAGAGGACAGCAAACTGAACAGTACCGTCCATAAGTAGGTACAAAACCTGGGGAAGGATGTTTTTAGTTCTCAAAGATCTAGACACAACAAGGGTATTAAAACTCCTAAGGTTCATAAATACAGGGTGGCCCAGAATTCACCGGGAAATGTCTTATGGAAACGACAATGGAGATGCCAAAACAGCAGTCGAAAACATGAAAAAGTTTTTCTTGAAACGTTGAAAGTCGACCAAACCCAGTAGCAGTCTAAATTTACGAAAATGACGTGAATTAGCTCTAAACCAATTTGACATTGATGAAAGATTCTATGTCCTTTTCACTCTCAAGGTTAAGAAAAGTTGCAAAAATCAGCTGCGACTATTAATGAATGATTTGCTTCCAAATCGATCATTCAGGAGCTCCGTGGTGCTGATACCAAACCTACAGATTTTTTATTGTTTCAAGGGGGGGTCGAATCGAATGATCAATTTTTTTGATCAATTTGGAAGCAAATCTTTGATCAATAGTCATAGCTGATTTTGGCAGCTTTTGTTAATGTTAATATCAAATTGGTGGATCAAATTATCAGAAGACGATTTTAAAGAGTAAGCAGAGGCCAAAAAATAAAAGTTATATCGAGGAAACCGTTCCTCAATATTCGGAAAATGAATTCAAAGAACATTTCCGTATTACAGGATACCCAACAACTGCTCAAAGTGTTCCAGCCAGAAAAGTCCCAATCTTATAACGTACTTCCTAACTTACATCAGGTCATGCGCAATACAAAATTGAAACAAACATAATTTTAACATGCTGCTGGAACAAACCTATAGTGAACACTGGCAGAAACCATTAGCTTTTATATCAGCAGTGAAACTACATATGATCCTATAATCTAGGCTGTTACATGGCTGAAAAAACCTGCAGGCAAACAACAATATCAATGTATAAAGGTATACCTTCGGCCGCACTAGAGGCTTTTGCAACAATGTGAGGCTTGAAGTCCTTGTGCACGATGTACTCCTTCCTTATTTTAGCAATGGCTTCTGGTTTGATGTTATCCTTGTCGTAATCTTTCAGCGATTGCAGGAAGGTGTATTCGCCCAGCATTCTACAAGGAATTGCGTTTGGAAAAGATGTCGGATGAGGAACGGTGAGAGAGAGGAACGAACTTTTTACTGGGTCCCCAGAAGTCGTTGACCATTTTTCCGGACGATGGGTCGAGTATTCGGTCGGGTTTCACGCCTTTCATTATACATACGGCCGCCATTACTAGCTTGACCACATCCGGTGGATTTTTCATGGATTTTACCAGCACTATGTCGGACGGTTTCAAAATGTCCAAAGCCGCAGACGCCTAAAAACATACTTATTTTTGTAAATGACGTTTTATTTCTTTAATGAAAATAATGAGAGGAAACCAATATAGGTATAGCTTCTTTGTATCAATAGAGAAGAAGTGAATGTATGGGTTAATTGATAAAATATACATGGTTTTTCACAGTAACCGTTCATTAGAAGTTTTCGGAGTTCTAGCGTGGAAATACAACACACTCAAAAATGTTTTGTATATTACATATGAAGTTGGAATGCCACTGGCCATTTATTATTTGAAACGTCTTTTGTTAAATTGTTTTTATCATATTATGATTTCTCGTGCGTTGAAACACCTGTCTTCAAATTTTCATTTCGGTACATCCAAAATAATTCAAACTGTTGCGAAAATATTTTTTTTGATTTCAACTTTGACACTCTTTGACATCTTTTTTATTTTCAATATTTTACTAAAGCAAGTTGAGTCAGATTGTAATAGTTTGAGTCCGAGAATCTTCCCCTTCACTTTGAACCATTACTTACGGACCACCCTGTATATACACTCTCAAAAATGTTTTGCATAAATAGTAAACATTTAATACAACGAATTATTTGTAAAATTACTTATCAAAATTAGTTTCCAAAAGGCATAAACATCATTTAGAATTAACAATAAAAACAATTTAACAAAAGACATTTTAAACAATAAATGGGCAGTGGCATTTCAACTATACAGATTGCTTCAATTCAGACCGCAACATGGTCGTTTCTATGAGTTGAACAAAGAAAGATTGATAAAATAACAGTTGTCAGAGTGAAAAGTTGCAATGACACAAATGTCACTCTTTCCTTTTCCTTTGTAAGTGTCTAATGGAAGTTGTCTTTATCGCACATATAGCCTATATAACCTATGTTGCGATCTGGAATGAAGCACAGTGTATAATATGCAAAACATTTTTGAGTGTGTGTATGTTATATAGGGAGAAATGGTATAGGGTATTGGGAGAAATGTATTTTAGTCGAATTGACCTCTTCTAAAATGGGCAACGCCTCCGCCAAATCGGCCTCGCACTCGATTTTGAGAGCTTGCGCAGCCGCCGCTTGCTTGTTCACCACCTTCTCGTCCTGCTTCACCAATTCCGAAGCCTTTTCGACACCTATAGTTTCCTGTTCGATCTTCTTCAACATCTCCTCCGCCTGCTTGCTCATCACTGCCAGCATCGGCTGCAAAGCGTTCAAAGACTCCTGCATTTCACCTAAAAACAAACCACATGAATTAAAATAATTATCGGGTTAATTGGAATTATAGTCCGTATTTACCGATGCTGACGGCAGCGTGGTAGAGTTTCTCCAAACCGCCTTCGTACCGCCTCTTGGCGTTCATCAGCTCGGTCTGTTTCAGATCGGTCAAATCCGAGAAGGATTTGATCAGTTCCAAATAGGAAGCGGACGTGATGTACATATGCCTGCTGAATTCGGCGAAGAACGCTATCGAGGCATTCCTGGCTTCCACGTGGAAGTACTTGCAAGCCACCGTGCAGTATTCTCTCACTTTTTCTGCAAATCAACGAGACGTTAGTGAGGCGGTGAGCGAATGGTGAAAGAATTCTAGAACCGTCGAGATTGATTTCCTGCATCCAATTATGCGCTACTTGTTCCAAAGCCTCTTCCGGCCAATCCTCGAACCAATCGATCGTGCAGCAATTGATCAGAGCCGGATACAAACGCAGCCGATTCTTGAACGTCGCCCCCACGGGGCTGAAGCATACTATTATGTGCGTGCGCTCTTTACATCGATTGGTAAAGAAGAAGAATACTTCTAGTGGATCGATTTCTACGTTTCTGTTGCCGCCTTATAATTTAAGAATATTATTTATATTGTTATAAATGATGTGTATGGTGATAAATGGAAGATTAAAAATTAATGTTAGAAGAAATACTAAACTGAAGTAATATAAAGTTGTGGCTAAATATGTACTACTTCATGGAAGCAAGAACTGGAGAGTAACAAGTAGAGAAAATTGAAAGATAATTGAAGAAGATAAAATTTGTAGAGAGATCTATGAGAAGAGTAAAAGGAATTTAATAATGAAGAAGAAGATCGAAGAATACTTATATAGAAGACGTCAATTGCAAGCCTAGAGGGAAGGCGAAATATTGACAGGCCCATAGAAAAATGAGTAGCAGAGTAGGTAAGTAATATTTTGAAGACGAAACAGATAAGAATTCTTAAACTTTGAAAGAGTGACGAAGATGATGATAGTTTAAGAATGAAGAAGAAGATAGAAGAATACCCAAAGAAGCCCTCAATTACAAGCAGGAAGATACATGAGGAGTAAATTATACTTTGAAGACGAAACAGGCAAGTATGCTTAAACTTTGAAAGAGTGAAGAAGATAATGATAGTTTAAGAATGAAGAAGAAGATAGAATAATACCCAAAGAAGTCCTCAATTACAAGCTGGGGAAAGACGGAATGTTGGGAGACCCATACAAAAATGGGTAATAGAGTAATACTTCTTTTCAATTATCTAATACGAAGACGAAACAGGCATGAATGCTTAAATCTTGAAAATGATGATGATGATGATCGTTGTTTAAATGGGAATACATGAAAAAAAAACAAACCTTGAGCCGCCAATCGAACCATATCCATCAATTCCTGTTTCTCGTCAATGGCGTACATGTTGGGCACTTCGCCCGAATTCAACAGGCAATCGATATCCTGCAGGAAACACTCCTCCTTGATCTGACCTTCGGATATCAGGAAGATGCAGTCGTGACCGATACCACCAGATTCCTTCAAAATCTTCTTGATATCGTCGCGCCAATCGTTCACCGTGTAGTTGTTGGTGATTTCCGGCTGAAAAACGCTGTTGTCGTACATCTGACCGGCCAAGCGGGTCAACGATTGCCTGCCGGAGCCGCTGATGCCGATCTGCAAGATAACCAATTCAAATTATATTCCAAATTTTATTATATTGCCCAGCGCACCAGTAAAGCGCAGCCGCATTTCATGGACAACACCCTGCAAATTCTTCCCAGGTGTTCGATGGCGTAATCGAAGAGGACTATGTCCATGGGGGTGGTGTGGGTCGTGTTGTAATCGGCCATCGCCCTCAACGCTAGATCTTTCAAAGCGTCTATGTCCAAAACTTCCTCGTATTTTTTATCGTCGCCTTCGGTGTCCTGATCGAAGAAGGTGCCGAACAACAGCTTCCTCATCGATGTTATCGGTACGTAACCTGCAATGGTAGTGGTTATTGGAAGATTAATCAGCATTTGAGATTAATTCACCGGTTTCTTCGTCGTGCGGCAGGGTACTCAAAATATCGTCGAAATCTTCTCTAAAACTGGACTTTAAGGAATGCCTCAATTTATCGTACACCCACTGCCTGTCTTTATCTTCGGTGAGTCTGTCGTAGAAGATCCTCATTACCTCGTGTACCCAGAGTTTGGAAAATATCTTCTTGTTTTCCACGGATTCTCTTTTTAACAGCGAACAACCTGTTTACGAGCGTTTGATTAATGTAGGTTACTAAGAGGTTAATTAATTTTACCTTGAATTAGCCTCGAAAAATCTCTCAAATTAAATATGTAGTGGCTCTTCGAGGGCGTAGGCCGCAAATTTATCAACGCAACCTTAAATATATCCAAACTAGCGTTAATAATAGGCATGACTTGATTGATAATGTCGGAAGGAAATCCGTTAGCCTTCCAGCCTAATAAGAGTATGTTAGAGTATATTTTCGCCATGCTCTCCGTACTGAATTCGTTAATCGAATAAATGTTGAAATGCCTTAGGAATCTCGGGTAAATGTCCTGTCTACTGCCGCCCACCAAGCCCATGGCGCCGATAAATAGCACGTCGAACAACAGTATCGTTTCTGTTGTCTTCAAATCGTACCTGAATCCAGCACAATTACAAATTAACAATTATCTCTCACACAGGAGATCGTATGTACCAATTTTTGTGATCGAAAAATTGCCTCAACAATTCCAACGGTGGTTGTGCGCCGTATATTTCCTTCACCGGCATGTTGACGTCGTCGATGAAAATGACGGAGAGTTTCCCTTTGGGCGCTCCGTAATTGCCTCTCCTTCGTTTCTGCAGCTTGGATATGACGAGATCCTGGACTTGATTGCAGGTTATTTGCACGGTGAACGTGATGAAGGCCGGCTGGTATTGGTCCTTTTCCAGTTTGTTCATTAGCAAATCGACGGTGTAGAAGGATTTTCCGGTACCGGTGGGACCCATTAGCAGGCATTTCCTTCGGTGTTTTATGTGCATGTTTAACAGCGCTGTATATCTGTTGCGATTATGTGGGAATTAATAAACTTGATAGTGAGTTTAAATACGATGAAAAATTACCTGACCGTATCCATGGTAGGTATGATGGCTTGCATGATACTTTTACATTCGTCTACTCTTTGGTTTTTTACAACGTCTGGTAAGTACTTCCAGTTGCCTTTGCTTCTGAAGTTGAAAATATAATCGATGATTAAACCGTCGTCACCTGGTAACAATATGTCCCTATTTTGAAGCATTTCGGGCTGCGGATGCTGAGGGAACTCTCCCAACCAAAGTTTCCTGTAGTAAGCGTCGTATTTAACCTGCGAATTCGCGTCCAAAATAGCACCGAGGCCCCACATTCCTGGACAAAAACAACTACATATAGCGATTCAACAAAAATTTTCCGGTTATTTACCGGCGATTATAAGCGCCGCTTGCAACCACCCATCGTAGTATTTCTCAGCGTCCGGCAACGCCGAGCAGGCGTCGTCCAAGTTCATCTCCAGCAAACTCATCATGTTCAACACCAAGCTGATCTCGCCCTGATTGCAGAACTGCAGGCACTTCTTCCGGATGAAATCCAAGCACGGATCGACGATCCACTCGAACACCGACCTGATCATGATCTCCCTGTTGCCCGAGCTCCAGCTGGGATTGCAGGTGGGCAGCCAGGCCTCGAAGAACGGCCGCCATCCCAGCGTCGCCGGCTCCATGTATATCATTCCGCAGCGCGATACCTTCAACGAAACACATCGATTTAATGGATTTAAAGCTAGGGGGTGATGTTGGGAAACGCACCGTGGCGGGAGAGGCTTGCTCCAGGTCCATCACCTCGAATACCAGCGACATGGTGTTGGCCATCGACATGACCTCGCCGGACATGAGGCACAATTTTCTGTTGTCGTCCAGCACGCTGTTCATGTTCTCGATCCAAACGGCGTCGACGGGCCCGTCGAATATCATCCATTTTCTGTTCGGGGACGGATCGAAGGAGAATTGCCTGAAGTATACGGCGATTACGCCGTCGAACCATTCGTACGATATGGGATCGAACTGGCCGTACAGCTGGCCCATCGTGATGGCCTTTGGATTCAAAACTACACTCTCCACTTTCTCCTCTCCCAATCCTGCGTTTGTAATTTTTGATAGTTACGCGAAATTATGGTTAATTAAATTTTACCTTGGGCGTTCATTAAATTCAATGTGTCGGCTAGCACGTTCAATGTGCAAGTTTTTCCGGCTAGAGGATAACCTACTATCATGAATCCCCATCTTACCAACATCATTTCGTACGTTTGTATGACTTTTGTTATCAAGCACTGCTTGGGAATGAGATTTCTTCTTTCACAAGCTAACTGCAAGAATTAAATAATGCAATAAAACTAGTAATCTAGTTAGGTCTGTAATCTAAGCGGTAGAACTAGCGTAGAGTTATTTATGTGATGTATAACATCGAGACCCAGTTATGGAAAAGTACACTATCGAACAACGGGTTGTGAAATTTTACTTTGTTATTGCAAGAAGCATTTAATGATCATTTTATCTCTAGGGAAGTAATGTTAATTGGCCATCAATATTATTTGATTTAACACCTTTATAGACTTCTTTATGGGTGGTTATCTTAAGGATAGAATAAAACTGAAACTATTAAGAATATAAAAGATGAAATTCGCCACAACATTACAAATATTTCATCGCAATTATAAAATGTATGGAGAACTTCATTCACTTGTGAAAGCACGATCTTTCTGTTCTTCCTAGAGAGTCTAGTACCTGAAGAGACCTCCTTCTCTAGTTAATATTTATAAGTTCAGGAGAGCACTATATTCATCTACAATAGAATGTAGACAATAGTTTTTTCCTCTGCTCCACAGAACTGTAGCATATGTTAAATCCCTAGGTTAGGGCACTCCAGAAAAGTAACAACTTACGATCATATTTTCCAATAATTTGTCATAATCGGTTTCGGGTAACACCACACCGGGAAACAAATCCGCTATGATACCATCGAACAGCGGTAAATCTTGATTCAAGAACTTCGGTAGGTTAACGTCCAATATTGCTCTTAGCAACAGGATGTCCTCCAATTCGTCGGGATATTTTCGTTTATTGTTACCGGCAGATGAAAGAACGGATTTTACAGCCCTCATACCTAGGTTTTTTTTAAATAAATTCATTTTTTGTTTGGTTAAAACGGTAGGTATACCTCATTAAATGTAGTTTGCCTGTTGAAATAATTAAGAAGTGGGACGCACTGTGGTAAATTTAGGACGGTGTAAAGTGTAAGTATCGAGAGTTGAATTGATACTACTCTATAGAAGAGTAAAAATCACAAGATTTCCAGTGGTGAAGTTGTTTTTTGTTAAATACTTTCGCCGACACTGTATCAAAATTTGTACCATCGGGCAGTGCAATAATAGAATTGTGTCTTTCTTTAACTTTGTCCACCTATCTTTCCCATTTGCACATCTAACGCGATTTTTTCAATAGTCAAGCTACATTTGGCAAAGTAAACTTATTAAAAATATTTTACAATACCGTAATCGTAATGGTTCTGAGATGACAATTGCTCCGAACACAATCTGTAAACGGTAACAATTTTCACAGCTAAATTTCTGGCATCCACAAATCCGTACGAGTACAAAGAAATTTCACCGATTAGAGCGTAATCGGGCACCATCATAGCCACTGTTCTGAACAAAACCTACAACAAATCGTCCACAATCTACCCGAAAATCTCCTATGAAAGTACCTTTAAATTATCGGGCAATTCCGATCTTCCGGCATAACCGGGATTCATAGTTATGCAAACGTAACAAGCGGGATTCAATTTGATTTCCGTCCCTTCGAAATCGAAAGAGTACGCGTTACATCTAACGGCTTGAACGATCAACAAAATCTGCTGTGCCACCACAGACAACACTTCAATGTCTATTCTGTTGAACTCGTCGAAACACACCTAAAATACGCCATGTTTCATACGACTGCCCATCGAAATCTTCGCTTACCCAAACAGTACCCAAGCTCCGCACGACGCTAATCCTTTGAAGAACTTCCCCATGGCCTTGTAGTCCAAGCCGTCGGAGCAATTGAACACGACACATTGCACCGCAATGGCTTTCGCCAAGTCTTTGGTGGTTTCGGTTTTACCTGTACCGGCCGGTCCTTCGGGAGCGCCGTTCAAGTGCAAGTGGAAAGCGCCGATTAGCGTTCTGTAACACCTGTCCGTCAGGGGAGTTATCACCAACCTGTCTGTGTTACCTGTAAATGAATATTCCATCAATATAGATGCACAATGGATTAATTCCAATCAAAATAATCCATCAATACAGACGCTGAAGACAGCAGATGAGAGTCTTGGTTGATCACAACATCCAGTCCTATAAGAGTGTTGGAATCGTTTTGAACATAATGTTTATCAGTATAGGAACAATATTGAAGATGAAACAATCTATATTAAAAGAACATCTTTAGAGAAATCACCCATCAGTTTCATTTACTTCAGATGGAAGCTAATACACAATGGGACCAGAGTGTTGTAATAAACGACACATAGAGACAACCAGAAGTGCTTTTGATAAGATGAAAGCAATGAAAGGAAAGAAATGAAATAAGATGAAAGCAAAATAATAATATCAATATACCTAGATATTCGCAGAAATATTTGACGGTGGCGTTGATGAGCCTGACGAACGGTTCGTCGTCCTCGCAATAATAACGCATTTGAGACAGCCACTTAAACTCCCTATCGCTGGCGACGTTTTTAATGAACAATTCATTAACGACGTCCTTGGCGTGCACATCGATTACAATCAGCGCTTTGATGGTTATTCTGGACAAATTGGTCAATGAAGGATCTCGAATCAAGCCCACGATATCTTGCAATTGCTCCTTCAATATATCTACAACGTAAATAGGATGTGATGGAATCGATAAATGTAGGGCGAATTTCAATTCACCTAAATAAATAGGCACGCTCAGACCTTCCTCTCTGTTGAGCGCCAAATGGACGAAGTTCGTCCAATACATTTGGGAAACGCACAACACGACCTGTCCCGGCCATTTCTGCACCCAGTGCGTTCTAGGTACCAAGCTGTAATTCCTGAAGCTCCTCAATATTAAGTCTAAAACGGACAGTAACATTTGCTCTTCGACTTGGCTCAACCACAATTCGACGCTGCCGCCGGCGTCCTTCGTCGAGATGACGTTCTTTATGATGATTTTTTCGTTTTCGCAACTGTACAGCGCTAAATAAAGTGTCGTTAGGTAACATTCGAAAAATTTCTACTCGCATAGAATCACCTAATATATCCAATCTTTCGTTGAACTGCAACGTATTGATGGCCTCGAAGCATTTCTTCAGGTGGGGCTGGACTTTCTGCGGGTCCTTCGTTTCGGACAGGATTTCCAGCATTTCGTCGTTGGATAGAAAGAAAAACCTGGGAAAGAACAACCGTTTCCTTTCCAAATAGTTTATCACGCCGTCGTTGATTTGCTCCAATAATTCCACGCAGTACTCCATGATTTCCATCACGCCGGCTCCTCCTGCCGTTTCGTACACTCTCGGCTCTCTAGCCACCACGTCCATGTAACGCTTGTAAATATCGTTTACCTGAATTAATAACACAACGACAATAACACAATCGAGCAATTTTGTAACAAGCGTTTACATCTTTAAACAGATTTCCCTCTTCCGGCATCTGAGCGACGATATCCTTCGACGAGAATATAGGCAGCAAATAGAGCCATTGCACTTGTACTCTACCCCACACGTCGATCGTCCGATTGATCCTCACCAATTTCTGATAGAACTCCTCCACTTCCACCTCGTAGGGTTTGACGTAAATGGAACCGCGCATCATCAACGCCCTCAATATGTGATCGTCCAATATGATCTGCACGTCGTCCAAACTGGTCAAAATATACCGGCCCGAGTCTTTGTATTGCCCAATGTTGAAGAAGATGTTGTCCCATTCCGCCACCATTACCTTCAGATTCGCGTACAGCTCTCTTTCCTTGGTAGCCCCCGAACTTATCACGTCGTATTTATCGATATCGTCGTCCAAACCTAAAGAACATTATTATGATATCACCCACGTATCAAGCATTAGAATTGATGGTACCCATTTGAGTGTACTTCCTGAGGGTCGATCCGGCGTTGGGCGTCAGATCGAATCCGGCCAGCCTGGACATTTCCCTCCAATGTCGCTTAGTCAAAGCGTCGTTGCACATGATCTTCAGGAACATCATGGGCGTCCTAAACTCCCTGATGGCGGCTTGAGCTTGATAGATCAGCTTCAACGGCGCCGGCCAGCTCATCATGTCCGGGTCCTCGACGACGCCGAAGAACCGCAGCCCGCTCGCCTTGTCCTGCCTGCCGAACGAATTAGTTCAACGACGAAAGAGAGAGTTAAATGTCCGACTCACTTCATGCGTATGCGATAGGCTTTCTGGATGCCCATCAATTCGACCACGGTTTGGTCCATGTACCGCTCGGTGTAGGTGCTGTCCAGAAATTCGAACGGTCCGTCCATGCAGACGTTCACGTGCCGCTTGATGTTCACGCACACTTGCAGTAGATGGTAGAAGGGCAAGAGGAACTTCTCCACCTCTTCGGTGGTGCTGAAGGGGGATATCTTGAAGCCGAGCGTCTCCTGTTCCTTGTTTATCCATATTATCAATTCTCTTAGCTCCACGATTTTTCCCATAAAGGCTTTTATTTGAATTACGTAGTCTCGTGCTCTGGAAACGCATCGTTAATTTGCGTGATTGGGAGTGATGGAGTACTCACTTTTCGAAATCGTCCATGTCGTCTAGAATATGCAATAGAGGCATGATTTTCTCGGTTTCGTTGTTGACGTATTCGATGGTGGCGGCCAGTTTATCCTCGGCTTCCATTTTCAACTGCTCGAAGGTGAGGGAGTTTTGATCGAGGATTTGGTCCAGGTTCTGCGACCATAGCACAGTGGTGGTTATTAGATTATTGTGCTCCTCGCTGATGGTGCCGTCCTCCACCAGCATGGTGAAGTCTTTCAGCATGCCTTCGATTTTTTCGCACAGCTCGCCCAGTATCTCCGTTTTCACGCGCAACATGTACTTTCCTGCAATACGAGAGGGTTAATCGAATCAGATCAATGTTATATTTATCATTTAGTTAACCTTGCGCGATGAGTTCCTCGCTGTTGGCGGGCCTCCTCATCGCCTCGGCTTTGATGGCCTCGAATTCGTCGCAGATGTTATAGCATTTGTTCATGTGTATGGCGCACAATTTCGAGAATATGTCTTCGATGATGACCGAAAGGGATTCCTTCATGGAGGCCACGTACTCGGAGAGAAGCAGCTGGCCCATGCCGAAGTACTCGCTGCCCAACATCGAGCTGGCCTTGGTGATGTAGTTTTGGTAGTGCCTGATTTGCAGGCAGCCGTTTTCGAAGTAGTTTTCCGAGCTTTCGTCCAATTCGATTTCGATGAACATTTCCTTGAACTCGTCGCCGATTTGGTCCAAGTACTTGTCGATCGGTATGAAGCGCGTTATGATGTTTTCGCCCAGTTTCTCCAAGCTGGTCTGCAGGAATTCTTCAGTGACGTTCAGGTGGATGTTCACCTGGGGGAGGTTGAATTTGATGGTCTCCAAAATGGGAAAAGTCTTGCCGATTTGAACTAAATTTGCGATAAACAAGGAGTATAGTAGAATGATGTTGTTTTTTCGCGGGTACATATATAATGTTTGTTTGTTATATTTTAAAGATAGTTGCATGTAGGGTATTAACTCATCGGATCCAGTTACTTCTAATATGTGGTAAACAGTGTGTTCTATAGAATTGCTGATGTACACCGAAAGTAAACCCGTACAAACTCTCAACAAATGCTTGTACTTCTCCGTACGGAGTTTAGTGGTATCCTTCTCGACGATCTCTCTGATTTTATCGTAAAATCGATGCAATTTCTTATCGGATTCTTTCACCAGTTCGGCGAAGATCTCCTCGAGCTCGCTCATGGCGTGCGACCTCTGCCGCAACGTGCCGAGATTGAAGAGAATCTCCGGCAAGGCGGCGCATTCGTTGATGATCTTCGTCACCAAATTCTGGTGCAGCATGTACTTGGACTGGATTTGGCGTCGGTTCGCCAGGTACACGTGGTAGCGCGGCGTCTTGCCCAAGTGCACGTACGGCGGCGTCACGAATCGCTTGATGTGCGCCGACGTCGGCTTCGCCTTCATGTTCGCCCCGGCCAAATGGGTGATTTTGATGAACTCCTCCTTGGCCTCGTCCATGATGAACTTTATGGTCATCGGGAACTTGTATTCGAGGCCTTTGGTGGCGATTTTCTTGAAGATGCACTGCTCGTGAAAGGGGGACATCTGGTAGGTGGGGCACAGCTCGGCGAAGCCGCGGATCTTCTTGTGGGAATCGTCGAGAGAGGGCAGTTGCGCGTAGATCGGCCGCAGCCGGTGCTTGAAGGCTTTGAGTTTCCTGTCTTTGGCGAACTCGGCTTGGTATTCGAGCAGCATTTTCTTCTTTTTGCTGGTGATTTGGAACTTGTCCATCAGCTCTTCGGTGAGCTGGGTGGCGACGAGCTCCTCGAGCAGCGGCGGCGGCCTGAGGTTTTTGTCGGTCACTTTGCACCGGGTGAGGATCTTCCGAGTTTCTCTGTTCATATCTTCCATGGTTTAAATTAAATAGATAAAATATTTATTGGATTTTCCTTTGCTCCAATTAATAAAACGACAAATGACACATGTTTTAAATCAGTAAAACTGACTTAAAATGACTACTATATTTATTATTATTAAAACTCGACGTCTTTTTGACATAATATACATTTATATTTTATACAATTTTTAATAATTATGATATATATTAGAATAATTTAGTTTTAAAATAAAATAATACCCAACAATGACGATTGATAAAACAGTTACGTTGGAAAATAAAAGCGTTCATTGTCCTACAGATACCAGTTCTTCTAAAGGTATGCATGTAAACCCCAGATATTGAGTTTGAGTTTAATATTAGCCTCTTTAAGATGAAGATAAATTACTATCGAAGATAAAAGAAGACGTCAAAGCAGTTATAGAACTTATGGGGCCGAATACACCGCACATTGAGCCTACTTTTAGCGTTTCGGAGGACTCAGTAACGCCGATGTCCCACAATAATAAGGTGAAAATTCGGGATAACTCCGCGTAAAAAGCGTCTGTAAAGAAAATTAATTTTCAGGACCCGATTCCCGAAGACGATTTTCAAACTGATAATGATTTTTCCACGTTACCCGCGGACGTTACCGCTACGCAAGAAACGGATTTTTCTTTAACAATCGACGAGCCCAATTTAACGCAGCAAATTTGTCCACCTCCGATTTATCCTGCTAACAATTTCGTGTACAACTCGGAGTGCATGTGCCCGCAATTGGTGGATTACATGCAAAAGAAACAAGGTGAAGCAAGCATTTAAACACATAATACTCGTACAGTGAATTGAGATTGGTATCATTTCTTTTGTATATTATGTATTATCTATTTCTATCATTCTAACTTTTATAGTCATTTTGACTGATGTAGACACACTAAAACAGAGAAATATAGAAGAAAAGGTGTTTTTTATAATCCTTTTAATTATTGCAATAAGTTATCGGTTGCTACCAGAAATCTACCCTTTTTGAAATTAAAAAAAGAAGTCAAATTTTATGAAATAGGTAGAGGAGTTTTTAATAAGTGGTAGTAACTACGTAAATTTTAAATGTAGAGCTTGATATTAACCTTATTTATAAGTAACACAAGAAATAAACTCTACTTTATGTTCTTAGTTTCGCACAGACCGAAATCCGAGAAAACCAAATTCATGCATTCTGTGTACAATTTTTTCAAAGACAAGAAGAGTAATTGTCCGCGCAAGGGCGATTTTTACACCATCAAAGTCAAAAAATCGTCCAGCCTCGGCCATCCCAAGGTTAGTATTATACTCAATCATCAAGACACAACTAAAATCATCCACTTGTAGCGTTTGGTATTCGATTTAGTGGAAGACATGGGCAAAACTTCAAAGCAAAACGGGTTATTCAAAGATTACAATTCCAATCGAGGGAATTATAAACACCAATATTTGGCAAAATCGGACGACGATAAACGCAAAAACGAAGAACAAAAATGCAAAACTGCCGAAAAAACTGTTTGTCAAAAATTCAACCACAAAGTGGCCTATACGGATTGTAATGGAACCACCAGAGTCGACGTGTATTATTTCGATCACGGATGTTCCAAGTAAGCTGGGTGAAAATTCTTACATAAAGGGTGCTTATTAAGTATTTGCACAAACTTTAAAATAGCACAAACTTTGATTAATATTGAGTTTAAATGTTCATATGAACATGTGTATCCGCAAATATTTGGTTCACTATTCACTAAGCTGATTCACTAAGGTTTAATAACCGCTCTAAACCCCCTTCAATACCGCTCCATCAATTACACTTCAATCGCACTTTAATTACACTTCAGAACCGCTCTAATTAGATTTTAAAACTGCACCAAAACACCTATAAAACCGCTCTAACAGCACTTCAAAACCTCTATATAAAACCACTTTAAAACCGCTTTTAATTACGCTTCAAGACCGTTCTAATTACGTTTTAAAACCGTTCTAATTACGTTTCAATAGCCGCCCTACCAATTACACTTCAACAAATGTACCAAAGCCGTTATAAAACTGCTCTAAACCAATTCAAACCCGCTCTAATTACGCTTCATTACGTAATTAGACCTGGTTTAAAGCAAAATTATAGTTTTGAAGCCTAATTATAGCGGTTATTGAAACTTAATTAGAGCAGTTTTATGCGTACCTAATTAGAGAGGATAGATAGAATGGTTGATGAATCGTAATTAGACCAGTTTTGAAGAGTAATTGGAGCGGTTGTTGAAACGTAATTAGAGCGGTTTTGAAACGTAATTAAAGCGACTTTGAAGCGGTTTTAGGACGGTTTTCATTAACTATTCATCTCAAAATTAATCAAACATTTAGGTACCCTTTAAAGTTTGTATATTAGTACAAACATTTAATAAACACCCTGCGTATTGAAATTATTTTATTCCCCATGATACAATCCTATATTATTTCCTTCCAGTTACTACCAAACCACCGATAAATCCCCCGTCCTTTCGACCGATCTGATCGCCGAGCGCACCGAGTCCTACACGACGAGATTCTGGGCCGAGTTGTTCGGCACCTTTCACATCGGCTTCTCCTTTCTCACGTCATTCCTGCTGCAGCTCCTGCGCTTCGTCCTGCAGACGGTGGTCAGGCCGATGACGGTGGGCATGTTCCATTTGCTGAGCGACTACTTCCTGAAGCCGATCCTGTGCGCCATCTTCAACGCGCTGGTGCAGCCGGTGCTGATATTCCTGCTGAACGTGGCCTCTTCGATAAGGGACTTTTGCGATCCGATAGCGGAGACTATAGGGTTCTTTATAAGAGAGTTATCGGCGCCTATTAGGGCGTTTAGGATAGTGGAGGTGAGGAAGGAAGGTGCGGTTGGTTGTGGGAAAGATACAGATGTTATTAATAAGAGAGTATTGAAAAAGGGTTATAGAAATAATGCGGATTATATTTGATTAATTGTAGTGTATAGTAAATATAAGAGGTATATACGTATTTGTATCGATGCGAATTTCGTGTTGGAATTTTTTAATTAATATGTGCACTGCATTGGAATAATTGTTATTTGCATTTTAACCCAATTTCTGTATTTGATAGATACATAATGTAATTGTAATTTTATATACATTTATTAACAATAAAAAAAACATATATTCACTTCCAAAATATATTCTTTTTGTACTATAGTATGAGATTTAATAACGGATATAGTTAGAAAATGATTTTACCATTGATAGTGTATATGACTTATATGAGCATTTTTCATAAGAACGACAAAGAATAAAAAAAAGAATAAACGAAGAAAAATATATCATAAATAAGGAAGCTTTGACTGAAGGGATTGTACAGTCGCCTTAATAAAGAAATTACAGCAATTTGAATTAAATATGCTCCATCTCGTCCCATAGCATTAAAATAATACAAAAGTGTCGTACATTTATTATACTTTATTCTGCTTTTTCATAACTAGACTAAAGGAAATGTACATTCACTAAATTTAATATAAAGTAGGTACCGAAAAGAGGTATACATTCAATTTTCATTTTTGTAAAATATTTATCTTTAAATTGCAATAATTATTTAAGTATATATTATACAAATACATATAAAGCGTACAACAATAATGAAGCCTTCATTTAATCGATAATATAAGTAGTGTAGTATTGGGAATCCAAAGGGGGTGCAAAATGTGCAAAATGTGCGGTTTTTTCAAGGCCAGCAAACTCATTTTGCTCCGCACTTGCATCCCCAATACATGCATTGTTATTGACCTTCAAGGTCAAAACCGGTTCCTCATTTTGCTCCTCACTTGCATCCTTAATACATGTAGTGTAAATGACCCTCAGTGTTTTGGGATGAAAAAAAAAAGCTTAAAAAAGCGTCCTCACCCCACGAACAGAAACACACATCCTGCGGACAGTCACACGCCGTAGAATTTCAGAAATCCATTCTAAAACAATACCATGAATATTCAATTATTATTTGTTTTAACAACTTACCTGATCGACTCTTCCGTTATCACCCATCTACAACAAAAATAATAATAAAAACCCAGACAGAAGATAGTTCTGCATTCAGAATTTTGTTAGACCACCGGTTAGATTTGTTGAGAAACCCTCTGAGAGCTCTAAAAGTTTTAGCTTACTCATTGTTTTCATCCACAGCATCCAACAATTTACCATATAAAGCAACTATTGTCATAGTCATCTACGATAAAATATACATATACAGTGTGTCCACGGATGAGGTTGCCTATAGGAGAAAAATTTTTATTATTCATTTTACGACAAAAAGTCATTGTTTATAAAAAAATTTGCAAATTTAAGTTGTGAAACACCTCAACTTTTATCATACTTTTACAAGTCAATACACCTCAAATGTTCATTAGTTGTTTTGAAATATTTTAGCAATGCACTTAAATCAGTAATAAATAAGTAATACCCAACAGAATAATGTATTTTCAACGGTAATACTCAAAAATAAACGAAATAATTTAAAATCTCGGTGGCTCTGACAATGACATTTCTCTTACCGAAAGTCAGTCTAGTAAAAGCTATCGAGAAATAAATGATACAATTTATCTAATTAGTGTGCATTAAAATTGAAATGTAATTGTAACTAATGTAACCAAAACTGAAAACGTTAGTAATTGTACTTCAAGAAGTAGCAAAAATGCATATTTAAACATAGTTGTCTATTTCGAACAACTTTTCATAATTAAAGTTTTCGATAATGTAAAAAATAAAGGTACTTTAGTCATGTATCAAATTCATATTTTTTGACAAACCTCGTATACGATTTCAAAACTTCTGACACTTGCTTTTTACTTTATTGGCCATGCAGGACTTTTTATAAAGAAAAACTTTTTTTCGTAAAATTACAAATAAAAGTTTCCCATAAATTGCCAACTTTTTCAAACATACTGTATATTAACTTATTTAGAAAACTCACAATTGCATTTAATTTTTACACCACATTTTAATTGATGACGACATAAAGAATAGTTTTTTAAAAACTCTCGGTCACATCTGCACTGCATCTTATGTTGAACTGAAGTAATTCTTAGTATGGACGTTATTTAACCCAAAATCTTGTTTCTTTTCGACCGTGTGTGACCCTGTCTGGCCACCTTCTTAAGATATGCCGGAGTTGGCAGGTTAGCCATTGGTAGCAGCAGGTTTTTACAGGGTTATTGGAGCGCTGTGTGGTCGTCTTGATATTTGATGGGCCTTTATAAATTTAAATTTATTATTAATTGGGGAAATATATTGCACACAGTAGCGTAGCCAGAAAAATCTACTACTGCCAAAATTTTGCACAAATATGTTTGGGATGCTAACGCATCCAATAAATTTGTTTTTATATCTGCCTTTTGTAGAGGTCGCTAGTTACACGATTGGTACACAGTAGTTTTAAACATTTTGGGGGTAAATTTTCGAGTCCAAACTTTATGTGTTCTTAAACACCGTTAATTTTACAACACAAAGGAACCCTTGGTAAAACTCGATAGTGTACCGTGTTCAAAATAAACAATTTCATATTAAATATTAACTACTGCCGTCTCGCTACAGCTTTACTGTAAGTACATTGCCGTTTTCTAAGATAATATACAATGTATATTTTATTATAAATGACTATGACTATATTTTCACTCTTTCACTCTAAAACAATGAGCTAAATGTTTTAGAGTTCGTCCTAAAGAGGGAGGTTAGCGTTCTGCATTCAAAGTTTTGCGTTTAAAGACCACCGCGATACAACAGTATGTGTTGGTAATAGGAAATTACTGCAAAGAACGCAAAATTTTGAATGCAGAACGCTAACAGCCTTTTTTCTGCACGGGCTTTTTTAAATTTATTGTAGATGGGTGATTATGGAGTATGCGATTACGCAAGTCATTAAAACAAATAATGATTGAAGATTATTCATGGTATTGTTTTTAAAATGGATTCCCGCATTCTAAGGGAGTGCCCAAACGATGTCTGTTTCTGCCTGTGGGGTGATGATGAGATAGAAGAAAACCTGTTGGAAGAGCTGTCTTTATATGGAATAAAATACAAATATAATATTTAATTTGGACAAGTTTTTTTATCCGAAACACCGTAATGTTCGGCATTGCGGATCGTTGATTCTAAACCAGTTTGCTCTTAATATGCAGGTGTTCAACAAAATACGCTGGTGCAAAATGTGCAAACCAGTTGAAATGCTGGAGCAAAATGTACAAACCGGTTTTTCGACTTGACCTTAAGGGTCGTTGCCCTTGTCTGGTGATTGGTGTCCTTTGGTGGCCTTGCACATTTTGCATCCCCCTTTGGATCCCCAATACTACACTACTAATATAGATTATTGTATTAAAATTATTTACAAAACTATATTAACAAGTTTGAATACAGATCGACTGGAATAGTTGGAGATGCAAATATGTCAATTGGTTCTTTGTCATTTCCATCGAATTGTAACAGGTAAACATTTCTAAAACATCAATCAATTAATTATGTAATTTATATAATAATATATAGAATTATTTTATTTAATATTATAAATTTTGGCAAAAGTCACAGGAATATACGTTTTTAAAAAATTACCTATAAATTACTAAACAGGGTGTTGCTAAACATCGTGCACATGCGGAAGGGGCCAATTCTTTGACTTATTTTATCACTAAAAGTTCATATAAACATAGGTTCTCAAACGCTTCATTACCGATCTACAGGGTGTTGAAATTTTAAAATTTTCTCATTTTTTCTTTAGAGCTCCTGCAGTTTTCGAGATATTTAGCTCAAATATAGTATAAGGTATAATTTGAGTAGGAAAGTGTCACTTTCAACATTTATTATAATGTAGATTAAAAATTATTATTTAGGGTTTTCTCTATTGTAAAATAAATCATTTGAACCGAAAATCGTTTTTATTTTTTTTCTCGATAATGATCACAGAAACGAAAAAAATTAAAAAACAAAAAAAAATCTTAACAAAACAGATAATTCAATTTGTATTTTAGAAATTACCAGTGGCTTAAAAAAATCGAAATTTTAACACGCTGTAGATTGGTAACGAAGCATTTGCAGACCTATGTTCATATGAACTATTAGTCATGAAATAAGCCAAATAATTACCTTTCGTATGAGCACGATGTTTAGGAACACCCTGCATTTGCTAAATTTAGCTAATATAATGATTTTACAAAACTAGATTTTACATCAGTATTGTCAACAAATTTTCGAAAAAAAATATACCCAAAATCGCACAAATCTCCACTTCATAAATTTACAATCATCAACCATCTGTATAAAACACCTCCTCCATCCATCAGTCTATTTCAATGGCAATGTCATCATCAAGCGACACCTCGTCCTCTTTGTCCCTAAATCATAACACGCTCACAACGTAGGGCTCCACCTCAAACGACTGCTTCAACACGGCGCTGAACACCAGCTCCGCGTTGCAAACCACCCTCGGCATGTCCTTCTTGCCTTTCAGCAAGTCGCCCACCAGGTGCAAATCGTCCTCGTGGGTTATCACGAAGTACGTGTTCGCAGCGGCACCTTCTATCTGCTGGGCGCTCCTCCGGCGCCGCTCCACCTTGCCCCCGCAGCATTCTATCAGCTCGACGACGACCCGCCGGCTGGGGAACACGCTCGGCGTCACGAAGAACGACTTGCCTTCGAAGAGGGCGCTCCTGTTCGGGGCGCCGAGGGTCTTTTCGATGTCGCATTGGTATTCGCCGTTGAAGGCGTCCGGTGGCAAGGTGTAATCGGTTTCGGGGAGGAATCTCTTGGCCTCCAGCGAATCGTTTACCCATTGATGGGACAGAACGTGGGCGTGCTTGGCTATGGCGAAGAAGAGCTTGTTGGTCCTGGCCAGCTGGGGCATCACCAGGTGCGTGAAGTCCTGTTGGTCTTTGGCTATGCAGCCGCCTAATTCGCTGGAAGAATTCAAATTTATTGATGTATATTTGTCGATTAACTGTGAGTTTATGCTTACATTACTTTCCGCTTCAGTTCTTTGACATCTGGAGTGAACGAGAACAGGATTTTGTAAGGGGAATCACTCGGTGGTTGGTGGTTAATGTTATCGTTTTCGTCGGTGGGTTCCAATTTTAGTTTCTTAGATTTCCTGGGGGTTAATGTGGGCGAGGCGCTTCTCTTTACCCTTTCGTACGATTCTTGAGATATGTTAATAGGCGCTTTCCAGCCCACTGGAAACGAGTAATAAGCAAATAAATAGTACCCGTAATTCGACAGAAACTTACTCATTAAATTCGGGACCAATTTCGGATCGAAATTGAAGTTCGGTGGATCGGGAAACTGCTGGTAAACCTGGTGCTCGAGCTGATTGAGGGCCGCGTAATGCCCCAAGACGACGTCCGTCAACCATTGCACATTAACCACTGGAATTTGCCATTTCTTGGCGTAGGAACACTTCTTACCGTCCGCTTTGGCCGATATCAGAAGGGTATTGTGCTTGGAGAAATACGATGTACACTGTAAATGATTAAAAATAGTTGTAGTGAAGGATTGTAATAAGTCTAATAAGTCTAAATCAATTAGATCCATTATTTATTCTAGTCTATTTTACTGAAGAAAAGATGGTTGATGGCATTAAAAAAACAAGCAGGGAAACGATGGTTTAAGAAGACACAGGACAGGAGAGTATGGATAAACATAAAAGAGGCCTACGTCCAAAAGTATACAAGAAGCAGCTGAGAAAGAATCAAGAAAAAGAGACGAGAGCATATTTTACTGAAGCACAGGAAGCCTCCAGAGAAGATGGATTGATGACTTTAAAAAACACAAGCAGGAAACAGATGGCTTCAGAAGGCACAGGACAAGACAGTATGGATATAAAAGAGGTTTACGGCCAGAAGTATACAAGAAGCGGCTATGGAAGGACGAAGAAGAGATGAGGGTCTACAGGAAGACTCCAGAGAAGATGGATTGCTAACAAATAAGCAGGAACCAGATGGTTTCAGAAGGCACCAGACAGAATAGTATGGATACATATTAAAGAGGCCTACGATCAGGAGTGGACAAAGAAGCAACTGAGGAAGAATCAAGAAGAGAGTCAATTTTAATACAGAATAAAAAACATTACCTTAGCCCCGGTGTATTTAATCATCTGCTTGACTCTAGCCCTATCGTTCCCTTCGAAGCCACTAATCGATATCAGATGCTTGGCAGCAGGAGTGGTGTCCAAGTAGACGTTGGGCAGATGCAGGGCCGTCCAAGGGGGCAACACTTGCTTCCTCTGCATGACGTCGCTCAGCCAGATAATTGTTACGCATCGCTTGCAGTCTCGCAGGGCTTGCATGACGACGCCGTGACGTTGCGTTTCGCACAGGACGTGCGTCACCCGGCCGCCATATTGTTTCTCCACTTCGCCTGGAATGTAGTAAGTAGACGTATAAAGAGTTAAACTATTCATATAAGACAATATCATACGATAAGATTCATTTAATGTAATAGAAATAGTACCTCCGTGTTTGGCGATTTTCTGTTGCCAGCCTGGTATTCGTTCTTCGAGGAAATCTTCCAGTTCTACCACAACAAACACGCAGCCCAGTAAGAACAAGTCGGGCGGTACTAGAATTTGAATAAGACATTGAATTAGTTTTTATATTTGTAAATTATACACAATAGTCAAAAATACAAGTCTTATTTAAGTGTAGGTCTTCTTCTTTTGGAATCAATCATTAAGAATAGAAGGTAATTTTAACTATTAAGACGTTAACTTTTAACTAGCAATGTACATCTTCTATCTTAAAGTATAAGTATATTACATTTAAGATTGGGGTTGTGTCCGTAGAAGGGTCCGGGTCTGTGTTGGGCAGGTAAGGTTGCCTTGGGGCCGTATTGGAGCTTCGGAGATTCATTTATGGGTACCATAGGATGCGCAGTACTTCCTGGAGTTTTTATTATCTCCCCGTTAGGACCGGTAATGGTTCTACGTTGAAGGGCGATGATTTCTTGGGGTTTCTGATTCAAGGCGGCGTTATGTTGGGCAGTCATCAATCTGGAAACAAATCGATTGTACAGGATGGGTAAAATTTCAACTCAAAGAGGACTGTCTACCTTAAAGTTCCTGCAGCAGAGGGCTCAGGAATGGCCTCCGGTCGCTGAACACCCACCGAGGAACCACCGCTTTGCAGTTTAATGCTTAGCATATTGGCTAAAGCTGTCTTGGTTTTCGCGTTGACCACCAGGGGGTTCTGACTACTCGCGTCCTGAACATGCTGGATGTTGGTCGTCGAATCTGCCAAGGGCGCCGGACCCAAGGGTCTCACCACTGCCTGTTGGGGTATTGCACCTGCGTCATAAACAAATGGCATATTAATAGAAATCCACCGTTACTTCGGGTGTCTATTATACACAAGTTACCTTGTTGTTGAGCCAAGTGATTCTTTTGCGCCTGCTCCCTCTGCAACTGCAGTTGCTGCAACCTGAACTGCCTCAATTGGATCTGCTGCTGTTGCTGCTGCTGCTGCTGCGCCTGCTCGACAAACGGGGCCCCGTTTTGGTTGATGGGGCTCAATCCGGGGGCGTGCTGGAGACTCTGCTGAGGTCCCAGAGTACCGGGTTGCGTTAAAGTTCCTGGTGTAATGTTCTGCTGTTGTATATTAGCGGGAAGAACGATCCCTTGCTGTTTAGCCTGTTGTTGAAGCCATTGGACTTGTTGTTGGGTCGTGAGACCAGGCGGGACGTTACCTGTGACATTTTCGACCGGTAATTCTGATTCTAAATAATTGCTAGGTGTCAATATACCTTTAATTAAAATGTGGCTTCCTCCTCGTTGTTTAAGAATCTGCCGGTGCTTTTGGATCCTAGCGAAGAACATGGTCTGTTGCTCAGGTGGCATTTTCTGCAACTCTTGGTGTGTTCTCGCGTCCAAATGGATGAATTGCCTTTGGGGAAGATTCCCTTGCTGGGCGTTCGGTGACCACTGAACTCTCGGAGCACCCTAAAGATACATAAAATTAATTTGCAACTAGCATAAAGAGACCGTTTCATTAATTACCTGCTGTATAACATTTACGGGATGTCTAATTATTTGCTGTCCTACAATTTGGGTCGGTTGTTGTGTCCAAATCGGTTGATTCATTTGTTGTCGTTGTACGTTTGGATTCTGAGGGGAAGCTTGATTGATCAAGATTTGCTGACCCATGTTAGGCTGTTGTTGAAATTGTGTACGAACAACTTGCTGAAGTCCGGGATTTACCTTAAAAAAACAACATAAAATAAAATAACAATCATCTACAGTGCACATGACCTTTAATTACTACCTGATTGATTGGCTGTTGTTGCATATTCTGTGGGCCCATCGATTGCTGAATTTGTTGTTGTTGTTGTTGTTGTTGCCTGTTCATTTGTTGCTGTTGTATCTGCTGATTTAACTGTTGGTTCAATTGTCCCAGCTCCTGATCTAAAGCCGATTGAGACAATTGTTGGTTCAACTGATTTTGCTGCTGGTTCAATTGGTTCTGCTGATTCAGCTGTTGCTGATTAAGTTGGCCTTGCTGATTCATCTGATTGCCCTGATTCAATTGGTTCTGTTGATTGAGATGGTTCAGCTGGTTCAATTGATTCTGTTGGGTCAGCCTCTGATCAAGCTGGTCTTGCGAATTGAGTTGCTGTTGTTGCACCATTTGATTCTGTTGTACTGAAGTTGGTTGCTGAGTCAATTGCTGGTTCAATTGCTGTTGGTTCAGTTGCTGGCCCAAATTCTGTGTGCTCAATTGCTGATTCAACGATTGTATGTTAATATTGGGCTGTTGATTCAACTGATTCGTCTGATTCATGTCTTGATTTTGAGTGAAAGGTGTATTAATGAATTGCTGTTGACTAGTCGGATGTTGGTTCAATAAAAATTGTTTCTGTTGTACGAGTTGCTGATTCTGCTGCGACATTAAATGTTGATTTTGCTGGACGAAGTTTTGCTGTTGTTGGTTCAATTGCATTTGCTGCGGATTTTGCTGTTGTGCGATCTGGTTTTGTTGTTGTGATTGGATCACTTGATTCTGCATGATTTGCTGATTTTGGACTTGCTGCGTTTGAATTTGCTGAAGGTTTGTAGAAATTTGAACCGACTGAGTGCCCTGTTGTAATTGCTGGCTTTGAGTCAATTGCATCTGTTGATTTTGATTTAATTGTTGATTCGTATTAATAGGAACTTGTTGATTCTGTTGAACCTGATTCAATTGAATCTGTTGCTGATTCTGATTCAGCTGGCCTGGCTGATTGCCGTTTGGATGGATCTGTTGCTGATTTTGTTGCAATTTCATTTGCTGTTGATTTATTTGCAACTGCGTCTGTGCTGGATTCAGTTGCATTTGCTGCGGATTCTGATTCAACTGCTGTTGATTTTGATTCATCTGCAACTGCGGCTGATTCTGATTCAACTGCAACTGATTCTGATTTATCTGCAACTGCTGAGTATTGGGATTCAATTGCAGTTGCTGATTTTGGCTCATCTGCAACTGTTGTAGGTTTTGATTCAATTGTAATTGCTGATTTTGGGATATCTGAATCTTATTTTGCTGTTTAAGTTGTAATTGTTGCTGTTGTTGTTGTAATTGAGCCAGCTGTTGTTGAGTTAACTGCCCTAAATGTTGAGAAGTCACTATTTGTTGTGGATTTTGCACAATCTGCTGTTGCTGTTGTTGACCAGTATTTAATTGCTGTTGTTGCTGTTGCTGTAGTAATTGATTTTGTATAAGCTGCCTCTGAGCTAATTGACGTTGGACCAATTGCTGTTGTAGTAATTGTTGCTGAGAAGTGGCCAATTGCGGAGTTGGTCCCCTCTGAATTACATTTCCTAGAATAATTCTTGGTAAAAAATATTACTATAAACAAATTGATTATTACCTTGGTTTTGATGTTGTTGCTGCTGCTGCTGCTGCTGCTGTTGTTGTTGCTGTTGTTGTAGTAATTGTTGCTGTAGCTGTTGAGACATTGGTCCTCCTCGTAACTGAAGATTAGGACGTTGTTGTTGCTGACCAAGTAACCTGTTGACGTTCACAGGAATTTGCTGTTGTTGTTGTTGAGGTTGGGGCAAATGTTGCTGAAAGCCCTGTTGTTGATTTGGTGTATGATGGATAATGCTTTTTGGTATCTGATTGTTCAAAGAAGTAGGTGATTGGGGAATTTGCGGAAAAGCGTTATTAATAGGAGACTGAGGTGTATTTTGCTGCTGTTGAGTTATTATTGGCTGCATTTTCTGAGCTTGATTCTGATGAGATATTTGCATGAAACTAGGAGCAACGACGTTTGGTGGAGCTACAGGATCTGCAATAAACATCAGAAATTATACAGCCTATCATAGAAATGTTAAGCATTTTATACCCGAACTAGAAGTCATTGGAACAGAAGAAGTGTTTGGTTGATTCCATGGCATCCTCTGTTTTAGTTTTTCTAATAGAGCTTGAGTTGAATCAGAAACAACTTTCTCCTCAGGTTTTTCCTCGATGTTAGGTTGCTCAGGCTCAAATCCCGTAATAGCTGTTGTGCTCTTATATTGAAATGGTTTAGGCCAGTCGATCAACTTGGGATGAAACAAAGCGCAATCTAATAGGTTATTCTCTCTGACAGATTGAACTACCCAATCTGGTGTAATAATTTTAATATATTCCGGTCCTATTTCTTCAGCCTTTTCGTATTTACGACCTCTCGTTTCAGTGGTAACAAGGAAATTGCATCTTTTATTAAAATTCAATTGAACTTTTCCTCCATTATAAGTTATTATTGCCCAAAGGTAGTTTCGATCTTCTCTGATTGAACTAAAGCAAAATGTTAGGTTGTAAAAGAGTTTATCATTGGTTACAATCGAATAGGGCTTTGTACTGACAATCCTTCGAAGGAATGTACACATTAATATCCATTTTGCAGTTACCACTGGAATTTCATAAACATCGGTCGCATCGACAATATCATTTTCTTCAGGATTGTCTCCTACAATTAAATGTGTTACGTAGTCTGAGAAATAATTTAATCTTTCAGCGCCGCCTTTCTTTAACAAATCGATAATCTAAAAGAAACCAAATTTAATCAGTATATTAAATATATTTATAGCATTTTATTTACCTTTTCTTCCACATCTCCAGTTATAAAATATTTTATTTCTTTAAAAAGAGAACTGTTTATATCAATGCAGGATAATTGCGATTGAGGGTCATCCATGCTGTAATATTTTTTAGGGCAAAAATTCAGTACAACCACTTAAAAAAGCCTATTATTTTGTTTACATTCCCTTAAAGTTTGAGAAATAAAGTGATGGTAATACCACCATTTACACACTGTAAATTACAATGCGAAGTTAGCCACAATTGATCTTTATTTTCTTATCGTAGTTTAAATTGATTTATGGGCTTTTGTTCTATGATTTAGACCTTATTTAGACTTCGTTGTTTTTTAATCAGAAATTGTTAAAAACGTATTTGCAATATCATCAGGAAGAAAATAATATTAGAATTGTTGATCTTGAAATGTCTAACTTCACACGACTACAGGGAGATACTGTCAGAGTGTCAGCTGTTGTTATCAAGTGTCAATTGAAAAAAACCCAAAAATTTACCAAACCACGAAAAATCGTTTTAGACTTAAAATTTTTTCAAAAAAATTTCATAGACAAAAATTTTGAATTGTTATCTTTGATTTTATAAAAGCTTTTACCAACAGGTTTTGTTTTGTTGGTAGTCATTGTTTTTGACACTTTAAAAACAACAGACGCGCCCTCTGTTACGGCTCAGAAGCCAAAGTTGTGTTTGCATTAAAAAGTCTTCGGAAAATCGTTAAAAATCCGAGCCATCTTTTAGTTTTAGCCTTTTTTAACCCCACGTTAGTGATTTGCAGATATTTCACAAATGGCAGAAGCGGATAAATTGAATATTGATAGTATTATAGCTCGCTTACTAGAAGGTAAATAATGAAGGTCAAGCTGTGTTGACAAAAATAATGGCGTCTCGGTGAACGCCTAGATAAATGTCAAAAGTAAATTTTTATTTTCGGTTTCAGTGCGAGGAGCAAGACCTGGTAAAAATGTACAATTAACCGAAAATGAAATAAGAGGACTGTGCTTAAAGTCGAGAGAAATATTCCTTAGCCAGCCGATTTTACTTGAACTGGAAGCCCCTTTAAAAATATGCGGTAAATATTCGTAAAAATAGAACGTTTGGCGTTATTATACTCGGGTTTTTAGGCGACATTCACGGACAGTACTATGACTTGCTGCGTTTGTTCGAATATGGCGGTTTTCCGCCAGAATCCAATTACCTATTCTTGGGCGACTACGTGGATCGCGGTAAACAATCTCTGGAAACGATTTGCCTTCTGCTTGCGTACAAAATAAAATACCCTGAAAACTTCTTCCTGCTCAGAGGCAACCACGAATGCGCGTCAATCAATCGTATCTACGGATTTTACGATGAGTGCAAACGAAGGTATAACATAAAATTGTGGAAAACATTCACCGATTGCTTTAACTGCCTGCCCGTCGCTGCCATTGTCGACGAAAAGATCTTCTGTTGCCATGGCGGTGAGTAATTAATCATCGTAATTACCCAGAGCAATAACCTAATATCATTTCTATTATTAATGAGATAGTATGTCCGATTTTAAACGAATTGTTTTGAGTAGGTTTGAGTCCTGATCTGCAATCGATGGAACAAATAAGAAGAATCATGAGACCCACTGATGTGCCCGATCAAGGTTTGTTGTGTGATCTATTGTGGTCCGATCCGGATAAGGATCAGATGGGCTGGGGCGAGAACGATAGAGGTGTCAGTTTCACGTTCGGAGCCGAGGTGGTTGGTAAATTCCTGCACAAACACGACTTTGATTTAATATGCAGAGCCCATCAAGTGGTTGAGGACGGTTACGAGTTCTTCGCCAAGAGGCAATTGGTCACGTTGTTTAGCGCTCCGAATTATTGCGGTTAGTTGACAAGATTATTTACTGAATATAGGTTTATAAAAGAGCATTGTACATGTTTTCAGGTGAATTCGATAATGCGGGAGCGATGATGTCTGTTGATGAGACTCTCATGTGTAGTTTTCAAATTTTAAAGCCGGCAGACAAGAGGAAATTCCAATACAACATGAATACAGGCAGACCTGTAACGCCTCCGAGAGGTGCTACGAATAAAAACAAGAAGAAGTGAATTAATATAACGATAAGATTTAGGTTTAGTTGCAACGTAAAATTTGCGACATTTTAAATACTAAAATTTGAAAATCTCCATTAGAATGTATTCGATTTTTTAAGGCTTTTTCGAACGTTGTTTTGGTTTTTTTATGTTTTTATTTTTAGTTTAAGTTAATAAAGTCGATCTAACTTGTTATGAATGTTAGTATTTAAAATGTTCAACTCAGGCCGTTTACTTTTGATGTCATTGATAAACAATAATAATCTATTTATGAAACTAGATTAACTAATTAGAAAGTCTTATTTAAAAAATTGGAAACGGCTTTACTATTGAAATTAAGAGCATATATTTATTTTTATTTCGCGATTGTTTCAAATTTCCATAAGATTCTCTTTGACTTTGTAAAAATATATTTTTATATATGATTAATTCTGCCCATTTTAGTTGCTCATTTTCAGATTCATCAAATAAATACACAGGATTCACATGTCATAACAACATCTTTTAATCGTTTTATCCGTTTCTTTTTTTATTGTATTTATAAAAATAAAGTTTCAATTTAATGTGAAATTAAATCATTTAATTAAAAAATTGTTTTGATATTCGATAATCATCAATGTCAACCAAAACTATTTTATCTGACTCTTCTCAAAGAAAAGTCATTACGAAGTTAGAGCCAAAGAGAATTGTTTTTCTTTTGGATAACAATATTTTATTTTATATTAGGATATATAAAGGTATAAAATGGCAAATTCTTATTTAATCAAAATCTTGACCATCAGCAGGGTAAACAACGCCAATTTCAGCCCTCATTTTATCCATAAGACCAGCCAACTGAATGGTTTCATTATGAGTAATAATAGGGCTCTCAATTTTCCCTTCCATAATGCACTTCCTTACTTCTTGAGCTTGATAAGCCAGCCCTGCGCTATTCTTATAGTTGAAATTACCCTTATTTTCAATCAATGCGAACTCCTTAACTTCGTCATTTAGTTTTAGACTTGTGGGGCACCAGAAATATGGAATGGAAATGGAGCCTTTAGTGCCATACACTTTAGCTACAATCGGAATACAATTAGAGCTAATTGGGTGTTTTGAGTTACATTACCTTCGCAAGGAGTTGATATGATAGCCGAACAAGAAACGATGGCCATTTTATCATCACTATAAGTAAGAATAGCAGCTGCGCATTTATCTACACCATCGTTATTAAGGATACCGTTTACAGCCACTTTCGTGGGCGTTAGGCCTCTGAAAACGTATTGTTGAAATTGCAGCATGTAAACGCCCAAATCTAGAATAACCCCTCCGCCCAATTCCTTTTTATTGACTCTTTCTACATCATTTATGGGTACACTGAAATCAACTGTAACTTGCCGAACCTAGAAATTGGCTCAAATGTAATCAAAATTTAATGATCTCTCAGCTTAAATTTACATCACCGATTACTCCAGAATCAATCATTCTTCTCATTTCGTGGTAAACGGGAAAGAATCTAGACCACACAGCTTCCATTATGAACAATTTCTTCTCTTTGGCCAAATCAACCAATTTCCTCGTTTGCTTCTCGTTTAAAGTAAAAGGTTTCTCACACAATACATGCTTACCAGCTTCTAAGAGTAGCTGCGAAGGAAAGTTTGACTTTATACGATTTCTATCGGTGTACGATATATGAATTTACCTTAACAACTTCGTAATGCTGGGGATTCAAAACCCCCACGTACACTACAGCAACATTTTTATCTGTAGCTAAAGCATTGTAACCTTCGTAGGCTACTGGTATTCCGTGAGTTTTTGCGAAACTGTTGGAAGTGGCCTGAGATCTACTGGCTACAGCCACTACCTGGTGCTCGTTGGATGGAAGGGCCTTTAAAGCAGTAACGAAATCGTTGGAAATTTTACCCGAACCGGCGATTCCCCAGTTTAATTGCATGTTTGTTAAGTAAAAGATATTGGAAGGTACTAATTAATAACAGTACTGATAAGTGTTAAGTGTAGTGGATTGTATGCATAATTTTCTGAAGCTAAAATAAAGTGGGGGTTATCAGTAAAGCTATGCGATAAATTTGTAAAATATCGTACATCGTACACACTCGTAAATATGTCGGTTTTCTTCAGATTTCTTCTTAATTTTTATTTGTATCTTAAAAACTAATAATAAAATAATAAAACTAATAAACAAATAAATTTCATACGTCAAAATATTTGTACATTCAAAATTGACAATGGCCTTGTACTTGTATAATATTACTATAAATTCTTATTAATTCACAAAAAAAAGAAGAAATAACCTTCATAAGATAAGTTTTGCTCTTATTCAAAATATATTTTCAAAAAGAATGAGTGATAAAGAACTTAAGAAATGTTGCCATGAGGATAGTATGAAACTAAGAATATTAGCAATTCATGGATACAGACAAAATGCGGAAACGTTTAAGGCCAAAACTGGCTCGTTCCGAAAAATGGTTCATAAATGGGCCGAATTTACATACATTACAGCCCCTCATAAAGTGATTAATATTGAAGACCCTGGTGACATAGGAAAGGCCGATCCAGATATTATTCAAAGCCAAGAAGAAGGTATTTAATTTCCTAATTGAAAGTTACAATGTAGTTCGTTAATATTACCTCTAGATCAGTTCGGATGGTTCTTCAACAGAGATGATCTCACCTTTAGAGGCACGAGAAAAGGCGGTCCCGCAATAGGTTTTGAAGAAACCATTAAATTAATCGAAGATGTTTTCAAAACGGAAGGACCTTTCGATGGAATATTAGGCTTCTCTCAAGGAGCTTGTTTAACCGGTCTGTTATGTGATTTACAACAAAGAGGATGTAAGTCAACAATTATCACATCACATACGTTTTAAAACTCTTTAATTGCAGTGATCAATATTAGTTTCAATTTTGCGATAATGTCATCAGGATTTAAATCAGGATCATTGCCTCACTTGAAATATTACAGCGACCGTATCAATTTACCTTCTCTTCATATATTCGGTCAGAATGATGAAAGGATATCTTCAGGTAAATATTGTAATTTATTTTTGTTGCTATCGATAGATTTCTTTGGTTTTAGAATTGAGTGAAGCACTAAGTAATTGCTTTATTGAGCCAATGATAGTACGCCATACGGGGGGACATTATTTACCAGCAACTGCTGCGCAGAAGCACGATTACCAACAGTTTTTCAAACTTATGCTTTTTCAAAAACAACAAGCAAAACAATTAGAGAAAAACTGATTAATAAAGTTAATTTATTTCTGAATGGTCTAAAAACAATCCCTAATTAAATGCGTAAATAGTAATCAGTTAGTCTAATATTTGCCTTAAACATTTTACAATTAATATCTATTGTGGTCAGCCTTTCTACGATCGTTATAGTTTAGTCTCCTGCCAGCTCTCTCTCTATTGAAAGAGTTGTCTCTGAAATGCCTGCCTCCTTCGTCTCTGTATTGATCTCGGAAATGGTTCCTGTTGTTGTGATTGTCTTGGGGTCTGTTCTGATTAATTGCCGATCGTTGCCTCGAGTAAACAGGCGAATCCAACCTCTCTGACAGTCTGTTTCTGGAATTGTGATTTTCCTGCGAACGGTTCCGGAAGTGGTCGTGTTGGGGCGCCGGGCCTATTCGTGAATGAACCGATGCATCGTTTACTTCGGTTAATCTGTTCGAGTTGCTGTGCCTGGGTTTTATGAGTAATGATTTATCGTAAAGCCTGATTCCGTTTAGCAAGCGTTGGACGTATTCAACGGATTCCTCGTGCTTAAACGTAACAAAAGCGAAATTTGATTTTCTACCTTCCCTATCTGTGGGTATTTTAACTCGTTCCAAAGGTGCGGCCTGCACGAAAAGCTCGTACAACAGTTCTTCGGTGACTTTGTCGGATACGTTACCGCAGAAAACGGTTCTTGAATCATCCATTATAATTTGTATTATTTAAATATTAGAAAATAATATTTGGAAAAATTTTATATGACAACTGACAATGACAGCAAAATTTTGTTGTCTTCATTTTTTTAAAAAAGTTAAAAAAAAAAAAGAAGATTTGACACTTTACGTCAATGTCAAAATCTTTTACGTGCAAAACAAAATAAGTATGCACGTGTAATAATTATTAGCAACATAATATTTAAAATTCCGCAAAAATGCGTATCGAAACTTGTTACTTTTGTTCGTCTAGGATATATCCTGGTCATGGAATACAATTCGTTAGGAATGATTGCAAGGTAGGGTTGATTACGAGCTATTTCATAACATGAATTCGCATGAAACTATTTGTGTTTTGTAGATCTTCAAATTTTGCCGTTCAAAGTGCCATGCGGCGTTTAAAAAGAAAAAGAATCCGCGCAAAGTTAAATGGACGAAAGCCTACAGAAAAACCGTGGGTAAAGAATTGGCTATTGATCCGGCGTTTGAATTCGAAAAGAGAAGACACATACCGATTAAATACAACAGGGAAACCTGGGCTAAAGCGGTGGAAGCCATGAAGAAAGTAGAGAAAATAAAGCAAAAGAGACAAGGCGCGTATATATTGCAGAGGTTAAGGAAAGGCAGAGAAATCGAGCAAGAACGGGACATCAAAGAAGTCCAGAGAGACATTTCCCTTATTCGCTCACCTGCAGCCGGACTTAAACAGAGGAAACAGGAAGAGGCTATGGCCGAAGATGCGAAAAGCAGCGACGAAGAAATGGAAGGAATTGTTGAAGACGGAGGTGAAGTTACTCTTTGAGAAAATAATGTTTGATTTAATTAATAATTGTATTTACGAACATTACAAAAAATATATATCAGTTTATCGAAGAGTAATAATGTTTTTTATTAACACTTCTCTTCCGTCAGAAGATTCAAAAGCTGGAAATCAGCTTTAATTATATCCCATAAAATTTAATACGAGTAATAATAACAGTAAATTATTATGCGTCATAATCTGAAATGGTAGTAAATAAATATAAAATTTGCGTGAATTACTCGTTAATTACATACCTAAATAGTTACTTAATAATGTCATCATAGCAAATCCAAGAAAAACTGAAGAGAATTGTACCAATCCTGCGGCCTTCTTCTCGTGTTGCTGGTGCCATCTTGCCCTTTCGCGAGGAATTATTTCACTTACAGTTACATATAAAAGAGTACCACCTGATAGAGCCTTAAATTTGAACATTTTGTTATAACGATTACCTAAATTAATCAAAACGTACTTGTAATATTGGTATCACGCTATATTTAATTTCTCCTGGTATGCTATAGATCATCATACCTACTACAATACCCAATACTGATCCAGCAGAGAATATCAAAATGCACAACAAATGTTTCATAAAACTGTAAGAGGAATTCGACGCCAATTCCATACCAAGACAAAAAGCCACCACCAATTTATGCGAAGCTATAGCCCCTAAAAGGAGCAAAACCTGAAAATTAAACGCATTTTACAACACCTATTAACTTAAATTTCGAATTTCATTTACTTTCTCCGATCGCGTTTCCAAACCAACAACCAGCCCTTCGATTAAGGCGTGCACCGAGAGCGCCGCCAACAGGCCAATATTGGCCGTGGAAACCGACTGGCAGGGCTCTTGGTGCCCCACATGGCACAGCTGGGAGGGCGGTTGATCGAACAAAGCGCTGTCGCTTTGGGTTCGATAAAAAGACGGGTTGTAAGGCGGTTGCTTCTCAGCGTGCAACAGCGATCGCGCTTCGGTTGCACCGTAACCAGGGCTTACTTCCGAATGGCGTCGCTCGCAAGCGCCGCCGCTGCGCCCTTGATGGTGCAGAATGTTGGCTTCCTCCGTGTCGCCATAGAAGAAATGAACGATCTCGTCCAGTATGTACAACACGAAGAAGCCTAAGCAGTAAACGATTTCTGTGTATTGTCTGTAACGTTCCGGTATAGATTCCCTGAGTTCGGGTAGAATGTGAACTAGGGAAGTAGACAGTAGAATTCCTCCTCCGAGACATAGAAGACTCGATAGGAGTAAAGGCCATTGTCTTCTTCCTTGTCGGGCGAAACAGTTGGGTAGAACCCCGACGAAGATGCTCGATAGTCCGAGTATTATTGCCGAAAATATTTTCGAATGGGTCAGATCCATTTTCGATTGTATTTAAGTTGAATACAAAAGAAATCTGCGAAAAGAAGAATGCTTTATACATAATTTAACTAGCATTAACACGATAAAAACAGGTCAAGATACGACACTATCGAGATAACAAAAATGCTATAAGTTTCTTACCGTTTTATTAACTTCTTTAAATGCTTTTAATTCTTAATCGATTATGCAGTAATTTTACGGCTTCATCTTTAACGAAGCCACACACTGCAATACCAACAAAATTATTTAATTAGTTAGTTAACAATCATTTAATTATTGTACGGAGAATGAGTTAGAGGAACAAGACAAATTTTAACTGGTCTTATCGGTTTAGAAACAAAACAACTTCCAAGATAACGCTTCATATACATTAGGAAAACGACTTAACGAGAAGTTTAATACTTATCGAACGGACATTAATTCATGATGAATTAGAAATTTTTATTTAATTAATTAGAACAACATTTTTCTACTAATAGAAATATTTATATCTGAAGTCAATTCAAATGTATGGGTGTTCATTTTTTAGTCTAAATCAAATTCAAATACTAAAATAGAAATCCTGTAACCTTCTCGATTATCAATCTTCGATTATTTCAAGCATCCGGAAATAATAGAAATCTGTTTTTGTAGATTCTTGCAAAGTGAATACTTTATAATTAGAAAAACTTTGAAAGTAACCTAAATCGATCACAGAACATACATATGGATTAGTGCAAATTTGCCTGAACATGGGTGCAACAAAGACAACTTCCATTAGTCTCATATAAAGGGAAAGGGAAGAGTGGTGGCCTTGTGGGGATTTGTGGGCTTCCAATTTTCTCACTGTAACTTCTGTTATTTTAATAATTAATCTTTCTTTGTTCAGTAAGTAGGTAGTTGGTTGGTAGCTTTAATGTTCTACTCTTATATTATATTATCTTGTAGATTCCACGAGAAAACTCTGGGTAGTATATATAGGTACCTAAAATAAATCAATTTTGACAAAAAATCGACTTATCAAGTTAAATATTTCAACTATCCACAGAAATAATATCTGTGCTAAATCTCTTCATTGTACTTATCCCTATATACCTCTTTTAAATCTATGTACCAGTACCCTTTTAAAATTGCTTTTCCAATATTTTAATTTTCTCTCGTTTTCTTTACTTGGCTACTTCCGAGTTCTTTTATGGATTCGAGACTGCTTTCCCAAACCACAGTAGTTCTAACAGTTGTAACATCAAATCAGTTCATTTATAAACAAGTGAACAATTTAAACAAATCATAATTGGAATTTTATCACTAATTTATACGAAAGTAATTATCAATAACAACGATGGTATAGTTATCCAGGAATTTTATCAATGCCGTATATTCAACGAAATTTTTCACCGGTATATGTACCTGTAAAACTAGCGCAAGTTCCTAACATATTAGGCATTCGCTTGCACGTATATGCACGTAAATAGACGTAAACTAAATATCAGGGTTACTAAAGCTGACCTGAATCAAAATTAATTTAGTTATCATTTATCTAGTATTAATTTATACATCTGTTACCTATTAGGTGTATGAATATGTTTAGCAACGTTTATGCAGCCGGTTGTTGATTATGGGATCAAAGGAAGTGAGGTTTTCTGGAGCAATGTGTTTTTGAAGCAGTTTTGTTTTTTTGTTGTTATTATCCATTAGAAAATGTTTACTTCTTCTGATTGTACCATAGGAATCAATTTTTTTTGGATTAGGTAAGTTCTAATTGCGATTTATCTTTAATTTATCTAATTTATCTTCGCAGACAGTAGACATACATATAACAGATTATTTATTTACCTATATGAGTGTATCACAAAGTTCCCTAAGTGGAACATTACATTACTTTTAACAGATCGAAAATACCAGGAAAAATCGTTGTTTTCTGGAGCTTTACATATTTACATTAATGTAAATAATACAATTTTGTTAAAAATTTTTATCTTGAACCAACAAAGCACACGTTCATAAATATACATACATGTAGCACTGATAGCGCGATATTGAACTGATTACGTTTATATTTTGCTTACTTATTTTTTTGGATTATAGTTATTTTATACCGTACATTATACCTTCCCAATGCCAGTTTATATTCCCGAAATATTTTGCTTAAGCTTGCTTTTTTTAAAACTGCAAATTTTCTTTGGTTCACATCCAATAACAGCTTTTTTACACACTACGTAAAACTATGTTTGCTGTAAAGTTTAAAATGTATTTCTAACAATAAAAGAGTGAATAAAGTGCTTCAAATTACGTTATTTTTTGCAAAATGACTGCCAATAACATAAAAATGTAAGTAGGCTTAAGCATAGGCAATAAAGTGTAGCTTTCCGCATTTTAATAATAGTTAATCTTCGGTACAATAAAAAGTATAATGTTATCTCGACACATGCGAATCTCCTATAAATATTATTTTTGTTCTGAAGCATCTAATATCCTATTGAAACGTATGTATTATTGTTAGTAACTTTTTAGACATGTTCTACAGGCAGAAAGTTATTCTTCTCCTGTTCTGTTTCAGCTTGTTTGCCGTCAGCTTGCACCTGCTAACTACCCATAACATCTCCTTCAGTAAAATCCGAATTAAAAGCTTAAACGATTCCAATTTAAATTATCTAATATGCGCGGACGGGATTTTAGAAAAAAACGTAGAATTCCGCGGGAAGTACGTAGTGTTAAAGAACTACATAATAGCTAAAAGACAGTTTAAATGTTTGGAAAGTGTGACGTTGAGTGTGCCGGGGGATTACAGGTTTTTGGATAATATTGTGCCTTTGGTGGAAAGATGGAGAGGGCCTATCAGCGTGGCTTTATACGCTCCCGGGTACGATTTCTACAGCACTTTGCAGAGCATAGCTTATTTAAGACATTGTTTCAAGACATCTTCGTTAGTTAAAGAATATGTGACCTTTCATATTTTCTTCGATAGCGATCATATGCCGCAAATGGTGAGTACACACAATAGGTACTTAATAATTTAGATAATTCACTATTCACAGTTATTCATTATAAATGTTCATTTGTGGAGTTTTTATACATAGACGCACTGTGGAACTCCGCTCCAAATTTATCTGAAATTTAATCCAGAAACGAAATTGTACACCAAAAATTTTGCTACAAGCGTGCTGCACTAATCCTAAGCAGGAATTCTACATCCTACTCTATGATAAATTTCCAAAAAAAATGGGTTTTTAAGATGCGTTCGATGATACATAAACAGAAATTGTTAAAATTGACATTTTAATGGCAATTCGTGTGACAGAAGATTAGAGGTGAGAATAAACTTTTTTGTATGCAGGTGCAGGAATGACTGTTACAAAATAAGCGTTATTTTTCAAACACCGTTCTTCTAATAATTACACCTCTTTATTCTAGTCATTTAGGCGCGCATTGTTATTTTTCAGTGTGGAATTTCGGTAAAGGATTAAGGGTAAAGCATGACCCCAAAAAGTGATTATTATTTTGGTGGTGAATTCCGGTGCACCTGGGTTAACCGGGATCTTAATAAATTATTGCTTTTATACAGATATAGAGCTATAGTCTACTCAATAAAAAATATTATGGACTGTTCAAAAATAGTGTTCACAATATAGTGCCTATTAAACCTCGAACAAACAAGGCATTCAATTAAAATCCAATCCATATACTTTTATCTCGCAAAAACCGATTAAAATATTATACATTATATATTTATTTAGAATTTAATTTTCCGGAAAACATAATGATATTACTCGAAGCGAATATATCTATGATGTGATTACACACATAACAGTTGTGCAATATTTACCGAAACAATTTTATAAATATAAAATTTCTTTCAGCACGATGAACCATTGTTGAACATATACCAAGACGAATTCGACTGCGTGCAGAAACCCCCGTGGGAAACGATAAAAGACGAAGAAATGTACAAGCAAAGGACTCAACTTTTCTATCCCATAAACGTGGCCAGGAACGTGGCCAAATTAAACGCACAAACGCATTTCGTTTTCCCTTCCGACATCGAACTCTACCCAACAAGGCACTTTATATCCAAGTTTTTCAACTTCACCCAACGCCATCCCGAATATTTTCGCAGGGAATCCCGGAACGTATTCGTTTTTCCCTTGTTCGAAATAGAAGAAGGGCACGACGTAAGTACAATTTCTCATGCACTGCATTTTGCTAAAAATTAATTGTTTTTTCTTTCCCTAAGTGCATATGAAGGACTTTTGTCAATTACAAATTTTCTATGATTTAATATTTAATTGTAAATGTATTATAATATTTGTAATTTAAATTTCTTAATCAACAACATGTTGAACATATTGAACAGTTATCTCCTGTAATAAACTGAGATTATTTATACTTACAGGGATGACTTATTTATGCTTCTATTTTTTCTCCCTTACGGCAATTTCTAGGTACTACTATCCCCTGTTCATATGTAGAAGATGGACTATGGATAAGATGGATTCTATGGATTACTTAGATTCTATCTGTATATGAATATCTATGGATTTTATAGATTCTATGAATGATATTAATGGATTCTCTCGATATCTATAAATTCTATCAATTCTATCAATATCTATGGATTCTTTGAATATTTGCATCCATCATCCATGGATATCTATATGGATATCTACGGATACACCTATGGATTCGTCTATATAAACGGAGGTCTATTTAGAATCGTTAATTACAATATTTTGAATCAACTTTGAAAATAAATATTATTTTATAGATTCCAGCAAATAAAACTGAGTTGCAAGAGATGCTGAAAAATAACACGGCCTTCTGGTTTCATCATAAGGTGTGCCGAAAGTGCCACGCTGTTCCAGAGAGCGATTTGTGGATAGAAGAAAAGGAAACTGTCGGTTTGAAGATTTTTACGAGCGCCAAAAGACAACACAATCAGAAAATTTGGGAGCCGTTCTTCCTTTGTACTCAGAAGGAGCCGCTCTGGGACGAACGATTGAATTGGGAAGGGCAGGGGAATAAAATGTGCCAGGTTAGTGGATGTAAATATTTTCCTGATCTGGCATACATTATAATTATTAAATTTTCAGGCATATTATCTGTGCATGCTAGATTACAATTTTTTGGTTTTCGACAACGCCTTCTTGATACACAAACCTGGCATTAAGAAAAAGAAAGTCCAAAATATCAAATACAAGGATGAACTGAAAAAAAATAATCAAATTTTAAGGGACATTTCCACGGAATTGTCTAAAATATATGGCAACAATTCAAACTGCTTAATACACAATGTTTATCACATTAAAGAATAATCTATAAAAAAAACCATTTTATATTTACCTATTTGTAGAAAATGTTGGCGCCGGTATGGTATGCGGTCTACCATAATATTTGAGGTCTACCTACATATATTTCGTCGCCCAGGTATATTTAAATACTTGACAGGGGTCATATATTTTGCAAAACTGAAACTGATGGTGTGAATGTCTCACAAAACTGCAAATGGTTGTGCATAACTTTTTTCTATCTCCTACACGACCTACCAGTTTTCGAGACCCCTGTACTAAACATAAAAAAAACCTTCCCCTGTATAGGTAATTCTGATATATATTCCGTAATTCTCGATAAATTAAATTACTTTTATCTGTAGTATTTCCCCAATTCTCGGTAAATTATAGATTATCTACATGCTGTTTTATAAATTAATATACCAGTAAATACCATTTTTTCTGTTGCTAAAATTTTCAAAATATCGCTTTAATACTTTGTATAAAATACATTTCGGTAGACTGCACTGAACCAGATTCGGTAGGGTAGACCGCAACTAAACCGGCACAAAATATTTATCATTGATTCGTTTTTGTTGCTTAATAATCCAGGCAATCGAGACCAGCAAGTTTAATAAAAATTTAGGAGGAGGTTACTTCAAGGTTATTAATACACCAAGGATTGCTCAATTCTACTATCAATTGTTCCATCGATTCTCGTTTATGTATCGACATGATTAGTAAATCGCAAAGTAAATTAACAATAAGATTTTTTACGATATTTTTAATTGTCAAGTCGACTGTGGAAGATTTGATCTTCTTGTTTAAAATTTCCCCCTTTAAGTTGGCATCGATACTGTCTCTCGATTCTATTTACTAGTAAAAGAATCGATTCTTCTTCCGAGAAAAGTATCGAAATCAAATCGCATCAGTATCGGAAATCGGAACATCCGTGTCCGTAGAAACTCTAGCAACCGTATTTTTCTTATCTTATCAAATTACAAGTCACGTTTTCTGTGTATGGTTCCATGTCAGTTCCCTGTCCCATGATCAATCATATGTTTGATAATCCATCACTATTGCACTCGAGGCTAATTTTATTTATTTATTTGCACATCGGGTCGCAAAGCCATTCCTAACGTTTGCGTTCGGTCGAAACATGATGGAAAACAAGTTGAAGTGCAGAATTGGACCGTCTGTGTTGAACTCGGACTTATCCCAGTTGTACGCGGAATCCCAAAAGCTCCTCGACAACGGCGCCGATTATTTACACTTGGACGTTATGGACGGCAACTTCGTTCCTAACCTAACTTTCGGCCATCCCGTCGTTAAATGTCTCAGGAAAAAAATACCCAATGCTTTCTTCGAGGCCCACATGATGGTCCAAAATCCCGAACAGGTACTAAATTACTGCAATAAATTCGCAAATCGCTTAATGTTGCTTTGTTATTAGTGGATCGAGCCCATGAATAATGCAGGTATAAATTTATACACGTTCCACATAGAACCAGTTATAACCGATGTTATAAGAGTGTGTAGGAAGATAAAAGAATCGGGAATGAAGGTCGGTTTGGCCATAAAACCCGGTACGGGGATCGAGGACCTTAGATGCTACATTGATCACGCCGATGTGATTCTTGTAATGACCGTAGAACCCGGCTTCGGGGGCCAGAAGTTTCTGCAGGACATGATGCCTAAAGTGCAGTGGTTGAGGCATAACTATCCTTTATTAGATATCGAAGTCGATGGAGGCGTAGGATTAAACACCATTACTGCTTGTGCTGAGGTAATAACTTGATTTTTATTCAAATTATTCTGCTCTTTTGACTTTATAGAGTTAGAAGTAAAGTTCGTACGTTTTTAAATGACAATGACGTCATTTTAAGCAATTTCGACGCAATTCAAAATTTCCCTAGAGCTAATGTTAATTGCGCTATTTGACTAGGGGAATTTTACCAAGCTTAGTTGAAATACCGATGCGATGTTGCCATATACTTTTCTGGAGCGTCCTAAATGATTCTAAACAATTATAAGTGATTCTGGAACGTTCGAAATGGTTATAGACAGTTCTAAATTGTTATGAAATGATTCCAGATAGTTCTAAGCGATTCTGGAACACTCTAAATGATTACAGACAATTGTAAATGGTTTTGAAGCGCTCTAAATGACTCTAGAAAGTTCTAAATGGTTATATACAAATCTAAATGATTCTATATAGTTCTAAGCGATTCGGGAACGTTCTAAATGATATTTTAAAATGTCATGAAAATGTGACTGGAGCGTTCTATATGATTCTGGGGCATTCTAAATAGTTAGAGACAGTTCTAAATGGTTCTGGAGCGTTCTAAATGATTCTATATAATTCTAAGCGATTCTGGAATGTTCTAAATGATTCTAGACAGTTCTAAATGATTCTGCATCGTTTTAAATGATTCTATACAGTTCTAAGCGATTCTGGAATGTTCTAAATGGCTATAGACATTTCTAAATGTCATGGAAATGGTCATGGAGCGTTCTATATTATGATTTTGGGGCATTCTAAATGGTTAGAGACAGTTCTAAATGTTTCTGAAGCGTTCTAAATGAGGCTAGACAATTCAAATTATTGAGGCGTCCTAAAGGATTCCCAGCAATTTTTGCCTTTGTAATGGTTTTTTTAACTTTACAAGTACTTTTTGTCTTGTTCGTGATGTTCCAATTACAACCTGGCAACATTACAACAGGCTGGCTCGTGACGTCATTGTCATTTTAAAACGTACGAGCTTTAGTTTGGGGATTGATATTAATGTGAATATTTGTTATAGGCTGGTGCTAATATGATTGTTTCTGGTACAGCAATAATAGATTCAATTGACCAAGCTGCCGTAATAGCGAGTCTTAGGGAGACTGTTGAAAGTTCTATCCATAAATGCAACGTTTAAGTCTGTGAAGAAAAAAAATGTGATTCATGTTAAGTTTTATCTTCTATCTGCGTTGTTAATATGCATTCCCCCGTTTTTAAAGACTTACATTTAATGATATCAATTTAGTGTTCTTTAAAATAGCTTAGGGTGAGTCCTACACCAGCATGATTTTCGATTTACATGTAACTTGATTAAAGGATTATAGCGTTTGCTTTTTATGAGCCCCCATTTGATGTAGGACCCATTTTGTTATCGCTTTTTGTCAGGGTATGGAAGATTTGTAAAAATTTTGTTATCTGTTGAATAGAAAAATATTTTTTATATAATTTAACTTCATTAATTTAGTAATGAGGTCTAAATTTAAGGATTTCTCCATGGTGAAATAAAATAAAACAAATTATATATACATTATTCATTAATTATTTATTTCTCCTTAAGAATTACTCTAATGATCCACATTCAACAATTACGTTAGGTTTACAAACAGGATTAAGTTTAGGCCTTAAACTAGCTAAACTTATTAATATAGCTTCCTCTGTCCGAATAGTCCGGGAGCCTTGCTCCGGTTGGGTATTTAGATAATGATCGAATAGCAATTTAGGATCTTCGGCGTCTAATACTTGATCATTTTCTAATGCAACTTCAAGTCCTTGAACTCCGCCAAAAACTAATAAAACATGTTTAAATTGTGGACAAGAAAATTCATCCACTGAAGTTCCTTTATCGGAAGTACCGATAGTCAAATCGTAACTAAAAAATAAGTTCATTAATTTAAAAATAACCACTTGATAACTAATTGTCTTACCCTTCTTTATGTGGGCACTGCGAAAACACCTTCGACAACGATGTAGCAATTCGTACACTATAACCCCAGTAAGCCCCAGTTTCCCGTCTTGGAGTACTAGGGGCCACAACAATGCCTTTGTATTTCTTGCTAGAAGGCTCCGTTGGAACCATTTTAACCGTACACCTCAAACCTGGTGTCAATAACTTATCGACATGTATTTCTTTAAGAAGTCCTACATTTACAAACGAACCCTGACCAATTTTCGAAGGTTTATTCAATACCACACCTTCCCTACAAATCGATCGATACAATAATAAAATAAGCTACTAAATAAATATGTTCCTACCTAAATAAAAACTCATCCTTAGGTCCCAAATGATGGGGGGCATTTAACGGATTCAACAGCCCGCAGTACTTCAAATCTTGGTGAATCGGAAAAAAATGTTTTCTTAAATATTGAGGGCATTCTAGATATTGCAAAATCCTTCCGAGTTGAACGCACGATTGTCTCGCTGATACAACACCAGTGTCATGTTCTAGCGACGACTTCTTCGCTGATGCCTCATCTCCGTAATCGTCGAAAATTACTACCTCGTCGATTTGAAATATACAGGCGGCTCTCGCAATTTGTCCAGCTAAGTATGTGCGTAATTCGGCAGACTGTGCGTTCTCCAATATAGAACCCGGGACTGCTATAGATATTGTCGAAGGCTGGTTGGAATTTTCTAATTGTTTATCAGTCTCTTTATTATCTGCCAGCTCTTTTAATTTCTTCTTCTCCGCTTTTTTTAATAAGTTTTGTTCTTTCCACTTTTTTCGTTCTTCCTTCTTTAGTTTATTAACTTCATTCCAAGTTGCTTTCTTGGCAATTTTAGCATTTTGAATGTTTGTGGTTGTAGGAGCCATGTTTAAAAATGAGGTTAAGTTTTTTGACAAATGGTTGACAGTTATTGTATCTTCTGGTTCTAATAAGGGCTTTTACTTTTATACTATTCGACCAAAGCTATGATTTTCTTCTTTTTTATATAAATGTCAAAAAAAGAAGTATTCTAAATTGCTAACTTCATTTCATACATTTTGGCGCTAAAACTTGTTTGGAGTCGAGTTGGAATGCGGATTTGTTGAACATAAAAGAAAATTAGAAACGGAGGTGATCCAAAAGTACATTGTGTGAAATTGTAGTGAATGTGTGATTATAAAAACATTTAAACAATGGATCTGGATCTGGATACAAACCAACACCAACGAGATATTCAACGAGAGTACCTAGATTTTCTTGATGATGAGGTAGGTGCTCTTCTACAATCATAAGTATTTTACTCAAAGCTAACTTTTAGGCGGATCAAGGAAAGTATTTCCAATTCGTTAAGGACATGGTAGCAGACAAAAACCGAAGATTGTTAATAAATATTAATGATTTACGTAGAAAAAACTCGGCTAGAGCAAAATCACTTTTGAAGAATGCGTTCGAAGAACAAGCTGCTTTCCAGAACGCCTTGAAGGAATATGTTTTATCGGTTGCTCCGGACTATGCCAAAGAAATCGAAGACTTCTTCATTTCTTTTGAAGGAAGTTTCGGTAGCAATCACGTTACACCCAGGACCTTAACATCGAGCTACCTGGGAAATTTGATATGCGTAGAAGGAATTGTAACAAAATGTAAGCTACTTTAATCGTGTGTATAATCAGGTTTATTCAAAATATTTCTTTTGATAGGTTCGTTAATTTATCCTAAAGTTGTTAGAAGTGTTCATTACTGTCCTGCTACTAAAAAGTTCATGGAACGGAAATATTCCGATTTAACATCGCTCGATGCTATTCCTTCTGTAGCTGTTTACCCTACTAAGGTACATATCATATGGTAACATGAGTGTATGGACTAAATTATAATTTAATAGGACGATGATGGAAACCCGCTTGAAACCGAATTTGGTTTGTCTACTTACAAAGATCACCAGACGATAACTATTCAAGAAATGCCCGAGAAAGCTCCCGCTGGTCAATTGCCTAGATCGGTTGATATCATATGCGACGATGATTTGGTAGATAAATGCAAACCTGGTGATAGAATTCAAGTAGTCGGTAGCTTCAGATGTCTACCAAACAAACAACAAAATTATACCAACGGAATATTTAAGTACATACTACATTGTACAACTATTACCCAAAATTAAATTTTTAATAATTTCAGAACTGTCGTTATCGCCAATAACATATCTCAACTCAGTAAGGAAGCCTCCCTGTCAATTACGAAAGAAGACATTAACAGGTGCAAACGACTGTCGAAATCCAACGACAACATATTCAACTTACTCGCCAAGTCGTTGGCTCCCTCGATCCAAGGCCACGAATATATCAAAAAGGCCATTTTGTGTTTGTTGCTCAGCGGAGTCGAGAAAGTTTTACCCAACGGCACCAGGCTCAGAGGCGACATCAATATTCTTCTAATTGGAGATCCCAGTGTAGCCAAGTCGCAATTGCTGAGATATGTTCTGTTTACTGCTCCGAGAGCTATACCCACCACAGGTAAATTAATACTCCAATATTTAGTAAATCTAATTTACATTTATTTTAAGGGTTGTAATTAGAGCTTGAAAAATATGCACTAACAAATGGCAAAATGTGCATGCAAATATCCACCTAAAACCTTTAAAATATGCACTTACATAACGCGTTTATACTCGATGAAAAAAAAAATCAGAACCAACCAGATATAACATATTTTTTTTTATTTTTATTAAAAGAAAAAGATAAGACAAGATGAACATTACTAGAATGGGATAGAATCATTTAGAACAACCTTATAGAATCATTTAGAACGATCTAGAATCATTTAGAACACTCCAGAAACATTGAGAATTTTCTAGCATAATTTCGAAGGCTCCACAACCATTTAGAGAACTGTCCATGCTCATTAAAAACGCTCCAGAATCATTCAGAACTGCCTAGAACCATTTTGTCAAACTGTTTAAAACATAGTCGTTTAGTTGAACTATACACAATATTTATTCACAACCTGTAGACAATAATGACTTCCTGGTCTAGGAGGTCTAGAATCATTTAGAACCATCTAGAATCATTTAGAGCGCTTCAGAATCATTTATAACTGTCTACAATCATTTAAAACGCTCCAGAATGATTTAGAACTGTCTAGAACTGTTTTGGAACGCTGCAGAACCGTTCAGAACACTATGCGAGTATGCGATCTCAGAATGAGCATTTGCATTTCTTTTAGTTACTCGAATTGGCAAGTACTAATAAAATTGTTAACGTTTTTGTTATAAAGTAAAATTTGTAAAGTTTATCCTATTTTAATTATTTATCGGCGAAATATATCGAAAAATTTTAATAAACGAAATTTTGCATAGGCATTTTGAAATTTTTTGGGGAAATACGCACGTATGCACTTTACATCCATTTTGCATATTTTCCGGGCTCTAGTTGTAAATAACGCAAGATATATCAATCATATAATTTGAATATTTTAACAGGTAGAGGCTCTTCCGGCGTGGGTCTAACGGCCGCCGTAACTACCGATCAAGAAACTGGAGAGAGACGATTAGAAGCCGGTGCTATGGTCTTGGCCGATAGAGGTGTAGTTTGCATCGATGAATTCGACAAAATGAGCGATATCGATCGGACGGCCATTCACGAAGTCATGGAACAGGGTAGAGTGACGATCGCCAAGGCGGGAATCCACGCCAGTTTGAATGCGAGATGCTCAGTTTTGGCTGCTGCCAATCCCGTATACGGAAAGGTATTTCGAATCCACACGTTTTGTTTTGCGTTTTAATAATCGCTTTCTTATTACAGTACGACCCGTATAAAACCCCAATGGAAAATATCGGTTTACAAGATTCCCTTCTATCGCGTTTCGATTGCCTTTTCGTCATGTTAGATACAATCGATCAAACTCATGATCACAAAATAGCTGACCATGTCGTTAGAATGCACAGATACAGGCGAGTTATTCGATTATACAACAATTCTACAATCGTTATTTATAACATTTTATGTTTATAGGAACCCGCTGGAGCAAGACGGGGAAGTGTTACCTATGGGTTCGAACGTCGATACCTTAAGTACCATGAATCCGGACGATGAGGATGAGAAAGAGACGCCGATTTACGAAAAGTACGATCCGATATTGCACGAAAACAGTCGCAAACGCACGGATAAAATCCTGAGCGTCGGTTTCATGAGGAAATACATCAACTTCGTTAAAATTATAAAGCCCGTTTTAACCGAAGAGGCCTCCGAAATTATATCCGAGGAATATTCGAGGTTGCGATCGGAGGATGTATTAGAAAGCGACGTCGCTAGGGTAATATTGCACTTAGTTTTTAAACGATTTTAAATAATACGAACAATTATTATTATAGACGCAACCTGTAACTCCCCGTACCTTGGAAACTATGATACGTTTGGCAACAGCGCACGCTAAAGCCAGGATGTCCAAGAAAGTTACCAAAGAAGACGCCGATGCAGCCATAGAACTCATCCAATACGCGTACTTCAAGAAAGTGTTGGAGAAAGAGAAGAAGCGCACTCGCGAGCAGGAAGATTCCGATGATGAAAATCAAAGGCAGAAACGTACCAGAAGAAGGGTAAACGATTTTCAAAAATACTTGTACGTTATGTTAATTACCTTGTATTTTAGAAATCTGGAGCAGATGATGATTCGGACGATGAAGTTATGCCTACCCAAAGCTCAACTAGAAGTAGATCAACAGCTCTTTCGGGAATAGAGCATATGGAAGACGATGAGCCTGTTACAAATGGAACGAACGGGCACACACAGGATACAAATGGAACGAACGGGCATACACAGGATACAAATGGAATGGATGTTGATGACAGTCCAAAAGAAATTTCAGAAGAAAGGTATTTTATTCAAAAAAATGTGTTTTGATTTGTGTTTTAATTCATGGTGAATATTTTAGGTTCTCATCATTCAAGCGCAGTCTTCATCGTGCGTTTAGGGACAACCAAACCCAGTCATTGAGTTTGAGTAGAATAAGAGATTTCATTAATAACGAAGCTCCCACGGCTTATTCTCAAGGGGAAATCGATGCCGCTGTCGAAAAAATGATGGACCACAATCAAATCATGTTGGCTGATGGTATTGTATTTTTGATCTAATTTCTCATTATCATTAATTATGTAAGTACTTTTATAATTCTAATTTTTTGCGACTAAAAGGAAGTTTTCTTCACACATTGTATTTATTTAATAGGATTTCACACTAACATATATAAAAGCATATGTAGATAAAAAAACTGATAACAGAAAAGAATATAAACAAATATACAAAAATATTTACAAAATAAAAGGTAATAAATTAATACTTTACTTCAAGCATTTTGTTAATACTAAAAGAAACGTTTGAAGATTGCAAGTTGGATACAAAAAATGATTTTTTTTTACATTTTGTTACAATTTATAACAATAAATTGTAGGTTACATGGCACGATATATAAATTAATTAAATTCACACGTTTAACAATCTCACTTAAATTTACCTAAGTTTATGTACACAAAGTTCACTGAATAAATAAGAAAACTAAAAATAACATCACAGATATTACAAAATGTGCATATTTTCGCTGAAAATTATTTACCTGTATAAAATAGCCGTTTACTATGAAAAAACAGTGGTTTACATGTGTAAATACTAAATCATCTCATTTTGTTTAAATGGATTTACAGGAATAATATTTTAATTTTGTTACATTCACGATGAATTGATAAACTGTAAATGAATTTGATATGTACGTTATGCTTTTCTGCCGCACTTTCGTATGAATTAAATGAGACAACAGCGCTTAGAACATCTACACATTTCTCTCTAAAATTAGAAGAAAATCGCTGCCTGCGTTTTTCCTAATTCATATTGTACATACAGCATGACAATTTACAAACTTACAATGTCTATATCTCCCAAACGAAAGATGATATTAAAATGCCTAAAAATGTTTCTAGGGTATAAAGGGGATACTAAAATGATATAAAAAAGAATTCACCTCTATCAACCCCATAGGCCTCACGTACCCAACTATAGAAATTTAATTAGCAACCCCCAACTTATTATACATAATTGAAAATCCTATAAAAAAGCTGTCCAATGGTATAAATAATAATTGTACAGGGTGAATCAATAAGTGTGAATCGTTGCCATAAAAGCAAAATTTAATAAAGTTTGAAAACACCATCGAACCATTAATTGTGTATAATTAGATAACCAAAAGGATGACCAAGTCAATCTAGCTCTAGATGAAGATTTTCTGAACTTCCAAAAATATGGAGCACCTCCTCACTATGCAGCTGCAGATGCACAGATTGAATACTAATCTGAACGAATGGATTGGAAGGAGAGGTCCTGTAAAGTGGTCACCGAGATCACCAGACTTAACGACACCTGATTTTTTTCTATGTGGTTACCCCAAGTCATTAAATTTTGCTTTGAGGGCAAGGTCTCACAATTTGGTGGTTGGAAGTGCAGCAAATCTTCGTCTAGAGCTACATTGTCTTGATCGTCCCTTTGGTTATCTAATTCATGCATAATTAATTGTTCGATGGTGTTTTTTGATACTTCATTAAATTTTGTTTTTAATTCAAGGTTTCACAATTATTGGTTCACCATGTACACTTATTATTTATACAATTGAATAGCATTTTTATAGGCTTTTCAATGATGTGTCACAAGTTGGAGGTTACTATTAAAATTTCTATAGTTGGAGTACGTGGGGCTTAGGGGGTTGATGGGTGTGAATTCTTTTTTATGGCATTTTAGTACCCTCTTAATATCTTAGAAACGGTTTTAGACATTTTTTGATATAATATTTCGTTTGGGAGATAGAGCCGTTGTAAGTTTTTAAATTGTCATACTGTATAAAATGAATACCTATCGGTGAACGTTTACCGTGTACCTTCTAATAAATTACGAGGAAAAACTCTGATGCCCACTACACGAAAAATATGTCTACAGCTGATTATGAAACGTTTTCATAAGATCAAAACAACTCTTATTAATTGACTTATAGGTCATTTATAAATATTGTGCGATCTGATTTCTTCGAAAAGAAACGCGAATTCCTAGCAGAGTTGCAAAATCTCACGATTTTTAACATTAAGTACCGTAATTCTCTTCCACCTTATAGATTAAAACAAAAATATTTTATATCCTACTTTCTTAATCCGTTGGCTGCCACGGCAATTTTCAGAATTCCGCTTTGAGAAACCAAGGTCATTTAATTATCATTAATACGAGATAACTCGTAGTTCAGCGTCCTGGGCAAGAACGCAATCTACGAGTTATTTCGTAGTTGGCAGTCAACGGGTTAAAATACCATTGAATACTGTCGAAATAGCATCATTACAATCGAAGTTAAATCAAACAGTATCCACTCCTGCATTTCAATTCACATTTCTAAAAAGCATTTAAATATTTAGTTTGGACCACTTATAAAATAGTTCGTTAAAAAAATATTTAAATGTAGTTAATTTAGCAGTTTTATGTAGCGTCTAACTTGGGATCGTAAAACCCATAAAAGTCATACTAGCACCTAAATGGACTTAAAATCTATGAAATATTGTTGCGTTCCTAATGCGTTTCGTTCCTTATAATTTTCTTGATATTGTGCTAATTAGCTTAAAGCATAAGTTTTCTTTAACAAGTTTTAGGCCATTTAAGTAACTATTATTCCTAGCATATTACATATAGTTTCGAAGTATCGATAGACTAAAATTTTATCGTTTAAAATCAATTTACATCACCTACGCAATTTGAATATGTTTACGTAATTTACATGAATTTTCCTAACAATTTGCTTAAAGAATTACCTAAAAACCTTTCAAAGTACGATAGCTTCCAAAACATTCAAGTTCAAAAAACTTCCCCGCATTCGAACATTTTTTATAACCAAATGGTTTTCTAACCAACGATTATATATTTTCGATTTAAACATGGCAACGTTGCTTGTTTGAATCTTAAAAAAAAGATGAAATTGAAGTAAGTTATTCGTCATTATTCTTCTTCTAAATAAGGCATGGAAGTCATTTTTGTATACAGGGTGTATAATAAAAATTGTGTAAAGTTCAACCAAACGACTATGGAGCGTTCGAAATAGTTCTAAACAGTTTAAACAGTTTGAAAATGGTTCTAGACAGTTCTGAATGATTCTGTAGCGTTCTAACTGCTTTTAGACAGTTCTAAATGCTTCTAAAGAGTTTTGAATAATTCTGAAGTGTTCTAAACGAATCTGGAGAGTTCTAAATGGTTCTAGATAGTTTTAAATGATTCTAGAGCGTTCTAAATGAGTCTGGAGCGTTCTAAATTGGTCTAGATGATTCTGGAGTGTTCTAAATGGCAGAAGAATGACAGTAAGGTTGCCACGTTTAAAATTCGGAAATATAATAATCGTTGGTAACAGAACCATTTGATTATAAAAAACTTCTGAATACGGTATGGCTAAAAATTGGACAGTGGCAAATCCTTCTAAAAAATATGGCAATAACAAAATGCATCTATTTTACATTAGGAGCAGTCTACGTTCGTTCAGTTAATACGATTAGCTTAAATTTTAGTTAGGCCTTCTAAACAGCTATTGGTACACATTTAGAATTAGTTTAAGATCAAAACAAAATGCGTATTTTTTCCAATTGAAACTAGCTGCTTGTTATTATAAAATCTGTTACTATACAGGGTGTCGCAGAAAGGTTGGGACTTCGCTTAAATACACAAAAATAACATGATGTAACCCAACTTAAGTAAAGGATACCTTGTAACTTTAATAAGCACATTTGGATATAGATAAGTTAGGTTAAATGATTTTATTTTCATCTCAGAAATCTGTAGTTAAGCCATATGTATGTCTTAACCTTTCTGCCCCACCCTGTATATGATATAAATGCGTTGCAAGTGTAACTTTCGGAACAAATAAGCGTTTTGAATAACTTTCCAAATGTTTACCCAAGACATCAAAACTATATTATATTGTTTCTTTAAGTCTAACATCAATTTAGCAATGGGCAAGTGACCTCTTTTGGAATTTTATATATTTATAATATATTTATTATCCATTGAAGACTTTTATTTAACTGTGAACACTAGGTTTGTATCTTTCAAATCATATAGTTCAAACACCAAAGTTTTGGTCAATTCCCCATTTTTCATAAGTACAGTAAAAGTAAATTTTAGTAATAATTACGAATTATTTTTTTACATTTCATAGTTATTTTACACGTGAAAATACACTATGAAGAATCAGTCTTATGACAAAAAGTTGGTGAAATTTTTAAACAATTTATGTAAATACTCACTGGATTCTTTTAAATGCAAATTAATTTTCGATGCCTAATTCATTGTTTGATATATTTTCTATCTAGAATACATTAAAATTAGCAAGATCGTTCAAAGGTGTTCGTAAGTTTTGGCGCTATCCAACGAATAGAGAGGAAACATGAACGCCTTTAAAAGCTAACAAATGCCCTAAAATCTTTAAATGTATTGCTTGTAGTCTTGTGTTCAGTGATGTGCTTTTTTACCGCGGGGTTTAATAGTCTCCGACAGTTTCCACATGGCATCTTCGCCAATGAAATCGTCGAAGTTTTGAAAAAACGTGATGATTTTTTCCTGTTTTTTAAACGTGTACGTCCTAAAGCCGAGATAAGTTATTAATTTTCAATAGTTTAATAATAATTATTGTCAAACTTACGATTTTTTGAACTTCTTCATGTTCTCCACGATGTTAAATTGTTGCCACCTTTTGGAAAAATTTATCGAACCGTCCGGCAAAAGATTGCTGTTACCGATATGAACGAACGTCAAATCTTGCAAAACCAACCCGCTAAAACATAACGTATTTAGTTACACACGAACCATCGAAGTAATAATACTCATCTTACATATAAGGTATACAAGGCGGCTGCGTTTCAGCTAAAGCCATCCTGTAAGCCCTAAAGCTGGAGGAGCTGTCGATGAGAGCGCAGTACTCCTTCAAACCTTCTTGCACCTGCTTCTGCCACTCCAATCTCCGCACCGGCGCCGAGTCCAAGGCGGACAGCAGCGCCAAGTACGAATTGAAATTGTTGATTTTTCTCAAATGCTTCATGATTTTGATGAACTTCGCGAAATACTTTTCCCTCGTGTCTTTGCCTTCGGCCGTCAGGATTTTAGTTCTCGCCCTAAAAATTCGATCAACTGTGAATTTCATCCGAAAATAGGCTATCTAAATATCCCTATTCCAAGTTTAGCGTCTGACTAGGTGCAAAACAAATATCAATGCACCTTACTACTATCGTCATACTTGCCAAGAGTTGTGCTCAACTTTTAAAAATAAATATATAAAATAGATTAAACTACTAATACCTGTAGAATTTAATTTAATTTTAACAAGGGGTAAAATAGAAAATGTTAAAAAGCAGAATTAAATCATCCAAAAAATATATCTATTGTCAAAATTTAACGATTGTATATAACATTATTAGTATTTTTTCATAGTAGGTTGGTAAGTGTCAACTATAGTTGCTATTGTCATCCGATCGGTACTTTTAATTTTCAATTTCTTCTTTTTTTTAGTTTACTAACCTCAATTACTGAAGGCTATTCAGCCGAATAATCAAGAAATAAGAATTTTTTGTGTAGTTATATTATTTCCACATATTAGAAATGACACAATTTGAGCTCTAAATAATTCAGGTTCAGAAAGTTTCTCATAAATGTACTCTTTTAAGGGTCAATTATACTAAATTTATACTAAAATTAAATTAACTAAAGTAAATTTATACTAAATTTTTTACTTGCACTGTTAAATTCACTGCGCTTCATTCCAGATCGCAACATGGTCGTTTCTATGAGTTGAACAAAGAAAGAGCAACCAGTATATTTCAGATGATAAAGGAATTTAATGATTAATTATAGTGAGCCCCTGAATACGCCCCTGAATTGTCATTTTGCCATTTGACAATTTGTAGAAAATTCTTAAATTTTATAAACACTATAAAAGTTCGGCAACACTGCCTACTTATGACGTAGTAAATCACAGGTGACGTGCATTGATATTTGTTTTGCACCGACTATAGTGTATTATGTGCACTTACCAATAAGACATTTTGTTAAAATGCTCGGTAAATCTGGTCAGATTTGGGCTCCGTTCCTCGTTTTGCTCCTGCGCCCAAATCAGCACCTCCGGAATTTCGATTTTCATGAAAAGATCCGCGTCCAGCAGAGTCATCTGCTCGGCGATTTGCTCCGATTTGAAATCCAACAACGTGGAGTTTCGATTGTGCAACGACAGCGACGTCACCACGTTCGTGAACTTCATGTACTGCTGCTTGGCTTCGTGCCGTTGAAGGTGCTTCACCCTGAGAGCCTTGGCTAGGGTCAATTCCCCGCAGGAGATCAACTGCTGTACGAAGTTCATTAGTTTGTGTTGGAGTTCCTCGCCTAAATCCAACGTACTGCAAGAACATGTAATAAAGAACATATTGAACTATTTTGTGTTTCGGTATGACAAAGAAAACTTACGTTAAATCGCTGACTACTCGAACAATCAATGCGAAGGCTTCCCTAGATCGAGGCTTCTTATCCGGTTGATAGTAGAAATGATTGTATCTCCTGATGAGCTTAGTGATTAATTCGTTGGGCGATATGAACGTGCGGTAAGTGGTCAAGAATGCCTCTTGATATATAAACACTGAAATAAAAATTACTCATTGCTACACAATAATAAGGGGTATTTATACAAAGAAGCATAACCTTTTGCTTTCAAAAAATGAAGGAATTACTTCAAGGTATATGTATAAAAAGGTTTTGCTTCGAGGACCCTGTTGTTGCTTTAAAGCAAAAGGTTTTATGTTATCCGTATTTATAAAAAGAAGCATTCGCTTAAAAACAAAAAGGATTTGCTTGTAAAAATCTTATCTAGGTTCATAGCAACTTTTCACATTCTTTTCGGTAGTTACTCAGCCATCACACGGCTTGTAACGTAACATTTTTGTGTATTTTGGATGTTATTCTTCACTTTGTTGTGTACAGGGGACAGTTACGTTAAAACTGTTTAGAATCATTTAGAACGTTCCAGGTTTATCTAGAACTGTCCAGATCAATCTAGAACTATCCATTATTATTTAGAACTGTCTAGATCAATCTAAAACGCTCAACAATCATTTAGAATTGTCTAGATCAATTAAGAAAGCTCCAAAATTATGTAGAATTGTCTACAATCATTTAGATCATGGTTAGATTAATCTAAAACGGTCCAGAATCATCTAGAACCATTTAGAACTGGTTAGTATAACCTAGAACGGTCCACAAACGTTTAGTACTGTGAATCATTTAGAATTATCTAGATTATTCCAGAATCATTTAGAATTTTCTAGATTAATTCAGAACGCTCCAAATTATTTAGAGTTGTCTAGAATCATTTAGATCATGGTTAGATTAATCTAAAACGGTCCAGAATCATCTAGAACCATTTAGAACTGGTTAGTATAACCTAGAACGGTCCACAAACGTTTAGTAATGTGAATTATTTAGAATTATCTAGATCAATTCAAAATGTTCCAGAATCATTTAGAATTGTCTAGATCAATCTAGAACGCTCCAAAAACATTTTCGAACTGTCTAGATCAATCTAGAACACTCTGCAACCATTTCGAACTGGTTGGATCAATCTGGAACGCTCCATAATTATTAAGAAAAGGTTACATCAATCTTAAACGATGCAGAATCGTTTAGAACTGGTTAGAACCATTTAGAAGCGTTTCCTTGCTAGGAAAAGGCGGAGATTATGAATACGGATCAAAGCAAAATCTTTTCGTATTACCTTTTACATCAAGGTAAATGCTTCATTTTTATAAATACTGACTAATAAGTCAAAGTGATCGAAATTTAGGAGAAGTAAAATATCTAACAGGCAAACTATTCTAAATAGAAACGTGTTGTAAATGTAGTAAGATATTAATCAGAGTTTCAAGTGTTTCGGTCAATGAGGGTTTGGAAACCTACATACCATTTTCCTTCTCTTCTGCAATTTAGCAAAGAAAAATTCCAATTAATTAATCGCTCAAACGATGCAAAACGCAACTAGGAAATATCCAATTGTGATTCTACTAGCACTCCTACATCCTAAAATAAAAACTCAACCAACCTCCGTTCTTGGTGGCCTTCGTCGCCTGGATGATCAAAGCGTCGATGGGCCCTCCGCGGATATCGGGCCCCTCTTCGTCGGCCTTCTTCCATATCAAGTACTGATCGACGTTCAGCATCTCCGTGAGATCGTCTTCGCTGGAGGGCGTGCTGCTCTCCGACGATTTCTCGCTCTTGGCCGTGTGCTCGAGCAGATCGGGCAGCACTTTGCTCGTCGACGACGACGTCTTCGGCTCCGAGTTCGACGCCGACGTCGGCGTCGGCGGCGGCGACCTGGCGGAGTGGCGGCGGCGCTGCTTCGGCGGCAGGGCCGGCGGCAGGGCGGCCGTCATCGCGTTGGAGGATACCAGGGAATTCGGCGAGTACTGAGGCGATGGTGATCTGGTTAAAGAGATCGTTATGGTTATTGTTTCTGTGGATAGATGATATAGCTGATCTGTGGACCTGATTCCTTTGGAACCGTTTGCCAGCGGACATTAAATCGATAAACTCAAGGGCCATTTTCAACGGAAGGCTCAGGGTATTTCCGGTCGAGCAGCGTATAAAAATTCTCCTATCACAGTTTTCAGGTAGCCTTACGTGGGTAAGTTGTTTTTAGTATTAGTATTAAACTATCTCTTAAAGTTCGTACGTTTTAAAATGACAATGACGTCACGAGCCAGCCTATTGCAACGTTGCCGGGTTGTAATTGAAATTTATTAATTTAACTTAAACTTATTTAAATTCATTTAACTGAATAATATAAAACGCACGCACGAAAATTACACCTAAAACTCACGAAAACCGCGGGAGAAACTGATAAACGTACAGAAACTGAACGAAAATATATCTGAAACAGACAAAAACTACTAGACAGACAAACAACTAACAAACAAAACTACTAAGTAGTTAACTAGTAAAGGAAAAAGGCAAAAATCGCTGGAAATCATTTAGAATAGAAAAAGATAAAACAAGATGAACATTACAAGAATGGGATAGAATTATTTTGAACGCTCCAGAATCATTTATAAGTGTCTAGGATCATTTAGAACTATCTAGAATCATTTGGAACTGTCTAGAATCATTTAAAACGCACTAGAATCATTTAGAAGTGTCTACATTTATTTAGAACTATCTAGATTATTTAAAAACGCACCAGAATCATTTAAAAGTGTCTAGGATCATTTAGAACTATCTAGAATCATTTAAAATGCTCGAGAACCATTTAGAACTGTCTAAAATCATTAAGAACGCTGCCGAATTATTTAGAAGTGTCTAGAATCATTTAGAACTGTCTAGAATCATTAAGAACGCTCCAGAATCATTTAGAACTATCTGGAATCATTTAGAATGCTCCAGAAGCATTTAGAATAGAAAGATATAATACAAGATGAACTTTACAAGAATGGGATAGAATTATTTAGAACGCTCCAGAATCATTTAGAAGTGTCTAGGATCATTTAGAACTATCTAGAATCATTAATAACGTTCCAGAATCATTTAGAAGTGTCTAGGATCATTTAGAACTGTCTAGAATCATTAAGAACGCTCCAGAATCATTTAGAAGTGTCAAGGATCATTTAGGAAGCTCCAGAAAAAGTTAAAAAGCTCTAGGAAATTCACAAAAACAACAAATAACGGAATTTTGAAACTAACGAAATGGCAACAACGTATCGGCAATTCAACCGCGCTAGGTAAAATTCCCCTAGTCAAACGGCAGAATTAACATTGGCACTAGGGAAATTTTGAACTGCGTGGAAATTACTAAAAATGACGTCATTATCATTTTAAAACGTACGAATATTATTCCCAACTTCCAAGCTACTTTTAATGAGGTAGAGTTTTTCCAGTACTCCATCTCTTGAACAAGTTAAAATGGTATCATGGTACAAGTACCCCGATAATAATAGTAGTAGTAATAGTACTCTTTGACCCTAACTGTCTGGATTTTAAAACATTATTTAGCAACCTCTATAGCTTAAATAGTGTGTACTACTGCCCATTTTTTTTCATAAAATTACAGGATTAGGAATTTACTATCCCTTATTTGTGAGATTCTTACCTATCATCGGCTCTGGCTGGTAGACTGAGCGTTTGTACGTGGCTGTGGGACGTACGACTCGTCGCGCTCGAGTGACTAAAAGTGCACGATTGAGTGGTGGGCAAACCTCCCGAATTTACCGGCTGCGAGTACTGCACCATGTGCACCGAATGACGCATGAATTCCTGGTCGTTCGTGTGGGAACAGTTTCCGAACATTTCCATGTAAGCCATAACTGTGGAAACGCGAAAATTCGTTAGAGCATTTATCTAGAATTGCGTATCCCGACGTTCCATCGCACGACTATTCATCACACTGTCGCGGATGGATTGTCTTCCATCGCGGACCTTTCATCACGGCGACAATTCATCTCTACTTCTATTCATCACACCTACTTAATCAAATTTAAGTAAGATAAAACAAGACTTTAGTTTTTATTTAAAACTAAATTATTAATATTATAGTAATTTCTAATTCTTATAGTAAATTAATATAATACTTATTTCAAGAAATTAGTTTTTATTCGTTTTTTTAGATTCTTTCTTAAACATTTTAATTTCAATAACTATTTCAACACACATTAATTTAAACATGATTTTTGAGGTAGAGTGTAATGAGGTGTTAAGTGAATACTCAAGTGAGAAAAAGTTAAAAATATTTTAGCTGAAAGAAAACATGAAAGTATTTCAATCAAGTATTCACTTGCTTCTACACTCTATCTCAACCATGTAGAAAGAAATGTGTGATAAAAACATTATTAAAATTAAAATGTTTAAGAAAGAATCAAAAAAAAAAAGAATAAAAACTAATTTCTAAAGTCTTGTTTTATCTTACATTTTTTTTTAAATAGGTGTGATGAATAGTGGTAGTGATGAATAGTAGTAGTGATGAAATGTCCATGATGGAATGTCGCGTGATGAATAGTCGTGTGATGGAACGTGGAATCCTCGAATTAATACTAAAATGTGTGTTCACACTGTGTCGTTTTTGATTAATCGAGTACAAGAAAAATTCAAACGCTGAGGTTGATGGAAAAACAATTCACAAAATACACAGTCGAAAAAAAATAAAGCGTACGAAATTTTTTTGGTAAGCGGTGTGAGTGGAAATACACAACAACAAAAAACAGAATAGAAACACTATTAAAACAAACGTTAGGTAAGTGTCAGTTTTATCATTGATGCGGCCCACTTACCCGAGTAAGCCACAGATTGGAACACTAGGAAAAAATTCGAATGTTTAACACCCTTTCAATCAAAACCAAATTTCAATTTTAATTCATAAAAAATAAACTCGAAATTATCACTGCCTACACTTTTGTGCTATTCGCTAAGTATACAGCGACAAAAAGGTACCCGAAAAATTGGAATAAAACGCAAAATTCCTTATCTTCGTTAATATTTCTTGGGTGTTATTCAAAATATGCTCCTTTTGAAGCGATACATACAGTCAGATGTCTTTCCCAATCATCTAAACATTTTATAGGACCTTTATGGCACAGTTTTTAGCGCCTTCTGATAATTTTCTTTTATGACATTTATGGAGTTAAAATGGGATCCCGGAAGTGGCAATTTCGGGCAGCATGTCTGATTGATTGAGCAAAATCCAACGAGCGGTTTCACGAAAGATGTTAAAGTCAAGTGCTACTTCTCTAATACTAGCATGATGATTTTCGAACTCAATTTCTTTCATTTTCTCGCCGTTATCGTTGATTAAAGAGGTCGAAGGCCGTCCGGAACAAGTCTTTAGCGATCTTTCAAATGTCTTTAAAAGTTTTGTACCAATTCTAAATAAGGATTTCCGAATCAAATTAAAGTATTTGCATCGATTCGGCCTACAAAATTCCATTCAAAACTCAAAATATGAGACAAACTCTTTGTTCATTATTTTTGTCTATTGCAAAATTCGCAGAGCACTACTGAGATGAACTGATTCAATCAGCTGCTACAACCAAACTAATTGAGAAATCTCTCTAATTTTTTGCATGCTAATTTGAACAGTGTTACCTACATACAGAAACTTGAAATAGTTAAAAATATTAAGTGCAAATATAATTTAAATCAGAAATTCCGGATACTTTTTTGTCACAGGGTATAGTAAAAGGAAACAATGCCGAGCACTTACTATGTTTCTTTTTCGGAGGCAACGGCGGCGGTTTAGAATCTGGATCCCAGTTACTGGTAATGCTAATGCTGTTCGGTAAACTCTGGTGGGACTGATGTCTTTCGCAAGTTATCACTAATTCGCCTAAAAATGATTAACGAAGCGGTATAAAACACAAGCGGGTATATCACACGGAGTCTCGTCGACTTACCCATTTTTTCGTCTGGCACGTTATCATAAGGAGATGGATGTCTTTCAGTCTTTTTCTTAGTCTTTTGGGGCAGGGCGGGCGGCAAATCGGCATCCGCGAAATCTAAAACGTCTTTGCTCGTGCTGTTGCTCACGCTTAGTACTGAACTACTGGTAGAGCTGAGGGACTGCTTTGTACTGACCACCTAACACCAACAAAATTATATTTTTATAGAATGTTTTTTACACCTTCAAAACAATTTCAATGAAACTTCATAATATGAATAAACTACAGGCTTTTTAAACGTATCACTGTAGGATGTGAAAGGTATTCTAGGCAGATAGGATCACCAATGTCTAATCCTAGCAAAAATACAGAAAGAATAATATATTATTCAATATACAGATTTGAGAAGAATTTATTTTCTACTTTTCAATTTTCAATTCACTAAAATCCCCGCTACTAAAATCTCTGTAAAACCACTTTAAAAATCCCACTGAACCCACTCCAAAAAAACAGTAAAACTGCTCCAAAAATCCCTTTAACCCCACCTATTCCAAAAATTTCTTTAAATCCGCTCCTAAAATCTATCTAACCCACTTCAAAAAACCGACTGAAACCACTCCAAAAACCCACCTATTACATAAATCCTTTTATAACCGCTCCTAAAATCCCTCAAAAAACCACTCCAAAAAACCTAATAAACACACTCCAAAAATATATTAAAACTATTCCAAGAATCTCAATAAAACCACTCTAGAAAACAGTAAAACTGCTTCCAAAATCCCTTTAAACCCACTGAACCCACTCCAAAAATCTCTTTAAAACCGCCCCTAAAATACCTTAAAAAACCACTTCAAAAATCCGCTAAATCCACAAAAACCTACCTATGCCAAAAATCCCCTTAGAAGCCCTCTAAAAGTCCCTCTTCCACCTATTCCAAGAACCCTATTAAAACCATCAAAAATCCTTTAAAACCACTTCAAAAAGAACACAAAACCCACTCCAAAATCCCACTATAACCGCTTCAAAAAAACCTCTAAAACCGCTCTAACATGAATAATTGTCAAGATCATGTCTATATCAATATCAAATTTGGGAGGGTTTAAAGGAAACCTATTTCCCTTTATAGAAGATAGGCGAGTATGAAATTATAAACACCTTAAAAAAGAGACAACTTAAGTATTTGGATCACGTAACGAGATGCCCCAAATATACCCCTTTACAACTGATTATTGAGTGAAACATCAAGTGAAAAAGGGACTGCTGTCAATAAAATTAGATCGGTTGTGATGTTAGCGAACCTCCGATAGGAGATGCACTTAAAGAACCAGAGAAGCGTACATTATTCAGGCATATATTTTTTTAGCACTCACCTGACTCTCCAAAATTTTGGTACTCTTCTGCACGCTACTCTCGGCCTTGCAGGCCTTATTTTGCTTGGACAGCTGAGTGTATTGCACGCTGTTGGAGCTCATTTGCGAACTTCTGGAGTAGCTGGACGATCGTATCGACATTATGCCGGAATCGGTGTTCGATAATCGATGGTAATCGTTCACGAACGTCAGGTGATCGCCGTTGTGATTAGACAGACTCGAACTCAACGAGGATTCCTCCCAAGAAGTTGAACCGTTAGCACCTGAAAAGAAATAGCGATAGCTGGTCGTTAGAGATAAAAGGAGCTTGCTTTATAGATTAGTTTACCAGAAGCAAGTTTTCTTGTATCTGGAGATGTATTAGGTGTACTATTGAACTACTACTGATACTCTATTGAGGATATTATTAGCACTATTAGATTGATTTGTGTTACCGAATATGTCCGATGAGTGATTCTCGAAGAACATATCGTCGCGATCCATGATATCTTTAATTTCGTCCTCCTCTCTCGAGGAATGGTTCAGCATGGAGTCGATGCTTCCGGCGCTCTCCGATAGTATAGAGATGGAATCTTCGGGCGATTTGGAGCGCAAGGAGATCCTAATAATCGGATAAATGAGCTGTTTGATATGAAAAGGGCGGAAAGTAATACCTTTCGAAGCTGTTTGAAGAGGGCGAATGGTCGACGTAGGCGCATTCGTCCATCAGCTGTTGCATCTTGAGGTGCTTCTTTTTGGGTGGAAGAGGCGGTGGGGTTGCCGCTTCGGATTTGCGGAAGAATTCCGGTAAGGGAGGTTTAGGTGGCGGACTAGGTTCCCTGGAAAAAACGGAATTAAATTGGAAACTAACTTACTTTTTTTAATCACTTACCTCAGAATCGATTCAGTACTATGGCTATTCCGACCGTTGTTTTTACTCAGGGCGTTTTGTTCGATTTGTTCCCGTTCTCTGGGCGTTAATGGAATGTCTGGAAGAGAGTTTCGTTGTGCTGACATTTCTAGGCTATTGCAATACGAGGATCTCGGCGTTGTTTTGTACGATACTTGTTGGTGTGATACTTTGTCCAGCACCAATGTTATCAAATCCTAAAGATCAATAAATTTTAAGGATTAAAACAATTTCGATCATGCCATTTTATACCTTCACGGCATCTTCCACTTGCTGGACGATTTCGTTGACGTTTTCTTGGTTCAGTTCCGAGCTTTTATCATCAATAAGTACATCGTCGCAAAGTTTAATCAAACGGGCGACGCTTTGATACATGCGAAACGTGGCCGATGTAATGGAATTTGTAGCTTCAACCGATGATTTTACAGCTAAATTAATCAACCATACAGTATCCAGAACTATCGTTCCATTACCAGGAAGCATTTCCAGTTTTTGTTTAGACACCACATCTCTTAAAAAACAATAAATGAACGAGTGAAACTAGCGATAAGATGAAAACTACAAACCTAAAGTGCTTGAGAGCAACCTGGATCTGTTTTCCCAGATCTTCTAGTTCTTGCTCGGGTCTCTTGTTGTGTATGAATCTGGGAGGGGTATCGATCTCTACCTGTTTCGGAGTGCCTTTGGGGCTTTGAGACCTCAAAGTCACGCCTTGATTACCGCCGGCCGGGCTCCTCATTTGGGATATCTTGCCGAAGAAGTCGTCCTTAAAGGATCTGGCTCGCCTCGCGAGCTTGTTGGTGCTCTTGAACGAGGCCTTGTGTCCTCCGGGACCTGGACCCGCCAGAGGCGAAGGGGTTGAGGTTTCGTTTTCTGAAAAGAACGATTAATTTTAGGAAAATTCCGAAATATGCGAACGATTCGTTCGTTTCTTGCGTGGAAGCATCGACGGCAAACAGTGGTCTAAAAATATACGTTTTACGGCCGTGTTTTCATAGGTTTTCGTAGAAATTCCTGTTGATAGTGATAAGTAATACCGTAAAGTTTATTTTTTTGCAATGAACCATTTCGTAACGATCAGGTGTTGGTACTTAAGGTGACGCTTGGATCAATATTAGTAGTAATTTATCAGATTAACGAAGGTACATAAACAGGTGTTATCTTTTTACAGTACAGTACAATATATGGTAGATATTTTAAAAATGGACCTGCTTTAAATTAATAGTGGTAAATGTATGAAACTAGCTTAAATCGAATGAAAGAAACGTTATTATCGAGGTATAAATGAATCTATTTCAAATCAATCCAAAATATTGATCGTTATGGGGGTCATGTACATTTAATTCCCCTATTTTTTCACTTAAGATTTTGATTATTTTTGAGTATTTGTTCACCAGTTCAACGAATTCATTTTAAATATTTTTTATACTAATCGTTTTGTATGGCAAATTGAATAAATGTAAATAATCCAATAAACTTAATTTTGATACCCAGAATAATGTAGTCGTATAATGTAGCATCCATGAGTATTCATAACGTGATTTTTTCGCGACACCTTATTCTTATTGAAATATTAAACTTACTCTTACCAAGAAAGGTTCATTGTCGAAACTATTACATGCATTATGACGACAAATTGTTAATATCATTGTCATCAAAAAGCAATGAATAATACACTATTCTCCAAGTTATTAATAGATATTTATGTGGTTTTTAAATAAATTGTATTATTCATGCATACAGTACTTCCCATACTTTACAAAATAATGAAATATCCAATCGCTAAATTGTAAACATGTAAGTGTTAACAAATTTACTAATTTTACACGCTGCTCGATCGTTTTCCACCCAGCATTTCATCGAGATCTTTAAGTAGTTTTTTTATAAGAAAAAATGTATAGAAATTGTAAAAGCTCGACTATTTTCGAATGTGTTAATACGACAAAATGACGAAATGGCATCCCAAACAAATAAAAAAAGCGTCTTAAAATAAACGCCGACGACCCTAATTCACTCCGAAGAATTTCAGCAATTCGTAAACTCGACGGGATAAAAATACAGAGCAAAAGATCGGAAGTCCCTTGTAATTACGATAAACACGAATGCAATTCCAAATATACGGATAATGTTAGTCTAAATTCTAAACATAAACATACTTTGTACACTGTTCTCAAACGAGCGCTTATATTTTTAGAAAGAGAAAATTTTATTAAATATATGAACAAGACTGTAATAGAGGTATGTAGTTACTTAATGGAATAATTAAATAGATATTTGGAGTATATAATTAGTTTTTTATTATCAGTTGGTTTTGGAAAAACAAATATGAAAGTAGTATTTAAAAATCCGCACATTAAAACAAATGTTCGCCAACTAAAAACATTCACACAAACAATTCAAAAAACTAAATAACGCACGTTCGATAAACAACCGCGATAAGAACATTTGAAAATCTCGTCTTCTTACCTAAAACCTCTTAGCAAGGATATTTTCGAATAAAATTACAGTAGTAAGAGCGTGCACCTTCAAGGAAGGACGAAGTCAATAACGAAATTACTAAATTTCGTATGAAAAACAACAACAAATAAGCACCCAAATCACTGATTCACGCGGTTTCGTGTATTACGTTTAGGATGCCGGGAACCTTGGATTGAAAAATAAACATGACGCGCAGATGACACCTTCCGTGCCGCTGGTTCGTGCTAGACTGATTTTCATTTTCAGTTTCAACTTCTGCTTTCGTGAATCCATCAACAGGCCTCATGGTGGAATGGTGTGTAGTAAAAGCACAGTGCTGTTTGCTGTTGCTACTTCGTCTTCGTAATATCACGAGTACAGTACACTTTTCTCGCAACTGGACTGACAACAGCACTTCGGAGAAAGACGATGAAAAATGTAGGGTGCATCGATTGGAAGTTTATAGGGCATTTCCGGAATAATAGATGGAAAGGAGTTTATTTCAGAAAATAACTGATGTTGGTTTATTAATTGCAATGAATGAAAGTAAACATCTGCAGAATAATAACAATTCTTTCGATTGCAATAGGTACTCAAATGATGAATAAAGAAACTAGGCGAGGTCAGAATATAATATTCGAATATTTAATTATTATAATAATCACAGTAAAAAAATCGTGCTATATAAAGATATGAATTACCGATAAAATATTTTAGGCACTGTCCAGCATAATCTAATCGAGGAAGCCACCTATCGCATTCAAAAAAATAAATTCAAACACCCATACAATTAAAAATAGATATTGATAAACGAAAAAATTGGCTTTTTTCTTGTTGTTAAATTAATTTTATCGTATCAGTAGTTGAGTGCTATTTTATCGAATTAACGTTAGTGACCCCCATAAAACGTGACATTTAACTGTTACATTACAATGAGGCCGGGGAGCTAAATGAACGCAAAAGTTTCATTTTTAAATATCTAGTTAATGCTCGAGATTTTGAAACTGAATGTGTGTTTTTCACATTATTTTTAATTGTGCTAAGTTTGACATTTTTCCTATGGCAGCTGCCCCTTTTTTAAAGAGATAATATAACTTCTTAATAAGTGCTTACAAATTAAGCATACTTATGTTAACTGTTGCATTGTTTAATGCTTTAATTAATTCCGATTTAAGCAAATATCTTAGTACCAACTGTATTATGGTGATGATGGAATAATCCATTTTTAGAAACGATTTAAACAAATTGGTATAAAGTTTTTAATGCCTCTTATATCATCATGATGTTCACAACCTCGAGGGAACCTTCATGTAGCATTAATAAATTAACAGAACATAATTAAGAGGCCATAAAGCATATTAGCATAGAACCTGTCTTTAGGGCAAATTTCACATCCTTCCTCAAAGAAAAGTTTAAATAGGGCTAATAAAATACATAGCACCTATTAATAGTAATCTTTATTTGATAGCAATGTAAGAATTAGGTGCTGTTAATGCAATTAAAAATCATGGACACACCCAGTATCAGTACAGTATAAAACTTGGGACTATTGTAACTGCTGAAAGATCATTCACACAGTACTCGATGTATAAGATGAGACATGACTGGCTCCTTGTATACGTGATAAAAATACACACACACGCGGACCGAACGGCGACATTTTCGACCTCTTGACAATACCGAGGTAGATAGAATACGCTGAATTTAAAGTGGGCGTCTCGTTCGACGTCGGGCTCGAAATTTCTCATTATGGAAATGGACCATTTTAAGACCGAATTTATTAAAAATGAGAGCCTCAAACAGGTTTTACGTGTATAAGTTTGTACGTGAGGAATTACAAAACCAGCATTATATGGACCTTATATGGAAGATTTTATTGAATGGATAATAACAATGATGTACTTGGGGTTTGATCATAAATTTAAAATTGAAATAACTGCGCTTACATAAGCCAGTAAAAGGACTTGCAGTAAGTGAAACTTTCATAAATGAGCAGAGTGGGAAACTTTTGATGTAAAATTCATAAAAATAGCAAAAAACGAGAGTGAAAATTTGGAAAAGCTTATAAAAAATGAGCAAAGTTTGCTAATTTAGAAAGATATCATTTGTGCATATTTGGTCAAAATATTTTGCTTACATCATGTATTTCTAGCCTTAGTAATAAGAATAATACTTATCAAATTATAGTCGATATGTAGTGGAGATATTAAGTAGATAATTGATAATTTTACACCCTGTATTTGAACTGGGAAACGCATTGCCAGGAAATAAAAATTGAAAGATCGATTTTTTGAAGTTCGTCAAATTTTGTTCGACAAGTTTGTGGCAATTTTTCATCCGCGTTTTTGTTGAATCAAATGTAACAACACCGTCAGAAAGTAGAACTTCTAATTTCTGAACCAGTAAGTACACGTTTTTACCAAAAAAAATTTACATAAAAAATTATTCCGCTTAGTTTTTGGCGAATTTTGCATTTTTTTATTCGATTGTGTACATTTAAATTTAATCATCATTTTCTACGTTAAATTGCGGTTTTCGTAAATGACGTATCTCTAATATTCAGCTCCCACAAGAGCCACATCCATTTATGCACAGCTTATTATTCCATTGTATATAAGTTCTAATTTTCCCGTATAAGCCGATAACAATACTTAACTGGAAATTAAGTACGTAAGCAGATTTCAATCAATTCGAATTAATATTTTTAATCAGTAAAATAATGGAAGTAGAACATCCCCCGGCCGTATCAGAGAGCAATTCAAGCGACAGCATACCAATCCCTGTGATTAGAGAAAATTGCCCGGAAACTACCCCTAGTAATATTTCCACCAATGTTAACGCAGCTGCATCAGAAGGATCGATTAACATCCCTGTAGAACAGGAAAATGTTAAACAACCTACACCGCCCGTAGAAAATTACCAAGAGGCGGGAAATCCAATGCAAGCCCAATCCGAACCACCGAAGGTCAACTATCACGTTTAATTAGTATTTACGTATTAAAATGTGATAATTTTAGGAAAATGTAAGTCCACAAACGCACGAAGGACAAGAACAAATACAACAACAACAGTTACACGCGCAGTCGAGCGAAGCGGAAAATATGCAAAGAGAACAGATATCTCAGGAACAGAAAGGTCACGTGCCATCTGAGAAACCTCAACCTCCCGTCACAATCGATAAAGCAGAATCACAACCTGAGAAAATAGACAGGAGAAACCACAGCGACATATTTTCTTTAAAGAAAAACGAAAATCCCGACACCTGCTTGTTTACGGTTGGAGGAATACCAAGCAGACCAGTAAGAATTTTTAATTTCTCACCACTTCCTCTAAAGCATGTTGAACGATTTCCAGGTGTACAGACGAAGGGACGTGGCGCCGAATAACGTATTTCCCGAACAGAGCAACAGCCCTTCGAGAAGAGTCGAAAAGAAGACTAGCAAAAGCCCGGTACAAAGTCCTAGGACCGACGTCAGGAACAAGGATCGCTACCACGAGGCGAGGAGGCCTTCCAGCTCTTTGAGGAACCCGCTGACTGGCGCTGGCATAATATCTAACGACGAATACAGATTTCGAAGAATCAGGAAGAAAGGTAACTCGAGGAATTGACTGTACCAATTTGTATTTTCTTTGATGTTTCACAGATCTGAATCAAGCGGGGAACCCGGTTTTAGGAGTTGGATACCCCGAACAGACGACTTCCACGCCAAGGATTCCACCAGGAGGTTTTTCTCATGGTTTATGGTGAGCGAGTTGTAGGACAACTCGAATAAATTATAGTAACAACCTCACTATTTTACATAGTATATGACAATTTTTGTTTTTAAGTTTTGCAGATGTATACATTTTATACAATATTTATGTAATTCATATATCAATGAGAGTAAAATAAAAAATGTGTGTTCTTTGCGCATATTTTTGTATTTTTATATTATTTTCGGCACTGAGCGCAAATGTATATTTATTACTGTAAGCTTAAAAGGGTATTTTAATCCTATAAGTAAATTGGGCGCAAGAATATTTGGTAAAAAGGGGGACTATTTAAGTTCATTGCAAACTTTAGATATACAGGTTGCTCAATTTTTGATTGCAATACAGGTTATATAGGCCATGAGTGCGATAAAGACAACTTTCATTAGACACTTACAAAGGAAAAAGAAAGAGTGACATTATGTCATTACAACTTTTCACTCGGACAACTGTCATTTAATTAACCTTTATTTGTTCCACTCATAAAAATGACCATATTGCAATCGGAAATGGGTCAAGGTGTATATTTCTAATTTTTTGTATTTAATTGAATATTGATTTTAATTCTTTAATGATGGAAATTGGGAATAATGGTAAATTTGTAGAAGTTACATTGGGAAATGTATCGGAATTGCCAATCAAAAAATAACATTACCTAAATTAGTAAGTAGAGTTAAGTAAAGCATAGTTAAGTATAATAAACTATAGAAGAGTATAATAGAGTATAGTAGGGAAAGGGTTAGGGTATGGTGGTGAATTCTTATTTGTTATTCTATTATAATCATTAAATTTTCAATCGTCAAAGGATTAATATTTTGTATTCATTTCCGGGCATTCTTTGTGCCCAATTTACCTATAAGATTAAAATCTATAATCTTTTTTTTTTCCTAATCGACATTGAATAATAAAAAATCATTGCATTTATACACTCTAACACATGAAAATATCAAAATTCTACTACATCTTAAGATTAACAGCTTGTATAATATCTATTATTTGGTTATATTTCTTACCGGGTACGTCTTCCAATTTGGTCACAGATAGTAAAATCAACCATTGTCTTCCGCATTTGTAATCCAAACTTTTACACCGCCTATTTATCTTGTACTTTCTCCTCTTACCCCCAGAATCACAATTAAGCCCATCGTATACGGACATAATTAATTAACTTCTGGCGCCTTTTTGGCCAGCCTGGCGCATTTTTTCTAATTATTTCGCGTTTCTCGGTACAACTCTCTTAGAGCGATCTACTCAATTGTCGCGAAATAAATAAACTTCTCGAAACTTATTTATTTTTTCCGTATTTGTGGGTCACAAGTCACAAGTATATCGTCGGATATTTATTTTTATTTGAAACGGAAGCCGTAGAACTTATTGATGTTGAGGTTAATCAAAAAAAGATGCAATTAACCCAGTTAATCAATTCCAAGTTCGTCGAAACGCAAGTGAAAATATTGGATTACGTAAGCGTTTCCGAAATTCAAGAATTTAATCGAAATTCGCCCGATAGGACGACGCGATTCGGTTTATAAATTAATCAACTCCAATTGAATTAAGTCCGTCACAAACACTTTCATTAACACAATTAACGATCGATTACATTAACCGCTATATGTTTTTTTTTTGATCAATTTCGTGCGGACCGCATGTCGCGAGAAAACTAAAAATTAGGCGTCGAGCGTCGCCGAAAAATCGAAGATAAAATAGAAATAATATAACGATTGTTCAACATGTACCGCGAGCGGAATATTTCGCGAACAGGAGTCGAGATGAAACTGTGAAACATTTATGTCATCGTTAATTTAAATCGATTTTAACATCTGTTTTAAGTTCGAAAATTGAGAAACAGTATGGAATTAGCGATCGCGTTAAGGTTCATGGACCGAAATGATCTTTTGTTGATACAATTTGTTAGATATATGAAAAGATTAGGTAAATTCGATTACTCTTCATGTCTAGCATTTTTGATGGGATTTTGAAGAGTACTAAGGAATTCCAAACCGAATTTATCTTAATTTTAATCCGGTACCGAAAAAAACACTAATCCTACGCAGTAATTCCTCACACTACTCTTCTCACGACATTGTTATTTTTTTGCATGATACGCGAATAGGTGGGAAATTAAGATGCGTTCGATGATACATAAACAAAAACTGTCAAAATTTACATTAATGACATTTCGTTTGAGGGAAATTTAATAGAGACGGGAAACAATGTTTTGGTATTAATGCACTGCATTATAACTATGTTAAATTTTTCTTTCAAAGTCTCCAATGAACTGAAATAATAATCCCCTTTTCTATCTTGAAACAATCTCGCGCCCAATTACCTACCTATTATATTAGGATTAAAATATCCTTTTAACCTTTTAAGTAATATATTTCTGCGTTCAATTTATTTGTTTGCATTGTACGCGAATAAGTGTGACTTTAAGATGCGTTTGATGGTACATAAACAATAACTGTCAATATTGACATTAATGACAGAACTTTAATAGAGGTGGGAATATTTTTTTTGGTATAAAGGTGCAGTAACAGCTGTGACAAAATAGGCGTTATTATTCAAATATATTCTCCTGATTACTCTACTCTACTCTACTCTACTCTACTCTACTCTACTCTACTCTACTCTACTCTACTCTACTCTACTCTACTCTACTCTACTCTACTCTACTCTACTCTACTCTACTCTACTCTACTCTACTCTATTTAAATACAGATTTATCGCATTTGTGACTTTCTCAGAGGACAATGTCCTAACACCAGATAATACATAGTTGATTATTATTAGTACCAATGTTTATTACCTATATTTTATTGCTTATAAACATTACAAACAAATTAACTAGGGTTCTTTAAACTGTCATTGATGATATAATTATTATTATTATATCACTTGCTGATCATATCACATGCTAATAGAATTACATTGAGTTTGCTCAATCATTGCACATTATCACACACACGAATCTATTTCATTTTTATAACAGCAACAGCAAGGAATGTTAAACCGTTTAGATAATGCGAGGAAGTGAAAATATTTTTGTTTCAACAAAATTTATGTGCCGCTTAGTTGACTTGTATTCCTTAATACCGATTTTACGACATATTCTCTTGCATCATCTACCTTTTACATCTCGGTTAAAATAAATTTTGTCCCGGTGTAGAGTCGCATTGGCACCGAGCCAGACGTTTACAGTTCAAATTCAATGTTTACCTTTAATAATTATACGAACTTTGCGGATTTGTTTATAATAAAATTCATTTGAAACCGGCAAAATTGGGCAGCAAAGGAACTGGAAAATTTCTTGAACCTCAATTATCTTCAAGGGTGTCGGTCTAGTATGCGGTCTACCCTAACGCATCTGGTTTTAGTATGCAGTCTACCCAAATTTGTTTTACACAAAGACTCTCTACTAAGAGACCAAATGTTTCATTGATAAATCCTATATAATTCCGGACTGTTATTGTGTTAAAATTGCTAATGAGAAATGAGAGAGAATTGGGGAAGTACCACAGGTAAGTAATTCAATTTATCGAGAATTACGGAAGTATTAGAATTAGACAGGGTGAGTATTTTTTTATGTTTAGTACAGGGATCTCGGCAACTGTAGGAGATAGAAAAAGGTTTAAATGGACAAATATTTGCAGTTTTGTGAGACATATTCACAACCAGTTTCAGTTTTGCAAAATAAGACACCTGTCAAAATATTTAAGACATTTGGGTAGACCGCATGCTAAACCGGCACCTCATTAAGTAATTAAATATCCCTAATTACCCCTCTGTATTTATTATAAGACAGTATAGTGGTAATTAAAATTTGGATTTTCATATTCCTTTGAGCGTTACTTAATTGGTAATATTGGTTATTATTTTTATTAGTGATTGTAATCTTAATTTTATTGCATGCACATAGTACTCTCTTACACTACTTGGGATATTTATGTATTGAGAATCAAAATAAACCTGAGCTTGTATGACCTAATTTTAATGATCTCTGCATGTTTACCAGGGAAATATCACATAAAACAATGTGTTTAAAAGAAAAGTACAACGAAATATTGTCGTTATCAGTCCAATATTCAGTTTTATGCACTTAATTAATAGGGTGTCATTTAATAAATTATATCAAAGTTTGTACCTTGGGCATATTTTCCCGATTTCGGTGTTGATGACATTATTTCATTCCATCAACAGGAAAAAATCGCACTTTTCGCTCTCTACATTATTGCACCGACACTTACATTCGACCCGAGCGTTTTTAGAAAATTAATAACCTTTGCCATTTTCCCATTTCGTGAGGGAAATTGAAAAATACTCAGTAAATATACAAGCAAGCTTGCGTCTTGCGTCATGCGTCAATACATTGACACTAATGACGTATGACATATTCGTATCGATCAAAAAAGGAACTACCGACGTTGCCAAACTGCCAAATATATCTTACATCTTCGTTTATTCACTTTATATAAACTAATTTAAGAGCACAATATATTACTTAAAACCGATAATAATATCACTAGAAGTTCAATTATTCAATAGGTTTTGTTTAAATAGTTAATACAAGACACTTACTTGTTACTGTCGTAATCAAGCCCATTGAAAGTAGGGGTAATGCAAATAGCTTAGGAAATCCGGCAACTAAATTGCATATTTTTGAAGAGGTAGTTCAAAAACCACTTTGTATTACCACTACTACCTGTCGGTCGAATATCGAGTAGTAAACAAAACAAATACCCCAAATGAAACGTCAATGAGAACATTTATCGAGTGTAGGACAATATTGTTACTATTTTTAAGTTTTTTTATTTGTTGAAGAAACACACACACCTTACGCATTTACGAGGATGTCACAGAGCAACTAGGTAAATATACTTTATCTGTAGATGGAATTAATTAGAGATATCGTTGTAATTACTTCTATACCAATTTAAGTGTTATCTGTATTATCATCTGTTTATTATTGAGTACCTAGTATATAAAACGTATCGATAAGATTCATTATGCATTGTAGGTAGTATGGTTTAGTCTCAACTCGGTCTTCATTCGAGCCAACGTAATGGGTAACTCAGGTCTAAAACAACACATAGAAACGGCCCAAAAAACCGGAGTATTGAAGGTTTCCCAAGGGAAATTGAACGAGTTCCCGCCGGGTTTCAAGCAACTGGAGGGCTGTCTTCGAACCCTAGACATATCGGACAACAAATTCGTAGTACTACCAAACGAAATAAGTAGGTTTATGCAACTTAGGCACTTGAATTTAAGCAAAAACAGGCTAGCCAAAATACCGGATTGCATAGGGGCGCTAACGAAACTCGAAACGTTCAACGCCGGTCAAAATAATTTAGTATCGTTACCCAGAACCATATCAAATTTAATTCATTTAAAGCAGGTTAATTTAAGCAGTAATCACATCAAAGAATTCCCTCTGATGTTCTGCGGTTTAAAACACCTGGACGTGCTGGATTTGAGTAAAAACGAGATCACTTCTGTACCGGCTGAGGTGAGCAGTTTAAATGTAACCGAATTGAATCTGAATCAGAATCAAATCGCACAAATATCAGGGCAAATAGCTGAGTGTCCGCGATTGAAAACGCTCAGATTAGAGGAGAACTGCCTGCAATTGTGCGCTATCACGCCGAAAATGCTGGGAGAATCGAAAATATCGAATTTATCGCTCGAGGGTAATTTGTTTGAAACGAAACAGCTGTCCGATATCAATGGATACGATGCTTACATGGAACGATTTACGGCTGTTAAAAAGAAGCTTTTTTAAACGGTTTTTGAGTTATTTTATTTATTTTTTCCGCTATTGGAATTATTAGAGTTTTTACCAGCACAGCAGAAAGTGGCAAACATTAATTCAATTCAGATCATTTGAGTATTAACTATAATTTTATGTTATTTGAATCGATTATTTATTTTTATTTTATTTAGTTTAAGTGTATCACGCTCAAGTAAGAAAATAATGATGTGGTTATTCATTACAAATGAGTTTAAACGTATAAAAGGTATGCATTAACGATGTTAGAAATTAAGACTTAAATTCTGTAGAATGAAGCATATTATCTGTATCTGAACTATATTTATTCTGTTCTGTTCTGTTGATTTTTTATATATTCTATCAAGGAATATCTTCTTTTTAATAACTAAAATAAAATGCATTATTTATTTATAAAAGTACACTTTTATTCTAAATGATAATGCATAATTATACAAGCAAATAACGAAACACCAATAATTAATTACTTACTGTATAGTATTTTAAATAGGACGTATTTCACTTTGCCAAAGTCTTTTTTTTAATTTCAAGGTATTTTAAGTATTGCTTTTAACGCTTTCCTTTATTTTTTCACATAATTTTCTATTCTTAAACGTTATAAACAACTATCAAATAATGTCAATTTAAAAATGTACAATAGATGTGATCTAAATATTATATTTAAATGGAAAATAAGTGTTCTAAACTAAGTAATTATTTAAAAAAATATTGTAATTGTAGTCATTAAACTTGTGTATATTTTAGAATTTCCTCTTTATTAAGTTTTCATATTTTATTGACGAGTTGCATTTACTTCTATTATTAATTTGCATATTTTTTGATATACAACAAAATATAAAATCAAATTTCTTCTACGTTTTGTATTGTATAAATGCAATTTTAATTCAGTTTCTCAAGAACTAATATAATTACATCAATATTCCCTTTTTAGCTTTTTTAATAGCTTCATCGATATATATTTCTTTATAAAATATTTTGCTTAACATTGAAATACAGCTATATAAATAATTAGTGTAGATTGATTAGAGATTAGACAATCAGTAGACGAAACAAATTTATTCTATTAATTTTTAAATAAATCTTATGGGTCCAAACTATTTGTAATATCTTTTGTACTGTTTGCTGTAGAGCTCCTTTTAATCTGCAAAATATTTTGTCAAAGACTATTTTGCTGTTTAGGTACTGAATATTTTTTGATGGCTGTTATATCGATTCTTCAATGCAGTTATTTATATACTTGCTGGTATTTTATCTCTTTTTCTGATATGCTGCTGATATTAAAAATAAAACAATTTAATTAAGATAACTTTCATACTATAAATGTTTATAAATAATTGCATTCCAGATTAAAATCTAAGTATTATAATTGCTATAATTATTTAAAAACGTGATACGAGTCAAAAAAGCTACAGTGATTTTTTAAGTATATATCTATTATATTTGTAAGTTGTATTTCTGGCCCTACAAAAAAATCTTTGGGTATTGTACTGTTCAACTATAAGCCATATTTATCTACATTTCCTGTCCATATTCTCGAAAAGATTTGTTGCACACTTTACTCTATATTTTATAAAGTATTTGTATTCAACATTGTCTGTAAAATAAAATCTTGCAAATTAAAACATTTTTGAGTACCTAACCACTTGTGAAAAACGTTAATTCAAATATAAACATAAACAAAGTAATTAATGACATGTGGTATTACGTAACATACTTCTTGTAGTAAGGCCTCTGATGTCAGGGTTATTTGGTAAGGGACTAAATGTTTTTATTGGTTTCTTAGTAAGTATTAGATTTGTGGTTTTATTACCTTTCAATCAAAACACACGTGTTATGATCGCTATAATTATGCCATGATGTTTTATAACCAACCAGAAACTTCATAAATAAATACATATGATCGACACTATCTTCACATCCTACCAAACATGTCAATAAAAAAGCACCTTCCTCTGTTTTGTTTTCTCTCTATCCGCAGCGTTTCGAAAAGAACAGATGATACAAAAATAAGCGGGTGTCACTGTAGCTGACGTGTAGTAATCGATGTGTATCAGTGTATGTTGTTCGGGCGGTTGTATTGCGAAGCGTGTTGCGCAAAAAGTAATCTCTTCCTATTTATACTACAATACTTTGTATTCACCGAAGAAAAGTTTCGATTCGAGTGGCCGGTAAGTCTTAGAATTGTTTCCTTGTAAAAGCAACGCCGATTTATCAATTGCGAGTCCATTTAGCTCACACGAGCGGCGACCAGCTGTGATTGAGAACGTTGTTATTGTTTACTTCTTGCGTGCCTTCTAGAATCGGCCGTTTTAAATTGATCGATGCGTAAATAGAGTCCCGTAGCATCGAATGCTTTACTCCAACGTTTAACCACGCGCATTCTAACGCTTTCTATTTTAAATACTACGCGTTTTATTACAAGATTACAGTCACGTAGCCGCGCCGACGTGCATACCAAACCATATGAACGGGGAACTTTATTTTTGTAAATAGACCGACTACTGTGTTTGGGTTTCTCATCCATTCACGTTGCAGGTATCGTTTTGAAGTTCAACGCCGACTAGACCAGCGGACGATTACTTGAAAGGTTTTTTTGCTCGAAAGGGGTTTTGCTCGAAGGCAAAAATGGCATCCGAAAAAGGGGACGTTTCGGTCGATGTGAACGGAGACATCGACATCGATAAGGTGGTTAATGAAGAATTAGCGGCCAAGGAGAACGCCACTGCCACCGAGAATCTTTCCAAGCGCAGACCCAAGAAAATCAACAGGCAGAATTCCAGGGAGGGAGCCGTACCAACGGGCTTCGTTCAAGGACCGAGGTCTTGGAAGAACAGTCGCAGGTACAGAATTAGCGCTAATGTTCGATTGATTAGGCCGTATTTATGAAAAGAAAGCCGACCTTTTGATTTAAAAAATCGAAGCGATTGCTTCAAGGTAAGGTTTCGCTTCAAGGATCTTGCTGTTACTTTAAATCAAAAGGTTATATGTTTTCCGTGTTTACAACAAGAACCATTTGCTTAACAACAAAATGATTTGCTTGTAAAAATAAATATCTAAGTTCATATCAACTTTTTATAATCATTTCAGTAAGTAGTTATTCAGCCATCACGCAGCTTGTAACGTACAATTTTGTGTATTTTGGCTGTGTTTCCCAGGTTTGTTTTGGTTGACAAGGTGCATTTACGTTAGAGCTGTCTAGATCTATTCAGATCGCTTCAGAATCATTTAGAACTTTTTAGAATCATTTAGAACGCTCCAGAGTCATCTAGAACTGTCTAGAACCAATTAGAACGCTCCAAAATCATTTAGAACTATCTAGAACCATTTAGAACGCTCCAGAAACATTCAGAACTATCTAGAGCCATTTAGAACGCTCCAGAAACATTTTGAACTATCTAAGACTATTTAGAATGCTCCAGAATCAATTAAAACTATCTAGAATCATTTAGAACTATCTAGAACTATTGAGAACGCCCCAGAAACATTTGGACCGTTATAGAAAAACTATCTAAAACTATTTAAAAAACTACCGGAACATTTATAACAATTATCTAAAACTATTTAGAACGCTCCAAATTCAATTAGAATAATCTAAATTTAATCTTTTTCATTCAGCTTCACCTCAAGTTGCAAGTACCATTTACTTTATTAATGCGAATCATTTCCTTGCAAGGAAAAGGCGGAGATTATAAATTTAATATGAATCAAAGCGAAACCTTTACCTTTTCTATCTTTTACTTCAAAGCAAACGCTTCTTTTTTATAAAACTAACTATAACTTCATACTAAAAATATGAACTATAAGACCGTATTTATAAAAAGAAATACAACCTTTTGCTTCAAAAAATGAAGGAATTGCTTCAAGGTATATGCGTAAAAAGAAGAGAATGAACAAAAGTTTCGCTTCGAGGACCCTGCTGTTGCTTTAAAGCAAAAGGTTTTATGGTTTTAAAATCTTTCTACAAGGTTTTAGGAGCTTTTTCTCTTATTTTTTTGCCTCTATTTTTTACTTCGAAGTAAATGCTTCATTTTTATAAATATGGACTATTATTTCGAACGTGTTTTAATGCATAGGTCCCGAAACGGTTACGGCAGAGGCCTCCCCAAGAAGAAGGGGGCGGGCGGTAAGGGCGTTTGGGGCCTGCCCGGCTCCGAGCTGTTGGAAACCTACGAGGACGTGGACGATCCCAATTTCGACGCGGAAAACATGAGCAACGGTGATATCGAACTGAAAGCGGTCGTACCTGAAGTTTCTAACGATGAAATACGAAAGAAACTGGAGCCCATTGTACTCGAATATTTCGAGAACGGCGACACACACGAAGCCATGCTCTCTATCGAAGAGCAAATACCTCTCAATCGCAGGGATTCTTTGGTCGAGCAGTTGATCGAAATTGCCATGGATCATAAACCCTCTCACAGGTAAAAAAAAATGAAACCGTTTAATTATCGATTGCTTCAATCGTTCGTCTATTTACAGGGAGATGACGTCGGTATTGATTTCCGATTTGTTCCCTTACACGATAAACGAATCTGACATCAGCAAAGCCTTTGAGAATTTGCTGGCCAATTTGAACGATTTGATTCTGGATATTCCGGACGCCCCGACGGTCTTAGGCAACTTCATCGCCCGTGCCATCGCCGATGATTGCATTCCCCCCAAATTCTTAATCTCCACCAAGGAGAAGAGCGACAATAAGGACTTCCAAGAGGCTCTCAGCAGAGCGGACATTTTACTTTCTATGAAACACGGCCTAGTGAGATTGCACAACGTTTGGGGAGTCGGTAAGCAATAATTTTAAATTTTAAATAATATTATTATCCACAGCTTATAATTACTATTGCTTATAATTGCTTTAAATAATATAATATCTATGCTAAACAGTACCAACAATCCGCATGGTTTATAAATAAACATTGCGAGTTTGTTTTTTAAAACCACTATCTACATACTGTTATAAGGTGGAGTAATTTTTATTGGGTTTAGATATGCTTAATAACAATGCAAAAATAGCTTTAAAAAATGCCATAATAGTCCGTATTTATAGAAAAAAAGGATTCGCTTAAAAAGAAAAGGATTTACTTGCAAAAATGAAATCTAGGTTCATAAAAACATTTCACAATCTTTTCAGTAGTTATTCAGCCACCACACTGCTTGTAACGTAAAATTTTTGTGTATTTTGGCTTTGTTTCCCCACTTTATTATGGCTGACAGGTTGCATTTTCGTTAGAACTGTCTAGAACCGTTTAGAACGCTCCAGAATCATTTAGAGCTTTCTAGACCCATCCATAACGCTCCTGAATTATTTAGAACTGTCTAGAACAATCTTGAATGCTTCAGACACATTTAAACAATTTAGAATGCTCAGAATGTAGAAATGTCTAGATCAATCTATAATTGACGAAATCGACGAAATCGCTATTTCTGTACCATTTACCTTATTTATCTGAAGCGTTTTCTTGCCAGGAAAAGGCTGAAATTATGAATATGGATCAGAGCAAAACCTTTTTCTCTTACCTTTTGCATTTTCCTTTTGTTTCAAAGTACCCGTAAAGGCTTCATTTTTACAAACATGAACTAATAACTTGCTAAATACAGTGTGTTAATTAATAAGTGCGACAAACTTCAGGGGGTAATTCTGCATGAAAAAATAATGATATTTTGCTATATAAACATATGTCTGCAAATGCTTCGTTTTCGAGATACAGGGTGTTAAAGTTTCTTCTTAAAAACCGAAGATTTATTTATTTCTCTGAAACCAGACGAGATATTCAAAAATTTGGTGGGTTTTGAGAGGTACCTATTACGCATTTTTTGACATAAAATTAAAAATTTTAATAAAATTCTTTTAAAGAAAAAAATAATAATGGTACGCCACTGAGGCAAAATATCATTATTTTTTCATGCAGAATCACCCCCTGAAGTTTGTCGCACTGATTAATTAACACCCTGTATATCCCTAAGTATACAGGATGTTTCACAACTTATCCGACAAATTTTAACCACAGCTGCACTGTTACGAAAGAAGTTGATTTCCCCAAAAAAATTGTAATAAAGGTCTTACAGAAATCGAGATGCAATGCAAGCTTGGGTGCGTCTAATCCAATTTCGGCGCAATAATTGAAATACACCTCCTTCCTGGTGATTCTGAAGCCTCAAATTATCGGCAGCCATTGTAATTCGGTCACGCAATTCTACAATATTCTGAACTGGAGTACGGTATACCTCGTTTTTCAAGTATCCCCATAGAAATTTTGAGAAATCAACTTCTTTCATAACAGTGCATATGTGGTTAGAATTTGTCGGATAAGTTGTGAAACACCCTGCATTAATAAACCACTAATAAATAGTTTATAATTCTTTTTACTTTAACAGGTGGAGCTCTGCGACCGGTGAAGGCCCTGACTCGCCAGATGTACTTGCTGCTGCAGGAGTTTCTATCGTCCAGTGACATAAACGAGGCCAGCCGTTGTCTGAGAGGCTTGGAAGTACCGCACTTCCATCACGAGCTCGTCTACGAAGCGATCGTAATGGCAATGGAGGCGAACAGCGCCGTCAAAGAGGAGTCGCTGTGCAACCTGCTGAAGGCCTTCTCGGACGCCATACTGATCACTCCGGATCAGATGGAACGCGGATTTCTGAGGGTGTTCGACGATCTTCCAGATATTTCCATGGACGTTCCGTTGGCATACATTATATTAGATAGGTAAGGTGTTGCTAATGGTCTCTTACTTGTCGGTTATTACGTTATGTATTTTGCAGATTCGTGGAGCGTTGTCAGTCGTTTGGTTTTCTTACGGAGAACGTGATTAAGAAAATGCCGTCGCGCGGGCGCAAACGTTTTGTGTCCGAAGGCGACCAGCAATTCATCAAGAATCATAAAATTGATCATTAAAAAAATACACAGCGACGTACGTGTAGATTTTCATGCATTTGTATTTTTTTCTTACTTAGCACTAGGTGCTTAAATATGGAAAATTGATCAAAATGTTACTTTTTTGTATATGTTCTATGAAATAAAGATTATTTCAAGTTTATTCTCATTAGTTTTCTGAAATTAGCTTACTTGTAATAAAAACTATCGAATGATTATTGTAAATTAGAGTGAATCTTGTAACATAAAGTCGTATACAGGGTGTACCACATAAGAAGCGACACAGAGCAGGGCGTGTAAAGTTACATTCCTAAGAAGTTATAGACCTTCAAAGTTGAGTTACAAATTAAAAAAATCAATTCAGTAAAACTCAAACTTAACACAACTAAATCTGGTATATTTTATCAATATACGAAGAGCATTAATCGATAGTTAGGAGAGATTGATGCAGTTTAAAGGGTTAATCAGGAACGATGCTCCCTGATGGATGATTTAAAAAATTATTAGTTCATTTCATAGGTAATTTCATTTTAAAACTATTCTTTCTGTTTTTTAAATTCGCTAAAAATAAAGTCAAGTACACTATTAATGTTATTTAAAATCGCCAATAATTAAAAGTTAAACAATATATTTTAGGTTCCCCTACAGGCCCTTGCTCTGTGTCGATTCTTATGCGGGACACTCTGTATAACATTAGCCCTGTACTCTAGCGAATTTTCGAACATTCCCCATTTACCTATCATTTTTACCAAACTTACATTTATTTTTTACAATTTAACAGTAAGGGAAACTTAGTGAAAAACTCTCGGCGATAATAAATTTATATATTTCATTAAACAAAACTAATTGCCCCAAAACTTGAATGAACCCTTTTTCTATCAGAAATAAAGCAATGTGTAAAGCGTTTCCTCAATAAAAACATTAAAATCAAGAAACGTTAAGATGTATTTATATTTTTTCTGTTATTTAAAATCTCACTTAATCTAATAAAAAAAATATAACGAAAGAGCCGCGCATTACGGCTGTTGGATACGCGGCTCTTCACGAAAATAAAACAATAAACTTAAAAATATGATAAACAAACAAAAAGGGCATTACTGTATTGTCACTGAACTGGAAAGCCAAATATTGGTGATACGTGCGACGGAGCCAATAAAAATACGCTTAAATCTTTAAAATAATTACATAAAAACAGTTCAGTCTTAATATTTATCTTGAAGCTCAATTATAAAAAGGTGATATTTTTTTTTAATTTGATGAGGCCGAGTATAAATTTACTTCATGATAACGATTCGATTTCTCTGCAGAAAAACCAATTATCTGAATAACATTTTCGTTAAAGACTTCTGTACATTTATCCGAAAAGTTACGATGTTATTGTAATTCAACTCAAAGTTAATTGGCTGCCTCGAATCGCCACAAAACTGTTATAGAATTTTATAAATTTTCAAAATTTGACTAAACAATTTTTTACACAGTACAAAATTTTCAAATGTCATCGTGTTCAAAGTACGATTTACAAAAATCGGAAGATCTTTTTGTAAACCGACTTCAAATGAAATTGTTCTATTAATTAGTGTACAAGTTGTTAATTTTTACACATCTCGTTATGTACAAATGCGTTGAAAGAAAAGTTGCAAAAACTCGAGTCCACAACCCGATACTAATTCATCACATAGCGGTAACTAACAGTTACCTTTTTAGTTAACTAATAGCTAATTAATAGTTAACGTTTTCGTTAGCGGAGACATCTCAAATGTAGCGCACTCTCGTTTCGTAGACTTTCTTCCAAAATGTATGTACGTAGGGTTTTATCTTACACTAGAATACATTTATTTATTACTACTAACTTAAAGGCCTATCATTGATTGAATATGAATGCCCGATTCTATTATCAGTGGCAATGTTCTGTAACGTCCACTACCACCGATTTCTTCCACCCGAACAGGAAATAACCCACACCCGCGCCTACCACAACAGCAATGCATAGCCAAACGTTGTATGTCATAAATATCAACATGAGGAAGTACGATACTATCATCTGTACCATGTGCAGGAACGTCTGGAGAAAGTGCATCGAGCTCATCATCGTCGGTCTGCGAAGCAAAAATTCATTCACAATTAAATAAAAAAACAAAATTTATAGAATTGTGGAGATTCCAATTGGTGGATAATCCCTGTAGAGAAGTGTATTGATAATTTTTTTAGTTGATAAAAATTGTAAGAAGACAATTCTTTTCTATGCAGAGACCAGCGAGTTTTAGGAAATATCTCCACGCATTGAATGTTTTCAAGTGAAAGCGAAAAATTTTTAAGACAGAATACGGTTAATTAAAATACTGCATATAAAAGTGTTTTTCGCTTGTTTGAAAACACCTTATACCACCTTTATTTTAGAATGTTACGTTTAGAACTTATTTATTAAATTTGGTTTTTTTCGCATAGAGCGTAAAATGGAGTACATAAAATTAAATACAAAACCAGCATTTTGAAAACAAATAGTGCAATTTTTAGGCATTTTTATCTAATGTGAAGAAGTTTAGTTTGGGGGTCTAGATCAGTTCAATTTGTAAGGGAATTATTTAAGAAAGAAACCGCTCTATTACTGATATTGCAAACGTGGAGTTTTCCTATCCATGATAGAATCACAGAACAATTTCGCAAATTTGACTAGCAACAGCGGTGCCAGTGGTTTCAGTTTTTTTACAAGCACTTATAACTATTTGTAAAACACTACTTTTGAATTTGAAAAATTCTGTAAAGAATTTCTTGTACGTTTGATTTTATATCAAATGTAATCAAACACGGAACATTTAAAACTTAAACAACATATTCTCATCCCATCTATTGTGGAAGAATTTTACCGTAAACATTTAGGAAAATTGTTCTATATTATCCCACGAATAATAAATTTGAGGGCGTTTGGCGGCCTTAATTTGAGCGTTACTCATTATTAGAACTTCGTTTTTAAATACTTTTTACACTTCCGTGGAGCTATTGTCATGCACCATAGGAATTTCAGTTATTTTCATAAACTATTACCAAATAATTACACTCATTGTTTCTGTATCATTAGGGTATTTAATTTAATCATTTTGTACTTCATTTTACCCCCAATGCGAAAAATACAAATTTGAAAAAGAAGTTTCCAAACATTCTAAAATAAAGGTAAGTACTACAGTCATGCACAACAGCATAGGTCGAGCCTAGTAATAGCTAACATCAAATAAATCGTGCTATCAACGATTGAAATTGAATACTCACAATGTTACTCACAATTGTAACAAATAGTATGCACAATATTGTTTACATTGTTAATAAAGTCTCTAAATGTGCGAGTATAATAACAAAATAATGTGATTCGGATATGCTTCATTTCAGCATTACGGTATTGATTACAATTTATGACTCAGAATTCGAGCTTGTTTTTAGTAGAATTATTATTAATCCAATCATATAAATAAGTTACTATTCAAATACATATACAGAAGTATTCTAAATATTGCGTAATTAGTTTGCGAATAAATATATTTTGTTTAAAATATTGTTTAGCTATTATTAGGACTCATAACATGCTTCAAGATATAAAAAGAGTCAAATCAAAATAGCTACAAATTTACTGGAGGGACAGGATGCAGCAAAAACAATCTACAATAAGCATGAATCGTTAAATCTTCAGATTAATCACATTTTTTTTGTGTGCTGTTGAACATTGTCAGTTATCCTTTATTCGTAAAATTTCTGAAAATCCAGCTAAATAAAAAAATCTGAAGAAAAAACGGCGAAATAGACACGTCACAAAATGATTTCACTTACGACTTTTTATGTATGACTTCACCAATCATTCTGCGAGAAAACGAAATATCGTTAATAAAAATTGTATTAAAAAATTGCAACTTATAGATTACGTTTTAATTGTTAATTCATTTTTTCTTCGAGATAAATACGTTTCATAAAGAAAACGATTTCGTGTAAGAAGTATGCAATTTACCACGTAGATTTCACGTTAATTAGAGGTGATAAAGATAATACATATTGAATTTGACATTTTTAAATTTTAATGTGTCTATACCAAGTAATTTCATTTCAGGAAGCATTTATTTATCGACGGCACAATTAGCGTCTTTTGTATCTTATCGGCAGTAATTTCTTCCAACCGAACGATCGACAAAATAATCATTTTTCGAATTGTAATAATTCGCCATTTATCGTTGGAAAATAACTCAAACAGATATCTGCATATTTCGTCGAACGGAATTGTCGGATGTAAGGTGCAATAATTATTAATTAGTCACGAGTTGAATAAAAATTGATACGATATTTATGGCTTGTTTCAATCGTTTTCTTTACATTTTTTTCGCTACTAATTATTGAAAACTTCATCGAAATATCCATACAATGTGTCTGAGCACAGTAAAATTATGGTTATCGCAATTTTGTGGAAACGTTCGAATGATTCGTTATAATGTAACTTACAAATTTCATGACAGCGATGCAATTAGATATTCGAAACACAATTTTTTTTTCGATTTCGAAACAAACAATATTCCCCAAAAACATGCTTATCAGGCTAACTTACTGTACTACGTGGGCTTCTTCTTGGGGCGTATTTTTATCCGGTATCGTCACTGCTCTATATTGTAAAGAGTTGTAGGTTTTCCAAAATAAATATTCCCTAATAAAACAATTTATGTATAAATCCGCAAATTTGTTACTTAGCTATAGTATTACCTATAGTATTTGAGGCCCTCGTATAGCGCAGCCATGAAGAATATTCCAATCATGGAACCGATGAGGCCTCCAGCTGAAGCGAAATGCCAATCTTGGAAAAGCACCGTATCTTTCGTCGAAAAACGAAACTAAAAAATACACCATTTTTAAGTTAAACTTATACTATACATTAGCATGTTTTACAAGTTTACCAACATTGTCGATTTTATGGTACTTACATACATCTGCATCATCATACTACCATGATCCATAGTCGTACCATGCTCCATGTGTTCCATGCTACCCATGTTGCCCATGTGACCCATGTGACCGCTGTGGTCCGTATTACTGTCCATGTGGTGCATATGTGAACTACTGTCGTGTACATGATGATCGTGATCCCCCATTTTTTCTATATAAAAAAATTAAACAAATATATTGAATGTCGAAGGTAACAAATTAAGTACCTATAGTTCTTTCACTAAGGTTTTGGATTAACAAAGTTTCAACTAGGTACCATAAACACGGTCTTTAAGTTAACATTATTACCACAGGCCAGGGTAAATTACACTAGGTATATGGCGAGGGTATATGACCAGGGTTTTGGAATAAAAATTTATAGCTCAATGAACTGGTCAAAATAATTATGAATGAAATCGAAAATAACCCGTTTGTATTTTAATTGTCCTATCATTAACGAGCCATAAATTCAACTGGAATCATAATAATAGTATTTATTGTGGAAATAGATCATTAATATAATACCCCAATTGATGTTATAAAAAATTAATTGATCCGAATTTTGGAAGAAACTCGCGATTTATGATCAATAGCAATAAATAATCTCTTAATCCTAAACCCGCGTAATTTCATATACTAAACGTAGGTGTATTTAAAACTGAAAACCCGGATTACCGATACGTTGTATAACAGATTATCCTAAAACCTATCCTATATTATGTCTTTCATCTTTTAATAAATGCCCAAATTAATAATATTTTTGTTAATATTGCAAATATTCAAACAGATATGGAAAAAAGTTTGATTTACCTCAATTTTATCAAACGATGACACTTAAGAAAGTAAGTTCAACGAGCACCTAGCATCGACTAATATATCTGGCGATCGGCGATGGAATAAAAGGAGTCAAAGGGTATCAAACCTTACGATAATAAAATCATATAATATAATTAATTTCTTTTAATGTTCAATTAATTAAATATTGTTTGCTGTTACAGATGAATTAGTAATTTAATAACAATCAATAAATTGAACAGAAAAAAATTATTATCAGATCGTGAATGCGTTTGCATGAATATTTAAATGGTTTATATTATTAAAAAAAATTGGGCAATTGTTTCAAAGGTCTACGTTAATTGCACAGACGATAACGTAATTACCCACTAAGTAAATCATAAAAAAATTGTCATTTTGATAAAAATTGGTATTGCGATATTATTTATATATTGTATAAAAAAACAAAGTCACTTCAATAAATTAATATAGATAAACCAATCATTTCTCGTCCTATAGGTCCTCGACTCTATAGGTATCAGAAAGATAGGCTACTTGAATGTCTACAAAAAAATAATAAGTCTATATAAAAGAGGGATTCATATTTTTATAAAAATAGATAGACTTGAAGGTTAAAAAGGCAGAGAAAGTAACGCCACTTAAAGGAAATTAAGGTTAATAAGTGCACTTTTTGCGTGAATACATTTCCAATAAATATTATATTCATATTGCATATAAAAACTGAAACGATAGGACATAAAAGAAGTATATCTAACTCAAAAATTGCCATTATTGAATTTATCTTATAATCAGTTTGCAATGGCGCCGATAAGGTTTGTTTGCCACCCATCTATTGTTTACATTGTTTACGTCCACAGTGCATTGTAATTACTCATTTTTCATTAAAGTAAAAAATGGACAATTTTTAAAAGATTAATTACAAAATGCATAATTGCAAAAATTTTGTGCTACGTCAGTAAGGAAACCTTTACAAACCGAAATTTACTATCACTTGGGCAAATCCAAATTCGTGACCTTAATGTGCCAAAGAATATGTTAATTTATCAACAACATTATGGTCATTGGATTTACCGAAACAAACAAGTTTTCCCCGCTCACATAGACAGATTAATTTATCGGAAACCAAGAACAAACATGAATGTTACAAAATAAAAATAGATCTCTACCAATGTAACTAGCAATATTTGTTGATACCGAAATTAGATAAATATCCGATTAAACTAACCACCAGTGTTGTTTTACTTTTTCGCAATATGATCAATTCCTTTCATAAGATAGGCAAGTGAAAGGAAATTTTATATGTTACTCGAATTATTGGCATTGATCGCCACGAACAAAGAATTAGAAACGATCAGATGAATTATTCGAAATTCGAACTGCTCCAGTTTAATGCTAATAAAAAATTGCTTTATCAATGAGGACTTTTATTCGTCTGCGTGGCGTTTGGAGATCAATCGATTATTTACTGTTATATTTAATTACAACGGTCTAATAAATTCTAAGCCATTAGTGATTGAAAAAATGTAACTATTTACGGCAAATTGATATTTATCTGCTCATTGAATTCGAGACAAATAAAAATTTTTAACGTTTGCCTGATAAATGAATAGCGATTAAAATTATGAAACTTGGAGTTAAATTGATAATATTATGGGTAAGGGTAAATGTGTTTGCAATGTGGTTGATTCTATGAGTTGAACAAAGAAATGATTATTAAAATAACAATGGTTAGAGTGAAAAAGTTGTACTCCCGCAATATTCATCCTTTCTTTTTTTTTCCTTTATGAGACTAATGGAAGTTATCTTTGTTGCACCCAAATATGCCATCAATTTTGCATCTACCTCATACCTGTATGTATATTAAACACTGTCATTTCGATTTTTATATTTTTTTACAAAATTAACCCAGGAAATTGTAAAAATACAAGTAGAAAACGCCCTTGAGCGGTTTATCAAATGTACAAACAAATAAATATCAATGTACAAATTGAAAAATTTAATAAATAAACCGCAATTGTATCTATGTTATCTATGTTATTCTGCTAATATCTAATCCAACGTTATCAATATTCTAATAAATTGTACCTAAGAATTATATGTTCCAACAAAGATAAATTCAGAATATATGAATATTATCTTTGTGTTTATTAAAATGTATAACTGAATTTAAGAAAAGAAAATTAAAGTGTCTGATGGTATTATTCTGAATACATTCTCAAATTTAGAGCGTGAGAACATTATATTACCTATAACAGTAAATTTTCCATAAATTTAGCAAAGTTTTCATTGTTGCACTCAAATAATACTTACTTATTTTAATTACGTACAGACCTTAAAATGCAATTCCTAGTTAGAAAATAACAGTGAAAACTAGAAACTTATCAGCATGATACACTTGAAAATTAAGCCAACAATTAAATATTTACGTTAAATCTGTGCCAATTACGTTATTGTTGAATAACTGGGTAAACAAATAATGCAAGATGAAATTTCCAGTCCATTAAAATAGAATGCAAATCAATAGCTATGAAAACTCGCTTAATTGACTGCACATATGGGTATTTCCACATAAGAAATAACTGCTAGAAGCAGTAGCATTGGCTTTCAAAACAATTACCTAACACCTTAGCAATATGGAATGCTTACCTCAGAGTATAATAATTATACGCAGCACTTTTGCAAATTTCTTCAATTAAGGATTCAATTGAAAGTAATGTTTCACAGCAACTCTAAAATATAGAGCATTCCTTTCACTTTCCGATAATAATTGCTGTAGGTTAGGATCTCGCTATCTTCAAATAATCTAAACAGATCGTCGACGTTTTACTAAAATATTCGCATGAATTTATCGATATTGGACAAATTAAATTAAACTAATGTCACCTTTGCTGGATACTTCGTTTTAACTGGCAAATAAAATAAAAAACAATAACTTCTTCGACTTCTACTTTGCCACTGACAAATTCTAAAATTGACAATTCAAATCAAAACTCAAAAATTTCCCCAACCTCAAAACGTGCATGGTGAGGGAAATTACTTCAAGACGCTACAAGTAAAAGGCCGTTTTTTTCTACTTTATTTATAAATTATTTTCATTTCAACTTAACTACATATTTGTATATTTAAATAATTTTAAAGCTATTAAAATGTTCTAAACACTAACATATATGCTTTTTTTTATCTTTAAATAAAAATTAAAAAATTAAATATAAAAAAGAAGAAATTTTATAAACTTTCACTTGTCAAATCTGTCAAAAAAATTTGACAGCTATTCTACAAGTAAACTGTTATAATTATAGTAAATAAAACGGCTACAAAAATAAATAAAAATGGCAAAGAGGAATTACGATAATGCATTTATGCAAAGCGAAATTAAAGCTAAGCCTCGCCAGCGTGAGGTCGTGAAGAAGCACACTCTCGATTCGGACGAAGAAGACGAAGTCGACGAGGATAATGTTTTGAATGCTGACGATATAGAAGGTGAAGAAGATGGTGTTGCCAGGCAGGAGGGCGAGCAGAAGATGACTGCCTTCAACATGAACGAAGAAATGGAGGAGGGGCACTTCGACAAAGACGGCCACTTCATATGGAACAATGAGAAGGAGATCAAAGACAGTTGGTTGGACAATATCGATTGGCAGAAGATTAAGAACAACGCAGATTCCGATAAGAAATACAGCGTGTACGAGAAGGGTTTAGCGGAGAGCGAATCGGAGGACGAAGAGGATGATTTCGATGAGATTAAAATATACAGAAACATGCTGGGTTATATGAAACCAAAGGAAAGCGTGAATAAGGCTCTTAAGCGATTAGGGGGAGATGATATGAAGCTTTCGAGTGTGGAACGATTACGAAGGAAAAAAGCCGGTACTTTAACCGATTCCAAAGATGTCACTAATCTCACAGAATTAGCTAATCAGATTCTAACAAAACTGGGCAACATGGATGTATACCAAGAAACATACGAGAAAATCAAATCAAAAGTTGATGCGAATGATAACAAAAATAAATCAAAGGCTAAAGAAGCCGAGCTCGATATGTACGCTGATGATTTTGATGAAAAAGAGAAACTTATGAAAGATACAGATTTGCCAAGTAAATCGACTTCAGATGATGTTTTAGTTGATAAAAAACCGGAACTTATGTGGGAATTTAAATGGAAAATAGAAGATGAAAAGATAGAGGGGCCACATACTACAGCACAAATGGTTAAATGGTCGCAGGAAAAGCATTTTAAAACGGGTGTTATGGTTAGAAAATGCGGAGATACCAATTTTTATTCCTCAAATAGGATAGATTTCGAGTTGTATGAATAATCATTAACTGTTTAATTGTATGAGTAAATTGTTTTAATTTTCAATTAGATGTTTTGCCAATTGGCAATTTATTCCAGGAAAACATATTTATATTGCAACAATTTAATCAAAGAGTATCTTACGATCATTCATAATTAAAATATAAAATAATCAAATACAAACATTCTTACCATTCTTATGATTAATTAGTTTTCAGCATTATTAATGTTATCTAATTTGATCTGAATTTTTTCTAAATTATTATACAGATGTAACAATTCTGTGTTATCGAATTCCATAATAACATTTTCCTTCACATCAGTATTGGTGGATTTTGCAAGATTAAGTTGAATTCTGGCTACAGGAAGACTTTGTTTAACGTTTATTTGATCTGCTGTCTGTACATTAAGTTCCCAAGTGAGATTTTCCAATTTTAATCGATTGTTGAAATCTCCAATATCCTCGTTAGTTTGAGTACACCATACTTTAACAAACTCTTCGGCTTTTTCTTCGTCCAAACCGAGATTCTCGCATAGTTGCTTAAATAGCACTGTAGGTTTCAAAATAACCTTGTTCGATTGCTTACAAATATGATGAATAGACTGTATTAACAGTTGCACAGATTCGTTGTTTATTTTTAATGAAACTTTCAGTTTCTCTACTTCATCGTTAGTGAAAAGTTCGCCACCTTTTGAATTTGCTATGTGGGCTAACAGCAACTGAAACTTTTTGGTTGAAATAGAATTTATTAAAGTGACACCTTGTTTTAGCCTAAAACAGTGTTAGTCGATATGTAATATTCATTTATTGAGTATTTTCGAACGGAATACCTTTCGTTTACAGTGATCCACTTCAAATTCATGTTAAAACTACTCAAATTAAACTTTAAAATACAAAATAAACAGAATAAAAATCAAAACATCCACCATCCCACGGTTTGTAGAATAATACGGTTACCTCACTTTGCTGGCAAAAGTGGGGGGGAATACGTCACCAGTATGCTAGAGTTTACTTGAGCCTACTAATCATTACGAGTTTTCGTAGTTTTCTTTGTAGTTTTCTTTTGTTGTTGATGTTAATTGTGGTTTCTATTGAAGTTTTTTGAGTTGTCGGGTTTTTTTATTGTGTTTAACTTCTTAGTAGTATATCAGACTATTTACAGACTATTTTCAATAATTATTTAGTTCTTAACATTATACATATGTATATTTCTTTCATCGCGGAGAGTCAGGTAAATATAAAAAATGTTACTATATGATTTGAAATTCTTTTTTAATATTTTTCCAATATTCTATCGTAGAAATGACTGGAACAGTTTGTTATGTGGCCACTTGTAAAAGTAATAGTGAAAGGATAAAAAAGGAAGGGCAATTAATAAGATTTTTTACTTTCCCCAAAAATAAGGAAGTTTTGAAACAAATGGGTTCGTCTTTGTAGAATGAAAAGTCCCTTTGATACAAAAAATAAACGTCGTATTTGCAGTAAACATTTTGCGCTGGATCAGTATGAAGACATGATTGAAGCTCAGGTAAAAAAATACTATGCCAAAAAGAAACAGGTAAGTTTGTCATGAGTAAATGACAATGAGAATTTACAATGAGACACTGTAAATGAGAAAAACAGTTACGTAAAGTTTTAATTTTTAATATTAATATAATCTCGTTTATTCATATTTATTCGTTTCATCTATTATCGTTTATTTATTATATATCTCGTTTATTTATATGTTTATAATGTTTATTTATATTTACTTTGATATAAATATATTTTGTCGTAATACTTTGTTTTATTTAAGAATTTAAGGCCCGAAATAACTATAATAATATGTTCCGTTTAATGGGTTAGAAATAAACCATTTATCATTTAATTCAAAAAATACCGTCTCCTTTTAAATTTTAATATATTTATGGAAAATATACTTTTATTAGTTATTATTCCTGTCCATTGTCTCTATTTTTATAATATTTTACCCTGTAAATATTATTAAAAACATTAATTTCATTACACTTGAGATGCTCGAAATTTGCCACTCGAATTCTTGTGACGTCACGAGATACCGTGCGTGATTGGCTAAAAAGTTACGAGACAACCGTATTATTCTACAAACCGTGCCACCATCCAACAGATGACAATGACAAGTGAACTTATCATAAGGTGACTTTTTTTATTAAGCCATTTCGCCACCCTAAAAAAGAAGAAATAATATAAATCAAATATCAAAAAGTTAGGTTATGGTTGTGATGGTTGTTTTAAATAACGTGTGTTTATGTTATTTGGTTTAGAGTTCTAATTATTAACTACAATGCCTTCGTTTAAAAAATTGAATACCAAAATATACAAAAAATCCGGGCCATTGATAACAGACGATTTTCTATACTGGAAAAAATTAGGGGTAATATTTTATCCAGTAATCTAACATAAATCTAACGCGTTTTTAAACTTTTGCAGGTTCCAGTATTAGTAAAAGAATTTGGGCCCATAGATAATATAAGCTTTTCACCAATAGAACCTCACTATTTTGCTGTAACATGTTCTGTACGAGTGCAAGTTTACAATCCCATTACGAAGTTGGTAGTTAAAAATTTATCGAGGTTCCGAGCGAATGCCTATGGAGCAACTTTTCGATCCGATGGTAAACTTATACTATCAGGAGGTGAAGAAATGAACGTCAAGCTATTCGATGTCCAATCTAAAAGCTTATTGAGGTAAAACTTTTGTTAATTTTTATGAATTTTATACAAAATAGTAATAAATTTTAGGTTGTTCAAGGGACACACCGCTCCAGTACACAGGGTAAATTTTCTTCACGGTAGACCGCAAATATCCACCTTCTCGGATGATAAAACTGTAAAAATCTGGGATATTCCCACTGAGAAAACTTTAATAACTTACGATGGACATTCAGATTATATTAGAGCAGGAGCCACTTGCGAAGCGCTTCCTGATATCGTGTTATCAGGAGGATACGACAACAAAATAAAAATGCTCGATATAAGAACAGAGAATGAAGGTATCACAGTCGATCACGGAAGTCCTGTTGAATCTTTGCTGTTTTTACCAGCCGGAGGGATATTTCTATCTGCAGGTGGCACTGAAATTAAAATTTGGGACAGTATAGCAGGAGGGAGGCTGTTGGGAAGTATTTCACAACATCACAAGACTATAACTTGCATGTCATTGGCTTCGGATAATAAGAGACTGCTCTCTGGAAGTTTAGATAGACATGTCAAAATTTACGATATATCTACATTTAAAACAGTGCATACCATAGATTATCCGAATGCAATATTAAGCATGGGAATATCTAAAAATGACGATACTCTTGTTGTTGGATTGGTAGATGGATTAGTATCAATCAGCAGAAGAGAAGAAGAAAAAGAAACGAAACCGAACAAAAAAGCACCATCTTATCAATATATTAGCGGAATACACAAGCCGAGTGTTGATACAGTTGTTAACGAAGTAAAACATGAAAAGGAAAGGAAATTCGATCATCATTTAAGGAAGTTTGAATTTTCTAAAGCCCTAAACAGTGTACTCGTGCCGTACGTTGCTAATAAGAATCCCCAAATTACAGTTTCCTTAATGCAGGAATTAATGCGAAGGAAGGCTTTGGAGAAAGCCTACCAGGGAAGAGACAAGAAAACGCTAATGCAGATTTTGAAATTTTTTATCAAAAATATTACCGACTATCGATTTACGAGGATTATAATCGATGCTGCAAACGTATTTTTAAATACATACGAAGATTCAATTAACGTGCTACCACCTGAAGTCGCCAAGTTATGCATGGAGCTCTCCCAAGTCTTGAAACAAGAGGCCCAATTATTGAACAACTTAGCAGCCGTTCAAGGTATGATGAGCATGTTACTAGCTAGTCAAGTTAGTAATGCTGAAGACACTATTACTAGTGAGAGAGGCCACAATCTTGTACCTAGTAAAGATGCTCAAAAGAATTTTGTTTTAACTGTATCATGATAAATTATATATGTAAATAAAATTTTGTATTGTATTTTGGTTCTTCAGTTGCAATTTCAAAACCAAAGAATTGTAAGAACCGAGTAACCTGATTAATATACTGGGTGTATCTAAATAACACCGAAAAAAAAATTAAAGGGGTGATTCTTTGATGAAAATTAAGGTGGGTACTTGGTACTAAATTTTTTGAAAAACCCTCTCCGGAAAAGTTAAACACCTCTGAAGAATGAAAAAAAAATGGTTTTTCAAAACTACACATTTTGAAATTTTCTCAACCCTGAAGTCATAGACAAAATAAAATACATCTTTCTTTCTCTATGCCTGAAGTATTCTTAGAAGGGGTTGAAATGTCAACCCATAGAGAAATTTAGTGTTATTTAGATACACCCTGTATAAGCAAAAGTTGCTGTATGAGCAATAGATAAAAGTCAGCTCGAAACTTAACTGTCAATGTCACAAGTGTCAGTCAGTTTAGTTCTGTCATAATTATTTGTTACAAATATTTGTCTTCAGTTTCTAATAATTTATTATAAATGTTAACGAAAATGAGAGTATTCGTGATGTTATATAATTAAAAGTGACAATTTATTGGCATACTTTCTTTTATAAAGAAGTCGAAAATGTCTAAAACGCGTATAAATCCAATATTTGGAAGAACCCCGTCTTGTTCAATAAAACGTAGACTGGAAGATAGAAGAGCTAAATGGAAAGCTGTAAAAATGGAACTGAGCAGAAAAACAGACAAACCCGAAGATTTTCTAACGTACGAAGATAGTGATAGTGACGAGGAGCCGTTCTTTGTACAGAAAGATATATTAAGTACTTCATACAACTTTGTCGATTTTATCAAGAATAGGGAAATACAATCGTCAAAAATTAGTTCAGTATCTGGTGACTACGGCAGTAGGCATATGCTAACTCACGAAATGTTTAAAGAGACCCCAATTAGTTTAGGTAATATGAATAAAGTGTTTTGTTCACAATGGCTTAGTGACAGGCAAGTAGTATTTGGAACAAAGTGCAATAAGGTAAGCTTTTATACTATTTTACCTACCAATAACCCAAATTATAATTTTTCAATTGTAGTTAATGGTGTATGATGTCGTTACACACAAAATAGATCAAATTCCTTCTCTTATAAGTAAACGAGATATGATTGGAAACGAAGTACAACAACAATGTGGTATTCATTCGTTACAAATAAATCCTTCAAAGACTTTATTGGCCACAGGCGCCAGAAATACCTGTGATATCGCTATATATAGGCTTCCTACTTTAGATCCTGTGTGTGTCGGTGAAAATGCTCATAAAGATTGGGTAATAAAATGAAACATAACTTCCAGTAAATTATATAATCAATCATTATTTGCAGGTATTTGATATGTGTTGGTTAGATGACGAATTTCTAGTATCAGGCTCTCGTGACACCAAAATGGCTTTATGGAGAATAACGCCCGATATACTCGAAACTAGAGAAGAAATTCCCAGGCATCGGTACATCCAAGCAATATCTGTTAAGGATTGTCGAAGTGCACAGAAAGTTAGGGCACTAAAGTTTAATAAAAAATATGAAGAAATAGCAGCTTTAAGTTTAAATGGTTACATACACATTTGGAGTGCACAAAATTTCAAACAGACTTTATCAAGAAAATTGCCATCTGCTCAGGAAAATGTTTGTTTAGCCGTGCAAGATTCAGGATTGTACGCTATCGGTTGTAGATCTTATACATTGCTGCTAGATTGTAGAACGTTACAGGTGAGTATTAATTCTATTTCCACTCTTGAAAATATAATTAATATGATTTTGTCCATTTAAGGCTGTCAAGAAAGTGAATTCGAGATATTCAGGTTGTGGAATTAGATCGGCTAGTTTCCAAGGAGACGTCTTGACTGTAGGAACTGGGTTGGGCATGTTAATGTTCTACGATTTAAAAGCTGGGAAATATTTGGATTCTAGTATAAATTCCTCTAGAACAGTAGTACTTAAGGCTAGTAAAGGTTATGTGGTAAGTTTCAGGTATACTATTACATAGTGCGATTCTAAACATTTTTATTTAAGTTTCCTGATGAAGAATATGTTGATAACCATCAAAATGTTAAATACGTGCCAGCTATTTACACACATTGCTATGACACTAGTGGAACGAGGCTTTTTACTGCAGGAGGGCCTCTGCCTGCAACCCTCACAGGAAATTACGCAGGTTTATGGCAGTGAATTTAAAAAAAAAACGTTTTAATAGTGTTTTTATGCATTTTAATGTATATTGTAATAGTGCTCTCGTACATTTTAATATTTAGCTTAATATTACAATGTATAATTCTGCAATGTATGTAGTCTCACAAAGAGAATCAGTGAATCTCATAAAACTAAACATTCATTAGGTATATGTAATGCATATTTAGTATTTAGCACAATTATATGATATTGCAATTGCAATAGAATTCGGTTTAAATCGTCATTAAATCGTTTTAAGAATTTGTTTTGAGTTTTAGGATTTCTTTTAAATTGTAGACATACTTTATTTTTTATAGGATTAGTAAGTCATTAATTTTTAAATACATGTTTACACGTACTGTTTGATTTTTCTATAAGAATAGAAAGTTTTAATGTAAGAGTCATGCTAGTTAAACTTTTTATTTTATTTCACTGCAATAATAATTTATTTTAAATACTTGTGTGGTCGTTGTGTCAAATAAACTGTAAATAATTTTGTAATATTGTAGAATTATATACTGTTCCTGTAAAGGTCAATTTAACATTTTTATTTTTTGCTATTTTTAAGGATTAGTTTCAGTAAATAACGTAAATCTCCAAAACAAAGAAGGTTTATAATATCTAATTTAGAATATTAGATTTTATTGATACTCCACCCGGAATTAGGCAACCACCATTACTCGGATCTTTTAATTTTTTGATATATAAAAGGGGGCCTATAAAATCTAACATTGATGAAATATTAATAAAGTTCGATTTTATTGTCGATTGTGGATTAATGTAGATTATTATTTGCAATTTTCTGTTTGAAACTTTTGACAAAATGACTATAGTGTCGTAGGCCAGGATGTACAAGACGGTTCTTTTTTAAAGTCCTAATGTCCTCAGTTGCCACGGTAATTCAGGTAAATGAATAAAATAAACGAGCTTATCCAGGAAAGTGATTATATTATTTAATGTTAATTAAAAATTAATTCTATATTATGGTATAGTCATTTATTTTCTTCAGTATTAAATAATTTTAAATTTATATTTCTATAAAAAAGAAGAATTGAAGTCTAATAAACTGACAGTTGACAGCATGCACGTCCCGTAGTTTAGAGAGAGAGAGAGTTGCAAGAAGAAAAGAAAAAGATTAGTTGTTCGATAGCTTTGGACTACGGTAGTTTGTCGAAGTTTCATATATTTACGTGAATTTGATTTATGGGTTTTGACATGTAAACTTGCGGAGTAAACTAGTGTTTTTGTTTTGTTTTAATGATTATAAATGTTTTGTTTTAATAGTTGAGCATTGTGTTTGTTATCGAAACCGTAGAAGGTACTTTATTGATGATAGTAGTACCTAGCCGTAGGAAACAAAAGGCTTTAAAGTGACGTTATTTTGTGTGCCTCGACAAAAACGATCATCTCAGAGCGAAAGCGTAAGTTGCCATTTATTCCAGATATTTAATATTTGTTCAACGAACGGCTTTCAAACGTTTGGCGATGTTTTAATTTTGTTTATTGCCGATAAGGTAGTTTATGAAATTTTAATGTGTAGTACCTATATTATACAGTTAGTCACGTTTTCTTGCAATGCAGTCATCATAGAAAGAATTTCTGCTTGTGTATACCTGGACTGAAAGCATGCACTCCTTAAAAGTCCTTAAAACTTTTTTTTGTTAGTTAATATTGTTCAATCCATTTTAATACTACTACTACAGTACCTTCTCTTTTTATGTAGGTGTTTTACAGTTATTTATTCTCAATGAACATTTATCTAGTTATTAGATACCTTTTTATTGAAGGTACAAGCAAGTACCTTAGGCAATTAAAATATTTTTAATATGCACTGGCATCATTAATTTAACTGGCTACTAATCGGAAACGATAATCTTTAATTAAAAACAGTATTTACTTATATGTTTGTTTAGACTTTTAAGTACCTAATTATAAGTATAGCTACAGTTATTATTCATCAATTTTCTGGTCGATATTAGAACGAAATAATTAGTTTAAATGTTAGTAAATAAGTAGTTAGTAGATATGAAGAGAGCATTAATTATTTTGCTCCACTTTAATTAATTACACTAGCCTTTACCAGTACAGAGACCCATAAAGTTGGCATATTCTACTTAAATAATTTGTAATCAAAAATTTATATTTAGGTAAATGTTTATTATATCTATTGTTGCATCTAATGTAGTACAGTGTGAAATTTTCTGTTCTGATTCTACCAAAGTTAAAAGGTTTTTTATAGGTATTTTAATAAGTTGGTTTTATATAAGGCCATCGAATGGTTATAGAAGTATAGAATTACAAGGTAATTTATAATAAATTTTACTGTTTTGTTCTTTAAGGATGTTAATGTTCACATTAACCAGTCGAATTATGCTTGTTGCATAACTTGAATAATTCATAAGATGGTAATTTTTTTTGTTAACGTGGATTCCTTTTATCGGGAATTTAGATTATTCACTTTATGTACTACGTTGTTGGTTACACCCGTCGTCGGAAAATCACCATTAATTTCCTTTTAAAAAAATTTTATTTCCTATTCCTAAAATGCCTTTGCAATTCGCAATTTATTGTTTTAAAGAATTAGCATCGTTACTTATAAGTAGCGAAAGTGGAACAAATTCATAAAACAATTCATTTCATTGTATTTAAAAAAAACTAATGACTACCATCAACACCATTAGTTTCTTAGCCCGTATTTAATTGTCTTAATTGAAGCCAAAGCGGGCCCCTTGTTGTTCCTAATCTCCTCCAAATGCTTTAACACCAATCTTGCAAAATATATTATACTTGCATACAAAGTGCATTATTATTGTATTTGAAGATTTTATGTTATTTCTCTGTTAAAAATCTAAATAAGTACCATATCGTGCATATAAATGTAACAATATAGAACGTGATTTTGCGAAAACATAAGCGGGCGTATTGATTGCGAAAAATAAAACGTAGAGGTAATTAATAGATCCTATTATGTCTGCCTACCGAAGTTTGCTGCACATTTTTTTTAGACAAGGCCAGTGCCGAGCTAATTCGACAGTTAAGAAATTTGAATAAAATGTGTGTTCCCTCCCGTACGGCGTGCAAAAATCTATTCAACCGAGGTTTCGGGCTCGCTTTCTATTTTTATCCCTTGGAAATTCATTATTGAAACGGATAAAACGCTTTGCCTACGTAATGTTGTAATGTGCATGGGTGTTCATTCAACCCGGCCTTTCCCGTAAAAAACGGAATATGGTCGGTTGACATGTAATCTATTACGATAATTATTATCAAGGTAATTGCGCGTGCATACGCAAAAGCCAGTAGTTTGCGGTAGAAATTCGAAATTGAACTGAAGTCGGAAGAGATTATTAAAAGAAATGATTGCTAGATTGTGACGAAAACGATTTCGGTGTACCTAATTGTTCGCAAAAAAAGCTTTCTTCAATTGTTGGAAAGTTATTTACTTTTCTATTGTGTGTTGTATGCGTATTTCACATTATTTCTCGTGCATTACATTGTAGATTCCTATTGAATAGGCTGCTTATCATGGAAGTTAAAAGCCATAAGTTTCGAATGCCTCGATTACAAAAAACTCTCAACCATTTCAAATGCAGTAAATTAGTTTCGGTTTGACTAAATTTTTAGAACCGGTTGCCCGAAAATCTCACAGAATTCGACTGTAAATATTTTATCTCCTCATTGAAAATACAAACATCGCCTTAAATTGATACATTACGAGGATGTGGAGCAACAACTTTACGGCGTTTCGTGAGCCTTCGTTGAATCATTTTTAAAATATTCGCCTTTGCCGTGAACCTCCATTGAACTCGGGCTTTTGTACGTAAAATACCGCACTCGTAAATACCCGGTAGGTAAATGCATAAAGGTTGTCTCATCCTGTTGTTGTGATTTATTGGCGATAGAATTTTACAAAATGACACTCCGAATTTTTCAGTTCACTTCGGAATTTTTATTACCGATACATACGTGACTGGAATACTGACTTCTTTTCGAACGTTACTTGAAACATATTACAAATAAATTTAATTATCGGTTTCTGTGAATTCTGAATGAATTCGCTATTAGTTGGGTTTTGTTAACCAACAACCTTTGTTTTCAGGATGTGATTTGTTTAAATTGCACACCGAATACTAAATGATTGCTGCGAGATTTTTAATGATAGTTGATTTAGTGAATTCTTGACTTGATTCCACAAGGTTGTTCTCTAAACTCCTCATGTTTGTGCTAGTTCGTAATTCACTTAAATAGTAGTTATTAATTTTTTCTGTATTAATAATTACGTTACCTTGATTGTAGCGAAAACATAAATAATAATGAGATGTTCTCGAGGATCTCGTTTTGAATTTAATTAGTATTGTGGGATCTGATCGGGGGCCGTACCGCCTCTGTGGTACCAGTCAGGGAGGGTCGCACCGCTCCTGTGTGTCGGGACGGCGGATCGACGACGGGAGAAGTCAGAGAGAAGAGAGAACACGACGCGACGGGAACAACGACGTAACGACGGTGGCGATTGGAAAGCAATATTTTATGAGAGTTCTTTGTGTGAGCGTTGTGTGGACAATGTTTTATGAAAATAGTAAAGACGTTTGAGTTAATAGCGTGTATTACTGCCAGATCCCATAGTATCGTGTTAGGTATATTGAACTTATTCAGTTGTATTGTTTTACATACAATAGAATGACGTTAAATCGGAATTTCTCTAGTATTTGATTTTACAACAATAATTTCGATTACTTACACCCAGTCCTACAATAACAAGTGTTTGTTGAAAACCAGAAAAAAGAGACAATTAATTTAACCTTCACCATCAAAACGGTAACCTCATGCGCGAAGATGCGAATCGTTGATAATGCAAATTGCGCATTGTAGACGCGCGAGTTTTGCGGCCGATGATTCACCATCACCAATGGAGCCAAAAGAGTATATCATTCGATAAGACTTCTTCGGCGGAACACGAGATGACGGTTCTTTCATGTGGGTCAATGATTCATAAATACGGTTGACACGACATGGCGATTCGACTTCGCGTTTAGGACGGACGAACGGACGAACTGTGGGGCCGAGAGCACCATACAGGATGTCTTTTATTGTTATTCCTGCTTATAGTCCATTCGCTGAACTTGCGCTGGTTTTGGATTCAGAATAAATTCAGTGTGCAAGGCGGACACTTTCAAATTTTACCTGTTTCTTGGGTAACTATGAATGGGTTAAATTAATTATGAATAAAATTGAAAATAATCGCCTGTTTTTGAATTGTGTAAATCTTGAATGGGCCATAAATTCTACTGAAACCCCGAAAAAGTGTCCCCGAAAAATAACCACAAATATTTATTTTTGCATATTCTCTTTTAATATATGATACACCTTGGTTCATTTCAGTTTGCATCATGGTC